GTGTGTGTGTGTGTGTGTGTGTGTGTGTGTGTGTGTGTGTGTGTGTGTGTGTGCGCGCGTGTGTGATGAATGGAATTCCGCATTGGTGTGCAATTGTAAAACAAGGCTGTGTGTAGAAAAAAAAAATCTGAAACTGCATTTAGGAGTGGCTCAATTCTGGCTGGCCATATTCGGGCCGGAGTTGGAAATACATTTCTGGCCCAAATACTTCACGCCACAACCGGCCCTCATCTGGTTTGCCAGAGTCAAGCCAGTGCCTCCTTTGCCACGCCTGGGCCGTGTTCGGCCCACATGCGTTATGCCATTGCCGACACCAGGCCAGCTGTGCCGGATTCATGCCGAAGCCGGGCCAGATGCCTTTGCTGACTGGGTGTCCATGAACTTGATTATCTATTAGTCGGCAATTAATCTGGTACACTAGTTACTCACCTCAACGGGGTCCTGATGAAAATGGCTACAGAGCCAGTTTGATGAAGTGTGAAAAATGATTGTAATTAAAATGAAGATGTCCTTTGGAGTATCCAACTGATCAGGTCCGAAATTCTACAAATTCCGATTCAAACGATGAGAGGCTGGGTCTTTGGAGGGAATTGATGCTAAAAATGACTCTTTCTTTTCTGGCACTACAAAAATATTCCTTTTCATCTGTCCATAGTAAAATGTAAAAATTTGGCCGGTTCCAAAAGAATCCTGTTAGTCTTGCCCAAAAATTCTAAAACTGAAAAAAATTCATCTTTATTCTGGCACCGTCACTGATTGTACTTAAATTTTTGAGATGCAAGGATAAAAATAGAGCCACCACAAGACGATCCGTTTTTTCAGATTGGGGGTGTGGTCAGTAACCTCATGAACATCATCAATGATGACCTCAGTGGTACCTTGCAGATGCTTTGATGTCACACCTACAAAACTCTCTCTCTCTCTCTCTCTCTCTCTCTCTCTCTCTCTCTATATATATATATATATATATATATATATGCACCAAAAAATATGAAATATACAAATGTTTTTTTTTGGTTTGTTACATATTACAATTCATATAGAAGCATCTAGCCGTTTTAATCGAAATGTTAGGTCCTTCCTTCTCCTATAACATTTATCAGCCATGGTTTCCTTTTTAGCCCATTCTGGTTCAAGTTACTGTGTGTTCAGTTTCACTTCAACGTGTCTGTGTTTGCATGTGCGTGTGGGATGATCACTGGTCCCGTGATCACTGTGTGATATTTTCGGCCATGCAGTACAGGCTCACTCAGTGTGGCAACCAGCTGCTTCCTGTTCTCTTTGAGACATTACTGTAGTTACAACAGAATTCCCCAGTCATTGCACGACCACGATTGGCACTTGGACTGAAAGTCGTCATTCAGGATAACGGCGAGCAAACATTCACAACTGGAGGAATGTAACAATGTTAAATGCGGAGCGAATTGAAATTGTCTTTGAGCGTTTGCAATAGCACTCACATGATTAAAAACAATTGTAATAAGGTGATAAATATTAGATGCCACTTTGGGAGGCATTGAATTTATCTCTCGAGCCTTCTCTGGGTCATTGAGAGATTCAGTGACCATCTGAAAGCAGGCTCGTGAGGGTGACTTTTTAAGCAGTTCGATGATACTTTGAGGCTGCTCCCTTCCTTTTTCCTCATCATCAGCCTCCATTGTCTAGCTTGGACAAGCTCGATGAAGTGCCGCTCATTTTGTGCGTCTTCGCCTTTGGAATGATGGCACCAAGACTTTATCGCCTTCTGATCAAGTCTTTCCTTTTCTTATTTTGTAAACCATTCCAGTTCTGATGCAGCTCTAGAAACTTGTCTCTTGACATCTTCTGAAAATTCTATTTGCCCATGATGGGGAGATTAAAATGTACAAAGTTAATTCTTTTGTGTCCAGCTGTTCATCACATAGGGAGCAGCCAATCAGTGGGAGTTGTAGAGATCATGCTTATTTCACAAAATAAACAAAACCATTTTTTTATCTTGCTTTTTAATGCATTTTTCATTGATAATCTGTCAAATGCCATAATCAATATACAAGCATACAAATTGGACTTTTTTTTAAAAATTCAAATTCAGCGAGGGATTAAATAATTATTCCTCGACTGTACGTGTATTTACATTAGCTCTATGTAAACTAATGAGAAACAAGCTGCCATTCAAATGTGCTATGACAAGCAATGCTCGAGAACGAATTAATTTCTCCGTGGCATATACCGTAGTTGCTTTTGTCCTTTGATCCATAAAAATAGAACCCAAGCTATTTATTTAAAAAAGCAGAATAAGACACTTGCCAGCAAAATGTGTAAGGCGGGCACTTCGTTCATTGAACTGTTCCTTTGTCATCTTCAAGAAGCGACTCAAATTTGTCATTTCACCACAGGAGAAGCACCATCGATCGATCCGAGTCGGTCGCAGAGGACTAAAGCAACGCCAACAGCAGAGTCAGCATTCTGTCCATATACGACCGACTGAGAAAACACTCTCTCCACTTCCTGTCTAAGCACCTCATTCCGCGCAAGGGCGCTCCCGCTACCCACTATCCTGTTGACGCCCGCCTGCCGCAGGCGCTCAGGGGGCATCATGGAGGCCAGGTTCTCCAGGATCCCGTGGCACAGCGCTCTGGTCACGTGACCGAGAGAGAGATTACAGGCGGAGATGTTGGTCACTCGAGCCAGAGCGAAAGGGTCGTGCCTCTCTCCCAGAATGGTCGGACTCACTGTGAGGTCACTGCTTTCCTGCTCCAGAGCACAACCGATCATCTTTTCATATAAAGATTGCTCGCTCAGCTCCACGCCTGCAATGGAGACGAAGTGGAATTGTTGCAAGGGCAATCATACAATTGATCATCCTTTTCGAATACAACACCACAGAAATGCATGTGCGATCGATAAAAGTACACACCAAGTTCTTTCATCCAGCCAGTCAACATTTCTACAAAAGTGGCCAGCACATTGCCGCCGTTGAGTGACGCCGCCACCGCCAAGTATGAGGAGCCAAAGTACGGGAAGAAGGCAATAGAGGATTCGGGCTGTGGTGAGTCGGGAGGTTTGAAGTCAGCTGGCATGGCGAAGGTCAGTTGGGCTGAGGTGCTTATGTTAAGAACTAGGACGTTAAGGGCATAAAACGTGCAGATTTGTGAGTTGGGATTAAAACAGATGTTGATGACTTCACGTGCAAGGAAAAATGAAGCCAGTTTTTACAAAGTAGATTGAGTGTACGCAGTGCAGGTATTCCCAACCTGTTGTGTGAGATTACAAATGTAGAGATGTAGGTTAAGATGCTAAAAATGAGTGTGTACAGTATGTGCCCAGCTTTAGAGGATCCATGTGCACCAATCTTCGTTCTGTTACACAACTCCAAGATTTTCATGACAAAACCTGACAAAATGTGTTGGAGAATGGCCGATGTGACATTTCAGAAATTGATTCACTGGACAACAGAAAGAGAAGACCACTTCTTTCACCTGCGTCTGTCTGCGCACTCAAACAGGAGTACACAGCGCACTGGAAGTCTCCTAGGGCGGCCCCTACTGGCGTGCCAGCGGGAATGCCATGCCAGTCAGAGCGCGTGTGGCCCGCCAGCTCACCAGAGGGGACACACTGAGGAAGCAGGTGCAAAGGGAAGCCGGCGCCATTGAGACTAGAAGATGCACACACACACAAACACAACTGTTGTGTCACACTATCAGTTTGAACAGAATGCCATGCATTTAGTACTTAAGTTAGATTTAATATTCAGAAAGCTCACACACACCGTTAGCATATAAATCAACAATACAAGCCGTTTACATACATGTCCATGTTCCATTGGCCAGAGGATGTGTTGTAGAAACCCCAGCTGGCTGCATTCTGAGGTGTCATGAGACATCGGTCTAACCCACACAGCATGGATACCACATAGTCCTGAATGGTGCCGGCAACAGTGAAGTCCTTTAGGAACTCGGGCCTGCAGAAGAATCACGCTCATAATTACACCTTACAAGAGAGCCATAATTACGTTGACATACTGTATGGTCAGGTCCTGAAATAGTGGGACACTGACGCAAGTCACATTGTTTTGGCTCTAAACACCCCGACACTACATTTGAAATGAAACAAAACGAGGTGTGCTTAAACTGCTGACTCCCTACTTTTATTTGAGGGTATTTCGATCCAAAACGGATGAACACTTTCGGAATCACAGAAGTATTTGAAAGTACATTTTGTTCGTTTCATTTCAAATTCATTGAGGTGGTGTTTAGAGGCAAAAAGATGAGAACTGTGTCCCAATATTTATGGCCCTGAGTGTATGTGTGTTTTGCTCACCTGTGTTTCATGTACCAAAAAATGGTCGCACAGCCGAATCCTGTGGCCACGCTGAGGTGCGAGTTCGGTTTTGGAAGGGAGGACAGGAAGCTATTGCTGCAGCGGCCATCTTGCCAGGTGATCAACTGACTGAGATTCCCGCTGGACCAATCGCAACCTGCAAGCAATGAAATGTTCATACTTTAGAATCCGTCCGAACTAATATTGCTTTTCACTTTTGTATTACTGTAATACAAAGACATCCCTGGCACTCCCATTAATATATTTTATTACAAGACAATAGAAAAGTGATCCCAGTCCCAGATTAATTAGTATTGTAAAATTGTAATGCAGTGTACTAGTGTTATTTCATGAATAACCAAACAACAGCGTTCCATATCTCGTGGCAGTACACATACTTTCACAACGATCCTCTATATTAGAATATTAAGTCGTATATAAGTCATAATAACTAAATAATTGTATTAAACCCCTTCAGAGGCCAAAAAACGGAATGGTGGTACTGTATTCGTATTCTAACACTACGCCAAGCACCAACCGTAAACCACCGAGAAACTATATGATACATATTTATGAATACAAATAATATGGAGAAATATAGGACTGGCGAAAAAAAAAGACAACGTGTTTACCACTCTTTGCATTCCAAAACAAAACCCCGTGCATCTGTCCAGATACCCCGATGCTGCACACATGTTGCAGCTTGTCCTTGGATAGCAGCCCGACGCACCGGTTGAGAGTGTCCAGAATACGCGCGGTATCCTGCTCCTTGGCCTGGATATCGGTGACACAGATGTTTACGACGGATGTTTTTTAGGTCACTTGTGAGTATGTCGATCACTTACCTTTATCCCGTTTGAATCGGCTATGTCAGAAGCAGTTGCCAAACTCTGGCTTGCAGCGACACTCTTTGAATCGCTTTCTAATAAAACTGCTTTAATCGATGTGGTGCCCACATCTAAACCCAGAATGTACGAAGGCATAATGGCAGTCACACACGACCCTCAGGCAACAGCTCAACACACTCTTCTTCTTCGGTGTTTGACTCAGTAACTACACAAGTGTACAGTATTACTGCACCCACCTGGGGCTATTCGTTCAGTAGGTCATTCTCATAAAAAAAATATTTACGTAAGAAAGCGTACATATTTTAAAAACATTTATTTTTCTTCAATTAACAACATACTTGCTGCCTACACCAACTTTAATAAAATCCTACGTTTTATTGTGCCATGAATGCGCCGTCAGCATCCTCATTTGTGATGACTGTACTTTTTCCAGTTCCCACAATGCACTGCGACTAGCATGGACGGGAACTGACTGGCAAGGACTCCAACTCCTGATTGATAAAAATGAAGGTGGCTTTACCTCACCATTTTTGCTAACTTCGCTCGCAGCAGTTCCGCGTTCAAGTTGACGAAGTCATATTTTACACACGATGCATCTGTGATTGAGCCGTAAGGAGCCGAGAAGCCGTTTACCCTCCGGTAAGAATCATAGTTAGCATTAGCATGAACACGGCGTTAGCATAGTGGCGCGAGTAGTGATCCTAGATTGCATGTTGAAAGACAGGGTAAAGTCACACACCGCTGGTGTCACCTGTTTTACGACAAATAGTTTTTGGTCTGTCATTTCATGTCAGGATTACACATGACTGTGCTACTTTACGTTGATCAGGTATTTTTTGTACACTTGAACTCTATCATCTGTCAATTTATATATAGCAACCCATCGCCGTATCAAACCGATGAACTGTCGTTTATAGTCAAAACAAAATTTCTTCCAATACACGGGTGTAGATTGCAACAGCTGTACGGTGTCTGTAAAAGAAATGGGCAGCCCTGTTCAAATGCTCTCTTATTGACAACGTAAAGGGGTCAAGATGAATCGTTTCAAAAATCCCTCCCCAGTCACGTGACCTGTCAATTGTACAACTCAACTGGGGGGAAAAAAAAAACTAAAATCGGAGAGGGTGTCCACACCCTCTTGTAGCTGTGGATGTGGCTATGTTCGGAATTAACCAAACACATGCAAATGCATGTGAAATGGGAGTGAGTACATACCCGACACCATCGAATGCCTTTGATGGACCCAAAATAAAGATGATGTAGTAGTAGCTTTTCATTACATTATTGTGGTCACTCTTGCAGCATATGTGCACAGAGAGCTCTCGTTGAAAGGCAGAGATGGGAAATCCAGCTGCAGAAAGTACAATCCCTGCCACGAACCAGCTGGTTTATTTGACAGTTGGGTTGAAGCACCTGTGGCTAAACCCAAGCTGTGGCAGTAATTTTACTTTCTGGCCCTGGATTTCACTGTTGAAAGGTAGGAGAAGGGTACAAATCAAATTCCTAGGCTCTATTTATGTTGTGAAACACAGTGAAGACAGTCACCATCAAGTGGGCGAAATATGGCACAGCTCAGAACGGGATGTCTCTCCAAAATTGAATAAAAGATGAGAAGTAAATAAAACAAGGAGGCTGCCAAGAGGCCAGCGGCCACATTGAAGGAGTTTTGTCCTCTTCATATGTCTGAGCCATGGGGTAAGTTGACAAGACTTGACGCTTCATCTTAGAAAGAAAACAAGTCCAACTTTATTGTGCAAAAACACACTTGAATTCCCCTAACTGGCCAAACCAAGGTTGGATTTTTGGGCCATAATAATCATAATGTTTGACACAAACACAACACTGCTAATCACCAAAAGAACACCATACCAACATGAAAGCGGGTTCTTGAACATTTTTTATTTGTCCCAGTTTTTCAAAGTCTCTATCATTTGAATTGAACAAATGATAGGTCACATTTAGGGTGGAAAAAGTTTAGAAATTATTTAGCCTCATCTCGATTTTTGACAGGACAAAAACATTTTGGAATAACGGTGTTTTTTTTTTATATCCACTGCATCGAATTTTCATTGTAAAATGTAAACGCACAAACGCATTGTGCATTCTTTGCAGAATCTTCCCGTGACCCTACAACCACAGCCAAGATGGCAACCGTCATAGCCAAACGAGAGGGGCCGCAGTTCATCAGCGAAGTGGCCGTGAGGGGCAATGCCGCCGTCCTGGATTACTGCCGCACCTCCGTGTCAGCGCTGTCCGGGGCTACCGCCGGAATCCTGGGCCTGACGGGACTGTATGGCTTCATTTTTTACTTTTTGTCCTCCTTCCTCCTGTCTTTGCTGCTCATTCTCAAGGCCGGACGACGATGGAACAAGTGCTTTAAATCCAGACGGCTCCTCTTCACCGGGGGCCTGGTTGGAGGTCTTTTCACCTACGTCCTCTTCTGGACTTTCCTCTATGGAATGGTGCACGTGTACTAAAATAACCCGCATTCTCCTTAAACTAATTGCATTTTGTTTGAGCTGTAGATGAGCCAAAAATAGATTTTAATGTTATTCCATTGTGACCTGCTGACACGACATTTTTTTTCCTTACTCTTCACACACTCAACAATGCCTTTTAGTAACTCCAGGCCTCACCTGATTTATGATACTCCCCAGGATTATTATTTGGATTGTCGTCTAACAGACTGTAGCACATAATATCCTAAACAAGGTGCAACTATTTGATGTTGCACTTTTCTGTATAGTCTTGAAGTTCAACACAAAGAAATGTGATTACTGATTGGAATAAATACCTCTGTACTTATCTGCATCTGTCAAATGTTTTTTGTTTTTTTTTGTTTTTTTTTTTTTGCTTTACTCGCTATCGACGCGACATGCATTCATTTGCAACAATAAGACCTTTGAAAGAATATCGGAATACACTCACATTTGTACAGTCGCACACAATACCAGGCAGAGCAATTACATGTTGAATTTACCGCACAAATCATGGCATCAAGGCATTAGTGAAGTAAAGGGTGGGCAAATTTGATGTTAAAATTGGACATGGTCCAGGTCGTTTGAAGATGAGCCACAAACGTTTTGTGAAACAGGTTAATTAATTGTAAAGAAACTCAGAGACATTTTTAAAAATCGATGATGTTTTCAATGCATATGTAAAATTATTTGTGATTTTAAGATGAAGCAACATTGTACCACACGTGTATACAATATTTTTACCCATTTTAAGTTTTAAAAGAGGCTAAATCTGTCAAATGTGTGTCGCCTCAGTTAAGTCCCCCGCGTTGATGCATTTTACTTTATATTTTAAAATGTACTTTTAAATTATCAAGGAAGCATACTGAAGTGACACTGCTGGATGGAAAGATGAAGATCCTTGTATGTAGAGGAGTGAAATTTAGCCGGGGTCGTTAGCGGAAGTTAGAGAGACTTTTTGTTGCATGAGTTTTTGCTCTGTTGGCACCTTTTGATGTGTGAGACATTTATTTTTAAGGGAAATGTAAGATGCGTTTGGGGATCATAGTTTGTGGTATATTTATTAAACCATTAATACATGCAATAATAAAAATGGGGGAAGCATCAATTTCTCCTCGTTTTTCGGTATTTATAGCGGATAGGGAGGAGGGACCTTGCCCTGGTGTGGGGGTTTTTACTGTAGTTTTATTACCTCGTGTGGCTCAAAGAGGATAGTTCACTCTATTTTCTTTCCTAATTCATTTTAGAATGGGTCAATTTGACCCGCAGTATAACAACAGGGTTAATACACTTCGAATGACAATTTCTACAGATCAGGTGACTGGCTGCTAGTGTCAGTCAGCACTGTAAAAATCAACTCAAAATATCATGCAAATCGAATGTCAAGGAGTGATTGGCTAAAACAATGGCAAAGAATACGCAAAGATTCAGCATGGCATCCGACAAAATGCCATGGTTGATGTTGAGATGAGTCCTATGTTAATGGAACTGTCCAAGATTCCATTTTACATCAGCCGGCAAATGCAACATTTCTTCCCGTATATCTTTACACAGGTGCAGTTGTCAAGGCGGTCTCTCTGAGCAGGTGACAAGCCAGCAGCCATGTCACTAAAGTGATAAGTGAGTTACAGTTTTTTGGTTCCACCTTTCGAGACCAACGCCGCGGGTCATTTTTGCCTTGCAATTGCTTCTTCTATTTTCAATTGTGTGAAGCAAATGTGATGTGATGCTTTAGTTCCGCACCATGTGCAGAGAGGGTGGAGGTGTACCGCTGGCCGGTGTTACGTGGAATGGTGGGACCCCGTTTGTCCTTGGTTGCCTTGTTTTGAACCTCCATGGCTTCAATATCATCTGTCTGTTTCATGGAGTTGGTAGCCCCCTTTTCTGCAGCTAGTTTCCTGGATTTCCTTTCCCTTTCCCGATTCTTCTTCTCTCTGATTGTGTTCCGCTCTTTCCTGGAAGATTCAGTGAGGGAGAGGTGAGCCAACGGATTTCAACTTTGAGGAAAAACGTTATCTTTGAAGCCAGGATGAACTACTCCAGTTTGCCAGCGCTTTTCAAAGTGTGAGGTGATGCGTCTCCACTAGAGGGCGCCAGAGGACTTCAAGGGAACGAGAGCGTTATGGAAAGTTGCATGAACAGTTTGAGTTTATAATTACGATAACATTCATGTTAATTTCCATGAGCCCTTCTATGGCGTTTCGCATTATATGTTAGCATTAAGCTATTCTATGGTTTGGTTGAACATTTGTGTTTAAATATACAAAGTGCAACGTTTAACTTCTTTTTGTGTGTCAGTTTTACAGCAAGCTATAAAGTGGCAAACACTGTAAATAGCTTGAGTCACGTATGCTGTGCCCCTTGCAGAACAGTGAGGCATAGTTAGAAGGAGCACCAAATAATACTTTGAAAAGTCTGTGTGTTGAAAACGTGGGAGTACAATTTTTTATGTGTCACTATATCACCAATTCTGAAAATGTGTCTGTGAGAGAAGCAGTCTGAATTTATGAATTACATCTGATATCCATCCATTTTCAACACCACTTAACCCGAAGAGGGTCGCTGGAATTGCTGGAGCCTATCCCAGCTGACTTCGGGCAAAAGGCGGAATAACCCCTGAACTGGTTGCCAGGCAGTCACAGGGCACATATAGAGACGAACAACCATACACGGCCACATTTCACACCGGCACTGAGTGGTGCTGCACGCACACAAGTCAGGCAACGGTACCACTACACCAAATCTTGACTACACCCGATATTAAATAAGAAAAGCAGCGCTGTGTGCAGAGATAAGAGAATTCTCAAACTTGAAATTTCTTCGCGGAAAGTATCATTGCCCCCACACTCTGAAAAGGCCTGCAGATACAAATCTTACTTGAAATTGATGATCTCAAATTTCTTGTTTCTATAGAAGGAGCTGGTGTTCATCATATACAGTAGGATCATATCACATACAAAGGCTCCCTGCAAGGAGAATGAGACACAGTATACTTTTATTCCATACCGTGCGGCAGTGTAATTCTAACTCAGCAACAATATCATGAAGATAACTCACTATTCCTAGAAGAGCGACACCAGAGCCGATGGCAATTATTGTGGGAATGATGTTGAATTTTCCTGCCTGCAAGGAGCGGAGAAAACAAGATACATTTGGTGCAGTGACTATTACTGGAATCCTATTTGTTTCTAATTTCTCCAATTACAGCTACTACCTGGCCGTTGATCATGATGTCAAAACGAATTCCATATACTTTATATAAAGTGCGAAAGGTTTCCCCATTTTGATCTTTATAGTATCTGGCATATCTGCAAAGTAATGGCATCAGATGGATGAGTGAGAAAGAAAACTTGGGATGACTGAGATGACGTACCTGAAATTGTATCCTGATGTGACGGAGTTGTTCAAGTTTATGTCCAAACGGGTGAAGCTGTATTGTGGATTACACTGAGAGTAGTCCTTATCCAAATCGCAGTACCATTCAATTAGGATACCAACAGAGCCACCCTAAAGGGAAAAAAAAAAAAACACTGATCATTTTTCTTCTTCTCTGCTTTTCTGCAGATGACAGTCATTTTTTTAGCTATAACAATAAAAAAGAAGGGTCTACTTCAGGGGTGTCAAACTCGTTTTTGTCGCGGGTCATATTGTAGTTATGGTTTCCCTTGGAGGGCCGTTCTGAATTTTGGGAAACCATATAAATGTTTAATCCCCTCCACATATTACATACACAGCGCACAACAAATTGATCAATAACTATTTTTACAATCAGAAGTCAATTATAATGACTGTTATTGCGGATTACATATAACCATTTGAAATTTTGGTTCAGACTTTAGCAAGCACCATGGAACTTGACATGCTTGATTTGCTTTCGCGGGCCACATAAAAGGGTGTGGCGGGCCAGATCTGGCCCCCGGGCCTTGACTTTGACACCAATGGTCTACATTTTGATTGTCAACGGCCCCATAGTTTCATGTTGCATGAATAGTTTGGTTAACTTTCTTGGAAAAAAGTAAAGCAGCAGTATTTGTTATTACGGTCTGGCACTGGAGTACCTTTGCAGCCATGTCCTGGAAGTCATGTCCCGCCCACTTGACTAGATCTCCGAGGCGAAAGATGGGACAGTAAGGATGGTCCACTTGGTCATAGGAGCATCTTTTCAAGTAGCTGTCATCAGTGGTGTCAAGAACGTTGGACCTAGGATAGTGAAGACAGGGGTCATGACAAGTGCGACTCCTCATAAAAAGGGATGTGCATCACTTTTTTGGGGGGGGGGGGGTCTGGGCTTATTCTTGATATACTGTCTTTGTTTACCTAAAGGAGCCCACGCGATGGACTTAAGCGCCATATTGTGATGTCATATTAAAAAGTTCCACACAGCATATTTGTTTTCTATTTAGATCATAATAATTAGTCTGTGCAGCATGTTTGATTCGAGTTTGGACCTGAATGCTCAGCAACTTAAAAAAAGCTTCGACAGCACATAAGCAGTACCGCATGTCTGTCAGTCAGCTGCGAGCATATCGTTGGCACGCCTGCCGTAATTCAAAACACATAACGAGAGCGTGTGGATTTCAACAATGCCACTTAATATCACCTACATCCGGTCAAAAAAGACTGCGAGTGTCAGGATGCCGAAGAAAGACGCGTGGTTCATTTCAATGAGCGCGTGACATATACATAATTGCTGTGACTAGTGCCATCTGTCCACAACACTTGAAAGTGGAAAGAGGGGGGGAGCCCATCTCGCATGACACCTGTCCACAGTTAGGCTCGCTGTCAAGGGCATCTCGCATGACTGTTTCACTGTCTCAGTGAGAGTAATGCACAGGCCGTATTAATAGAAAGCTCCCTGCACCCTAAAGTTATTTAAAACATGCGTGGGCTACATAGATTTCTCAGCTCGCTTACTGATCGATGGAATGACGCCTTGAGATCTGAGGCGCGCCATCGCTCTTCACCACCCGCGGACACTTACTTGGAAAATTCAAACTTTGGGAACCTGATGAAGTTCTTGATGTAAATGGTGAAGTTTTCGGCTTCGCTCATTAATGGCACTCTGGGAGGGAATGTAGGAAACAAAGCATTTGTTGAAAAGGATTGGCAGCGTTCTATGGACTATATTGGCAAAAATAAAATAGATCGTTTGAAAATGTCTTAAGGTACTCACGTGGGTCTTTTGCTGTGTTCTACAGGACACCAGGCATGAATCTCGCAGGTGCCGGTGCTGTTTATACACAAGCCCGTTTTAATTCCTGATGGAGAGAGCAAAGATTCTTGGCTGGGTGGTGGTAAGATAAACAGTCAAATCCCAAATACAAAATGAAAAAAAATCATAAGGATCATGGAGCAGATGCTCATGTGGTAAATGGCCAGCCCGACTGATTCCAGCTCCTGATGTCACTCACTAGGTCACATCCCTTAAAGGCACACGAGACGTGTTTTCACATGCTATTGACAATAAATGCTTCTCACCATGTCCTGCTATGACAGTCTCCCCCTCGGTGCAGTCATCATCACTCAAGCATTGGCCATCAGGTACCTTGAAACTCTGTGATGCATAAATGACACGTTAAGTTAATTCAAATGCACAAGTGATGATATTTCGGCCATGACAGAATTGGAAGACATTTTTTTGCACCCAAATGAAATTTCATATCATCTATGTGCGATTTCGTATCATCTATGTACGATATACGGAAACACGCACGTGTTGTGTACATTATAGTTTTCCTGAGACAAAATGTAGCTAGCTATATGCAGTGTTTACTAAATATAATTTACAGTAAATTACCAAATCGCCCATGGGAACCCCTAAATATTTTGACTTTATATTCCCCCCATTTGGTGAGCAGTTAAATACCAAAAAGACAAAAAAAAAAAAATCTTTTTTAACCATATAGCAAAGTGTTTCTTAACCAGTTAGCCTTGCAGCTAACACAGCTACCATGTAGCCTTGTGCAAAAACGCTAACATAAGCACTGATTTGTAAATATATGTTTTTAAGGTGCCTTAGTATCTGTAACAGGGTGGCTCAAAACACAACAAAATATATGGTAACACCGAGCTGGAGGAATCAAATGATATAGTTTATTGCCAGTTTTTCTTCATAGCATCCATCCATTATCCAAATCCGACAAATGGTCTCTTTTTCAAACTGTTGCTCTCTGATTTGTCTTCCAATTCTGAAATGAGCCATTTATGTGTCCACTCACCTCGGCACAGAAGCCCAGCCTCTGATTGGGGGTCTCAATGTAATTTGTTACCACGAAGAAAACCTGCTCTCCCTGCACAATACAATTAGGCTTTTATTCATTGTGATGATGAAGGAAAAGGTTAAATGAATTACACACCCCGTCGATACGGTTAAAACTCATCAGGCAAATGCTGCTGCTGTTAACGACATCCACCCGCCCAAGTCATAATCCCACTTGACAAGATCTACAATTGAGGAAAGGTCTAATGCTGGGGGAAGTTTTAATATATGGCGAGCCTACATTTGGTGGAATGACGTAGTCCTCGGCACTCCACAGGTGAAGGCCGCTCTCAGAGCTGTTGGTCAGAGTGACGCCTTTGAGCTTGGTGATGACGGAGGACTGGATGGCCTCCTCTCTTTCCTGGTAGCCCTTCTTCATCACAAACACCCACCTAATGCATGGAGTAACACTTCATCAAATTGCTGCCATGTAATTAATCATCCATCCATTTTTATGTCCTTTTCCTCATTAGGCCGCGGATGAGCTGGAGCCTGCTTTTGGGCAGGAGGCGGGGTAACACCCTGGATAGGTCGCCAGCCATTCACGGGGCATATACTGTAGACAAAGAAGCATTCACACCTTTGGGAAATTTACAGTGTGTTCATAAATCAAATTCGCTTCTTTTTTTTTCGGAGCCAAGATTCAAACCCAGAACTGCAAGGCAGATGTGCTAACCACCATGGGCAGTCGTGCTGCTCACTCTTTGTCAGACATTTTCTAATCTGGAGCATTCTAATCAGCTATTCATTTAGAACATGGATTTCATGTTCACATCATTTCCTTATATGCTCTGGTTTGACATCACACAATGGTCTGACTGGAAAAGCCTTCTCGCTCAGCTTGAAGGGTTACCGAGTCTTTATAATAACACACATATACATGCTCTGCCACTTTAACGGAGCAAAGCAAACACACGGGACTTGCACAGGCACAACTATTTTTAACTTTGTGAATCACTTTGTGGAAGGTTAGTTTATGCAAAGCCACTCTTGGACAGAAACAATGGGGAGGGCAAGGCATGATTGCACCTTACCCGATTATGTATCCAAGCACGGCCAATTGGTAGATTCGAAACAGTATTCCAATCTTCCTGTTTTCGGCGATGACATACTTTTCCGTCTTGTAGTTCAGGAGGGAAAAGAAGAAGGTGCCCCAGCCGGCCATTTCGGTGGTCGTGTGAGGGAGTGGGGGAGTGAGGAAGCGACACCAGGCAGTGCATGGCCCTTCCTCAGCTGGTTGACTCGTCAGACCCACTGTCACTCAGCATGCTCCTCCAACATGCCCGAAGGCAACATGAGCACACGTCACATTCAACCATTCGACAGTCTTTTAAGATGGCTTTTGAAATTTACTTCAATATTTTTCTTTGGGGAGGAAAAAAAAACACTTTGTTTGTCAAGGGCGTGCAAGAGGATATGTGAATGAACACAAATAGTTTTAGAATCAATACATTTGAATGCTGAGCTGACCCGTAAGCAGCATTTGATTTTGGGGGGCCGACTATTTCTGCCAAGAGCATTGATCATTGATTATATTATACCTTCTATAAACTCATTGCGGCAGCAGTATTACACTGTACTCATGTTGTTTACATTTCTTTCTCCATGTATGGAAAAAGTAACACGTTAAAAAATATAGATGTATTCACTATTTATGTATATTATATCATTCAATCGGAAAATAATTGTGCAAGAAAAATGTGAGTTGGTACGCAAGCCAATGAATAAGTCACAAATTCGCAATGTGGCTTGGACTTGCGGGTCGCCCAATCAAAACATCATAAATTGGTATAAATCGGTTTGATATTCATGATGTATTGTCATTTCTTTAAATTTAATTAATTTCAACAGTTTGGGTTTTGTACAGCTTTTACATGTTGCATGTTAATAAACATGGCTAAGGCTTCACTTCTATCGCTTTAAATGAAATTTGTCACATGTACAGTACTGACAAAAAAAAATCATTGCATCATAGCCCATCGAACTGAGAAAATACAAAAGTGCAAACATTAATTATTATTTGTGTTATCTATTGCTCTTGGTCTCGCTCAATATATTATGTGTTTAAATAGGTTTGAATTGTTTTAAAAGAGACTTGAAAAGAATATAAGTTCTGTAAATGCCGTAAAAACATGCCAAGGTGTATTTAAATAGATTCATTATTTTTCACGGATTTTCACATATTATTGCACAGACGGTCAGTCACGTAACCCCGGCGATGGAGGGGAGATAACTACATATACAGTAGTGCAGCCCGGAGTTTGCAGTTTTAGGAGGGTACTTTCAGACCTAAATTTTCTCACTCTTGTTTTCTACCATAGTGTCATCTAGCGACGGGGGCGTGTAATTGCCGAGCAGTTTCAGGACAGGTCTTTTTATTTTTATTTTTTATTTCGATGGGCCGGGGCAGATTACTCGGGCAAATATACGGTGGCCGAGACAAATTATTACTGTACTCCAGTATTGACAAGGCAACAATCCAGAAACTTTTGTGTTAAAATGGTATCCAATTTTTAAAATTTTTAACATTAATCCCAACAAGTGCCAATAATTTTGAAATATTCGTGACTATTCCTTCCTCAAAATCATTTTGCCGAGCAATTATGATTAAATTAATTTATTTGTTTGCAATGTATGGAGTTTGCATTATGCAATACAATGCATAATTATTGATAGAGCGTTTTCACAACAGCTGTTGCAATTTTCCCCATTGTGGGACTATTAAAAACTATTATAGTATAAAGTAATAAAGTATAGTCTAGACTTGCGCTCTATGAAAAAGACCGTGAGAGAGAGAGAGAGACTAATCGATGTATATGATTTGGTTCAGTATTCAAAATTGTTTAGACCCCGACCTGATTAGATGGCGAGCCTGATCGACATTTACTTTCGAGCCACCAACCAATGGCAAGTCAAACTAACGATCCATTCATCCAATCAAAATGGGAAGATTTCAGTTGCTATGATGGTTCAAGACATTCCCGGCAAGACAGACCTTAATGCCATGTAATAATATTAAGCCGCGGAGCAACCCTTGTCAAAAACATACTCATAAAATGTACTTTAAGTGTAACTTGTGTCAACGAAATAAACGATAAAGTTTGAAAAGCTGTGTGCCAGGCAAAGAAGGAACTATTTTAATGCGGATGGATATTGCCAGTGACGTAAAAGCCCCAGGTTTATAAAGAATGTTGCCTTGACCTCATCACTCATAGAACGATCGCAGACGGCTCCCAGGCGAGAACGACGACGCACACAAACTGAAATATCATCATTTTATTGTAAGTAGCAAGTTAACAACTCATTTTGGTCGGCCCATTGAATCCACTGTCTGTGGATAGAATTATATCGGTTTTTTTTTTGGGGGGTGGGTTGGAAACTTTTCGCGAACCTGGTCTTCGTGAGCATTGGCAGCTGTTTGTATTAGTGGAAGCATAAAAAAATATTAAACGCTACTTGGGTGTACCCTTTGGATAAGTGAACTACTGTGTAAGACTTGAATTACAATTATCTGTGTTGGGATAATTTTCTAGGCCAATGATAGTGACTCAACATTTTCACTGGAAGCGTCCATTATAGGAGGCGTTAGCTGAGCAAAAAGGGAGTCAACAAGGTCTCAAAATGGCGCTGTCCACTGGAATGTTAATGGTGACAACACTAATAATCAATTGGTTGTTAAAATTAAAATTTTATTTTTTTTGACGTTGTGTAAAATTATATAATCTAAGATCATGGATTAAAGGTTTATATCTAATGAATAATGCACGCACATTTTACTGTACAGGTTTATAAGAGAGTACTTTAACATAGTTGACGTATTTATCTTAGGTGTAAACATGCAGATCTTTGTGAAGACCCTCACTGGCAAGACCATCACCCTCGAGGTTGAGCCCAGTGACACTATTGAGAATGTCAAAGCCAAAATCCAGGACAAGGAAGGCATTCCACCTGACCAGCAGAGGTTGATCTTTGCTGGTAAGCAGCTGGAAGACGGTCGCACTCTCTCTGACTACAACATCCAGAAGGAGTCCACCCTCCATCTTGTCCTGCGTCTCAGGGGTGGCCTGTAATCGATCACAATTCCATATTCTTAATCCTCAAGTAAATATAGTGCTGTTAATTTCACAGGCTTTTGCCATGATGACCAAATGTTCAATGCACATAATTGGAATAAATGATTAAAGCTATTATTTTGGTGTTTACTGTTATTTTATTATTGTTTTTTTTTCCTTTACGAGCCTATTTAGTCACCTTGCAGATCCAGCTCGGCCTCCTTCTCTGCCATAGAGGTGGAGTTCCACGTCTGTACAGCCATTTTGTGAGCAGATGACCCAGATGAGCTCGCTTTGCATGTGACATTATTTGGGCCTACTCACAGGTCAGGAGTGTCGGAATGTTTTCCTACATTCACTGCGTATAGGAAAATCAAGGAATTGCGAGGGCCCCGTTGCCTTAGCTCAAATTTATTCAGCATGCTAAAACCGTTCCATCAAGCAATCATGTAGAGTACTGAGAAGCTGTCACATCAAAGCTATCTGTTCATTGTGATGAGGCATAAATGTAATGTTTTTTTTTTTGGGGGGGTGGCGGTGGCTCACAGCCCTGTATCCCACTAAAATAGATCTGAATCTACCCTGAGTGGCGTGAAACGACCAGTTTGAAATAAATGACAATCTTTAAGGCTATTTTTATTTCAGGATCATAAAGTACAGTACTATTTTCAAATCAGACCTTGACATGGAGCAAAAAGTTGAGTCAAACGTTTTTTTCCTTCTGAAACTGAATTGTCTGTTTTAGATCTTTCTGTGCACATCTATACAAGTGCTACATAAAACCAATTATTAGTTGTGGTTTGTTACACTTCTTAGTTTTGTTCTAACATTTTTCCAACACCCACAATAGAGTTGTGGTCCGTCTCGCAAATATTTTTTTCTGCTTGCAGCTGATGATTAAAACAACGGCGGGCAGCAAATTTGGACACCACTGCAACAAGTAGTTGGAGTAGGTCTGGGGTAATGTGCCGCCGCCTCCTCTGGGGGGCGGTGCAAGGTCACCCTTGGATTATGTTAAACATCTCATTCGTTCAATTCCATTTTTCATATTTTATAAAATGAGCAATTCGAATAGTGGATGGACAATTCCAAGTTGCATGTTACCTGTAATTTCCATTTAGTTATTGGTTTCACATGACCATTTTAATGATTTAGAACACTTAATGTTAATTGCTCTTTACTCGCATTTGTAATACAGTATTTCAATGAGTTGCAGTAGTACTTATACCTTTTCATTTTGGGGAATGACATTTTTCCCTTTCCAGGCTATTCAATTTCTTTTTGTAACAACTGTTGTGAATAGTAAATTACGTATTGAGAAATGTTCAGCTTCAATGAAAGATACATTTGGATTATTTATAATACCGTCTGACGAGAATTAAACTTAATGACCCATTTGCCTTAATTAATGGCTCTGCATTTGATAATTGCCCCTCAAGTTTTTTTCCTGAAAAATCATTTGACTGTGCACATATTCAGCATGACGTCTCTGATCCACTGGTGAAATGGCACTTTGATCCCCTCCTCTTTCATCTACAACTACTTTGCTTCACACAACAAAGTGCATGCAGGAAAAGTGATGAAGATTGCACGACTGGTGTTATTTTATTTGACTTCAAGATGGCGCCGCGAGAGTGGCTGCCTTTCCAGCAGCTATTTTCTTCTGCTTCTTCCTTTCATAACTTTGCTGCTGTGAATTGGGAATTTCTCCATTGCGAGACTAATAAAGGTTTTCTTATCTAGCCGCCTTACTTCTTTCCCACCAGTTAAGTTTAGTTTTCCTAAATTGAAAGAGCACCCTAGGTCTTGCATATTAAATAGCAAGCAAAGTATCTTAATTTACTTTCACTGAACCACTTAATCTCAATTTACTCAAAAAAAGACAATTGATTTGTTTAATCATTTATTCCAAGAATGCAATGAACATTTGGTCATGGCGAATGCCAAATTCAGAATACTATATTCAACTTTATCAAACATGAAATTGTGACCAACTACTGGCCACCACGCAGACGCAGGACAAGATGGAGGGTGGACTCCTTTTGGATGTTGTAGTCTGACAGTGTGCGGCCATCTTCTAGTTGCTTGCCAGCAAAGATCAACCTCTGCTGGTCTGGGGGAATGCCTTCCTTGTCCTGGATTTTGGCTTTGACATTCTCAATGGTGTCACTGGGTTCAACCTCAAGGGTGATTGTCTTGCCAGTGAGCGTCTTCACGAAGATCTGCATGCCACCCCTGAGACGCAGGACAAGATGGAGAGTTGACTCCTTCTGGATGTTGTAGTCTGATAGTGTACGGCCATCTTCTAGTTGCTTGCCAGCAAAGATCAACCTCTGCTGGTCTGGGGGAATGCCTTCCTTGTCCTGGATTTTGGCTTTGACATTCTCGATGGTGTCACTGGGTTCAACCTCAAGGGTTATGGTCTTGCCAGTGAGGGTCTTCACGAAGATCTGCATGCCACCCCTGAGACGCAGGACAAGATGGAGGGTGGACTCCTTCTGGATGTTGTAGTCTGAGAGCGTGCGGCCATCTTCCAGCTGCTTACCAGCAAAAATCAACCTCTGCTGGTCTGGGGGAATGCCTTCCTTGTCCTGGATTTTGGCTTTGACATTCTCAATAGTGTCACTGGGCTCAACCTCGAGGGTGATGGTCTTGCCAGTGAGGGTCTTCACAAAGATCTGCATGTTTACACCTAAGACAAAAATGTCACACGTTAAAAATCATGGCTTAAAATAATCAAAAGTCAAATGCGATATTATGGGAGCTAGCATTTAATCCATGGTCGATTTATAAATAAGTGTATACAAAGAGACATTTGAAACATAATTTAGTTGTAACGACCAATTGATGTTATTGAGTCGAGGGAAGAAAAATCATCCCTTAACGCTCCAGTCGACAGCGCCATTTTGAGTTCTTGTTGCAGTTGAACAAAAGGGAGTCTTTGTCGCCGCCCATAATGGAAGCCACCATTGAAAATGTCGAGTCACTGCTATTGCCAACAGCAATCCATTGCGTTAAACCATAAAGATCGACGACGATGGAATGTAATAACATGCTTATACAATAGTTTGTAAAAGCTAAGAGTACACACAAGTCTAAAGAAACTTTTTTTAAAACGCGTCGCCATTAAAACTCAACGGCCAACAGCGCTTACAAAGACCTGGTATGTGAGCTCAACTTTAACCGCCGCAAAAAAGATAATTTTACGAAAAAAACCCACAGTTGACTTGACAGCTCGAACAACATACGGGTATATATAAATGTATAAATTTAGGGAACTTACGATTGAACGTGGCGATATTTGCTCGATCAACTTCTCGCGTCTTCCACTCAAGTTCTATATACAACCGAAACGCAAAATCCCTTTTATATATTAGAGCGCCTGCCACGTCCTTGAAGGTATCCATCCGCACTAAAAATAGTTCCGTCATTCCCCGGCACACTGCATTTCAGGCTTTTGGGTTTATTTCGTTTACAAATGTTACACTTAAAATACATTTTAAGAAGAAATAAATACCATCAATTGTCAATAATACAGTCATCAGAAAACGATTACAAAAAAAAATGATTGGCATCGCGGACTAATATCACGTGGCAATAAGGTCCTTCTTGCCAGAATTTTCGAGAAGGATCTCAGCTTCTCGAATCTTCTTGCTGTGATTGGATGGCAGGGTTATTTGTTTGGCTTGTCATTGGTTGCTGAGCGGTAAGTAACCTCAATGTCGACGAGTGTTGCCACAACAACAAAGTCCCCAAACAAGACCTTTTTAAAAAAATACCTCGCCCTTATTGTTTGTTTCATCATACCTTGACGCATTACTGTGCGAATTTGTTTTTGCATAGTCTAAACTTGCTTGTTATGTATGTATAAATCACTCGAAATGGCTCTAAGGTGAGATGCCAAAATGTTGCGGTTTCATTTGACCCCAAATAAATGCGTCACTTCTTATGTGGAAACGTGACTGGTCAACACGTGCTACTTAGTCTTGCAATCGGGGCTTGTGCAGTATTATTTTAGACTTGGAGGGCGGGGGCTTCCACGGATGTCTTCACTTCAATTTAACTTCATACCATAGCTCCCTATTAGAAACCTATTTTTGCATTCGGCCCTGAGAAGCAGATGAAAAAAGTAGGCTACTCACGTGTTTTTATTTGGGGTACTTGTGCTTAATTAAAAACAAACAGACGATTTGACTTCTCTGTATAAAAGTACAGAATTTGAATTAGATACAAAAATAAAAATGCATTTGCACTATCTGTTATGTGCAAACTGCTTTTGATCATTTTGGACAATGAATAAACAAATGGGTTTTCTGCTATCATTTACTTCTTAAATAAGGCTATGGAATAATTTACTTCTCATAATCTGTTGCTATTTTTCTTGAAGTTCCTGCTCCCCCTGTATTTCTCCGCTTCACACGACACCAAAATTGCAACTGCAGTTGATGTTTACCTCGCTGTTGTTTTTAAGGTACTGTATTCATTCACACAGGGTGGAAAAAGTAACTAGCCTATTTGGACACAGTAAGCTGTAGAAAATACAGAATACAGATTTGTTTTCAAATGTATGCTGTAAAGAAAAAAAATTGTCACAACATCTACTTAAGAGACTATATTTTTGTACTAGTACTCCGTCTTTCTCCCAACATTCCAAATGCAAGCGTGTTGAGTTCATTGAGTACTCTGAATTATCCATAGGTATGAATGTAAATGGTTGTTTGTGCACTTCAGTGTGTGCACTGACTCGCCCAGTCAGCTCAGATATGCTCAAGCTCACCCATGACCCCAAGGATAAGCAGTATAGACAGTAAATGGATGAAAATTACATGATAATTGATGGATGGATGTATTGTGCAATATAGAAAAATGCTACAAAACTCTACAGTGTATTGACGCCTAGCCTCCTACTTTACCAGTATGCGTGGCATATTACAGTAATAAGGGCCAAAGTCAAGTACAGACACCCTCCATTTTGTCATGTAAAGTAATAAAACTAAACCCAAATGCTTTCTATATGGATCTGTGGCCTCATGGATTTCTAGATGTGGGTGATGATATGATAGGATACAGCTCATATTCGTGTATTTGGGTCACAGCACATCATCCAGCAGCATGTCATATGACACTCAACCCGTGCTGTACCACGTCAGAGTTTTCCAACACAGAGCTGTGTGTCAGGCTGAACTAGTTCAACCCTGGAGGAATGTGTTTGTGCAAGTCTGCTGTACTTTGCCCACCCTTGTGCTTGGAAATAATTACAGTGGGCCCCAAGAGCGTTCCTGGAAAAAGGCCTATCCCTTGCACTTGTAAAAACGGGTTTATCATGCGAAAGGTATGTATTGATGGCTCTGTATAACAAAGATGTTTAAGATGATCACATTTGAATAGACCTGAGAGGAATCACTTGCTGTGAATGAGGACATCTTAGTTACGCAAATGACCTGTGATGGACTTTGACGTGGGTACCTGTTGAAGGCGGGGCATCGGATCCCACACCACGTTTCGCAACATACAAGTCAATCTGGTTTGAGCTAGATCTTTCTAAGGTTAGCTAAATACAATTCCCTTTCTCATGTAAATGCTTGCTTGGAAATATGACGAAAAAATGACTTCCTTGTGACTGTTTCCTGTTGTTTCAGAATGGACCTTGTGAAACATAATGGTGGCTGTCATTGTGGAGCTGTTAGGTTTGAAGTTTGGAGCTCTCCACACCTCCATGTTTTTGATTGCAAGTATGGGTGTTTAATTTTTGTATTTCATGAGTACATAACATAATAGGATTACAATGAAAAGAAAAACAAGATACCAATGTGCGATCATTTAATCCATAGGTGTCAAACTCAGGTCCTGGAGGGTCGCTGTCCTGCATGTTTTCCAAGTCTCCTTGTTGCAACACACCTGATTCAAATGAACAGGTTCGATGTCAGGCTTCCGCAGAGCTTGCTGATGATCTGATCATTTGAATCAGGTGTGTTGCAACAGGGAGACTTGGAAAACATGCAGGACAGCGGCCCTCCAGGACCTGAGTTTGACACCTATGATTACAGTCACTTTTGTTTCCCTTTCTTTCTGACCTCTTTGTCGTTTCCAGCTGCAGTATTTGTACAAAGAAACAAAACCATCATTTCATTGTCCCCAAGTCCAACTTTACTCTTCTGCAGGTAGGCAACCCGATTTTCAAAAAGCTTCCAACCTCAAAACAAATCTAAGAGGAGCCATGTTTTCAACTCGTCCCTTTGTCTTTTTCTCTTCCAAGGGTGGGGATCATCTGACCACATATACATTTAACACCCACGCAGCAAAGCACACCTTCTGTAGAGTGTGTGGAGTCCAGAGTTTCTACACCCCACGCTCCAACCCTGATGGATATGGTATGAGAGAGAGAACTGTTTACACACCGCATGATGATTCTCACACCATTTCCATGTAATGTGCCGGTCAACATATTTTGTAAACACCAAAGTGATCATGGTGTGAGTTGATTGAGCAACACAAGTAAACAAACTTGAGACCACAGTCACATGGGGGAAATCCACTCCAAAAACTAAAATGAGAACGTGTTGCCCAATTATAAATTATAGGACACAACCAGTTCATTTATTTATTTATTTTTATTTTTTGCCATTATCTCCTTTTCAGGTGTTGCTCCACACTGTCTGGATCCAGGCACAGTCCAAAGTGTCACAGTAGAGAAATTTTGGGGGGACAAATGGGAAGAAAGCATGAAAGCACACAAGACGATCAGAGACATGTCAAAACAGAAGGAGGGCATCAAACTGGAAGAAATGAAATAATTTTACTGTGGCCCCATGGTGAGGCGGGTTCTCGGGGAGAAACGGCTGGTGATCATGATTCTCATACCGGCCTCCGAGAAGGACAGCTGGTGGGGGTACGCTGAAAGCAGCTCATCAACCATCAACACGGATGTTTTCCTGTGACGGTTTGCTTTATGGCACACAAACACGTGTACAAACACACGCACAGAGTAAATACATTGCGTCTGCAGTACACACTTAAAGGTGTGGACTCAATAACTAATCCTGTTATCAGTTAAACTAGACCACTTCTGAAATCCCTTATAAGACACACTAAATAGACCTAAAAAATGTATTGAGACATATGTTCAATATAACAGAAACATGTGGAAGTAAATGCAGTAAAGGCATCTTTTTTCTCTCCGGGAGACAACACTTCATCGCTAAGCCTTTAAATTACACTTGTCAATGAGTATGTGGATCTCTCGGATGTGTACATATAGCACATGCAGTGGACACATCGCTGAACACATTGATGTTTCAACTTTTTGCTTAGAGCATAGGTGTCAAACTCAGGTCCTGGAGGGTCGCTGTCCTGCATGTTTTCCAAGTCTCCTTGTTGCAACACACCTGATTCAAATGAACAGGTTCGATGTCAGGCTTCCGCAGAGCTTGCTGATGATCTGATCATTTGAATCAGGTGTGTTGCAACAGGGAGACTTGGAAAACATGCAGGACAGCGGCCCTCCAGGACCTGAGTTTGACACCTATGATTACAGTCACTTTTGTTTCCCTTTCTTTCTGACCTCTTTGTCGTTTCCAGCTGCAGTATTTGTACAAAGAAACAAAACCATCATTTCATTGTCCCCAAGTCCAACTTTACTCTTCTGCAGGTAGGCAACCCGATTTTCAAAAAGCTTCCAACCTCAAAACAAATCTAAGAGGAGCCATGTTTTCAACTCGTCCCTTTGTCTTTTTCTCTTCCAAGGGTGGGGATCATCTGACCACATATACATTTAACACCCACGCAGCAAAGCACACCTTCTGTAGAGTGTGTGGAGTCCAGAGTTTCTACACCCCACGCTCCAACCCTGATGGATATGGTATGAGAGAGAGAACTGTTTACACACCGCATGATGATTCTCACACCATTTCCATGTAATGTGCCGGTAAACATATTTTGTAAACACCAAAGTGATCATGGTGTGAGTTGATTGAGCAACACAAGTAAACAAACTTTAGACCACAGTCACATGGGGGAAATCCACTCCAAAAACTAAAATGAGAACGTGTTGCCCAGTTATAAATTATAGGACACAACCAGTTCATTTATTTATTTATTTTTATTTTTTGCCATTATCTCCTTTTCAGGTGTTGCTCCACACTGTCTGGATCCAGGCACAGTCCAAAGTGTCACAGTAGAGAAATTTTGGGGGGACAAATGGGAAGAAAGCATGAAAGCACACAAGACGATCAGAGACATGTCAAAACAGAAGGAGGGCATCAAACTGGAAGAAATGAAATAATTTTACTGTGGCCTAAAAATAGAAACGGCGTTTTTTTGATCAGCGTAAATACAACGCAGAACTTTTTTTTTTAACACAAGAAGAATGACTGAACATAAAAATGATCTTACAAGGCAAAACTGATTCATGTTGTGAGTTTTAGGTCATTGCTTTTATTACACTGGTGACCTCATGTGGACTTCATGCACGCAGCATTTCAGCATTTAATGTCAGGTGGCCTATTCTGGTCGGTTGCTAGATGCATTGTGACAACAATGACAGTGTCAAACTTGTCAGGGTTTACTCGCTATTTCTTGAAATTAAGTTATCGTAAATGATGTCTACTCCACCAGAAATGTGTTCCTGTGCATATGGTCCATTATTACCCTTTCTATATAACCAGCTAATTCGATTAAAAAAAGAGCTACAAGTGAAAAAAAAAATTGTGGTCACCTTCTAATACATTTTATTAACCTTTGGTCCATGTGGAATCATCTGGAATGTGTTGACGAACATGTAGCGTGAGAAAATGATGTACAGATACCGAAACCAAACCAGTTGAGTGCGATGACAAAGCATGGCGGCCTGAAAAGATGAACGTTTAGAGATGAGGATAAAACTTTGAAAAAATAAACTGTTTTCAGCTAACTGATACTTATTGAGTTCATGTGCGTGTATGTTCAAATCTTACTTTGCACTGCCTGTAGCCCTCTGAGCCTATTATGCAGCTGAGTGATGAGGGAAGTAGCCAGCTGAGAGGAAGTTCCAAGAAGGAAACATATTTCCTGAGCAAGCTGACAGTCACCAAGGAGAGCAAACGGCAGTCTGGGGAACAGGAAGAGACATTTCTTTTTTGGCGTCAGGTTCACGACCACTGCAGATGATGAATATTGATGTGAACTCTTTTCCTGGCACGTTACAGGAACTGAGGACAATGCAGCAATGCTACAAATGAGGCGTCCTCAGATGACCCAAGGTATCAAGTTACATTGGGCACTACACACACACACACACACACACACACACACACACACACACACACACACAAAATCTGTCCATCTAATTCGTTCAACATAAAAGATGCATTTAGCTAAATTTGATGATCTTGCTGACTGTTAACCCCTTTCCATTTGCTTTCTTTGATGATGCAACGTGCCATTTTTGGGGTCTCCTGAAAAGTGCTGATAAAAAAACAGATATAAAATATTAACCCTATAATGCCATTTGTATCATATTTGACAGATGTATTTTCATTATGTATCTAAATTTTTATATTACTGTACATTAAATCATCTGTATCAAATTTGATACTGCAGGTTTAAAATATGATTTTCCCCAAATTATCATTTTCAGATGTAATCTACATAATGAACATCTCAGTTCCCAAAAATGTGATTTTTCTGGCTATTCCTTGAGGGGTCAGGCATTATAGGGTTAATTCAAGAATTTTTGTTCATATTTACAAGAACCTTAATCATTTGTAGATTCGATAGATGGAAGATAACACGGGAAAACGCTGAATCATGTTGGGGCTTTTACTTCCCCTTACAAGTGAGACGGAAGATGCGTCAGTCAACCCAGTTTAGAACTGTAAAACCCGTTTGAGCATGATTGACGACAGGCCTGCTGGTTTTGAGATGACTCACGGAAGAGTTTTGGGCGTCGACTGCTATCAGTGCCGACTAAGCTGTTGCAATGTGATTAATTGGCCTGTTTCTTAAGAGATTGGAGACCCTTTTGACCTTAGTGGCTCTCAATCCGTTCACGTGCTGCCCTAGTTCTCCTGCATGTTATTTACATTGAGCAAATTATGTTACATTGGGAATAAGCAGTGCGGCACGGTGATTAGTGATTAGCGTTCTGCCTCACCGTTCTGAGGTTCAAAGCTCAAATCTTGGTTCCGGCCTTCCTGTGAGGTGCATGCTTTCGCTCTGTCCAGTTTTACTTGGATACTCCGGCTTCCTCCCACGTTTTAAAAACATGCATGTTAGGTTAACTGAAGACTCTAAATTGTCCATTGGTGTGAATGTGAGTGATTGACGATTAATCCAGGGTGTAACCTGCTTCTTACCCAAAGTCAACTGGGATAGGCTCTAGTTATGGGGACAAGCGCTTTTGAGATTCCAAGGAAATTACATTCGCGTTGGACTGTTTCATTTTTTTTTTTTTTTTAATTTCAATTCAATTACCGACATGTATGAAACAGGTCAGAAACAATTATCTGCTTTGGAGTGATGATGGAAAAAAATGTTATTGATCATGTGCTTAGATTACAGAGATAAAAACTTTTCATCACATCACCGTCTGTAATCTCTGTTCAATTGCTAGTCGATTAAAAAAAATTGCTAGAATGGTCATTAAGGTCAGTAAACAGAGCATACAAATCACCAAGTTGGCAAGACTGACTGCTTTTGCAAACACCTCACATCCCTGTTGTTAGATAAGATAAAACCTTTATTAGTCTCGCAATGGAGAAATTCCCAATTCACAGCAGCAAAGTTATGAAAGGAAGAAGTAGAAGAACAAAATATAGGAGCTGCTGGAAAGGCAGCCACTCCCACGGCGCCATCTTGAATTCAAAATAACACATTAGATTGAATTAGGTTAAGTTCCTTTGTATCAAACAAGCACCGCAAATTCCCTTGTGAATGAAATGTGCTATGTAGTGCAAATAAAAATCAATCCCTTGTCGAGACAGTAGCTTGCAAATGTAGTGTCCACAAGAGGACGCTATATATTAACAAACAAAATGTACCTTGCACCAAAGCTACATCATGTTAGGGTTATTCATGCTCACGATGTACATTTCCCCTCAGGATACTTCAAATCAAACTAATATTGTTTCTAGACACAAGTGGAAAAATAAGGTGAAAATACAGTGAAGGGATCAAATTTACCATTGGGTACTTGGTCAGTGGAAGCGAGGTGCCTGGAAGAGGAGAAAAAAAGGACAATTTAGTCGTTGAACGGATCCAGGAGGCAAAACACATTGCGTTTGACAATGTGGACAGAAACGACTCGCATCATACACTTGTCAGGTTGCAAGATTAGAGACTTGCTTTCGGTGATAAAACAGTACATTTATGCAAGGAGAAAAGCTTGTTTGGTATGACTCCCAAACCGGAACTGCCTTCCCATTTGTCCGTGTAACTGTCAGGATTTATTGCTGCTCTCTGAGAGCACAGCAGACTGTTTTGGAAGATTCTGTTGACCACAAACAGCAGTCCTGCAAAACCTGGGGAAAATCTGTTTTTTTGTGTGTGGGGAGGCGGTATCTTTGTGGGGCACAGTTTTTGGATAGATGATTGTTTTCATGTGCCTTTAATTCCACCCCCACGCCCCCATGTTGTTTGAGATAAGATGCTGTTTCATAATTAACTGGAGAGAATGTGGGTAGATTAAAAACACCAAAAACCTTGAAATTCAGTCTACCTGACAGCTTTATAGATTGCTACGTGATTGCTATGGCCACTCACTCCTCTCCCATCGAAGGTCAGCACCTGAAACAACAAAATGTGTGTCATTGAGTGGGTGGAAGGGCAGAATCAGAGTGTGGACTATTCTACAGGGAGAACAATTTTCCGGGTTATTTTTCAGGTTTCTGACTATGTCAGTGGAGGTCCTTGGCAGCTGCCGCCTGATATTTAGAAGCCTTTTTTTCTGTATGCTTACCTGAACCCTCGAAGAAGTGGGGAAAAAAAAAACTAGGTCTGTAAAATATATTAGGTGATCCCAAAAAAAAGGAGGTAAAAAAATTATAGGAAAAAAACCAACTTAAATGTTAAAGGTCATATTCTGTGCTATTTTGTGCTATGCTTTCCACCTGTCTGTTTATATCCTACAGTGAGGTATTCAGCGTTTACCTTCTTTTAATAGTTTGCATAATCTATGCGGCTTCTCAGATTTTCACTTTTTAATGAATGCTTGTGATTTATATGTCGTTGTACTTGCCCATTGTGCCATGTTAATTTCAAATCATTTTTGCTGGTGGCTTGGAAGGATGGGTGGAGATGGCATGTTTTCTTGGCTTCTTAAAATGAGAAAAAAAAAAGACCCACAACAGCAGCATGTGACCCTCTCTAAATTCACCTCCAATTACCCATTAATAATTAATAATGAAGTGCATTTTTGTTTTGCTGCATTCTCTATTCATTGACCTTGTTGCACTACTTTGATCTCCTGTTGAAGTCATCTTGATCACAGGTCTTTGATTCTAAATTTTCTACGTTCCCATTAGCTAATAATACTGCAAAACTGCACCGGGATTGATGTGAATATGTCTGTAAACACACATAATGATAAAATAAATGCCCGGCTTTTATTTGAAAGGAGGCTCCAAATTCAGTCACGCTTGAACAGAAAAAAGAGGTCGCTTGGCAGGATTTTTATAGAAACCACAAGGAAACAGGGAAAAGGGGCAAGTGAAGCAAATAATTCATGGAATGCTTCAGCGGTGTATGTTATCACAGGAAAAATCAAAGGAAAGCTACGACTTGAGTTGCGCATACCATGTTGAAAATGTGAGCTCTCAAGTGTTTCGCAATTATCGAGGTGACCAGGGAGACTCTCCATTCTGCTTTGGGATAGTCTGGAAGGTTCCTGGAAGACAAAAAAAAAAAAGCACTCTTGGCTTCGCTTGGTTGCAGCGACATTACATCAAGATTTTACTGAGATGCATCATGTCTGGATTGTAACCGCACAGGAGTAATAGAGTGCAAATTGCAACGAGGGTGAGGGAAATGTTGGGAAGTTAGGAGAGCAAGTAGAGAGCTGTGATGGATTAGGTCACAAATCTATACGATGTCAATGGGGGTCATGCTTGGTGGTGTGCGGGGGTCATTGTGTCAGAGAGAGAAGGGGGGGGGGCTGCAGTTCAAAGATAGGCCTGGCCTCACGGACTCCACTCAGACGTTTTGTGACCGCTTCGACATCGCATCATGTGTTTGAATCTTTTGAACGGGACGCCCAAAGGCATTCTAGCTCAAATCGACAAGCCATTTTAATTCAGGCTCGAGCCAAAGGCAAGAGCTGTTTTTCATTCGGGAATAAATCTGGCTCAACGTTTTATGGTTTCTTTCCTGGATTGGGGTTACACCCCTCCAACAAGTTCTGCCAAAACTGGCACTTGATTATCTGCTAGCAAGCGTCCTCGTGCCTTTTATATTACAGGACGTCTGTGCCGTCTTTCTCACTACCGCATTTTATTCAGCTGTTATTTTAGGCATTTCGCTGCAGGGTGAGAGGGATGTTGGGAATGAACAAAAGACACAAGACACCTGAACTTTCCTCAAGCAGACCAAGTGTTGGCGTCACTATGACAACACAGTAAAATGTCCTAAAATAACCTACCCATCTAGCACTTGGAGCTTTGCATGTGGATGTCTAATTGCTTGCAGGCGTTTGTGTGCAGTCGTTGAACTTTGGCCCAGTGAGGGGATTCTGTGCATGTGTTGGACAGGTCTTGTTTAGTCTGGTCACATGGACTATTGGCCTGTAGAGAAGTCAGACTGCTGTCTACAAAGTCACAGTGTAGAGTCCAGCAATGGCTGCATATACAACACATTATCTACATAAAATAACAGCTACAGAAAAAAAAAATAGATAGACCCTTAAGGTCCCTTTTATGCTACTTACGACTCACAAAAATTTAGGTCTGCAGCATTTGATGTTTGGGTGAAATCATCAGGATGAACCTAAGATGCACTACTGTATAACCTTTTGAAAACATCTTGTGATTTAACCGCTTTTCAAGGAATGTGGTAAAGCAACAAAAAAAAAATCAATAAATTAATACATTGATCCAGTAAAAGTGTTAATAAATGAACTGTTTGAAACATTGAGTTTTAGGAACAAAAGAGTGGCCGCTTGTTCTGAAGGCCAGACGGTGTTGTTTCAAGAGCCATGTGAAACGATTATGTACATAAGCGATGAAGATAAGAGTCAAGTAAATCCAGGGACAGCTCTGGGATTTTTTTTTTCTCTCTCTCTTAATATAGTGGTATATCATATATTGCCCCGCACCTTCACTTGTTTGTTCCAGGTTGCAGCATTCACTTATTTAAGGATGTACATGTTGTTAGATATATGGTACACACAGGCTGAAATCAGGGATCTTGATTTAAAATCAGTGAGAAATGGCAAGCGGAATCTTGGTTCAGTCTGATAAAAGACGACATTTGTGCAGTGCGCAGTTCTAATCATTTGCTGGGTGCAGACTGAGGTCAAGCCCGCGCGAGTGGAGAGGCAGCGGAGCGTGCTCCGATCGACCTTGATCACAATGGCCACAAATTGCACCGGGGCCTCAAATTCTGTCAACACAGCTGTCCTATTCATAAACAATAATGGGAAAATCCCATTTTCAAACTGGATTTACATGTCATCTGACATTCTGTCTTCTTAGCTTTCCAAGCCTACAGTTCTGAGAGAGGGATAGAGAGAGAGAGCGAGAGAGAGAGAGAGAGACTATTGCTATAAAGTACTTCCCCGCAGGACATCTCGCTCTGCAGCTACGTGTACTGGAATAGTTGGGAAGACTGGAAAGGATCAATGGAAGGTTATACTGCAAAACACATTGAGACAGTTATTCTAATAATAGAGCACAGAGCTATTCCCATCAGAGGTGTCCACAACAAGATTTCTGCATCCTTATCCGGAACTTTTACACTACTGAAGCCGCAGGAAGTGAATCTCATTCAGTGATATAGTTAATACAAAGAAATTGCCCCGAGTGGAACCCTACGGAAATTTTTGTGGGCATCGGCAAAGTTCTGAATGCTTTTGGTAGAAAGCAAACCATCATTTATGATCATCTGATCACCATGTTTTCCATCAAATTACCACATTATCTTATGGGCAGACCAAACAAGAATCTAGTCTGTTTTTTTTTTTTCCTCCTCTCTTTGGTGATAGGTGGAAGCTCAAGACAGAGATGGTTAACATGCAGACAAAGCACAAGGCCCTCAAACACACACTAGTCAAATAGTGTGGAATGACCTACATTACCAGTGCTCTGGTGCTCCGGAGCTTTGCCAAAATGTAGCCAAATAAGACTTTGGGATGCGGGGTGGTGCAAGAGAAGAACAGAGATAGGAAAGCAGTGAGGGGGAGTGAAGTCAGGAGTGAGTGGTGTTGCAGTTTGCAAAGTGCTGATTAAATGTGTGCTCAAACACCCGAATGCACAGAAGGGGAAAATGGGCCACAATCCAAGTGCAGACAGCTCTGAGGTCAAAGTTCAGATAGTCGCATACACACACCGAGACACACAAATCCATAGAGACTCATATGTAGGCTGCAGCCTGGAGGTGCTATGAAAAACATTTGCAATGGAAGCTGTGGTCTCACATGAAATATCAAATCCTCTTTTCACACAGTCAAGCATGTGATCATGATGGAGATTCAGAGAAATCTAATATGGAATTCTGAGAACTGATATGTTGTGGCAAACACTAAACAGAACCTTTAATGGCATGCACTTTCAATAAGCAAATGGTATCATGCGTCTATAATGTCTGTGCTGCTTACTTGTGGTCTAGAATGGTAATTCTGGAGGATGGTATGCCCAGTTTAGCACAGCTGTTGAAAAGTTCTTGCTTACGTTTAGCACCGTGATTGTAGTAGTTCCCTGCAAACAAATCAGGGTACACTTAAGGCTGCAGGATATCAAAATATTAGTCAAGCGTTATCAAATCAGGCCTGATAGATTTTGGAGATTTTTAATTAAGAGTTGTAATGCTCAAACTCCGACAGTGCACAATGACATCTGATTGGAATCCCAGATTCAACTCCTGACTAACACATAGGCTATGTGGGGAAGCTTGTCAATATTATGACTTTTGCACTGTTGTTGGTGCAGTGGGTCAAATAACTCTAATTTAAACCCAACAGTGATTTTAAAAAAACTTTTCAATTTCATTGTACTTGGATATTAGTTAGTTGACTCAATTATTACTTAAGTCCGCTCTTGCACGTGCATATGTTTGCTGTGCTTGTATATAGGCTTTACATTAATTTCCCTGGGCTAGTGGTTACGGCGTCGACCTCACAGTGCAGCGGTCGTGGGTTCGATCCCTGCTCCGGTTTTCTCCCACATTCCAAAAACATGCATGGCAGACTGTTTGAACACTCTAAATTGTCCCTTGGTGTGAGTGTGAGAGCGGATGGTTGTTCGTCTCTGTGTGCCCTGCGATTGGCTGGCAACCGGTTTAGGATGTCCCCCGCCTACCGCCCGAAGACAGCTGGGATAGCGCGCCCCCCCCCCTCCCCGGTACCCTTGTGAAGATAAAGCGGATCGGAAAATTGAATGTAATTAATTTCCATTTTTTTTGTATTCCAGCTAAATAAAACTAGAAACAAACTACAATTCAGTGAACACACGACTACTCGTCATAAAAGTAGACTTCATAGAAATATGGTGTGACTGTACCTTCCGATAAACACAGCAAATGCACGTTGACATTACATTCAACAAGTCGTATGATCGTTGGTCCAAAGAACATGCATTCATCATCCGGATGCGCGGTTACAACTAGACATTCAATGTCAGCCCCAGGTGATTCCAAGCTGGTGAAAGCATTGAGTCCATGTTTTAAATGTCGCCGATGTCGATAATAAATGCATTTTAAGCAAACTATGTACGTCACAAATACAATTACAACCAACCACAGGAACATTATTTTTCACCGTACTCATAAACAAACCGTGTCCAAACAAGTCTAGTAAATTAGGTTCCACTTATAAATTACGTGAAATCGTCGAACCAATTCGTAAAAGTTCTCGAAAAAAATCTTTGCTGGCCCTTGTTTAGATGTCTTCGTGTCTTATATTCAAAGTAACATACGCTTTGTAGGATACTTCACAAAGATACAAATATTGCATGGACAATGAAGGCGAAGTTTAGGATAAACATTTATTTTAGACAGAGTTAAAATAAGAAAACGCGTTTTTTGTGAAATATTTTATTTTCTCATATTAACGCAAAAAAATACAAACAAAACATGCCCTGTTCAGGGGAAATATTTAGCAAACACACAGCTTTATCCTTGCAGATACATAAATAAACACTAGTACAAATTATAACCGTCTCCACAAGAAGCTACCAATAATTTTAATAAATTTCCAATGTTTAAAAATAATAATATTGTAGATTTCTTAAAGTATATTATCCAAAATCAAGGTTGCGAATGAAACCAAACAAGGCAGTTTACTTTGACCTGCCAGGACACGAAGCGACAAACGCGGCGCAGCCGAGACTGCCCAGTCGTCCACTGCCCGTTACCCGCGGATTTCCTTAAAACAATTGCATACGTTTCTTCCTACAGATGCCGTTCCCTTCTTCGGTAAACTCTCCAAATATGAGGTGTGTGGAATTATTTTTATTTTATTTAACAAAGCAACATGCGCAGGGCAATGCGGTTTGAGTGCTCGGGTGTACGGTGAAATCTCCCTTGCAAGATGGCGACGTAGTTGCGAATTCAAAGGTGAAATATGGATAGGTTAGCTTGCTAACGACAACAACAACAACACCTTAAATATCGTGCCCTTTTTCCCGGAGGTCTGCAGTCGCGTGCGCTTGTTGGTTGTTTATTACTGCGAGGGTGTCTTTTGATCCCCGGGAAATGGTTCTATTGCGGTAGTCGGGCCACCCTCCCAAATAAGCGACAACCAGTACTGCTGTAATGATAAGTAGGCTAGCTTAAAATAGGATGATAAACATTTGCAATGTGCAAAGCATCACTGCAGGGGTTTAGATTTAAACACTGATTAAAAGCAGTTATGCCAAAAAACGTCTCTGAGAATATATGGCTAAAGCTAACCTAATATTCGAAGCACTACTAGGTGACGCTACTTTCAACTATTGGAACATTTGTGACTAAAAGTGATCGTTTAATGTTAAAAGCCTAATTCAGTGAGCACAAATTAAAGGATAACGTGAAAGGGAAACTGCTTGAACGTTACAATTTTGAGACGGTCACCATATCCGTGTTGTAACAATCTGTTGAGTAAAAGGTTTAAAAGGACAGCGATGCTCTTTCTCTAAGCAGGAAGTAGCAAAAAAGAGCAAAGGATCTGTATTGTTTGAGGCGAAATAAGGGTGAATTTTTGTATGCAGGGGAGAGGTCCTGATCGAGGTGCATCACTGAAACAATCTTCTTTTCCTGTTTTTATAACAGTCACTGACTCTGGAACAGTGCATTTTCTTGTTAGACGTTCCGTTTCGTACATCAGTACGATTTAATCGAGAGTATACAGCAGTATATTCAGAGGTGTTTTCAATAATAACCTGTGTTTGAGACCACAATAACACAATTAATTAGTCAAATCAACATTGCAATGTAGTAGACTGAAGTCTTTATGAACACAAAATATAAAGAAAAATAACTGGATGGGCATTGCTATTTTCAACATCACATCATACAGTAGTTAATATATTTAATCACATATTTTTCAATTCATGTAGACTAACACATGGCTATATGGAGTAAGACATGCATCACATTTAAGGACTTGAACATAATGTATAGAATATGACGTTTAAACATGTTGCAAAAAGACAGCTGACAGAATTTTGGCATCTTCTGTCCAAAGAGTGTTGCCAAAAACGGCCATCCTTCCATTCAATTGCTTTATAACTTGTCTTGTCTTGAGCTGGAGCTCATGCCAGCTGCCTTTGGGTGAATTGTGATGAGCAGACTTTAGTGGCCACTATCCAATTGCCGGGCATTACCCTGTCAATTGCCCTCATAAATGAAGTACCTGACTTATCCTTTACGCGCATACTGACATTTAAAGATGTTGATTAAATGCATCCGTCACCCCGTGGGTGTTCTCATGATGAGTGCATGAAAAAAGTTTCTGTAAAATGTAAATGACAGATTCCTGAAAAATGAAGCGATCGTACAACTTCCTTGTTGACCGCAGTAATATCTTGTCGAGTCAGAGATGGTTATTTTACTACCACAAAATAAGGTCTTGATTCAGCAGACTATTTGTGTGCTGCCAGCTCTGGAATCGTTGGCTCCTTCACTTGCGGGATCATCTGAGGTCTGCCACAAGATCAGTGATGCCACTAACTATTTGGCAAACAAAAGTTTTTTAGTAGTCACCAAATGAACCCCTATGCATGCCAGATCTACTTACTATTAGGGTCGTCTTTTGTTTGCATCCTGTATTGCCATGTGTCGAGGTGAATCCTGTCACGAAAAGCTCTCAAATAGTATTACCTTTACAACACTGATGGTACAAACTAGTTTTATACATGAGTTGTTCGATGTCATTTTTGTCAACAGGGTGGTCTTTCTTGGCAGTGAACATTCAAGCCTTTTCTCTGCCAGGTCAAGTGCAAAAAATAGGCGATCTTGAATTCCACACGGTGTCCGACAGGATAGTCTTTCAAGCATGACAATCAATTCCTTTTTTTGTGCTTCTTCTGGGGCAGCTGTGTAACACAGAAATGATAATGAAATGTCCTAGTTTCCCCTTGTCGTCTGCATCGTCACGTCTGACACAGAATGACGTCCAGCCCTGACACAGAATAATTGGGATGCTGCAAATTGGCACATAGGACTATTTTTGTACTCCTTGACCATGTCCAACAACTTGGTATGGCTAGATGGGTAAATCTCTTTGAGCGCCCTAACCTCCCGTTTCGATGGAGGAATTCCCAACAACAGTAAAGAGAGATGAAATGATTGTTGCTCGTGATTATTTGTCATTTAATCGATAAGGTGCCGCTACTTAATGCATGCTGCTGCAAGGTTTATGGAAGCGGAAAATTTTGCGTCACATAAGCAGGTCTCGAAGTCGATGAGACTAAAATCAAAAGCCCCACCGCCAGTCGGTAGGCAACTCAGTTTTTGACAAAGCTGATTGACAGATGACAGACTTCTTGAATGGGAAATGGTAAATGGGCTGTCTCTTACATAGCGCTTTCTACCTTTGGTATTCAAAGCACTTTACACTGTTTCCTCATTTACCTACTGATGACACAACATCAGGAGCAACTTGTATCCTTGTATCTTGCTCAAGGACACTTTGACAAGGCCTGAGATTGAACCCCCAACCTTCGGGTTGGGAGACGACCACTGAGCCATGCTGCCCCCATTCTTGAAGATCAGTTTAAAACTAAATGTGGTCTTCTTCCTGTTTATTTTCTTGGGACCATTAAGAAAAGAGCGCCACCTTTCATTGTTTCCTGTGACGCGTTTTGCTATGCTTGGAATTTTCTGCACGTGAACACAAACAGAACCGGGGGGAAATGGGCATTGTTTGCCAATCCATCAACCGCTTCCAGTCAGAGAAATCGATCTGCAGGTGTGAAAACAACCTATGGGATGCACACACAAAATGAAAGTTAAAGGGAAGGTCATTTTTGGAATGAAGATCCGGCTAATACTAGACAGTCTGACTGATATCGTAATGCTTCATGTACATTTCTGAGAAACAAAATCAATCCAGGCTGATGTCAAATCAAGTTAATTTATTGAAAGGCTGGTTTTGCTCCTGCGCACTGCAGCTGCACGCTAACTCAGAGCTTTTTTTTTTTTTTTCCCCTTTCCATGTGCCAGTTGCTATCAAAATGCGTAAATAGTTGTATTCAATTCAGAAGCCTCACTTGACCATGATCAAAATGCTTACCTTACAAAATAAAAGAATATTTCAGAAGACATGAACAACTCCACTCATCAATTCCGTACTTATTGTGTGAAATCTTGTGTGCATACTTCTCACAGCTAATGTTCTGTAGAATAGGCACTATCACACCACTCAAATTCTATACTTACAATTTGGTCTTTCCTCAACCATACTTTCATTCGCCTTCTCGTATTTCACACAACAATGCATTATTTTCCTTGTAAAGAGATCCTGACGTAAACATTTAAATGTGACCTTTGCTATCTGGCTATAGGTGGTTTGTATCCTGGAACATGGTGTAGCTCAGCCAACAGTGAAGCAGCAGCGGCCCACTTGCACTGAGTCAGGATGTCCAGTAGCTCCGGCTACCCCCCGAGCCAGGGGAGCTTCAGCAGCGAGCAGAGCCGCTACCCATCCCATTCTGTCCAGTACACCTTCAGCGGCACGCGGCACCAACAAGTAAGACCTTGCATCTATTGGTTCACTCATAAATGCTTTGTATCTAATTAACATTGGGTGGTCAATCTGTATTTATTGAATTTGATTTACAATGGAACCTTTGAAATTGAATGACCGCACAATGCCCGGCCCGGACAGGGTTTGCGTTCACGTTTTAAACATTTTTTTTGGATCAAGCAATTTATCGTAATAATTTTCTATTGATATCGAACACGTGTCTATCGGGATACGTACTTGGCGTACAATTTGCCGTTCCATTCAAAAATCTCAGAAAAAAATATGGCTCCAATGAAATATTTTTACCGCTTGATAGAATTATATTATGCAGGTAACAACACAAAAATACAACCTGGAACTATAACTGAAGTGGGCGGGCCATAGTGGGGGGTGGGGCAACGACACATGATCATCGACACTTAATATGTGCGTCGATGTAATTTCCTTCACTTGTGTTCAGACATTCTGACAAAGCACCGAAGCTCCTTCTTTTGATCGGTTATGAGCGCAATGGTAAGGTGACTAGCGGACAGCGCGAACGCTGGACAACGCCACATTTGCTGGTCAGGGGTGGCTTCGGCCGAGAGCAATGTTCGTGTGTGACAATGAATCACTTTGCGTTTCCATCTTTTTTGGTCACCTCTTTCTTTGCTGCTGCTGTCAACCATATCCAAATGTGCCAACGAAACTTTTTTCGATTAAGAGAATATGAAAATACAAATTGCAAATACGGCTCCGATTTGAATTCTTTGAAAACATTTTTTTTTTTTTGTATGCGCCGCACACATCGGCTGCGCGCCGAAAGCGAGCGAGCAGTGCGCAATTTCTCACGGGTGCAGCTTAGGAGGGCACATTGCTTATGTTTGATACCAACATGAGACCAAACAAATATGTGAAGCAAGGTTCATGGTGAGTTTGAATCTGTGTTTGAACTGTGACATTAATGGGAGCTGTATGATTGAGGGTAAGAGTGCAATCGCGGAATGCCCCATCAATGTTGTCCCCGTGGTTACTGGGTCTGTTTTGGGGAATGCGTGAAAAGAAGTACTACGTTTTATTTTATTAGGTGAAATCCATTTGGTTTATTATTATTATTATTTTTGCTTGTTTGTTTTGTTTTAGGGATTTTACATTGGGAATAGAGATGTTGCTGCTTTTGAATACGTGACATTTATATCCAGCACTCTGCTATTAACTTTAACCAAAGTGAGAACTGGACATGTGTCCCAGCTACTTTTGGAGGCTCGATTTCCGAGAAGCTTACTTCCACAGAAAGTTTCATCAGTTCATTTCTGGGCATTTTCATTGTTTGCACAGATCTGGAACAAAACTGGAGTTTTGTCATAATTCTTGTAACTGCGTTTGCTTGTTCAGGTTTTTGTGGAGGTCATGGCATGCTGATAAGTGTTGTGTTCTTTTCAGTTATTTTTTTTTCCGTTAAACTTGGTGAATTCATTACAATCGACACCAGATCTTCTGGCTTTGCCCCTTTTTGTTGTTAAAAATAGAGACTTTTAGAACAATGTCTTTTTGACATAACATAGATTTCTCATGTTTTATTTTCATGTTTTCTCTCATCTGAGTCAGACGTGTGTTGTAATTGCTTCAAACATTTTTGGGAGATGTGGTTCATGAAATTCAGCCCAGCCTGTACTGTTTTGATTTCCTTTTGTAATTGTTGTCCTCCCACAAAATGATGAAATAAGCTTGCCTTTGGCCCAAGTCCGCTGTGACCGCATCCGCTACATCCGTATAGCTTGATTATAATCAGTCTCTGATCTTCTTCATCTCTTGAGCAATGATTGCCCTCCAGATTGCTGTCTGTCCGACGGAATAACCTGGTTGCAGTAAAAGATATCTGACTCAACATGGACAAGACATGCACAAGTTATTTTTCTTCAGTTATCCATCCATCTATTAGTCTATTCTCTATCGCTTATCCTGTTCATGATCGCAACATGAGCTGGAGTGTGTTTGAGCTGACATGAGTTCTAGAGTGGAAGATACGGATTGGCCTAACTGACTTGAGGTGAGGGGCAGGTACACTGCAGACTTAATCACCAGTCAAGCAAAGGTTCTTATTGACGCTGCCGGTGCCAGCGTGGATCTTGGTCATATCCATGAACCCTGATCAGCAAAACCACATCACCTGCATTTGCACGAGCCAAACCAAAATATCCACTGGGATTGATAAACTTTTGTATCGATTACTAGTTTCAATGTACAATAAGTTGATTGCAAGCTATATTGCGTCAGAACATGGAAGTGAGATGAAGTCATAGCCACTATTGGGTCATTCACAGTTTCAATAGTTTCTGCATCCATTCACTCAGAAATCCTTATTTATGAGAGGGCTTTCCAATAACTTACTTTCAAATTTAGCTTGTAGCAGACGTGTGCACATTTTCAGCATGACGTCTCTGATCCACTGGTGAAAGGACACTTTGATTCTCTCCTCTTTCATCCATAACGGCTTCAAACAACAAAGTGTATGCAGAAAAAAGTGGTTAAGATTGCTTGACTGTCTGTGTCTGATATGTTGTGTTGTACTATTTTGTCATTTTATGTTCACTGTTCTGTTGATGGCGGCGCGGGTACCCGCAGCGGCTCCTCTCTCTCCTGTGGTTGAGAGGAAAGAAATTTCATCTGTCTTGTATGTTACACATAGAGCATATTTGACAATAAAGTTGACTTGATAACATGGTCTGACCCAATGTCATAGAAGTTGGTTTCAAATGTAGCCGAAACAGAACCCATTATGAGTTGTTTCCCAATGCATTATGAAGCGGTACAAAGTCGCAACGGCAATGCATGTGAAAATGTTGTTTGTGATGTCCCCGTGTGTTGCTTTCAGGATTTTACCGTCCCAGATTATCGTACTCACTTGCAGGATCCGCAGGGTCGAAGACGACCATCTTTACTCTCTGAATTCCACCCTGGGACTGAAAGGTAGTGATTCTCCTCATCTGTGTTGGATCGGGTATTCATGCCCCTCGTGAATGCATTATTTTTCTTTTTTTTTTTGTATTTCTGTTCTGCAGGCCTCCAGAGAGACGGCATGGATACGAACAGCAGTTCCACTCCATCACTACCCAGGCTGAACATGAGGCACTGGAGACTAAGCGCCCACGCATGGAGTCTATTTCTGAGGCCCACATCACCCGCACCTCTTCTTCTGCTGGGGGTATTCTCTTGCCCATGCACCACACACTACAGGATAGCCTCAGAGCCACCGTGGAGGTGAAGAAGGTAAATCCTCTTGCCATTTATCAAACCTGATGAACTCTTTCTCTTGTTCATTGTGGGGATTTTTTTTTTTTTTGCTGTTGTCAAGAGTTGTGCAACAGCAATTTTCAGTTCAATGCTAAAGAAGTTAAAGCACACTATTATGACTAGCATTACTTGTGTTATTTCATTCAATTTCTTTGTCTATTATAATTCTCCAATTGTCTTGAACATCTGTGTTCTACAATATCTTTAAGAAGTTCATCTATTACCCCCCCCCCCTCCCCCCAGGAGTCGCCGTTCACCGTGAAAGTGGAATGCCCTTCTCCAGGAGGACCTGCATTACATCTTGGGGAAGAGCATGACACGTCTCCTTCCAAGCTATCCAAGGAGGAGCTGATTCAGAGTATGGACCGCGTGGATCGAGAGATTGCTAAAGTGGAGCAGCAGATTTTCAAGCTGAAGAAAAAGCAAGTTAGTCGGCTTTATTCTCTTAACTTGCAACAGAAATCGTTTTTGTGTTTTCGTGAATAAGAAATGATAAGAGTTTAATACGGCTGGGAAATCAAACATTGGTACATGGTATCGAGGTCACCTACCAAGGGATTCAAGCAACTTTTTGAAAAGGGATCTTGGATCTTATGCCACAACATTACAGTTTGTAGGCTTCTCAAAATTAATTCAGATCACATCTTGAAAGTTTTGTCCCGATTGTATCAATGTATATTTTACATACCCTGTCATAGTTTTAGCGCTAAAATAGTTTCAGGGGAAAAAAAACCCTGATGTCATCTGTCATTTGTATTATGATCTGCACATCATTATTACATTGGAGTGTTGAGCGCCAATTCTCTATAACCAATCGTATATTAATTTAACAAGGAGAATACGCATAAATAACTTCAGTTATTTACTTTTAGTTACTGGCTAGACTTTTATAGTATCTAATCATCCTGTTAGTTTTTAATCCGTTTTTCTCTGTATAGTCCCGCTATCTCTTTTGGAATTCTCCCTCATTTGATAAGAATGTAAGATGGGCTTTGCTGGGAGCGAATACATTCAAGTATGAATTCCCGCAAGACTTTCAGGGATGTATTTGGTCGGGGCCTTTCAGGAACTGCTAATCTCAACCGTGTAACCTGGCCGTGTACATAACCTTTAGCTTGTAAACATTGACCAACCAAACATTCACTAGTTCAACTTGTCTCGCACCGTCAACATGACCTCAGAGCCTGACCCTTGAGTCTTTGTATTTTATACATGAACCGGCATGTGAGAGCTATCCGATTATGCCAGCATGTTTTGCTCTTCTCAGAGGTTCAGATCATATCATTGCAGGACGGATGGAAAATCAACCACATTTCGGTCCCGAAATAGATAAAAGGACCCTGCATGTATCGGTCTTGTCGTATTTTGTGAACTTTTCTCAACTTGATGTTTTATATTGTCGCTGTTGTCTCCTAGCAACAACTGGAGGAGGAAGCGGCAAAACCCGTGGAGCCAGAAAAGCCAGTGACCCCTCCCCCAGTGGAACACAAGCATCGCAGCATAGTCCAAATCATCTACGATGAGAACAGGGTGAGGTGTCTGTATTGAATACCATGACGTATTATGAACTACCCTTCACGGGGTTAACCTTTGTGAACTGACCCTCTGGCAAATTGAGCAGACCAGCACACCTTTTGCATTTCATCGACAAACGTTCAGATATTGTCGAGAAAAATCATTCTCATGTTCATTTATGCCAGTTAGCTTTGGTTAGTTATTAGGATGTGTGAAATAAAATGCACTGACAGGCTTTGCTGTGTGTTTGAGCGGAACAAGGGGAAAGGTTACTATAGTTCATGTCTGTCACATGGAGCTGCTACAAGACACGCCTTTCTTCCCTGTCAACAGTTAACCCTTTGGACTGTCCCAGTTTAGTCATAAGCAAGTTTTACTGTCCCAGATTTCAACTGAGTTAACATTTTATGTCTTTATTTTTACACATCACAACATGTGTTTCAGAATAGATTAAAAAAAAGGCCATATTTTACTTGTCTGCTTGTTGCCTTAACTTCACTTGCCTCCATGCCACAGTGAACCCTCGTTTATCACTGACCCACAAGTGATAGGGGCTAATCAGCTTTACAGAACGACCCTATTTAAAAAAAAAAAAAAACAAAAAAAACAAAAACACATTTTCTTTTTAAAAAAAAAAAAGAGAACAGTTTTACCCTTCTCATAAGCCTGAAACACATTTAAACTGATTTAAATGCATTTTTGAAGTATTTCTTTGCACTTGGGAAACCGCTCTCTCACTATCAAGCAATAGGAGTCCTTTATTTCACTTTTTTTTTTTTTTTTGGAGGAAAAATAAAAATGGATTGCTTCAACATCTCTGATACTGTAAATTCACTGTATTGTGTAGCTGACCGTTTATCCTCATGTAATGTTGGTAATTTGGTATTATTATCCGATGTTTCTAATTTTCTAGAAAAAAGCTGAAGAGGCCCATAAAATACTGGAAGGTCTTGGTCCCAAGGTTGAACTGGTATGGCCCTGAGTGATTTATTGTACCCTTTTGTAATTCCTAGCTAATCAGTCATTTAGAAATTACCATATGCAAATATTTAATGATGGGTTTCTCTTTTCTTTGCACTGCCTAGCCCCTGTACAATCAACCATCAGACACAAAAGTTTATCATGACAACATTAAAACGTGAGTACATCACAAACCTCTGGGTCTTCATGATTGCAGAATCAATATAGTGCACAGTATGTGTATTACATACACTGTGTAGGAAATATCTCAGATGACGAATGTTTTAAGATCAATGTGATAAAACCCATATGACCCTGTGCAATCGAATTTGTCCCGTCACCTGCTTAAGCTATGTATGATTTTTTTTTTTAAAAAAGGGGGAAAAATGCCCACATTGTTGGCTGTTGACAATTTACAGTCTAATCTTCTCAAGAGAATTTTAATGAGCAAACCTACTTACTGAAGAAAGATACTTTTTTTTTAATTTTGCCTTCTTTGTAAAAATAACTTTGTGTCAACACAATTAAAAATAATGAATGTGTTTTTCTATAGCAACCAGGTCATGAGGAAGAAGCTGATTCTCTTTTTTAAGAGAAGGAACCATGCTCGTAAACAAAGGGTAAGTGGTTCTGCTTTTGTTGGGCATTTTGGAAAGTCCAGGGGTTACGTACCCTCTGGTATTATTTTCGCTAATAGGTTTTGCATCACAAATCCAGATTTTTTTGAAGGCAGAATTTAGTTGGATGACTTTGACACACATTAAAGAGGAATGAGGTCAACAAAAATGACACGGTAGACAATGCTTGTGCTCCAACTTGTTCTCGTTCTATTAGTGTTTCCAAAAAAGTATGGCCATGGTCTATATTCTTTATCCTCTTTGCGGTTATAGAAGTGCTAGCTAAAGTCAATCCCAGCTGATTTAAGGCAAAACGTGAGCTACTTGAGGATTCTTACATTTTAATTTGTTTTGCTGTCAGTTTCAAACCAAATGCTTGGACACATTCATTTCATGGTTAAGATGCCAGTAAACTGTACCCCCCCCCCCCAAAAAAGGTTTTATACAAAGGAATGCACTGCATCCACACCTGTCCGCTTTTATTAGAAACCCCATCATACTTTTCTCTACAGCTGCACTCAAATGTTCAGTGAATATCACCCTTTCTCAAGCTGTTGGCTGTCTGACAGCCTTTTGGAGTCTGAACAATTGTGGGGAGCTTGTGGCCTCATGCCAAGAGGAAAGAAAGAGAGAATTGTTTGTTTCTTTTTCTTGTGTGGAAATGTGGATGCATTGTCCTCCCAATCCAAATATCTTCCCATATCGCCAATTTAACTGTTAAGCCCCTGGAAATTAGATTTTGGTGTTATTTTTTTTACATTGGATGTAAAAGGGGATTATTAATATGATAATTTGCATGGTATTTTATCAGGGCACAGAGAACTCATACATGATGATAAAGAAGATTCACTCCAATCACACAGGAACGGTCACTTGAGATTGATTTCTCGTGCCGTATGAAAAAATCGGCTTGTATAGAAAAGAGCACCACAAACCTTCAATGTTGCCTCAGCATGTTACTAACTTAAGGTTTCGTCACTCGTATGTTTAAGAGCCAGTCTTGGTCGTCATTGTGATCACTTCACAGATAACCATATTGATGGCAATCCACTCACATTCGTGCAAATTTTATATTTTTTTTTGTGTTTATATTCCTTGCAGCCTTGTTGTGACATATTCCATTGCTTGAACTGTAGTATTTAAGATAACAGGGTTGCCCGTATTCTCTTTCTGTCATTTTGCCTTCTCAATAATTTTAGTATACCCCTTAAAATTAGACCACGGCGTTACTTTAAAGCAGACCAAAAATGTTTACCCTGCACTTGGTTTGGCTCATTCCATTGTCTGACAACCCAAAGGCCTGAGGCTCAGTCTTTGATTAGTTTTGATGCTGTGTACTCAGGAACAGAAGATCTGCCAACGATATGACCAGCTGATGGAAGCTTGGGAGAAAAAGGTGGAGCGCATGGAGAACAACCCCAGGCGCAAAGCCAAGGAAAGCAGAACACGGGAGTACTACGAAAGGCAATTCCCTGAGATCCGGAAGCAGAGAGAGCAGCAGGAGCGTTTCCAGAGGTAAAAAGCTTGATATACACTGGATGTAACCTTTAACACGACACAGTTGCTGCAGCACAGTATTCATTTTTGCCCAAGGGACTATCTGGGGCATTGCACCCGTTTGCCTCCTGACTTCCCATCCCTACAGTGCATTGTTAGTTTTCACAAGAAAGGGGTGGAGTTGTTTTCAAACTGACCGAAGCACATAAGTGGCTTTGGGAATTCAAATGAATGTGCGCCTATAAATTTGATTGGCTTAATGGTTGCTACGTCCCACACACTTGAATAAAACAATCTCCCCTGTGTGGTTCAATGGAAGATGACATGCAGCACCGGGCTCAACTAAAACAATAATAGAACAGGCATGAAATTAGATTCTGTCGAGCAGTCCTCTGATGTCACCTTCTTGCAAGGTCTTAATCAGAACCAGATGGGAGTTTCCTCCTTTGACGATGATGGGCTTTCATGCTGTGTAAAATCAACAAGTGATCCACAAGAAACAAAGATAGAATAGTAATTTCACACATTACATGCCTCTGCTTTTACTAGGGTTGGCCAGAGAGGAACGGGTCTCTCCGCAACGATCGCTCGAAGCGAGCATGAGATTTCTGAAATTATTGATGGTCTTTCTGAGCAGGAGGTGGGTAAAAATCCAAATTAAAAAAAATGTCTTCTTGAGTATTAGTGTATGGCACTGACAATTGTGAAGAAAAAAAACAGTCACGTTTTATGAGCTGCATCTTTTTTATGCATGTAGTATGTATGCATACTGTTGGTTAAAATCCCCCGATGATCCGAACCGCTTATCCTCAAGAGGTGGCTTTGTATTGATCTTCCTTTTTTTTGAACCGATAAAGACTTACCGCGACATGTCCATGCGTCACAGAACAACGAAAAACAGATGAGACAGCTATCAGTCATCCCTCCCATGATGTATGACTCCGAGCAGAGGCGAGTGAAGTTCATCAACATGAATGGCTTGATGGATGACGCCATGAAGGTGTACAAAGCCCGACAGTTCATGAATGTTTGGACCGAACACGAAAAGGAGATCTTTAAAGACAAGTGAGTTTTTATGGTCTGATTAGAAGATGTCACAGACGGTACCTGTATTAAGGACAGTCCACTTTACAATGACACAACGCCATCTCTTGGCAGGTTTGTCCAGCATCCGAAGAACTTTGGCCTGATCGCTTCCTATCTAGAAAGAAAGGTGAACGAGACAGTTAATATTGCACATATCAATCAAACGTTATTTATTTTAACGAAGAGACAAAGGAGTCCAGGCCCATGCTTGAATAATTCCACCGCTAGTGTCGGTGTCGTGTGTTCACGTGGACATGCTTTCCATCAATTTTCAGTGTGTTGCTGACTGTGTCCTGTACTACTACTTGACCAAGAAGAACAACAACTACAAGACGCTGGTGAGACGCAACTATGGCAGACGGAGGGGAAGGAACCAGGTAATCCCGCAAATGTATTCAATATTTGCCTATGGTGTAGCTGACTCATATATGGCAGCATGAAAAGGAAGATCAACATTGAACCAATATTACAGGTGCCATGTGTCATTGTTTTAGTTTGACTTGATTGAAATTTGAAATGTAACCGTTGTAAATAGGTGTGCATTTCTGATAAAAGACAATTGGACACGTATCTCGCTAGAGGGGACGTGATACGATCGCAGTGATACATTTTTGAGTGGAACGATTTGATTCGGTTCGAGTCCGTGAGATTATGATTCATTTCATCAGCAACATCAAACCGAGCTGTTATAAAAAGATGGTTATGTATCTTGGTACATGGAGTGCGATCCATTTCAATTCAGTTTAGTTCAATCCAAACCGATTTTCCGATTCCAATCGGTTTTCATTAGACCCCTTATCGTAAAGGTCAACTGTCACACTAATATTGATAGGGTTTATTTGAGTTTTTAGCTCAGTTGCAATCTCACTCCAGATTATTCAGCCACCATCGCACATTGTATTTATTTTTTAACACAATATTTGTCACAGCTTTTGTGAACATTATTTTTTGGAAAGTGGCGATCCATTGACAAGTTTTGTATAAATAAATGCAATTTACAATGAGAGGTGTAACTCTATGCTTTAAAAGTTGTATTTTTAAGCATGGCACGTGGTACTTTTGTAGGACTAAAAGTGGATTTTAAACTCGCATCCTTACGCTACCTACTGTCCCCGCGGCAAGCAGTCCAAAGTGAGATTATTTTTTTCATTTGCCACAAACACCATCACACCACAACCCATGTCCATGCTCTTTCGTTCGAGAATGTTTTTTTCCCCAAATTTAGTGTAAAAACTGTCCCGTGTCTTTGAACACAGATTATTGCAAAGCATTCCCTCCTCCAACGCGTTGTTTTTCTTATTATAATACTTTTCACTATTTGTCAAATAATCCTTTAACTCATTCACTCCCAAAGATGTTTGTAAATGTCTTTTCAGACTTGGTCCAGAATAGGCTGGGACTGAATGAGTTAATAACAACTAATATAACAGCATTGCTAATGTCTTGCAGTCAGTCCCGCTAAGATGCAGGGAGTTCAAGTTAAATTAGACTGAGAACACTCGTATTTCCAAAGGGAAGGAAGAGTGAAAAAGCAAGCGCTGTAGAATACAGGAAGAACAAGTGGAATTTAAGGGGGAGGAACCTCACGCAACAGAGTCAGTGCTGGCTGCTAATCTACTGAGGGCTGCTTGCTCTGGTTTTCCATTTCCTCGTCTCCACAGTTCTTATGACAGACAAAGCCCTTAAACCCGCCCCCTTAGAACAACCCGCTCACTTGGTACAGCCCTGCCATCTGACAGGCCCCAAAACTAACCATGTTGCTGAGAGTGCCAGTCAAAGAAGACTGGTGGCAGGGATTTCCTTGAATGACCCTGCTTAGATGAGTGCATTCATGTGAGCTGGACGATTCTTTCGGCTGCTTAAGTGGCCCCGCTGAAACACTTTCCCGGACTACGTGCAACAGTGCCTTGGCCCGGCAGCCCTTCTTTGGTGCTGTCCTGCCCCTCTCTCACAGATATGGAAGCGCTACAGGGTAGAGACACATTTACAGCACCCGTAAGATGTGGCTCTCAGCAGAGAAAAGAGCTTTTTATGGTCAACCAATGAGCTTGCAGGTATGTTTACTAGCTTTGAAACCACCTTAACACTAGATTTCCTATCTCCTGAGTCTTGTTCTTTTGGCTGTTTTATTTTGCGAGAGCAAATCAGAGCAGGCATCTTGAAACTCCAGCGTAGCTATTTTTAGACGGGCTTTCTAGGAAATCCGCAGGCAGGGCCTGTCATGAAATGTTGGCATGCCTGCACATGTTGCGCGATGAGTTTGGAGAAGACCATTTTCTGAGTTGTAGCAGCGTTGTATACTCCCTGAGTGAAAGTTGCCTCAATATTCCATCGCGGAGTCCACTTTCTGGTATTCGTAGTCCGCATGCTGGAAGCAGACCCAAGCCACACCCCCAGTGTGTCTGTACGCAAAAGCTGCATATTTCAGTGTGATGGTGATGAACCATCCCTAATTATAAATCACCCTGTCTGACTTGTTTACCCGTACGATCTTTTGTTCTCTTCAAGTTTGACGATTTTAAGTTTTCTTTTCCGAAATATCTCAGTCAGTGCCACTTTCCTTTTTATCCAAAAAGCACAAGCGTAGATTGTTACTGGTTAGATCCGTAACATGTCAGAAAATTGGCAAAACCGTTGGTGGTTGTTTTCCACGGCAAAAACGGATGTTTGCAAATGTCTTATTTTGATTCAGCAGAAAAAGATGCTTTCATGGCGGACTACAGAAAAATGATATTCGCTGTTGTTGACAACTTTGTTCACAGTGCGGATAACTTCTCGTGATTTATTAGAATGTTTTTAACACACACCATTTCTGGAAAGCAGTCATTTCATTTTCAGCGGTTATGCACGCAATCCGCTACTTTTAGCATTTTGGTAGTTGCGAGAAGCGTTGTTCGCTAGGAAAGGAAAGACTGTCATGACATGCTTTACAAAAGGAAACAAGACTTGTGAATCAGCAAATCTGAAAACAATTCCATCTTGCCAAGGAAGGTCTTCATTTAAAAATACTGAACAACCACATCACCACAGAGTCTCATTTTGTCAAAACATCTGTCTCGAGGCCCTTTACAAAATGTTGGAGACCAAGCAGGAATGCCACAGTTCTCAAATCACCCCCAAAGCAAACACTTGAGCGCTCAATGCGCCAACCACAACAGCATCCCGCTGAAGAACAAGTTTGGTGAGAACGTCTCGGGTCTTGAAACCGATTGCAAAATATTTCGGAATCGTCAAGCGCCAAAACATACAAGCTGTTATTGACAGGAAATGAGTACAGAGGTAATGTCGTAGTCCCAAGGTGGTCGCTGGCCTCCCCGCATACATTAACCTATATTCTCAACTTGGAATCTGCAGTTTTCCTTGAATAGTAAGAACTCAGCATTGGTATTGTTGTGATGCAAAACCCAAACACTGATTGATTGTCTGAATCTATGCTGTGTGATTTCAATTCTGCAAGTACTGAACATATCAACCCAAATTTGACAGATGCCTCAAGACTCCTAAACGTGGTTGAGTCCGTATAATAATGACTTTTGATGAATAGTCGGTCTACAGATAAAGACGATGCCGATTGCCGATAATCCCCCGACAGGCATCGGTTTAGTTTTCGCGTGCCATAACGGTTAAGACAAGCACATTATTTGGCCCCCTTTGGAAGATGTTTGGGATATTTTGCTTGGCTTGTTTGAGGAGTATGCAAAGTAACATGAGGGGTTAAGAGGAGTCACAAAACCTGCTCATATGAATGTTGTAAACTGCTTTTAATAAAGATTGAGGATATTGGATTATTTGTACTTCCTGTGGAAGACTTGATGCGTGTCACTGCCCGCCAACATTGTCGTGGCCGCGCACACTTCTGTGAAACCTTGTCAGTCGACAGGCCCGTCAATTTTTCAAGACAGCCCTTTAAGAGAGCATCCCTGTTGTAATGGAAACACAAATCCCTGCCGTGCTTGTATGACGCACAAACAACTCAGCAACCAGCATTGTAGCATGGGCGGGGGGAAACACTAACGCGGGCATAAAAACCCTAATGAGAAGGAAAGAGAGAATAATAAATCCGAAACTTTTTTGAATAATTTATGCCATCCACTGAAGTGCATGAAGGTATCGACAGCAGAAGTGTTGTCAGACTGGTGGTATTATCTGAAGCTGTTTTTGTTTGCAAAGACAGAAAATTACAATTAGTAGTGGTATTGACATGAATTCATTCTGAGCAATGGATTCATTTTAAGATGGCAGACTATTATCCTCAGCAAATCCTTTTTGTACACTTCTAGTAACCAAATAAACGCACGATCCGTATTGTTGAAAGGAAAACCTGCAAATTAAGCCGCTTTCCTTTTGTTTCCGTTTGCAGCAAATCACACGCCCCGCACAAGAGGAGAAGTCCGAAGATAAAAACGAAGAGGACAAATCGGAGAAGCCAGAGAAAAAAGATGATGAGGAAAAGAAGGACGAGGAAGAGAAAGACGAAAAGGAGGAATCCAGGTGACTTGTGAAAATATTACATTTGTCCCTGCGTCAATTTAGGCAAGAAATTATCACTACCTACCATTAGTTTTATTGTCCTTTGATCCTCTAATATACATGTGCCATAGGATTGAGCGTGACAGTGCAGGGCCTGTATTTGCTGAGTCAACTGTGGATAGATGTTTTTTTTTTTTTCCAAGCAGTCTCTAAAACTGTTTTTTCCTTCTTGAAAACCACAGGGACATTGGCAAGGACAAAGACAAGTGTGACGGTGGGGAGGACGAAGACGGAAAGGAGCAAAACACGCCGCGTGGCAGGAAGACCGCCAACAGCCAGGGCCGACGCAAGGGAAGGATCACCACTCGCTCCATGGCCAACGAGGCTGCCACCATGGCGGCGGAGGAAGCACCTCCCCCTGCTTCTTCAGAGGCCGCCGCGCCAGATCCGCCGCAGCTCCCTAAATCTGATACAGCTCAGAAGTCCATAAAGGAACCGATGAAACCGCCTACTCCGGGAGCTTCACTGGATGCAAAAGGTGAACCCAAAATCAGCACACCGTAAAAGGCCAGGAATACTGAATATCATACTGTACCGAGATCTTTCGATAACATCATTGGGTGTTTATGTTGAGATGACAGTTTTCATTTTAATCTTGGGCTGAACGAAGTCATGCATAGCCATAATGATGCCAAGCAGACGTTAGTAGGCCGAAAATTAGGTTGCTGTCCTTGTCTTTAAGTAAACAGACACGCTAATATCCCTCAGTGTTGTCTATCCATCACCATGGCAGTGTGCTGCTCCAACGGTTGTTATGGTACTCGGTCACACATCTTCAATTTCACCCTCACAAGCCCCGTCACTCCAATGGTGACTGCTTCGGTTCTCAGGTATCCAAGCCCCTTATCTGTTAATCTTGTTTCGGCGCTAATCTGTATCATCTGTTCCATGTTTGCGAAGTACGCCGGGCATCTCTTGACGCCTGCTCCCTCCAATGTCTGTTGAGCTCGACATCAGCTCATACAATGTTATGCAAGGTCTGTCCTTTAATGTGATTAATTAACGTGCTAGTGTGGCCTCCCGTCCCTTGAACCCTCTGACCTCTGGCCGTGTTCTGCGCGTGAAATACTGTTGACTGTAATCTCTCTCAGTGATTACACTGGGGCATTTGTGTGTTGCTTTCTTCCTCTGCAACCACGTTGCTGCTAAAAGGAAGCTGTGGGCCAGACAAGCTCAAAAGGAGATTTTTGTGGGGGGCACGTCGGTTCATCTCATTATTTGAAGTTGTAATGGAAGGGGGAGGGTGCACGAGAGGTGAGCTCTTGTCCTGAGGTGAGACGATATGATGTCGGCAGAAACCTCTCCGGCCAATGACCACCCAGAAGAACCTGTCACGAGGAGAACATGTGATTTTTGCCACTGCAGGTCAAAGCAAAGTTGAGTAGACTAGCATGTGATTCATGTAACTCAGTGCAGGGTAGAGAGACGCTGGTTGGAGACATCCGTACGATAATTGACACCCCCCATTTTTGAGGAGGGGGCAAGCGCACTGTAAATGCCAAGGGTTTATCCGCTTCTATATCGGTCCAAATGTTTACACAGTTTCAGTCCACACTACAGAGGAGACTGAGCCAGAGTTCACTTCAATGTTAGGAGCTCACTTCTGTGAATTCTGTGTGCGCGCGTGCGCATGCGCGTCGTCGTTTGAAAGGCCGGTGGGGGCGTGACAAACTATGCAGCCATGTCAAGGCAAGTGGGAGTGTGTATCAGTCCGTGTGTGTTTGTATGTCACACAAGGGTTGGGACAGCATGGCTGTTCTGTCTTTTAGCCTCCATCCAAGGCCATTTCCATTCTACTGTCTGGCACTACATCATCTCACCTAAGGACCTCCCCTTGTGGATTATAACGGATGACGGCTGTTTTTTTTTTTTTAAAGATTGGTGGGGGGTGTGAGGGTGTACGAGGTGGTGAATGACCTAGAGCGACAGTGGGAGTGAGAGGGAGTAGGTCTCAGCAGCTTGTGAATGTAAACAGATTATTAGATTAGAGGCCATGAGAAGAAGCCGGCTGGAAAGAGGACAGCCTCTCTGTCTGCTTCTCTCTCTCTCTCTCTCTCTCTCTCTCTCTCTCTCTCTCTCTCTCTCTCTCTCTCTCTCTCTCTCTCGCTCTCTCTCTCTTGCGCTCGCGCTCTCGCTCCCTTACACCCATACTCCCCTCCATTTCTCTTGTCAGTGCTAATGGGGCTGGGTCTCTTTGCCTTCTGATTTAGCTGGTGCTGGCGAAACTGGAGAAACTTCTCGCTGGACCGAGGAGGAAATGGAGGTCGCCAAAAAAGGTAACGCTTTGATTATTTACGTTCTTTAGCTCACAGTCTTTCACCTCTCTTGAGTTTCTTTCTGTGACCCTTGCTATTCCTTGTTTTTCCACTCCCCTTCCCCGCTCACGATTCTGTGAAGGTACCTTGCCCTACCCATTTCAAACACTCCGGCAAGAAAGAACGTGATCATGAACCCACAAAAGAATGAATGTGCATGTGCAATATTCCAGGAATGGTTTCAGGTTGTCTCATTTATTTCCGAATTTCATTTAGCTGGACTGCTCAGTTGGCGTCTTAGAAATGATCAATTTTAATCTAGAGTAATATTGGAAATGCTCACTTGCTCAGAATAGACCAATTATAGAAGAAGTCATATGCTATGCGTTCAAATCCATTCCAGTTCTTTTAGTCCAAAACGGAACCAGTAGATTTAGAGATAATTTGCATGAATTAAAATGTGAAGTCTTACCAGTATTCAGGTTTGTGTTTCAGACACGCATGTGAACTCGAGTGCATTGACTAAAGAGGCCTGTTAACCTTTGCTCATTGTACAATTAAGAGGGTTTTGAAATCACATGCTGTATGTTCTCGTTTTCCACCTTGCATTGCAAGTAAAAGTTGTAATCTGCTACGCTATTTCAGCACAGGCTTTGCAAGTTACATTAACAATTTCCTGGGAGGAAAGAAACTTGCCTCGAGAAAGGGGAACTTGACAAGAACATTTTTTTCATAATTTCAATCTATCAATCAAATTGAATGATGGAATGATTGTTCGAAACAAAGCATTCTGTCTAGGGATGTCCCGATGACATTTTTCCTGACTGATGATTTTTGTAGAACGTTGAATGGACTTGATTTTGAAGATCTGTTGATTAACTTTAGGAATGCATTGAGAAGAAAAAAAAAAGAGAGCGTGCAAATTTCAATGCAGGCATTCCAACATGTTATGTTTTTATTTGTCCAGAAGTGTAGTGCAGAAATGGTTGAAACCAAGTAAACAAATGAAATATATATATTTTTTTAACGTATTAGTGATGTGGCACAAAGTAATGATGCAAACCAATTAAATTTAAGTGTTTTGTCTTGATTATACCAACAAAACATCCAGTATCAGAAATGTTACCACCGATGGAAACATTACACTCTGTAATATGAAACTGAGATGTTGCTGTTCATTTTGACAATGTTGTTGTACTTCAGGATTATTTTGCTGCACACCCGTTTTTAGTAGCTTAGCTAAGAGTGATGCAAGAATTCATCTTTAAATCGAATGCAGTACAGGATCTATACAATCTATACCACAAATTTCTTGTCATACAGATCCGGCTTTAAACTTTAAAAATATTTATGCCAGACTTGGCCGTTCCTGTCGTCTTTTAAGGCTTTGGTGATTATTACCACACTGCATTTTGTGGTAAAATGGCTCTCGTTTTTTCCATCAGGTTTAGTTGAGCACGGGCGAAATTGGATGGCCATCGCCAAAATGGTGGGCACCAAAAGTGAGGCACAGTGCAAAAACTTCTATTTCAATTACAAGCGACGACACAATCTGGACAACCTGCTCCAGCAACATAAGCAGGTAAGACATTTCGCGTCGCCCGACGTGGAATGCCATTTAAATTGCCGCGTACAAATACAAGGAGTGACTTTTGTCTTTCTCTGTCACGCAGGACACACGACGGGCTCGTGGCGAAAGGTCTCAAGGTGAAGGTCTAACCACAGCGTCGCCCGAGGATGATGACGACAATGCAGATGACAGTGAAGGTTAGAGCAACAGATGATACAAAGCACGTGCTCGCTTTTAACCCGCCACGCTTTGACACCTTGGTTTGGACTTTTATGACTGATTATCTCAGCTAGTCTGAGGGCTCATCGGAACAAGGACATAAAGTGTTTGAATTTGTTCTTGTATTGTGAAACCGCATCATTTCTAATTGCTAAGGATAGAGGACTTAAAGAGGAAGCCTGGCATAGAGCTCGGGAGACCTGATGCAACTTGTTAGCTGATTTGGCACATCGAGACCCAATTTGAATTGATGCCCGTGTCACGAATGCCCATGTAACTAATGCGCCACGGGTTTTAATGAGAGAAAGAATGATAAGAGGCTAGGGCAAAGATAAAAGATACGATTTGTCATAGTGGCGCCTGTTGCGTAACCTTTATTGCCTGTAAAGAATCAAGAAATCCCGCTGCTCGAACACAGTGTGCTAGGGCCACATGCTTGATTCAACAGGTCTGACCTCCTTTTGTTGTTGTGTTCACAAGATGCTCATAGAGTGAGACAAGAGAGACCACTGTGCGTGTGATCAGTCTTCCACAAATAGATGAATATCGGCGAGTCACGAACGCGTTTACTTGATATAATGTTTTTAATTTGAAAATGAAAACGATTTCCATCGCTGGGGCAACAGCAGGAGCTCAGAAGCATTTTTTTCCCATGCTTATTTGACTGTCTTGGGAGACTCAAACTGCCCTCTAATTTGCTTTGCAATCACCATCTTCTCATGTGACACTTTTTTTTTTTTTTTTTTATGGTTGGCCTGTAAGAACGGTATCATTTAGGTGTCCATTGAGTTCATTTGGAGGTTCAGCTTTCTGAGTTAGGTGATCAAATGCATCTTCAAAATGTTGCGTTGTCAGTGCTGCAACTACAAAGCCAAATAATACAACCCATGTTGATTATTTTTAATGCAGACTGCGACTCTTAGGTCTCACCATTATTTTAGATCGGCGTTAATTGGAAGACACAGATTTTTTTTTTTCCAATTAACAATCATGAGGGTGGTGTAAAAGTGTTTTGTCTCCGCTTTGTTGTGTCTTTGGGGCCTTGAGCTGAGCTAGCCAAACACTGATGTGACGAATAACATCAAAGATAAGACACTGTTTGTCACTTGTGTCACGTGTGCTATTTCTTGGAAAGAAATGTGTGTGGTATTAAGTAGAAGCAGCATGGTGGTTTATTATGCCACTTTTTTTTCAGTGCCGTCAAATTGTAAATCTCTTGTCTGAAATCTGTACTGTGTTCATTCCAAATCGCAGTAAATCAGTATGGCTGCCAAATCTTTTTACATGTCAAGTGTTATGTTAAGCATTGTTTGACGTGTTTATTTTCCTCCTCTTGCATCTCCAGGAGGTGACAACAGCTCTGATACAGAGAGTGCTCCCTCCCCCTCTCAAACTGACCCCACAAAGTCTGGTGACTCCAAAAGAGCGGACGGTGCTGCTGGCGATGCTCAGACCTCCGATCAAGATCCGGTTCCCGTCAGCAATGCTAAAACCTCTGACCCCTCATACGGGGGCCTGTGTGTCAAGGAAGAGAAAAGCCCAGAGGGTGAGCCGACTTCTCATGAGGAAAAGAGCAGAGTGGCTTCCTACTCCGGTGTGGTCCATCCAAAAACGGAACCCCAAGATGTGGACATGAAATCTGGAGAAGTTGAGATTAAAATGGAGCCCGAGGTCAAGGAGAAAGGAGAGAAAGGAGAACATGGCGAGCGGCAGAAGGAGCTCCACTCCGATAATGACTCCAGCGCCACCTGCAGTGCTGATGAAGATGTGGAAGCAGAGCCTGAAAGACAGAGGTATGGTTTTTCTTCATCACTATATCAATGACTGATGTCAATGATTGTCCGAGATTCATGCTTAATGTTGCTCACGCAGAATACTTTCTATGGAGAAGCCGTCTTTGCTCAACCCCGTAGGCACGGTCCTGGTGTCTTCACCCAAGCAAACCTCGCACAACCTCCAGCAGATGCATCAGCGGGCAGCTGCCATTCCACCAATGGCAAGTGATTTAGATTGGAAATACAACTAGCTGCTTGTAAATGCAATTATGAACTCAGAGAGTAAACATATGCAGGAAGTGTATTATGAAGTCATATTTCCATCATGCTGCAGTTGCCAGACGATTTGAAGCAACATTTCTCTTATTTCTGTCACAAGGTACCTGGTCCCTATGGCCATAGTCCGGTTCCCATCAGTGGTTTTGCCATGTTGCAACATCAGATCAAAGCGGTGCACGCGTCTGCACACCACGAGGAGAAGCAGAGGCAGGACCAGGGAGACCTGGAGCGCAGACCGCCCTTCAATACCCGCAGCCCGAGTCTGGTTGACAGAGATGGTAGGAGGAAAAAAAAAGCCCCATTTTGTTCTATTTCGCCTCTCTCTTGTTCAGAGCTCTTTCAGCTGCATGTGCTGCTGCTGTTTGCAATCGACTATTTATAGTGGATGCTTTTTTTTTCAGGCCGTGTTTATTTTTGTACCTTTTTTTTTTTTTAAGTTAACCCTTGGGGTTGGCCTTGCCTGTTGTACTGCTGTTCAGCCTGAATCCACACAAAGAAGGTGCTTTCTGATGCAAACACAAAGAGTTTCAGCCTGTCTTGACGCTATGCTTGAGATTGCCTTGAATGAAGAAAAGAGGTTGTGGGGACTTGTGACTTGACTGAGTCCAAATAGGCCGTTTGCTGCCGCTGTACACAAGATCATTTCTGAAGGGCAAAGAGCGAAGCCACTCTTGTCGGCTGTGTAATAGCTTCATGCAAAGCTTTTAGCACCCTTAAGTCAGCGTGCCGTAAAAGTGACACGGCTGTCAGCAAACCCCTGGGCTGTGAGAGAGCGGCTTCTGTTGCAAAAGTTTCAGTGCGTGAATAGCCAAGTAGCCATGAATGGTGTTTGCGCCCTTTTCATCTGGGTCACACTCAATGCTTCAGGGCAAGGAGTTCTCCTATTTAAAAGTGGTCGTCTTTCCCTTTGTCCTTATACCTGTGTACTGCAGGTAAGCCCCTACCCTACATGCCTTATGACATGACGTTGGCTTTGGACCAGGAGGCCCTTTCTGGTCAGCCAGGCTTCCCTTACAGACCCCCTCCCAGGGATCTAAGCAAGTCCTCACCCCAACCTGATCCCAACATCCCCAATGCTTTCTGCTACAGTGTGCCGCCAGGTAAAAGCACACATCCTCATCTTCCTCTCTTCCCCCCATTGCCTGCTCTCTCAGGCGCCTCCAAAAACATTCTACTTTCCCCTCCTAATGCTATATAGACTCCCTTTACTGAGCTAAGACTCATTAGTCTCATGTTTTGAGACAATTTTTATCTGTGAAACGGGCTTCAGGGCAGAATCCATGAAAACGTTTTCTCTTCTTTTTTTCCCCCCCACCCCTTGGCCGATTTAAAACTTGACTGTGTGTTAAGGTGTGAAATTATCAGACATCGGACTAGAAAAGAGAAATCCTGTGGCGCTTTTGGACCCTCAAATGTTAGGCTCGTCGGCAATTGAGTATTCACTACAGTACTACAATTGATTTCATTTCACTGTTCGAAATGTTACATTGGTGGCACCTAATTCTGCAGTCTAAAAACATACAATTGTCCAATACTGTATTGCACCCAGACAAGATTTCTGTTACCGTAATGGCATCTGTAGCGAGCAGTCTCGTCTGATGGGTCCAGGTTGAATTTAAAAATGTTGGGGTGAGGACCACCAGCAGCAGGCGTCCACCTAGGAGCCGCCGGCAGATCGTCACGCGGGTCATATTCCCCTGTTCCAGTCTCCAATCTCCACCAGCTTTGCCTTTGCAGTTATACGTCAAACTATATTTTTGCCACTTTTCAGTCTAAACCGACCACAAACCCTCTGCATCTTCATCTTCCAGTTTCATAAAATCACATGAAATTAATAGAACACGTTTTTAAAATAACAAAACATAGCAGAATGACGACTAAATAAAAATGGGAATCGTTTTAAAAACAAATCTGCTATTAAAAAAATAATTCTCATTGAAATGGATTTTAGATGATGACTGAATAAAATAATAGACGTGTGTATATTTGAGACTCTCAGAAATGCATTCATTGTCGAAAAACAAATCGAAAATGTCCCTGGCCCAAAGTGAGCAGAACAAAAGCTGAAATGCCTTTTTAGGACTTTTTGTTCCTCAGAACAGTATTGCCTACAAATGGTGTCTGCATGACAGCTGAAACATTGAATAACATGCATCTGTAGCACATTTTCTAAACCTTCATCTTCGACCACTAATCGTCTCTTCCAGTCAACAGCAAGCCACTTTGAGATTGAATTTGCAAGTTTGTCCAATGTTGATGTATTACTTGTGGTCCTGAAGCAGTCACCGAGTTTGGTTTGCTTCAAACTCATACCGGAAATGCTCGCGCTAACAACTCTGGTGGTATTTGTGCTCGCCGCGACATGCTTTGCATTTATCGAGAGCAGGGGTGATACTCGCGAGCACCAGGAAGCCCCCATGGCCCCACGAATCGCCTGTGAATCTCTTCTAAAAATATCTCACCAGTGATGGCACACTGTGATTTTCTAGGAATGTTATAGAAATGAAAACTGCAAATGTGAGCACTGGCTTGGATTTAAATATATTTTTTTAAGTACTTGATTTTGATATTGATCTGTATCCTAATTATTATGAGAAAGTATTTTCATCATTTTTGTCTTCATTGAAATGAATATCATGAATTGTTAATAACACACAATGATAATATTATAGCATGAACAGATTATTTCAGCATGTATCAAAGTGGTAGCCATCTGTACTAATTCGTGCCCAAAATGTAGCTCTCAATTTCAAAAAGATTGGCGACCACTGATTTACATCGCTCTCGCATCTCAGAGGCATGTTGCATCTCCCTATTCTTATCTATGGAGCCAGATGCTTGAAGCGCTTTGGTGTGATGCCAATACCAATTTTGCATTATTTTCACAAAAACACAGTTTTCATCAGAAATTGGCCTCCTATCAGCTGTAGCAACGCAGTCGAGTCATATTCAAAGCAGTTGTCAGTGGTACTTTATTTACCTATTGGTTTTTGTTTCATTGTGCAGTTGTTTTTTGTTCCGGGGGTTTGGGTGGCTCGCTCGTAAAACCAGATTCCTTTGATTGCTCTGTTTGGAACATCCTCAGCAGCACTAAAATGAATCGGATCATGGTTGCCTTTGTCACTCTATTGGCACGGTGACTACTTAGATGGAAATCATCAGCTCCTCACATGCAAATACTCTTCGGGACTCAATGAATGCATTCTATGCTAGTTGGAGGTTTTCTCTCTTAGGAAATTGAATTTGTCTGATATCCCTGACTGGTTGATTTAATTGGTGCAGTTATCTTTGTACCCGTTCTCCCAACCTGACTGGAATAGTCCTTTGTCATTTTGAAGGTATGGATAAGTATTGATGGTTTTTGGGTCACATAGTTCCTTACTTAAATTGAACTCTAAATTGAACTTGTGTGTCTCAAATTTGCCACAATACATACGTGACCTTGACACTACTAGCCACGTACAACCAACAACGTGCAACGTTAAGGTCCATCCCCAAATAAGCAAATCTTTGAATGATGAAGATGACTGCTCACTTCAGCTCAGTATCAAAATCATGAAACTCTTCATGCCTCCAAGGTGGTGCATTTTTATCCCCCTACAAATGTAAATGCTTTACATTTCATGATGCCAGTGGAGTACCAATTCATGCATCATTGTATTATTATATTTTTTTTTTGGGAGGGGGGTGGTGGGGTATTTGGAGTGGGCGTTGTCCTGTGTGGCAGTACTTATGACACATAAAGGTAACGGCCACTCTTTCCACCTCAGAGATTTATGAAGATTATTTTCTCACCAGCATAAATGCCATCCAAGTTGGAAGTGGAAGAAGTTTGGCAGTTGTTTCGAGGAAAAAAAAAACCCATGAAGAGTAAAGAACATGAAGTATGCAATATCTGTGTGGTATCCAGGAACACTTAAGCTTTCCCAGATCAGAGTTAATGTTGCAGTGGTTGGTAATGTGAAAGGACGCAGGAGAAATGCACTTAGTGCAGGTCTTGCATTAGCAACCATATTCTGGCTTTGGCCAGCTAAAAGTTGGCTGCCATACAGTAATGTGTGCACTGCAATGAGAGGAGGTTAAACTTGTGCTGTATGGAAGTGATGTCATAACCTGCACTGTTAAACCATTCCCATTTTCCGCCATTGCTTTTGTGTCCTAATGTAATCTCCTACTAAAGTGAGGGTTTTGTGCAATTCGCCAAGTACTGCAGCTGAAAGCCCAGTTCAATGTTGGCGCCTCTGTGTCTTGTTACACACATTGGAAATGGGTGAGGATGGAGTCTTACAGTTGTGGTGCAGGAAAGGTTTGTGGCTCATCGGGTTCGTTAAGGTGTGGGAGACCACTCTTTCAACATTAAGTGGATTAACAAAAAAAATCCGTACACCCTTGTGCAAATGTCCGTTTTATGTGAGATTAAAATTGTCAATTGTCATGGTTACCTTTGAGAGCAAATGGTCAAAGATCACACATTAAATTGGTTGTTAAAAAAAAAAAGCGTTAGCTTTGATTTTGATTCTAAAGTTGTAGATTGCCGAAGTAAATGTTTTGTAATCCATATGTTATCTAATACTCAGCAAGAGTGACCGTTTTTTTTCCTCTTCTAATATTCTCTTCAGTCCTCCACCCAGCCCCCAACCAGCTGATCCAAAGTCTGCCCGATGGAGCACGGATGGCTTTCAGCAGATCCAGTCGACCGCCTAACATTCCCTCTCCTCCTCCTCTCATTCCAACCACCAAACCCACTGACAAACCGTCCTTCATTCATGGGGGCTCAATATCTCAGGTAAGAAGAGCGTGCAGACGGACACAATGGTAGTCAGGACTTTTTTTCTATTATTTTGTCCATTTACACGTTTTATGCCACATTTAAATTTCTGGCTTTTCTCAATACAAATGAGTCAATCTGATCATGACTTGTCCGCTATTTTAGGGAACGCCAGGCACATACCTGCCTTCACATGCCATCTATGGGCCTGACGGGAGTAAGAACACTGTGGGCTCCATCTCTTTGGGCCTGCCTCGACACCAAGATCCCAACAAATCTGGTAGGCAATCCACATGTAGCTACAGTTACGCTCAAAATGATTTCTCTCCCATTGCAAATTCGGGCCACAACTCAAGATTATTTCAAGACGAGAGAGAGAGTAATTTGCGGTGACTCAAGACCATTTCCAAATAACACTGCACAACTAATATTATGAGCATGCACTGTTCTGTGAAAGTAGCTATCTTGCAAGTAAATGTTTACTAGGCATTGAATAATTTTGAGAAAGTGGTTCTGATGTCATTACTTTTTGCTTTTTTTTTTGTACTAATGGACACTTAAACTGTTGTAAGGACTAATTTGACCTACTTTTGCAGGTCCATCAATACATGATGGTCGAGGAAATCCGTCTAAAATGGGCGACAACCTGGCTTTCAGAGGATCAATCACTCAGGTAAAGATGACGAGACGGCAAAAGTATTCAAATGTGTTCTTTCTGAACTATGTTCCTTGATGTTTTTTTTTTCTTCTACTTCCTTTTCCAGGGCACACCAGCCCTTTCCCAATCTACTGTTGCTGCTGACCTGCTGAAGGGCACCATCACAAAACTGGCCACAGAAGACTTGGGTAACTCTGACAAGGCCAGGGACCAACTGGCTAAAGGTCATGTTATTTATGAGGGCAAGAGTGGTCACATCCTCTCTTATGATGGTGAGCACTCTGACTAGGTTTTTAACAATGCGTGGATGTATCCCGTGAACAAATACACAGATGTAATTTTAATAGTATTTGTCCAAAAGCCATCAAGAACCCAAGGGAAAATACCCATAGTCCCAGAACTGGCCTTGAGTTGAAACGCACTTATGACATGATGGAGGGACCCATCAGCAGGGGCCACCCTGGCAGGGAAGGAGCTCCATTTGAAGGTACTTTGGTGCGATTGTACAAATGCATACACTGTACACTATTGACTGAGTCTAAGTGCCAATTCTGTATAACCAAGACTGAGCCTGTTTTTGCACAGGTTTGATAAGCAGAGCTTTGCCCAGAGAGGGCCTCCATGGAGATTCTAAAGACCGACAAATAATCACTGGCTCGATCATGCAAGGTAACAAATTACAAAGTTGCCCATTTTTGTTGGGCACTGAAGAAGAAATAAAATATGCGCTTTTCACCTTTTAGGAACACCTAGAACTGCTGCAGAATCATACGAAGATGTTATGAAATATGGGAAGCAGATTAAAAGAGAGAGCCCACCTATCCGCTCCTTTGATGGAGGAATTGGCAAAGGAAAGCCCTACGAGGGAGTTAACACCATCAAAGAGACTGGACGCTCCATTCATGAAATCCCACGACAAGACCAGTCTGGCCAGGACCTCAGAAAGACCCCTGACCTCTCTGATAGGAGGGTCATAGAAGGTTCCATGTCTCAGGTTAGACTTTTTCAAACGGTGGATTATTTATTTCTGTCATTCAATTTCCCTTGAACTCATTTCATGCCAAAACATAAAAATACATTCGCAAAAAACCTATCATTTAGTGCCAAAACGTAGAAACACATTTTGGGTGTTGTTTTTAATTAAAAATACATTAATAAAGGGCTTCGCTCACCTCCTCAGTCAGTATCGAGGCTGTGGGAATGTTTCAGTCTGATAAATAACCACTAGATGGTAGGAGTGGCTTTGATCAGATCTTGGTCCACACAGTGCGAGTGGCTGTGGGTGTGGCATGGTGATCCTGCATTTCGAGGTAGGTGACGTGCAGAAGCAGTGTGGTGGTGAGGACATGGATAAATACCAGCAGCTAACTCTACAACAGATATTTTTCAAATCCAAAAAAGATGACCAAGTCCCATCGTGATCCTTGATGAACACGTGCACACATGCATGCACACGTACACGCAAACACACAAAGTTCAACATTCATGAAAAGTTCATGCATAGGTTCATGCATCACTGCAGTGCTGATCTTGCAATAATCTGTTATTTTACAATCAAAGTGACCTTTTTTGTTGTTATTTAGTTGGAAAACATTTTTTTAGATGTTTGACATACCAGAAATCCAAAAACAAAATGGTGAAGTTCTGCTTGAAATGCATCCTTTGACAAAAACATCTTTTTTAACTGCTGTTTACTGAAGCATGGTAAAGGGTAGAAATTTACTTTTTTTCTGATGAACAAAGAGGTTTAAAGCTTTCTTTTTGGTACGTTCCATGCTTATATAGCTAGAGAACTCAGTTTTCTACAGGCCTTCAAAAATTAGTCAAAATGGTAAAAAAATACCTGGCACCGGCTCTCCTTATTTGAGAAAAACGGCTGGCATTAAATGAGTTAATTTCATTTTATAACAATTGCCAAGGTAACCGAAGTCTTTTGGATATATTTGGTTCGACATTACGGTATGATCATGATCTGTGTTTCTCCTAGATTCACTCTCTGAACCAACCTACAATCAAGCACAATGTTAAGTCCCTTATCACCAGTCCCAGTAAGCTTTCCCATGGCCTACCCCAGCTTGAAGCCATGGAAAGAAGCAAGTACGAGGAGAGCAAGGCAGTGCGCCACACCTCAGTGGTCAACTCCACCACCTCTGTCCTGCGCTCCACACACCAAGAAGCTGCAAAATCTCAGCTCAGCCCAGGCATGTACGAGGACGCCAATGCTCGCAGGACCCCTGTGAACTACAGCTCCAATTCCGTGACCAGAGGTTCACCCATGCTGGGACGTTCATCAGACGGTATTTGCCACATGCAGCATATTCACAATAATTTGAATGTTAGCAATCTAGCCAGTATGATACCATTTCAATCAAAATTGGTGAGCCTTACTTGATTACAAAAGTTGTGTCTCCCTCTCACCCACAAAGGAGCAAAATCTGGTGCACATGAAAGAAAGAACGCCATGACCCCCACGCAGAGGGAAAGTGTCCCAGCCAAGTCCCCAGTGGCGGGTGGCGACCCCAGGGCTTCTCACAGCCCCTTCGACCCTCATCACCGGCCGGTTGTTCCAGGGGAAGTGTACCGAGCCCACCTGCCTCCACATCTTGACCCCAGTATTGCCTTCCACCGAGTGATTGATCCTGGTATTTTGTTTGAAATCCCTTACATCACTTTAGAATCACCGCTCATATACAGTCAGTACTTCGCTTTCCGAATCGATTTCTGACTGGCTTTGTACACTTTGCCTAATGAGCCTTGCTATTGTTATCCTTGAAGTGACGTCACACTTCCGGATTTGACTCACTTTGGGAAAACGATTACTTTGTCGAATTTACGAAATCGAAATGATTTTTTTCATGCTTTCATGTATTTTGTTTAATTACTTTACTCGTGACAAAAACATTTAATTTGGGATTTTCTAAAATTACTTCACAGCTGACCTTTAAATGATCTAATGACAAAAAATAAATAAATACTTTAGTACTACGTACGGGCTGGCAGTCACATATACATCGTGCTTAAATTGCCAAGTGGGCATTTTCTTTCCAAGCTAGCCCTGTTAGCTAAAATTTGTATAGTATTACCTAAAGCTGTAAAAGCTTTTTCAAGCTAGGAAATGTTATGTATCAATTACGGAAAGGGTAGAGGTAGCTTAATGTCATTGTAGCGCCTGTTTGCTATTTCTTGACCTAGCCTTTCTTGTACGGAATATGAAGCACGTGCAGCATTGTTTGGTGCTGGAAAAAACAAGTTCAGCAGTGAATACAGATCATGTGGATTTGAATCGTTTCCCCTCCTGCGCTCCACTGTGTTGCAGCCTTCATGTTTCCCAGACAACCATCTCCAACTGGCTACCACAACACATACCAGCTATACACCATGGAGAACACGCGGCAGACCATCCTCAATGATTACATCACTTCTCAGCAGATGCAAGTCATCCCCCGGCCTGATATGCCCCGTGGGGTGTCACCGCGGGAACAGCCTGTTTCTATCCCGTACCCAGCTGGAGCTCGAGGTATGGTTCTCCACCAGCTGGCACTCTCGTACCCGGACAAGACACCCTGGTTGGGAGGGGCCCTAGTTTGCACACTTTGTTGCTGTGACATAGTAGTGGATACCTTTTGCAGATGTCCAGAAGCAAATGACCTCTTCGACATTTTGCTTATTTTAAATAAGGCTGCAATATATCCGGCTCTGTTTTAACAATTGATAGCTGTGATTCAAAAAAACCCACTCTGCAAGTGGTTGCCTCGTCTTGAAACTTTCTCGCAGCCCTGCTTTCCTATTACCAAACTTTTTGGTAGCACTGACAGATGATGGTGATGGGTTTATGCAGTGCTAGTACATTGAGAAAAAAATGATTTGGTTTCTATTGTTCACCATTGGCCCTTTGCTTCTGTCTGTAAAAGGGATAATTGATCTAGCCCAGATGCCTCCAACTATCCTGTTGCCTCACCCTGGGGGAACAGGTACTCCCACTTTGGAACGTATCGCCTACCTCCCCGGAGCTCAGCCCCCTTTCACTACTAGGGCTTTCAACCCAACCTCCATATCGCCAGGTGAGGATTCCATCCCCAATACTTACACGCCATCTTCCCTTAATTTCCTCGCCGCAATCTTGTGTTCCTTCACGCCTCTCATGGCGTGCAGACCTGCACAAGGGTGTCCAAGGTCAGTTCTTTCCTGTCCAGACTAAGTGTAAGCATAAGTCATGAATGATGTAGTCAAAAGTAGACAGTAGCGTTCACGCTTGGTATAAACATGCAACTCTACTCACGTATCCAATGACATCTAAAAATAGTAAGCACTACGTGACTGGGCTGTATTGACCCAAATCAGTTAACTCATTCAGTACCAGCCAATTCTGGACCAAGTCTGAAAAGACGTTGAAAAACGTCTTTGGGAGTGAATGAGTTAAGAAGCTTCCTGTAGTGGTTATGCATGGCGCGACACATTTTTTGTTTACAGTAAAACTTTGTGCCTGGGCCGTGACATGACAGCTGTGCATGAGTGCAGGCCACCAGAGGTTCGAACTGTTTGAAAACGCATGTCGAGACATGCTATTATTATCCCTGCAGGAAGCTTCGTGATGTCACCCTCAATAATACTGACTATTGGTAGGCCTGTCACGATAATTACTTTATCGACTTATCGCTCGATGAGAAAAAATTAACATGATAGTTTTTTGGGGACTCAATAAATAGTCATTTACATGCGTGTTTGTTTAAATACATCATTAACGTCCACTTGCGTCGCTTCGTTGCCTCTTCTCTCAGTCAACCTGCTCGTTCGCCGCCGTGCGAGTGCCAACTCACACGGGCACATAACACGAAGGGTGGAGCTGCTGTTGAAACCCGATTAGACCGTTCGGTTTGTATGTGTGCCATCTGTTCGTAGGCACACGCGACCCTTTCTGTCATCTATTCATGAGCCGGCGCAAAAATGCGCATTTGCTTACAGCTAACCTCTATGGTGCCTTTTTTGTACCATTTCATTTTTTGATTATGTACCATTGATTCTGGGAACATTCATTGAAAGAATTGACAGCGTGACCAGCGCAACGAGTTTATCTCTTCAATGCAGGTGCATCGAGGGGGCTTTGAAATCGCTATTAAAACAAACATGTCAGTCCACCATCATTATATCAGTGGCCTTAAAAAAACCCCGATACGATCGTTTATTCGGAAACCTTTTTTTTTTTTTTTTTAATCATGACAGGCCTTACAGTTGGCGAACAATTCAATAATTCCGGTTCACCCCCAAAAATCCCATTTGCGTGTGGTATAATGAATAAATAAACCTGTCTGTCTTTATTTTACTCTTAGGTCACCAAGCCCACCTTGCTGCTGCGGCTGCCGCTGCCGCAAGTGCGGAGAGGGAACGAGAACGCGACCGTGAGCAGCAGGAGAAGGAGAGGGAAAAAGAAAGGGAGCAGCAGCGGGATCGAGAAATGCGAGAGCGGGCGAACGATTACATTCGTGGAGGTGAGCGTATTCTCATGAATCAACATTTTGAACATAAATGTTCTCCTTTCTCTTCACCTAGTTTATTTCGAAAAGCAAAGGCACGCTATCACCACAACATTAGCCCGATGATTGACATTGTTGGAATGTGCATTTTGTTTTGATCAGGTGGCGTTGAGCAACCAGGCCGGCCAGGAAGCCGAGGCTATCTGCATTCTCCTTCCCCTTCACTCAGAACGCAGGAAGTGGTTGTTCAACAGCGACCAAGCATCTTTCAGGGCAAAAGTGTCATCACTTCTTTAATGTAAGTCAAACCAGCTTGATCTGATCTGGATTCATGCATGCCTTTTACATGTGATCTCAATTTCAAATAAAAAGGAAATAGAATGCATGACAACAATAAATGCATCATTGCTTAAAGGGTTCTCTGAAAACGCTCCCAATTTTATTTTTAGGCCTCATTCCTCAGCAGCAACAGCTGCAGCCCAGAGTAACTCTCGCTACAGTACTGCAGCTGACGCACTGGCCGCTTTGGTGGACATTGCCGCCTCTGCCCCACCCGTGGATGTGACCAAAGTGAAGGAGAGCAAACGGGATGAGCGGGATGACGACTTGTGCTCGGCAGCTCGGAGAACAGCAAGCATCTCGGAACAGCAGCAGGAGCCAGACCGGCGATCCGTACCATATGGTGCTATGTCTCTTCCGGGGGGGAAGCCCCACCCAGCGTACCCCGAGGGTGTTGGCGTTAAAGATAAAGGGCCACAAACCTCAAAGTCCCGCATTGAGGAAGAGCTTCGAACCCATGGAAAAACGACCATTACGACCGGTAACTTCATTGATTTCATCATCACCCGAAAGATCGCTTCAGAAAAAGACTCCCGAGAGCGAAGCTCTCAAAGCTCGGACTCCTCAAGTAGCTGTGAGTTTATGAGAAGCTATCGCAACCTGTATTATCAACTGAGAAATATGCAGCATTTGTATCTATCAAGATTACCAAATTTTCAAAACATTTTGTTTTTAATACACAATCCAGTGTCATCAAACCGATACGACAACACTGGCGGAGGAGCCATTGAAGTGATAAGTCCTGCGAGTTCCCCAGTCCACTCCCAACAGGAAAAAATGGACGAAGGCCAGCAGACGGCAGGTACGACCACGCACATGCACCCAGGTAGTTAGTGGACAAGCCAATGCCAAAATCCACACAGCATCAAAATTATACATACAGGCTCAAATATAGACATGACGGCAGTATATTTTGGTTGAATGTGCCTTAGCGAGTGTCATCTCTGCCAGACACATTTTGTATCTTTCACAAAGTTTCGAGCATAATTCAAGATGGATATTTGACCACTTTACTTTGGCAGAATTTTGAAAGTTCATTTAGAAATATAATTCTGCTGACAGCCTGCTAACTTTCAATGGAGCCAACGCATTGAAGAGAACACCCAGGGCACCCACATATCGGCACCTAACCAGTCAGAGGGAAGCTGTTGGCCAGATAAAACTGAGGAGAGCAAGGAGAAATAAACTTGTGCCTCTTAGAGACCCAATCAAAGCGAAGCTTATTTACATACGCAATATTTATTCATATGAATGAGAAAATGAACTATTCAAAATCGGTTATTTCCGACCAACCAAAATAGTCTTGCTCATTTCCAACCCAAATTATCTTGCAAACCCAAGAAAAGGATATCACAGACTACCTTTTGTTACGCTAAATGGTCCCCTTTTAAAATTTAAGATGGATCTTGTATAATCATTCCACCAAAGAAAAAGAAATACAATCGATGTCAAGTGCTGATGTCAAATCAATGCATTACTTCACCCTGACTCACACCACATCATTCATGCTGTGTTCCCGAATCCGATTAGCTGGCATGCGGGTTTATGACTTGAGTCGATACCGGCCTTCGGCAGATCCACCACAACCCAGTTCCCAGCATCCCCCTTCATCCCAGGCTGACAGCTATTCTCAAATCCCCAAGACGCATCGGGTCATGACCTTGGCAGACCACATTTCGGTAGGAAATACGCGTGACGTACTGTAAACTGGATATACCATAAAGATGAAAACTGACCTGGTTTTGTCATCCTTCCCTTTTGTGCCACCCAGCATATTATAACGCAAGACTTTGCGCGGAATCAAGACGCCGTGTCCTCTTCAGCCTCCACCACATTCCAGAGCACGATGCCACCCGTGTCTTCGTCGAGTCGAGCCAAGGTGCCCAGCCGCTACAGCCCTGAGAATCCAATCCAGCCCCCGCATCATCACCGTCCCCCCAGCAGGGTTTCCCCGGAGAACACCACAGACAAACCCAGATCTCGGTACAGAAACGGACATTTCATCATTGAATCATCGGCGCGAGACAAAATTATCACCCATAATCATGACAACTTGCCTCGGATCTTTTTCCCCTTTTCCAGTCCTGGCAAGTCTCCAGAGAGAGGTGGCAGGCAGATGGAGAACTATGAACCCATCTCCCCACCGCAGAGCTACCAAGGCCTGGAAAAGCAGGAGACTGGTGGGCCTGCACCCCAAAGGCGAGAGGCGGAAAACTCTGAGATCAGGTACGTGAGCTGCACAGACCAGAATGCGGGAAAAAAATCAAACAAACAAAAAAACGAAACGCTTTTCTGATTATTTTTCAAGGAGTGACTCACGGTCCCCTGGGAGTGTCAGTTATCTGCCGGCCTTCTTCACCAAACTAGAGAACACCTCCCCTATGGTGAAATCCAAAAAGCAGGAGATCTTTCGTAAGTTGAACTCCACCTCTGGTGTTGGTGATTCTGATGTTGGTAAGTGGGGCTTCTCGTCTTCATTTCGCCTTAACCCACAATGCATGCACCCAAGGGTGAAACAAGTCGTTTGTGTGTGTGCAAGGGAGGGCACGTGTGTCGTCTTCACTGGCTCTATTTGACTTTCAAGCTCATCAAACCATGTCGTTACATTGATGTATTAGTTTGTGATTTTCAACAACTAATTGTGTCTTACAGGAAATGCTCAGCCAGGAACAGAGATTTTCAACCTGCCCGCTGTCACCAGCTCCAGTAAGTTACAAAGATACGTTTGAATGTGGCTATTTTAAATAATCCACCTATGATCTCGTGAGCTGAAGTCTGGGCTCGGCTCCAGCACGACAGAAAAGAGCTTCTATTTGGTCGGGATCAACATTTCTCATTGTATATTTTGTCGCATTGCGATTTCTAGGCAGCATCAACCCGAGGAACCACTCCTTCAGTGACCCTGCCAGTAACCTGGGCCTGGAGGACATAATCCGTAAAGCCTTAATGGGTAACTTGGAGGACAGACCGGAGGAGCACCAAGGCACCATTAGCAACTCATCCAACGCAAGCAGTGACACCCGCCAGGAGGCCAGCCCGTCGCCAAGCATAGGTACATGCTAATTGTTAACTCAGCCTTTACCAGGGGTGGCCAAGGTATGTTGTACGGGCTGGATGAGGCCTACTGTGTTCTTCAGTCCAGCCCACTGATCATTTACAGCACAGATGTTCAACTCGAGGCATGTGAGGACCTGATTCCTGTGGCCCACTTCATGTTTTTTGCTGAATTCTATTCCAAAATTGCAAAATATCTTTATTTTTATATTGACATCAGTTAATTATGTTAACTTCAGCTAATGCATGCATTTTTGTGACCAAACCTCTTTTTCCAAATGAACTGAAACAGATCTGAAGTATTTTTCTTAACTTCTGATTTCAAAATGAGCTATCCATTCAATTGTTGAATATGATGAGGTAATTATATATACATCTTAATGGTTTCAGAGTCATATTGGCCCTCTGAGAGAAACCGTAAACTCCATGTGGCTGTGGCCCGTCACAGAAAATTTTGACACCTCTGATTTACAGTATTAAAAGTCCTGTAATGTGCTTCATTATTTATTCTTTATTCATCTCAATAAGTCATTTATTAATTTTTGTCATTGAAATAAAATTTTATGACATAAAATAAACTACCTATTAGAGTATTTTTTTCCTAAATAATTGGTTTATGATTTAAGTTATTAAATACTAACATTTTAAAATACTTAAAAGAATGAACGATTTAACTCTTTCAATCACGCAACAAATAAAATAGCTTTATGCGCAAAAATTGGGTAAACTTTTTTTTTTTTTACTTCATTGGATAATTTTATTGGTTTATTGTAAATAATAAAGCTATAGATTTCGAAATTATTGGTTGATGAAAAAGTGTAAGATGGAAGAGTGGAATTTTTCTGTACATTTTCTAATTGTTAAAAAACAAATATAATCTATGAATAAATGGTCCGTCCATCTGTCCATTTATTGAAGAATCATATGTGGCCCTTGTGCACAAATGTTTGCCCTGGTTTAGTCTATACATGACATACTTTTCAGGGGGGGAAAAAAAATTAACATGTTGCTCCTTGGCCACACCCACAGTGAAGCAGAAGCAGGGCAACAAAGCCAACAGCCGGAAGTCAAAGTCTCCTAACCTGGGTCAGGTCTACTTGGGAGGAGATCGCCCCTCCTCAGTGTCCTCCGTACACTCCGAGGGAGACTATCACAGACAAGCACAAGCCCAATCCCAATGGAGTTGGGATGACCGACCTTCGTCGGCAGGTCAGTCAGTCATGTCTGTTTAATGCTGGATAAAGGCATTCTCAAATGTCATTTCCGTACATATCGTCTTTCTCGTTCCAGGTTCCATGCAGTTTCCTTACAACCCACTGACCATGCGCATAATGAGCAGTACGCCACCCACCTCCATATCTTCCCCCTCCATCCAGAGTCAGCAGCAGCCACAGCAGCCACCTCCTACTGGCGCTCCAGTGGGCCAACAGCGTGTGTGGCCGCCTCTGATGTCAGAGCAATACGAGGCCCTGTCAGACAGCGATGACTGAGCCTGGCCCGCAGGAAGGGATTAAAAGAGACCCGAGATGAGGCGGTATCTCTTCCACCCCCTCCAGGACACAAAAGTGTCACGTAGACAGGATGATGTCCAATTCTTTCCTGGTGCTATGGCGCCCCCTAGCTGTAAGCTAAGTGTACAAGCAGCCGACGAGCGACTGGGCTCTCCCGAGACTCACTTTTGGTTTGGAAGCCGCACCCAGTCTGGTGGGGAGGTGAACCCGACTGAGGAGATGACTTGTGATATAGTGAAGCTGATATGTAAAAAGAGACTTTGTTTAATTTCTGTAAAGCTATAACTCATCTTCAAAAAAAATCCTTTTATGTAAATAGAATAACCTTTTTGCAGTGTTTTTCTTAACTTGATTATTTCTTATTTTAACCCACTCTATTGCTAAGTGAAGAAGGTGTGTGATCTTGAATGCCACCAATGGTTTTTCCCTGGCTCCTTTCCCAAACCAGCGTCCACCTTGACGTGTGATTTATTGTTGCTCATGTGACACAACGGAGGTGGTTTCTTCCTGCGGCACTGTCTGGATACGAAAAACATCCAAGGACATGCAGTGCTCAAAATTTAAACCGTTTTGATATTTGGTTATGTTCACGCCCCGTGTGTGTGTCATTTTCAACAAAAGTGGATAGAATCCATCCCACGTCAGTACGTTCGAGACAGGGAAATGTCTTCGAGGAAACTTGTGAACACTGGTCTCAGAACTAAAGAGTGACGCGAATGAGGAATAGCGTGACCCTGTCTAATAAATGAAGTGAGCCAACCCCCACCACCGCCACCACCCCCACTCCCCCAACCCCATAAAGCTGACAGGGGTAACATGTTGCTGTTTCTGCTGTTTCCACCATGTTCAAAATGTTGTGCTCTAAAATGTTGTCACAGTTTAAACCGGTCTGGAACATTTGTTTTGCCCCCACCCCCCACACCTATTTTTTTTTTTATGCTTTTGCCATGCCTTGTGACTTGAGAGGGGAAAAAGGCAGCTTTAACTAGTTTTCTCAGAGATATTCTTCAATGTTTATTTCAATTTTATTTCCCTATTGTACCTTTTTTCATAAGTCTCAGAAACAATCCGTTGCAAATTATGACCCACTTTACCAAACAAAATGGTCTGCACCATATTTGCACTTTTTTGCTTTGTAACTAACAAAAGGCGTACTACCTGCTGTCTGTATATTCACGAATAATTGGTAGTATTCAGCATTTTTTCCCCCCACCACTCGCAGACCTTAATAGTCTTTCACCTGTTTCATCATTCTGCAATCCTTAATGGTAACTGTACTTCTGAGTACATGGTACCATATTATCTTTGAGATTGCAATTGTATTTCCATGATGTTAAATAATGGGACTGAAACAAGCCACATTGCAAATGTCATCTTCAACTTTCACTTAGCTATTTTCAAGTCTCTCATCCTCCATACTTGATGTGTTTTGTCACCCGTTCAAAAAGCTTTTTAATTATCTCACGACACATGATCAGATGATTCTATTCTGGCAGTTTCCACATATTTGTTTGTTTTGTGTCCTGTTTAGATGGGATGGTTGCTGTTTACAAAGGCATTGGCAGAAAATGTTTACAAACTTGAATTTCCTAGAAAGCTGACTTGAAGCCGAAAAAAAATTGGAGCATCTTCTCAAGCTAGAAAACCCGCGTGACATTTTTTTGTCTTTGAAATTCAAACTTGAAAACTTATCCACTTCGATGTTGAAATGCAATGATGAAATGCAATGATTGTATGGCACAATGTCTTTTAGTTGGCTATTATAAGAGTTCAGACCAATCAAATAAAGTGGTTCTTTTTTTTCCACGACAGAAAAATGTCAGTCCTTGTAGCAACACTCTTCTTGTTCCATATGGCCTCGTCAGTCGTTTGTCAATAAGGTGTACACATTAATTTTTATGTTCACTTTGTGCAAAGAAAGCCAACACATATCAGAAGAACAGTAAATGCCTTCTTAAAAAACTATGAATTTGTCTAACAGTTTAGAGTGGATAATGTTACAATAATAATAATAATAATAATACATTACATTTATAAGCGCCTTTCAAAACACTCAAGGACACTTTACAATCAAAACAAGAACAATAAAACCACAGATATAATATCCTTGCATTGCTAAATTCATGTAACCTGATACCCTTTCCATATTTACAAGGTAGAGGTATATTTCACAGGATATAACATGATTTAGAACAATAAAAACACTGACAAAGTCAATATTTTCTGTTTAATTATGTCTTTACTGGAGGTCTAGAAGAACAGTGTTGAAGAAGCCATTTAACGTGCAGTGTCTGAAAGCACAGTGGGTCCTCGGGTTACGACTGAATTCCGAGCTGCGACGGCAACTTAACTGGAACATGCACGAAAGTCGCAACGTGGTCCATCGCTCTAGCGCGAGTAAAGTGACGTCATGAACTTTGACAGTCATTCAGGGTAAAACGTTTGTTTGTATGTATGTATGTATGTGCACGCGCGTGTGCCAATGGCAACATAAGATGGCTGCCCTATGGCTTGAACCGGGAGTCCATTCATAACCCCTAACCGGAAATCTTTAACCGGAGGACGTATTCCATTGGCTGGATGACTTCCGGAAATAGACGTCTTCATGTAGAAAAATGCCCGCCGTCCTACCTGCAGTGGCAGAACAGCTTTTTCGAGATATCCGTAAAACATACCAGGAAACTGCTCAAAGTAAGTTGGTAGATGCATTTAAAGTGCCTTCAGAAATACTTTCGGAGCACGGACCGGTTCATTGAGACCGTTTGGAAACTCGGTGCTTTGCTTTGGTCTAATTTCCTGTTTGGAAATAAAAATTGCACCAAAAACGGAGCACCAGTGCGCTCACGATGCGCTCTGACTGAGAACACGGGGCGCTAGTGCAACATGCAATTCAAATGGAAGTTATTTCAAGCACAAACTTCTGATTGGCCGAGAACGTAGGCTGCCTTCGGGAATTAATGGGGAACGGAGCACACTCTGCCTCTCCGAACACAGGCACTGTCAGAGTAGTGCACGGATGTTAGAGTGAATTTGAGGACGCACCCATAGATAGCACAATACAGTACTAAGTTGGTTTATTCCCCCCGCAACAAAGTCAGCTTAGTTCCATTTTTATTCAAATTCGTTTGACATAACGTCGCGCAAATTGTGTTTGTTTGGAATTAAAATAAAGCTATCTGTTCCACTTTTTAAATGTCATGATTCAAGTGAATACTACCAAGTCTGACTTGTTTAAATAAATATGTCTTGTATTGTCTTTTTTCCAACGAGATGAAGTTTCGTATTTGTAGCTGTAGGAGGCGCTGCTGTTTCATATTCCTCACTCAATAAGCGTAAATCATTTTCACCTTCGTATAATTATAATGCTTTAATTCATTTGAGAACAACTTCATCAGACTTGAGGTAACTTATGTAAATAGTAGAAAAAGTCAAATAAAAAATCGTCATAGCTGCGTGATTCTGAATGGAACCTTCAGTATTGTACATAACGTTTTTGGAACGTGTTGCAGCCATAAAATTCTTAGTTAATGGTTCATAAGTTCATGATTGTTTGCTAAAAACAAGAACGTTTTTGGTTTGAACATTACGTATCTTGGTGTGTAGTCAATTAAATATAGATTGAACATGATTTGCAAATCATTCTATCCTGTTTTTAATTGTGTTGAACACAAAGTCCCAACTTCATTGGAATTGAATTTCTACTATGTTAAACTATTACGCTTGATGCTTAGCTCCTCTGTTGTGTTAATCGTGCAAGTGACGCATAGGACCGAAGCAAAGTAGAATTCATAATAAAATGTAATCATTGAAATGTATCAAATTATATCATGAATATACAGGGCCAGTACGGGTTCTGGCAGGGCCACCCCATCTTGGCTCACCACCCAAAAAGGCTTAATAAGGGACCTTGCTTTAGATTTTATCCCAACTGGCCTGATTGCTAGAAGCTGAAGAATATCAGCTAAGGATGATAATTGTGACTACAGGAGTAGCAGCAGTGTCATTATGTTCATGTTTTTCTTTTACAGTTCCTGATGACTTACTGATTGCGTAAGTACTAATCCTCCGAACTAATCTGGGCTCGTGACGAGTCCAGAGTGTTCCCTGCCCTTTGCCCAAAGTCACCTCAAATAGCGCCACCATACCTGTGCTATGTCCTTTTAGAAAATGGATCGTGTGCGTGTTTGTTTTTAAATTTACACAAAGTAGTTATTCACTTGAGAGTGATCTCTTCTGGAAAGTCTTACAGTGACAAATATTAGCTGAAACTCCTCGCTGCCCATCTTAAAACCCGCCTCAAAACTCACTTGTATTCTTTGGCATTTGACTCAGCATGACTTAGATTTGTTCTTGGTTTTGCTGTTCGGTGCTTTCTACCGTCTTTATTACCGATTTGCTTTACTGTTTGTTGTATATGTTAAATTGCTCCACGTACAGCACTTTGTATGCAGCGATGGCTGTTTGAAAGTGCTCTATAAATACAGTTGAGTTGAGTTGAAACAAAAAGTCATGCTGATGGCTCATACCAAGACATTCCCAGCTGTGTGGTTTGACTTCTTGTCAGTGAATTGAATCTCACTGTCCGGCTATGGAACCACATCCTTTCTCTGAGTCAGCATACTTTGGTTTAGCTGCTCTTCATATTTTGCCCTCGTGAGTAAATCTTCCCCAAATTTACACTGAAGACTGGTCTGACGAAAACAGCTTTTTGTAAATGAGCCGACATTTTTCATGTGCCCTTGACGTCAATCACAAACAAATTAATTCATCCTTCATTTATCCCATCCATCCATTTTCAAGAGCCCTTTCCCTCATCAGGGTTGCAGTTGAGTTGGAGGCTATCCCAGCTGACTTTGGAGAATAGGCGTGGTGCACGCTGGACTCGTGGCCCGTCAGATTTCGTCTTCAATAAGCGTTCCATGCATGTGTTTGCAATATAGAAACAACAAAAGCTAACCACCGTTGAACCATGCCGCCCTCGTTTGAATCATCAAAGGAAGAAGTGACACGCTTGTACAATACGATACAATACATCTTTATTTATATTGTGCTTTCACAACAGCTGCAGCTGTAACAAAGCGCTTTACACAACACTTAACATAATGAATAGTAGAAAAAGTCAAATAAAAAATCGTCATAGCTGCGTGATTCTGAATGGAACCTTCAGTATTGTACATAACGTTTTTGGAACGTGTTGCAGCCATAAAATTCTTAGTTAATGGTTCATAAGTTCATGATTGTTTGCTAAAAACAAGAAAGTTTTTGGTTTGAACATTACATATCTTGGAGTGTAGTCAATTAAATATAGATTGAACATGATTTGCAAATCATTCTATCCTGTTTTTAATTGTCCCAAAAAGTCCCAACTTCATTGGAATTGAATTCGTACTATGTTAAACTATTCCGCTTGATGCTGAGCTCCTCTGTTGTGTTAATCGTGCAAGTGACGCATAGGACCGAAGCAAAGTAGAATTCATAATAAAATGTAATCATTGAAATGTATCATATTATATCATGAATATACAGGGCCAGTACGGGTTCTGGCAGACAGGGCCACCACCCAAAAAGGCTTAATAAGGGACCTTGCTTTAGATTTTATCCCAACTGGCCTGATTGCTAGAAGCTGAAGAATATCAGCTAAGGATGATAATTGTGACTACAGGAGTAGCAGCAGTGTCATTATGTTCATGTTTTTCTTTTACAGTTCCTGATGACTTACTGATTGCGTAAGTACTAATCCTCCGAACTAATCTGGGCTCGTGACGAGTCCAGAGTGTTCCCTGCCCTTTGCCCAAAGTCACCTCAAATAGCGCCACCATACCTGTGCTATGTCCTTTTAGAAAATGGATCGTGTGCGTGTTTGTTTTTAAATTTACACAAAGTAGTTATTCACTTGAGAGTGATCTCTTCTGGAAAGTCTTACAGTGACAAATATTAGCTGAAACTCCTCGCTGCCCATCTTAAAACCCGCCTCAAAACTCACTTGTATTCTTTGGCATTTGACTCAGCATGACTTAGATTTGTTCTTGGTTTTGCTGTTCGGTACTTTCTACCGTCTTTATTACCGATTTGCTTTACTGTTTGTTGTATATGTTAAATTGCTCCACGTACAGCACTTTGTATGCAGCGATGGCTGTTTGAAAGTGCTCTATAAATACAGTTGAGTTGAGTTGAAACAAAAAGTCATGCTGATGGCTCATACCAAGACATTCCCAGCTGTGTGGTTTGACTTCTTGTCAGTGAATTGAATCTCACTGTCCGGCTATGGAACCACATCCTCTCTCTGAGTCAGCATACTTTGGTTTAGCTGCTCTTCATATTTTTCCCTCGTGAGTAAATCTTCCCCAAATTTACACTGAAGACTGGTCTGACGAAAACAGCTTTTTGTAAATGAGCCGACATTTTTCATGTGTCCGTGACGTCAATAACAAACAAATTAATTCATCCTTCATTTATCCCATCCATCCATTTTCAAGAGCCCTTGCCCTCATCAGGGTTGCAGTTGAGTTGGAGGCTATCCCAGCTGACTTTGGAGAATAGGCGTGGTGGACGCTGGACTCGTGGCCCATCAGATTTCGTCTTCAATGAGCATTCCATGCATGTGTTTGCAATATAGAAACAGCAAAAGCTAACTGCCGTTGAACCATGCCGCCCTCGTTTGAATCATCAAAGGAAGAAGTGACAATACGATACAATACATACAATACATCTTTATTTATATTGCGCTTTCACAACAGCTGCAGCTGTAACAAAGCGCTTTACACAACACTTAACATAAAATAGCACAAATAATATAACAGGACACATAGTGTGAAACATGGAGAGTCATTCGATCGTAACAACTATTCCTCTGCACGCGCCTTGCTGTTTGATGGAGTTCTAGATGAAAGAGGAGAGAATCAATATACTGTTAAGTAAAAAAAAAAAAAAAAGTCATAGTTATCGTTAATGATTGTCCCCTCTCATTGTCTGTTTCTTGTTTGTCAGGCTGAGGTTTGTTTTCGGGGCCTGCGCAGTACAAGCTTTGGATCTCGTGGACCAACGCTCAGTGACCTGTCTGTCATCGCCGAGTGGACGTAAGGCCTTCCAGGTAGCTTGCATCCTCTTAGTGACACGAAACAAATCCGGGTCGCAAAATGCGCAACGGTTCTCAGCTGGTTAGGACTGGAAGACAAAATGTTGATGGAATCTCATTCCTCACGTATCCTCCCAGGGAGCAGAGTAGATGTCTCATTTCTGATTCCTAGCCCTTATAAAGCCCATTTTTGGACACTCTTCAATCACTTAAATAATGTTTGGTCAATTTATTGATGAATGCTTGGCAGTCCTCTCGGAAGATACGGTAAATCCATTGCTTCGTTCCATTGTGCCTTTTTGAAAAATTTTTTCTTTTGAAAAATATCTTGTTGGCACAGAGCTCAATCCTTGTATTCGTTTTCGCCGATTAAGACTCAAGAGTCTTTTATCATCTGCGCAGTAAAAAGCAAGCGTTTTGCAAAGACAAATGATGTGCAAATATTGGTCCGGTAGGTATTGAGGAAATGATGTGCAAATATTGTTACTGTAGATAAGGCACAGAGGACAATGTGTAAAAAACGGGGAGATAAGAGTTTAGTCCAGTGAAAACAGCGTGTCATTGTGTAATGGACATAGAACAAAAACAAACCAAAAAAAATCAGATTTTTAACTTTTTAACATTGGGGAACATCATTCATTGTTAGAAATAATTTAGTGTTCGTACTTGTAGTTTATAGGTTTTTTTTTTTTAACTTTTCATGTAACAGCTGACCTCAAGTGATCTCCTCAGGGAAAAAAAATGGGGAAAAAGAATGTGATGATAGAAAGTGGGCAATCCGCTTTGGCGGTGGTCACCATGACCATCATTTCCTGTCAACTCCTCAAGTTTTTAAACAGACGGGAGCAACTATAAATTCCAGTGCTGCTAAATACAGAAATGTATTGTTTTCTTTTTTGGAACGGTTTTATCTGGCCTTTTTGTTTTCGCATTATTTCAAGTCTCTGACACGACCCCCACCCCTCCCTCAAACATCCTATTCTTTTGTCCAATGTCGGTAGCTCAGAATCGCTGCAAATAAAGACATTGATCATTTCAACTAACAAAATGCGCTGGAACTTGTCAGGACCTTTTGATCCTCTTGCTCTCTTAAAGTCGCTTGCTCGGTTCTTTTCTCTTGCCTCAAATGTTTGTTTATTACAACTCAAAACTCCTTATGAAGTTTAAACATGCCTTCATCTTCCTGGAAGCCTGTATGGCGTGTGCTCTCTTGGCACTCCATCAAATGGTGAAATAGAAGTTGATACATCACCCACTTCATTATGTTGGTCATTTCCTGTTAACACATCTGCTGGGTGAAGTCGTTTTTGCCTGCTGTCGTAATAATGCGCTCTCTTGTTTCCTCCGCGAGAATGAGTCGGGCATGAGAAGGTGACGTTTTACTGCTGGGATTTTTCACCTTGTCTCCTCCAAATGTTCGTTGGCATTCTCATCAGGAATGCTGCAGTGCAGCCGATAGAAGGGTTGAATATACAGTAGTCAGAACTATAGGAGCTGTGTTAGCGGATCATTTTGCTACATTTCTTCAACAATAACGATTATTAATATTATAATAAAGTCAGGCGGCCTGGTGGTCCAGTGATTAGCGCATCGACCTCACAGTGCGGCGATTGTGGCTTTGATCCCGGCGTCGGCCTTCCTGTGTGGAGTTTGCATGCTTGCGTGGGTTTTCTCCGGGTACTCCGGTTTCCTCCCACATTCCAAACACATACATGGCAGGCTGATTGAACGCTCAAAATTGTCCCTTGGTGTGAGTGTGAGCGCGGATGGTTGTTCGTCTCTGTGTGCCCTGCGATCAGCTAGCAACCGGTTCAGGGTGTCCCCCGCCTACTGCCCGAAGACAGCTGGGATAGGCTCCAGCACCCTGCACGACCCTTGTGAGGATAAAGCGGATCAGAAAATGGATGGCTGGATGGATGGATAATAGTATAATAGTCATTGACAATGTAGTGGTTCTCTCGCCGGACTTCCGTGGATGCCGAATGTGAATGTGAATGGCTGTCTTGTCTGGCGACCAGCCTCGGGTGCAGTCCGCCTTTCGCCTGAAATCAATTGGGGTAGGCGAAAGTGAATTTTACGAGTTTGTCATAGCAGTGAGGTAGTTGGTTTGTAAGGTTGAGTGTTCTTTTTTTTTTTAAGTCCAAGTTAGTGACTTAATTTGTTAGTTCCTTTGTTTGTCAATTAGCAAAATGACTCAAAAATAACCATGCCCTTTTACTGCGGATTCATAAAAACAGGGGGTGTCAAACTCATTTTTGTCGCAGTTCACTTTGGAGTCACGTCTTCCCTCGGAGGGCCACGAAAATGTTGAATCGTCTCATCGCATTTTTCATTTATTGTTCAAGTTACTGGAGGGTAACCAAATTATTGCAGAATCTCAACATTATTTATGGCACATGACAATTTGACATTTCGGGACAAGGATCATGCAAGTTGACACACATTTGCTTTTGCGGGCCAGATCTGGTCTTGAGTTTCACACCTGTGAAATCAAGCTTTTGTCGTTATGGTCAAGTGGGGTAGCAGCCAATCAGGTCCAGCAGATGAAGCGGCGGTGAAAAAAAAAGGCTTGTTGATGCATTGAATGGGGAAAAGTACATTTGGCAGTCCCCTGTGGTTGTGGTCGGTGTGACCCAAAACTTCCTGTAAACTCCTTCAGGTTCCTGAAATACATAAAAGGGATGACTAAAATAAGTGCTGCTGAATTCAGAAATACATCGCGTTGTTTTTGGAACCATTTAAGGGGGTTTTGTTGCTTCTGAGGTCAACGTAGTCACTTCTTCCTTGCTCCGTTCTCAGTCCACCTCCACCGTCTGTCGGTCCAGGAATGTTTTTTCCCCCCCATCTTGAGTCAGCGTGACAGCAGAATTGGCAGTACGTGGCTGGTTATCATTACCCACAGGAAGTGTAGTAAAATGCTTGCATTGTCGCCTTGTCTCTGGTTTTCATCACTATTGTCTAACACTGCAAAACAATATTGTCGCCGTTAATGACACATATTTCTGGACGTTACCGAATCTCTGTCACTTTAGGTTGCCTTAATAAAACCTTTGCTGATGACCGTGACCATCACCACCTTGATTGCCAGATAGGAGCGTTGAACTGTTTTCAAGCTATTGTACATCGCTATTCCTCTCCCCACTTTCACTAAAGTACGTTTTTGAATACAGTGAAACTCCTCTACAATGAAACCTACATGGGCGAAAATACCCCCTAATGTGAAAAAAATCTTCATGCATTAACACCATTCCCACTCTCCTGCCCCCCATACAATGAACCCCCCCGTTGCGTTATACGAAATCTTTTTCTCTGCTCTTGCCTCACGACGAGATTCACTACAACGAATCCAAAAGCGACCTCTACTGCTTCGTTCGGAAACGGCAACAGCAATACACATGCACAGTAGTCCAGGAAGTAGTATTTGTTATCATTAGTTTCAGACGCAGCAAGAACCTTGCATTGCTAAAATGGCTACAAAATGGACCGTTGGATGTCAAGCAGCTAAGCCAAGAAGAGCTCTGACGCTGGAAGAGAGGGTAAAAGTGATCAAAATGAAAGATGGAGGAAGCAACATAAAAGACATTATCCAAGAAATTGATGTAAGTGAAAGTGAATGCTGATCGTAAATTTCGCAATTTCTTTCCCTTTTTTTCTTTCTACACTGACTATATGAAGTGTCAATTAAGTCTATGCTCATACTTATGCACTATTGGAATAAAAATAAAGAGTACACATACGTTTGTGTGTGTGTGTGTGTGTGTGTGTGTGTGTGTGTGTGTGTGTTTACATCTGAGATCAAATTTGCTGCAGTGAAAAACCCCCTGTTGTGAAAAATTTCTTGCTGCAAACATGATTTCGTTGTAGAGGAGTTTCACTGTAGAAGACTTTACAATGTCATTGTTTGATGCAATTACAGTGATCTGCCATTGGCTGGCAACCAGTTCACGGTGTCCCTTGCCTACTGCTCAAAGACAGCTAGCTGGGGATAGGCTCCAGCACGCCCGCGACCTTTGTGATTAGAAAAAGGATGCAACAGTGATGCCTTGAGATACAAGCGCCCTGACTTCATAGTTTTTGAGATTTTGAGCTGCCACGTGATCTAATTTTTATCTTGGTAAGAGAAAAGATTTAGAGTGTGCTTAAGACCCCCACCGCTAAATGGTGGCAACACACCCCACAAGTTCCAGCCACCATCAATTCACATGGCTTTCCTTGCAATGGAAGGACAATATCAGTCGATCGCAGTAATACGTCATTTAGATGTTTTGATAACTCCCGCGGTTCATATTTTATGCCAGAATCCACTCAGACACACAAAGCAACACAGGCCTCTTGATGTTGATGTCGTCAAGTTAGGTCGCTCTTGAAGCGTGTTTATGAGTCTTCTGATGCCAAAGAGCAGCATGTTGACGCACAGCGCAGGCTCTGTGTGAATCATAATGACGCCCCCAAGCACTTGAAATTTCCTTCAAGGCCTGTTTTTGTTGGGGTTCTTCTGGACGGGGCACCGTCCAACATCCTGGCTCTTAGCCCAATGCTGGCTTCTCAAGAAGTATTCCCACGAGAGCCAAATTTTCAGGCGAGGACAAAGCCAGATGCTTTCGTGAGGCTTGAACTCTCGCCGTTCCCTCTGCGGCGATTGAATGGCCGCACTTGATGCCATGTGTGCCGAGCTTTACTGCGCGCGGCCCAGCAAAGCCACGTGATGTGTGACGCCGGAGTTGAACAAACAGAACCGGGACCCGTGAGGTGGTTTTCAACTACGGCGGTTCTTGTTCAAGCATTTCCTGGCTTCGTTTCACAGTTCTCCCGCTTCTCGCTGCATCCTGCCTCGCACACTGCTCTATTCATCGATACCGAGGTCCGTGTCATTGTTTCTTTTGTGTCTAATTTATAACGCGGTGTCACGTCGGACAAACGAGGTGTTTATGCCTCTGTAGGTCACCGGGCAAGGTAATTTATGGATGCCCCGGAGAATAATTGAGCCTGCTCTCGGGAGGTGTTCATTATCATGTCAAGCCGTTCTACAGACCGAGGGCCTGATTTACCAAGAGTTTACATGTGCAAAAAGGGGCGCAAATCCGATGGCGCTTGCAAACAAATGCGAAAGCTGATCTACTAACAGGACTCAAAGCTATGACTGCATCTCCCAAACGTGCTCATTTGCTACAGTTCATTTTGCGCATTGAAGAAGGGGGGGATTATGCAAACCGATCTCATGTGCATAAGATGATTTGACATTTTATTTTAAATAGCGCGTGTGAAATGCAGGTGTGGCATCGGTAAAAGAAGAGGCGGCACGGAGGAATCCTGTCCACAGGTGCTGACCCGCTCACAAGTTGGTGAAAATCATCAGCGCAACCTAAAATGATGTCACCGCCACTGGTATATTGGTTGCCAACAGCGCATGTAACCTTTTAGAGTGAATGAACACACAATTTAGTATCCGCTCTTTGGGATCTTCATAAATCCTCCTCAACGTTCTCTTGGTAACGTGAATTACTGTCCGCAGGAGACACTTGAAGGAGAGAAAGAGAGCCACCCGGCCGGTGGTCGTTAGACCAGCAGGTACATCATGTTGGACTATTACCGTATTGTCCGCACTGTAAGGCGCACCGAAAATTCTTCCATTTTCTTAAAAGCTCAGCGCGCATTAAAATCCGGTGCGCCTTGTGTATGGTCATTACGGTAATACGTCGACACCCCCCCCCCCCCCCCCCGCCCCAAGATGGCTCCTTGCTGGAGAGATGCTTACAATGTTATAACTTTCAGTGGTTCAGTGAACTGTGTCGCTGCTTTATTAGATACGTTTTTGTTGTGATTTCCTTGTTTGTGAATACAGTACACAACAAAGGAAGAAATAACAAACACTTTTGAGACAGTCCAGTCTCCTATGTTTTACTGACATCTGATCGTTCTGTTGGAGCTACGCTCAAGGAAATGCCAAAATAAATTCTGTAGGGGGCTATAGAATTTATTTTGTGATTTCCTCGCTTGATTTTCTGTTTTGATGCATTTTCAATTTTCGTAGTTTCATTGAAATAATCGTTAATTTACGATTTTCGGAGGCGGTCATGAACGCCTCTCGAGTCGAACGGAAGGAGCGTAGCTCCATCTAGTGAATGCATTGTAGATTGCGTCTTATAATGCAGTGCCTCCAATATGTGAAAAAATTACAAAATAGGCCATCCATTGAAGGTGCGCCTCATAATCCAGTGCGCCTTTTAGTGCGGAAAATACGGTAGTTGTTTCTTCCCCACGTCCTCCGTATAACTTGAGATGATGAGTTGAGCCGATGAAACCTTATTTTATTCCCTTTGAGAACATCCAATATGACATGATTTATTTACTGGACATTTTACTGTGTTTTACGCTCCAACGGCGAGTAAATGCAGCAACATTCTGTTCGACGAGTAGCGTGCATCACGACACGCATTGAAAATCGGTCAAAAGTTTCAAGCTCCCTTTTGAGGTTATTTTGAATTTTCGGCGTTCAGCCTTGCCTGGCGTTTGTGGGCCACAGGGATGCAATAAAACATGTTTTTCTTCCTGCCGCTCCCTACTTCCACTGTGTTCGCTGATCCTTTACTCCACGATGGTCCTCTCTGAGCATCCAAATATGGCCAATATACTGAAGTTACTGAATGAAGTTGCGGTGATCTATTGTGTTGCTTAGGAGAGTAGGCGTACACCCTCGACCGGTCGGCAGAAAAATTGCATCCATTTTAGTAAATGGGATGATTTTCTTACAGGTCATAGGAGCCTCGGGGAGTTTATACACTTGCTTCACATCCTGTCACTACTGCCCGTGTCCCGCCTTTGCCTACACGGTGCTCCGGAGGAATGACGGCCTATTGGTGAGGATCTCAACAGGAAGACAAACATTCATGTCAAACCCCACCTCAGGAACTCACACGTGATGTATATCACAGGCCGCAGTTCATCTCATCTTTTTTTTTTTTTTTTTTTTAACGTGCATAGCTGTCCGACAACCATTGTCTTTTGGCGTGCATCCTGGGAAAAAGGGGAAAAAAAAACATATGCAATGTCTGTAGTGAGACAAAGCAGTTGAAATGTGGACAACAGATGTTTTGTGGTCGGGTCATATTTGGTCCATGGCAGTCTGTGCTTTAAAAATTATTATTATTATTATTATTATAATTTTTTTTTACTTGAACTGTATCTTTAAATATTTGCAAGCAAGCACCACCTTTCCTCTTTTTAGCATTAGGAATTCTGTGTGGAAAAAAAATCGATAGAACGACTACTACTCCAGACATCAACCAAGAAGGTTTTTGGATTGTGTATGTTTGGAGCGTGATCTCAGTGAGGATCAAGCGTGTTTGAGATACAGCAAGATTGATCGTGACGTAAGCTGGCGCCACATTGTTGTCATTTCAGGCCTTCTGCTGACTGCACAGCGACTGAGGAAATACCGACCTAGGCCCCGTACCTCTGACATGGACAAAGGGAGGAATAGAAGCACTTCCAAATATGTGATGAGAATTCAAAGCATGGCGAACTAGCGGTTAGCACTTCTGCCTGAGGTTTGGGTTAGGAATCTTGATTTGGGCCTTCTTGTGTGGGATTTGCAATGATTGATGACAGCCAGTGATCGTTTAGCAAGATAATATTTGAATAATATGGCCAATATAAATGATAGATTTTAAGAAAGAAAGAAAGTCGAGCACCTCCCGGCTCGGAATCTGTTTTCACAGTTAGAGTGATTCCAAATATGTGCCCATTCATCTCTTAGTTAATGATCTGAACACTTTTACATCTTTAGACACCTTGTAATAATCCCGATGTGCTGATTCGGGTCTTCTTTCACTAACCTTGAGTCCCATTTCAGTTGAATCTGACTGATCTCATTTCAGTGCGTTGCCACCGTGTTCACATCTGCGTAGTAGTATTTAGAAATGTCATACAGTGGTGGAAGGCAGTTGGGTAAAAACCTCACTGGTGAGACATCGCAGTAGTCGTTCCAGAAGTGCACTCAACTGTCTTATTGGTGAGCATCCAAAAACATGGCGTCCGGTAAGGAAGCAGCGGCCTTTGAGTGGGAGGTGGGGTACACCCTGAACTTGTCACCGGTGAATCGCAGGGCACAGTCACATCGATGGATAATGTAACGCCAGAAGAATATGCAAACTTCAGCCAAGAAAGCAAAAGCCTAGATTTGAAACCTGAACCTCAGGACCGTGAGGCAAAAGTGTGAAAACACTCGCTTTGAATTCTTGTCAGATATTTGGAAGTGCTGGTCCTTTCTCCTCTGTCCTGTCCAAGTTATGGAATGAGCCATTTTGGTCAATTCTGTTTCCGGCTTGGTGGGGTGCGGGAAAATGACAAAAGAAAAATCCCCTTTTCCAGCATGACTCACGAAAAAGTCCATAAAGGCTTTATGAGCTACAATAGAGATTATGATTTCTTCCACATTTAATACGTCTTGCAACAACTTAACATTAATTCAAGCAAAGTAGTTCCACATTTGGCAAACACGTCAAGCTCGTCTGCAAAGTCTCTCAACTTCTCTGTCATGACCGTCACGTGTTCCTTTCATTGTGACACACGCCGTCACTGTTATGACTCCGCTGTGCTCTTTTGTTGCAGTGCAAACACATTCTGGCGGTGTGCCTGTGTGAGGCCATGGGTGTGACCCGCATGCAAAGTGCGTCGGATGAGCAGATGACAGCGCTGCTCAGCGGGACCCTTCTGTGAGTCCCCACTGAATCTCCACGTGTATGCCGCTGGTGATCGGGGAGGGAATGGAAAACCATTCCAGTGCGTTTCTTATTACTAGCTGTAGGACGCCATTATTTTTTGGGCCCACTTAGACAGTTGCGGGGAAATATCTGTTGACTGCGGTTGCGTTGGGAAACCTTGAGACGCCGCATGCTAGTACATGTTGGTTTTCCACTTAAAAAAATATTTGTCAAAATACTGCACATAAATGTGACTTTCATGCACAATAGCAACAAAGCAGTCAGTCACAAAATATTTGACCGTAAATGCATACGGATTGCTCCCAGAGCTGAATAATGACACAAAATGCTAAAGGTCAGAATAGTTGATTTGGATCAATTTAATAGTTATGTCACAAAAAAAAAAAACATCAATATTTTGCAAAAAGCGTGACACACACGTATATACATACACAACATTACAGTGCAGTTACAGTATCGCTGTCTCCATTGGAATGTTGACACACCCACGCTATATTTAGCCCTTGAGATCAGTCAGGTGTCACCCAAAAAGGGGAGACATGTCAATGTTTAGAGTCTTGAAATGAAGGAAATGACATTTAAAAAAAAAAGCAAGCAAAATGTCAATTTCTTTTTTCGACTTTGTTTTGGCCTTTTAGCTGCAACAGGCGCCGGAGTTCCTGTCGTGGAACAGATGTTCTTCCTCGTCTTGGAAAAAAATCATTTCAAGTTGGAACACAATTTTGTACGTGGGTGCTGAATGTTGACCACACCCAGCAAAAAAAACCCCAAAACAAAACAAAACAAAAAAAAACTGATTCAGTAGAAAAGAGCACTGCAGCTACACCGTTAGGTGTGGTTCAATAAACCCATTAGTGTTCCCTGCTTCACTTTCACCTCATTTCTCATTTATCTGATTACCGTTCATGGGAGTTAATACGACTTAATGAAATTTGGGGGGAGGGGGGCTAATACAGTTAGGTCTAAAACAGGAAACCTCGTCGCATAGTTTTGTTTACAACAACATATTTTTAAGCTTGTAAAACCCTGCAGGATTTCTGCATTTAAACCCAGAGGATAAATCCAGTTAAACGGATTTGGATGATATGACTGATTGTATCTACCTGCTAATTGTCGAATGCTATCTCTTTTAGCTGGAAATCACACAAGTGGTTTGGAAGACATTGTGGCACGAGAGATACAAAGCACGACGACTTAGAGAGTTAGAGAGGCCAATGAACACACACACACACACACACACACACACACACACACACAAGCACAGGGAGAACATGCAAACTCTACATTGTAAGGCTTGAGCTCAGATTTAACACCTGAACTTCAGAACTGTGAGGCAAAAGTACGAAACACTAGGCTTACCCTGCTATGGGGGGAAACAATGTGTTCCCCTTAAAGTAGTCAGGAATACAAATTACTTCTCCAAAAGTAGCAAATATCTCCTCTTTCATTCATTTTGTCACTTTGAACCAGAATATACCAATTTAACAGCTAGAAATTTACATTAACTCCAAATTTGGGTAAGGATCAATTTAAACCTAACTGTATACAGTCATACCTCGGTTTTCGACCATAATCCGTTCAAGAAGGCTGTTTGAAAACCGAAACCACGCTCTTTTTAAAAAATAAAAAAAAAACTTTATTGAACACGTCTGTTCACAGTGTAAGGAAGGCGAAAAGGAGTCAAGTGATGCATTCAAATGCGCTCAGTTTGTTCGAGAACCGAAATTCGGTCGTCATCCGAGGCAGAAAAAACTTGAAAATTTTGGTCGAAAACCGATTTGGTCGAGAACAGAGACGTTCGAAAACCGAGGTTTGACTGGAGTTGATTTACTCTATAAAACTAGTTTTCCTTTTTGAATTAATTGACCTGTAAGAGAGATGCACGTGGCCAAAGGAAACAGCTCAAGACACGACAACACCGTTATTCTCAGTATTGAAGGTTCAACAAGCGGAAACACTGTGTGTGAGGGCGGGGGGGGGGGTGATCAGAAATAACCAGAGAAGTACTTCTATTGTACCTATTCAGGTCCACAAGTAATACAGAGTAGTACAGGTCCAGACTCACCGAGTTCATATTCACAGAGATGCATTACGGTAATAAATAAACACTTGCACAGACTCTTGGCAGTACAAAAAAAACCCCCAACAACAACAACAAAAAAAACAAAACTGGACTGTTGCAGTTCTATCAGGGCTTTTTCAGAACGATAAATAACATTTTAGAATGTTTCAAAGTTTGGCTCCCGTTCACAGTCCGGCACATCCAGGTAGTGTTAACGTTATTCGACGACAACAAATCCTCAAGGCGTGTATGACATCATATACCCTGCTTGTGTAAACATCATTCAGTGGAAATAGTGGCGCGTCTTATAGCAGGGGATCGATAGTCATGTGTATCTGGTCTCTAGTGCGCCTGCTGCCGTTGGAGCTGACGCAGAGCTCCTCTTTGCGGCACAGCACGTGCCGCTCCAGGATCTTGCGGAAGGTGTTTCTGAAGTCCTGGATGCGGTAGGCGTAGATGATGGGGTTGACGGCCGAGTTGGCGTGGGACAGAATGATGGCCAAGTACATGACCTCGTCGGGCTTGACCAGCTTCTTGTAGAAGAGCGTGAGGCAGTTGAGGATGTGGACGGGCAGCCAGCAGATGGCGAAGAGCCCCACGATGATGGACAGCGACTTGGCGGCGCGGATCTCCCGCTGCATCAGGCCGTGATGGTGGTTGTCGCCGTTGGACACGCATTTGAGCTCGATCTGCCTCAGTTGCATCCTGGCCACCGTGAAGATCTTCATGTAGATGCCCAGCATGATGAGGAGTGGCAGCAGCACGCACACAAAGAAGTTAAAGTAGACCATGTACTCCATGTCCACCACGCTTTCAAAGAAACACCTGAGCTCGCAACTCCGTGGTCGTAAGAGTCCGCCTTTCGGCCCCGCGTCCGGTTGCCCGTTCGTACTGTTGTCCCCGCCGGTGGAGTTGACATTCCTGCAACTCGAGTCTTTGACGTTCCAACCGAAGAAAGGGACCAGCCCGATGACAAAGGACAGGATCCATAAAATAGCGATGATCTCTCTGGCCGTCTTTCCTGTCATCAACTCCTTGTACCTGCATTTCAAGAAAAAAAAAACAATTTACTACAGGGGTTAATTAAAGGTATGGTAAGTTATCTCTTCATCAATTTTCCTACTTGGCCATATCCAGGGAAGTAGTGTAATCACAGGAACATCAATCTTTTGCGAGATGGTCTCATAGCCTTTACTTTTAGCATGCTTATCTATCATTTTCTTTCTCATCTCATGAGACAACTCTCTCCTTTGCATCCTCTGTGCCATGTTTAGTGTGGTACACACACCATGTCCCCAAACACCACAGCATCCCTGTCAACTTGTACGTTTTCCCCGTATTTTATACGTTTTTTTTTTTTTTATCATTTCAAATCATGTACAGCGTATTTACAACTTTTATACGGAAAAAAAAAATTGTGAACCGATCTCACAAAGACCACTTTGGCTCAAGTCCAGATCACCTGCTGGGAGCCAACGACAATGCCGTCGTCGATCGCTACTATTGTCACGGCAAACCAGCAAAAGTAATCCTCTATTGTATATATTTTTTTCATCGTTGTGTACGGTAGGATTGATAAAGCATGATGTGCGCATGCGCGGTAAGCTGTTGTAAGGGTTTTTGTTGCTTTGTAAGGGGAATCGTAATCATTTATAAGGGCAGCTATTAGCCGGGGTTGACAGGTATGAGCACAGTGACTCCTTTTAACCCTTTAAATAGGATGGCTGGCGGACTGGTATAATAATTTTAATCTGTGATGATAATTGGAGGACACCTTGTATACCCGCCGCACAGTTATGAGGTTCAGGTTTCGAATGTCTCGCCTTCACGTGTGGTGTTTGCATGTTCTACCCGTGCTTGCCCGTGTTTCTCCAGCTTGCTCCCACATTGCAAAATAATGCATGTTGAGTTCACGGAAGATTCATAACTTGTCCATCGGTGAAACGGTGAATGTGAATAGTTGGTTGTTTAAATGCGCCCTACTGTATGTCGAGAGGGTCAAGGTAGCTGGGCTAAGCTCCAGCTCACCCGTGACCCTAAAGCGGATAAGCACGATTGAAAATGGATGGATTTGCCAGTCGTGTTTCCTGGCTTGGGGCTGGTCTGTAAACATCCAGACAAAGACGAAATGTGCTGGATGTGCATTTGTGCACTGTCGTTGTGCTATGAGTGTATATGATGTGGTGTAAATGTTGCTCAAAGAGAACTGACCCACTCCCAACATTGCAAAAGTGCATCATTTCCTCAATAATAGTCCACTTTGTGCTCACGTATGTTGCCAAAGCACTCAGTTACGCAAACAATAACCTCAATGACTAAATCTTCGATCACCTTCACTTATTCCAACCCTTCTTGGTGCTCCCTCCGATTTGTATTCTGTGTCATTTTCATTTGCTGTCTGAATTCACTCCGCCTATCCCATCTTGTTGCGTTGAAATTCACGTCGCCAAAAAGCAAGGCTCTTCGGATGTGCAAACACAAGAGGCTAATCAAGCAGATTATTAGTGCTCAGCAGGAGCTCAAAGGACAAATGGCACGTCCCGGTCGGCGGCATCCTCTGAAGCCCACAGGCTGTTTCCTGACGTGACGTCAGGCGAACACACGCTTAATGAGACACACACATGCTGACACACACGTAGCACCAAACAATCCTTATGACCTCCGCAACTTCCCAAGAGATGCCGTTGACTCCCGACTCCCAAATCATCAGCTGTCACTTTAAGGGATATGTCAATTGTTCACACGTATTACTCTGCAAAAAAAAAAAGAAGTAAATGTATATAAATTTGATGTGAAATGTGAACACTTGACTCTCTTAAAAGGGATATCTAAGCACGACATTTCGATGAGTGAAATGTTAATTTAAGCAGCAAAAAGTTTTTATCCATCTCAGGGGGCGGCCATTTTGCCACTTACTGGCGACTGAAAATGACATCACAGTTGCTCAGGGCTCAGGTGAACAATCACGGCTATCTTGTTTTCTGACTGTAGTCGCGTGACTTCACAAGCTGAGCCAATATGTTGTATTTTAACAACAAAAATACTGTACCCCCACTTGCCTCAAAATTAGTTCATTCCACCAAATCCTTCCCACTGCTCCCTGTCTGGGCAATATGCTGTCTTCCGATGATATGCAGTCATGGTTTAAGCACCTGGCTTAAACCAGAACATGTGAAACATTTCTTAACTTCTACTACCCAATACCGACACACTATTATCAATACCAATGCTCATTTTTTGCTGTATGTAGAAGATGAAGCTAAGGTGCTACCGACAATCTCAATGACTGTATGGACACATAGACCCAAAATGTCAAATTTGGCTGCAGTTTGCGCTTCAGAGTGTGACATTACAAGATCAGATAAAGAAAAGGTGTGAATAAAAACGCCTTAAGGCAAAAGTAAATGTAAATAGAAAAAAAAGTGCCTGCAGGAAGTTTTACGTTTAGCCAGAATATCATTAGCCTGATTGAGTCCAATGTTTGCTTCCTAATAACTGCAAAAGAGCCAATTGGGGACTTATAGGACCTGTGTGGCGTGTGAGCTCTGCCCCGTGGTCGACAACACCCCCACCTCACCAGCCAGGACTGCGCGTGGCCCCCTGGGGAGGGACATGAATTATATACCACACTGAAGCTGCTATGCACCTGTTCTTCTCTATCTTCTGCTTGCTTGGTTAAGCTTGTATGCGACAACCCCTCACCCTCCACCCCCGCCCTCACAACCTCTCTCAGGGAGGCATTGGTGACTGGATTAGTTGTTGCATGACGACAGCTCGCTGGCATCTATCTTTGCTGTGTGGTTTATTTTTCCTTTGGGGGGGCGGGGGGCATGCGCCACTAAACCATACCTTCAATGCCCTGAGGCCAGGAAGCTCTGCCAGGCCTCACACACACCAATCTTGATTTTATTTCACTTGCTGTAGCTTCTACGGCAACTACAGGCTCAACTCACAGCCTGTATGCTAAAGATGGACGCAAGTTGTATTACAAGTACAGTTGCAAAATTCCCATAATCAAATAATTACCCATTAAATAACAATTTGGAGTATTTCTAAAATTCCCCATCTTAAATTCCTATCGAGATTGAATGGAAAAAGATCAAAAATGGTCCTCCCCTTTGCCAGCTATTGTCATTCCCAAAATGATCTATTTTGTGGTGAGACCCCCCAAACAGCATGTTTGTTGAACACTAACATTGCATCCTCCAAAAAAATAGCAAACGCCTGTGGACTGACCAATGGTAAGGATTTGTGAAAAAAATACAAAATTCACCAAATTTGGGCAAAAGACTCATCCATCAATGTTAATTCATTGCAGAACCTTCTGGTGAGGACAGCTTGGCTGCCGGGCGGCGGTATAATAAAGTCATGCAGACAAATGAAGAAGAGCTGACAACTGTAAGTAATTGAATAATCAGCAATAACATTCCACGATTTTCATAGAAGAAAAAGAACATACCGGTATTATTGTTCTATCAACTGTCTACCTGTGTTGCTGCACTGTTTGTGTTCAAATGTTCATGATAACACCACCTCATGGATGCTATTCGCTAGCTTTCCATTTCTGAACTTTATCGACTGATTTATCTAGCAATCCATTGATAAATTACAGTCGTCTATGTGCATAAACATTCCAAATAATTGCAATAAACTAAAATATACATAGTTGAGAGCATGAGAGACCTAACGAACCCAACTTTATCCATCAACACGACTATGGCTCCCACAAATGGAATAAACAGTGAGCAGTCTGCTGGGCCAATATGTATTTAAAGGGTATTTAAAGAGTGCAACAATACACAACAGCGGCAGGGTCTTTTTGTACGTGATGCAAAACGGGAAGACGGGTCCCCAAGGAGAGTGTCCATTGTGTGTGTATGTGTATGCGTGCGCGTGCGTGCATGTCGCCTGTCCCAGGAGGCTGAAAACATCTGGCCTAGGCCTTTTGCTTGCACTACAACCATCTGTAAAAACACTTTATCAAAGAGCGAATCCATACCCCAAATAGCTGCAGACTGCACGCACACGCAAACACACGCACACAAATATACACAGTATACCGTGTGTGTGTCATTGTGTAATTTGAGCCACACTGATCTTATTAGTGGGCATGTGGCAAGGGTGGAAGGCCTTTTAGAGCCCACCAACATCATGTCATGGCTATTAATGTATATGGAGTGTGTCTGTTGTGAGTGGTGTTAGAAAGCGGTGGACGATTTCCGCTAAGTATCCGGAAAGTCTATGGGAAGTTAGGGTAAGGAATTTGGGAAATATTCCAAATTGGGAAACGTAATGGAGATGAGCCGGGACTTGAGGTAAAATGAAGGCATCGGGGTACTTGAACGAAATCTGCTCGTGTTTGTCAGGATGATGCTACAATGTATTTTCCCGAATGATATTTAAGTTCCCCATGAAGAACCATCTTATAATGTTAATTCTTGTTTCCCACAGAAAATTTCCAACTTTGAACTCCCCAGAATTTAGCAACACTAGATGTGAGTCACTTTTGGCATAATAGTTTACCTTCATGATTTCTACGCAGGCAGAGTGGGTTCCTTTCCCACTCAGTGTCTGTCTAAAAATGAGTGTGAGATGTTGTCTGCCTGGATATGCATTGTTCGTTTAACTGGCAGAAGATACAATTAACCTTTGTATCCACCTGTTGCCGGTCAAAAAGCAAAATTTTGTGTTGAACTAATCAGGCCCAGATATTTGACCAAGTACAACTGTGACAATATTCTCAATATTTCAGTTCATATTCTTTTTGTGACTTTTGCTTAAAGAGTCGTCAAGTCGCTTTCGCGTTAGCCGTGTTGCTAATAGAGTTAGCAATGATGCTAAGCCAGCTGTGTTCATACAGATTAAAATGTTTATTCGTTTTGACGTGATGTTATGGCCTGTAAAGCATCAGCTGACTTGCCTCACTCCCTGCCTTTCAGTATTTTATAGTTTTTTTATTTAATCTTTGTGTGTATGCGTCCTTTCACATACTGTATCGTCGCTGTCTGATAAGCCAGCTATCCAATTTGGATTTTCTCTCGAGAGCAGTGTGTGTGTGTGTGTGTGTGTGTGTGTACATATGGATATAGATAGATATATGTGTGCGTGTGTATATATATACACACACTAGCATTTAGAAGGGCTGCTATTTTTTAATGCTATTAGACAATTGTATTGCTGGACTGATATTCACATTGACGGGATGCCATCACAAAGGAATGATCAAGTTTGATGGTTTGCTGCCAAAAGCACATCAACAGCTATGATGCCCTCAAGCCAGAAGCTGAGCTCCGCCGTGTTTGTTTACGAACGAGAGACATTTATACTCCTTGTCCCTTATCTAATCATATTGCAGAATTCCGACTGCATTTTATTGTAATGCTTTTTTTTTTATCATGTTGAACTCGCTTTCAACAAAAGTTTCAGAAAAAATGTAGCAAGATTTACACACACAACTTGTGTTCAGATGTAGTTTAATTTGTTTTTTTTCTATTGTGTGACTTGTTTCTAATGGGAAATACAAACAAATAAAAGCTCAAATAGCTTGATGGAATGGATTGTGTTCAATTTCCAAAACTACATGGATGCATTTGCAAAGCCACAAAGTTGACTTTCCTTCCGACCATTTGCCAACGTTTGAGGCAAATGGAAATGACAGCCCATCTCGGTGAAAGAGCCCCACGGTAGGGCACACTCAACAGTGCGTTGGCTTTTAGACGAGCAGAGAAACCACAGCAACCGTTGTGCACGCGATCTCCTTATCCAGAGCTTTTTCATTCACGCCTCTTTGATGAGCTAATGTATGCAGATTTGTGATTGCAAAGTCAACAGCCTTCAGTCGGACTTGTATAGTGAGTGCTGCAAATATGCCACTTCTGGATGTGACACAACGCAGTCCAACCGATTGACTCAAACTCCGCAATTTATCTGTGGCGAATCAAACTACTGGAGACTTTTGGTATACTTCCTCCTTTCTTGGGCTGAACAATTAATACAATTTAAATCTTCATCGCAATGATTTGAAAAAAAAAAATCAAATTGCAAAGGTTGTAATTGTGGGGACGGCGAGATGCTTCATTTCAGCCGGTCGGTAGGCTTTATGTTTTTCCAATATAAATGTATATTTAATTTATTTATTCATTTATAGAGTGTCGAGAAAGGTTTGGTGGTTTAGATGTGCAGTCTACATTGTGCAGTTCACGTACTGTATGACTGGTTCATGAAAGTTCAAGTGAAAAAGGCACAGATTTGTTTGCATTAATGTTGTAGTGTGCTTGCTCAGTCATTGGGGTCATTGTCATCCCTCAAGGTTTGAATCAAGGCAACTGGACCATTCCTGGTTGTTGAATTGATTGCATCTTTTTCCCCCCAAAAAATTATTTAGGCAATTATGCTTTTCTGCTAACAATTTGGACGTCGTCCAGTGCATTTATGAGGGACGGCACCGCAAACTGGTGCAACAGTGTCTAATCAGATAACTTGTTTTTGATGAACACTGACCACACCCAATTTGACTCAGCTTTCACCTTCACGTCACTTTCTCTGAGCAGCTCACATGAAGCTCTCCATAAAAACAAGGGTCAGAAATGTTCAAAAAGACACCAAACAGTTTCAGAGCTACTCTCTGCTATGTTACTTTAAAAAAAAAATTTTTTTTGCATGAAGAAATTGACCCAAAATGTTGCCACATTGTGATCTGCTTTTCGTGTTTTTTTATTTTTTTTAATGTTGTTTGCACAAGGGTGTTGATTCAAGCAAGTGCTTCTAATAACACAAATATGTACAACGTTAACATGTGCGTGTACATGTATGGGTGAGCTGGAGCTCAGCTGCCTTTGGGCAAAAGGTTGGGTTACATCTTGGGAGTCAAGCCTTTAAATTTAATGCTATGTATGCTACATTGCTCCATCAATATGATTAATACCGTTGAAATATTTTTTCTTAATTGTTTGCAACATTCTGTTTAGGATACGCAGAAAACATTTCCCATTACAGGACAGGGTACATTCTGGGCAGCGCGTTGTTTAGTGGTTAGTAGATTTGGTTCACCGTTTCGAGGTTCGGGGTTCAAATGTCAGTTCCGACCCCCCCCCAAAAAAAAACAAGTTAGGTTCATTAAAGACTCTAAACTTTCCAATTGTGTGAACGCGAGTAGAGAATAATTGCTTATCTAAACGTGCCCTGCGATTGATTGGCAATCAGTCCACGGGTGTACTTTGCCTCCTACTGAAAGCCAGCTGGGATACGCTCCAGTTTCCCACGACCCATATGAGAATAAGGATGGATGAAATAATACATTCATACATTTATGAGAATGGAGTTGTGAAACTGCAAAGTATTTATTTTTGACAAACATTCAGTATATTTTTTTTTCTTTTCGGTTTGGCTCAGATTTAATTCCTCATCAATGAATGCTGGTCTTGTATTTGTTGCGAGTCCATTGGTTGTTTTCTATATCATTACACACAAGTGTGTAAAAAAAGAACAACAACGAGGGTGAAGCAACTTCTCCCTCCACAGCATGCTCCTCACTCACCTGAGAGGGATTTTGACCGCCAGGTATCTGTCGATGGCGATGGCGAGCAGACTGAAAATGGAGCTCTGGGTGAGAACCAGGACGAAGCAGGCTAGGAAGAGGCAGCCGTAGAAGTCCAGTCGGATGCCGATGCTGATGGTGATGGCGAAAGGGATGGCCAGGCAGCCCACCAGGATGTCCGCCACGGCCAAAGATACCAGGAAATAGTTGGTGGCGTTCTTCAGGGTGGTGTTGATGGCAACGGCCCAGCACACTAGAACGTTGCCGGAGATGGAGAGGAGAGCAATGACCACTTCAATGACGATGTAAAACGTCTTTATTCCTTCCTCATTCATTCTTCTGAGACGAGGTGCTCCTACAAGTCTAGAAGCAGGGCGCAAGTCTTTGGGTTTGGATCGAAGAATAGTCCACGAAGGTGAGCTGCTAAATTGGCCATCTGAAAGTTAGAGAAAGAAAAGAAAGATGAAGCATCAAAATCAGAGGCTGTTGCTTTAATGCGTTTGTTTGCTGCTTTTCTTACCTTTGCAACGCTGTGCATCGTCTGTGGGCGCGTCCACGCCACGAGTGGCCTCCGAGTGAAGACTTTCTTGTGTGGCGCAAGTTTCCCCACTGACGGCACTTTTCAAGTCGAGGAGGGACACCAGCGTAAGAAGCATGCAAGCCACGCCCCCTCGCGCGCTCTCTCTCTCTCTCTCGACACAGACGCGCACTGCTCCGTCAAGTGTAAACCTATGACGATAAAAGAGGAATCCCAAGATACAGCGCCACCCAAGAGCCGTGCGTAATTACGCGCGGATACATCTAAACACTCGACGTACACACTCCCACGCGCAAGACACATCACTGCTTCCCATCACGGCAATGCGAGAGACAGAAACTGGCAGCTTAAGTAGTCCCAAGGAAATCAGTTAGGTGAAGTACAAAGTAATGGTCTTCGGATGCAACTGGAACCTTCGTCAAAGGTGAAGGGAATATGCACAGGTCCAAACACTGGTCAGTTCGGACAGGGGTCGGCAACCCACGGCTCTAGAGCCACAAGCGGCTCTTCAGCTACTCGCATCCCAAGTAATAAGAGGATGTGTACACTGTGCAACCACATCATCTCTTTTTTTCCCCCCTCTGAACAGATTTCAGTTTTCTTTTTAAATTGAGTTGTACATGTTATGGTCGGATTAATGGTGGGACATTTTCAAATGATTCATCTTAGATTAAAAAAAAAAAATATATATATATATATATATATATATATTACCCCAAAAAACATGCCATTTGAAATTGGGTGTGTAGAATTTCTATACAATATGTGCACTATCTGTACTTGTTGGAGTTTTATAAGTTGAGTCATGGCACATTAATAAGAGATTTCGTGAAGCAAGATATTCCCCATCCATGGGAATATTGAAGAGAATTGTTTCATGTTAGCTCAGCTTGAATGATTAATCGTGTCGCTTCAGGCTACATGGCACCAGCTTCTGACTAAAAAAAATAACAATCTGTGTCCAATCTGAAACAACACTTACAATACATGAATGGTCTATTTTCCCCACGTATTAGCTAATTTATTATTTTATTGTTTTAAGCAAAGCTTTGGGAACATATTGTTTTGATTGTGATATCTGTTTTCTCAGTATGAGCATGATGCAGTTTCGAAAGCGGGAAACTATTTTGTGTGCAATTGACAGTAAAAACGGTTTATTTTTACCTTTGTAATGATACAAATAAGTACATTTCAGCCTTGACGTTTTTTTTTTAACTTAAGGCAATAAATCAATACTTCTTTGATCAGTCTTTTTTTTTAACACTAGTATTTGTATTTCCACTTAAGTGCAGCGTCTACTTTTGCCACCTTTCACAAAAAGCCTTGAACCAAAAACCAAGTCAATAAAATATCTTATTTCTATGACAGTCAGCTGAACAAGGAGCCAATTTGTGCCCTCCTCACCTCTGGGATGCTTTAAATGAGTGTTAATAATGAATACAAATTGACATTCCTTTATTAATGCAACAGCTCTTAAAATGAATAACTGCACACATGATTGTGCACATGTTGACTCCTCAGGATGCACGTGAATAAATAAATGGTTTACTTCCAAAGCGACAATATGTTCTGAGAAGAATAGGAAAATATGTAAATTGTCATGTCCCACATTTACCGGGGTGCAATTACAGAGTTCAGATATTAAATCCAGCCACAACATCGGTGCTGTGAATGGCTCCCAATAGGTTTGGTATACAAAGCAGAGTGCCCCTTTGATGGAAAAATAATTCTTGTAACGATTCCAAGTTACACATGGCAGTGCGTCTTGGAAAATACAAGTAGTCAATTTCCACTGCTCCATGTTCTTTAACACCCAGCACAAGTGGATGACGCTTTGAAAGCACCGTAGCCTAAACTTTGAACATGCATCATTTGGCACAACATTTGAAAGTCACGGAACACTTTGAATTTTTTTTTTTTTTAAGGTACTAAAAGATGTTTGCTTTGTTTGGCTTTCGGGAGGAAAAAAAAAAACATCATAATGAATCTGAGATGCACTGCAGCCTTTGTGTTGTGACTGTGCCCTTGATGTTGTCAGTTTCATCAAACACTGTGAAATTTGAAATTCAGCACCTGTTGAAAGAAGCGTTAAAAAAAAAAAAACACAAAACAGTTGGACATGCACATTCAAAAGTTTAGAAGGGCCATTGAAATGCAAAAGTTCAAGTGCATTTCAGATTCACCTGAAAGTTTCACCCAAAGTGGACTTTTCTTTCACCCCAAGTCTTCAACTTTGCCACTTTTCGCCTGTAACAGTAGAAATGTGCGAAGTGGCCACATTGCGGTTGAACATTTTGCAGTAGAAAGCAGCTGCTCTGAAATGGATGGGCCCAAGTGTCCAGCACCAAACAGGAGGCGAGGAAAGTCCGTCGGGAAGGCGAATGTAGTGCAGATGCCAGTCAGGTCTCAAAGTACTTGTAGATCTGAGAGACGTACTGCATGACTCTCTGCCAGTCGGGCCGGTCAGTCTTCATCAGCTCCTCGATGTTCTGCTCAGAGGAAACACCGATGCAACATCAGATACTTGAACCAGATTAGTAGTAGATCATTTTCGCACATTATTTTTGTGGTGCTCCAAGTTATGTCTTATTTCAGAACCACGAAATAAGAATGCGCCTCGAAAGGATTTCAACATCACCAACAACATTGCTATAATCCGACAACTCCGTGAGTCTCACAAGACTGAATAAGTTGACAGTAAAAATACAAAAACAACAAAGGACAAGCACAGATGCGCACAGTCATGTATTGGTTTTTCATTTCCTTCACAGCCATGGTGAACATAATGTGATCCTCATGACTGCCTGATCCTAAAGGAAGCCTTGTGTGGGTTTTCTCCGACTTCTTTCCGCATTCTAAAAGTGTGCTTTAAATGTTAATTGATGTCACAAGTGCTCTAGAAAATAGATGAATGGGCCTTCTTGTATACAACATTTAGGTAAAAATGTTACTGAAAGACTGTCAATAGAGTTAATAAAGGTTTTATGATAGCGACATCTCCTGCAAGAAAAATGGATTCTAAATCCAATCGGAGCCTCCCGTGTTCAGTTTTAAAGGTTCCCACTGCATTAAGTTCGACAAGAAAAAGATGAACATTTCCAATCTTGTAGCCAGATGCACCGCAAAAAAAAAAAAAAAAAAAAGTGAACTGTGGTCAGGATGGAACATTCTTTCGCATTACGCAGTCCTCATGGGGGTCCTTCTGTCTCTTGCAGATACAGAAACAGCTCATTTATACACACGATAAATGAGCTGCTTATTTGACTGATTTTTGGACTGAATATAAATCACTTTCACGTGTTGTATGGCGTACCCTGAGACAAAACACTGCTGTTGTCCATGGTGATAAGGTGGAATGTAAAAATTTATACCCCCAAAAAAAGACACATCATAAATCATAGCTGGGTTATCCCCAAAAAATATCTACTTGCTCCCGACTGGCCAGCCAACACGAATGCACAAATTTACATTTCTGGCATTTCATGCTCGGAATGCGGCAGGTTGCTTTTCTGCTGTCAAACAGATGAGAGGGGACCCCACTCGCGCACTCCCGATAAAACAGATTTGGGATGGCTTGAAGGAACTCAGACTAAACAGCTGGGCGGAAGAATTCAAGGCTCTTGTGGAAGATACCAGTCGGATGATGAAATAGCAGCAGGAGGTCCAGTTCAGGGCGGCCCGGTAGTCGAGTGGTTAGCACGTCGACTTCACAATGCAGAGGTACCGGGTTCAATTCCAGCTCCGGCCTCCCTGTGTGGAGTTTGCATGTTCTCCCCGGGCCGGTGTGGGTTTTCTCTGGGTACTCCGGTTCCCTCCCACATTCCAAAAACATGCATGGCAGGTTAATGGAACACTCCAAATTGTCCCAAGGTGTGAGCGCGAATGGTTGTTCGTTTCTGTGTCCCCCGCCTACTGCCTGAAGACAGCTGGGATAGTCTCCAGCACCCCCCGCGTCACTAGTGAGGATAAAGCGGTTCGGAAAATGAATGAAGGTCCAGTTAAAGTTCAATAGCATCAACTCATTTTGGCAATTACTTTCTGACAAACTACTACTGAATAGGGATACTTGGAGAGGACATTTTGACTCTAAAAACAATTGGGTCAAAAATAACCCAACTATCGGTCTAAAAGGGACCAACTGCTACTTGGTTCAATTTGACCCTTTTTCTTTTTTTAATGTATTTATTGAATTTTTTTTTTTTTAATGAAACAGACATCAAATTTTGGGGGCTGATTTGTTTTTATTTATTTTATTTTTTTTCTTTTTTAACCCAACTGTTTTCAGAGTGTACATACTAAAAAAAAGGTGTGTTAGGGAGGGGCCAGCCAGGCAGCCTTTTTCGGCCAGCGTCTCTCACCTGAGGCTCGCCTGCTAATCACTCACCTGTAGCTCGTTAGGGCTGAGATAAATTGGCTCCCTAACTAATCCTCAGCGCAAGTTCGTGCCGCAACCTTATGCAATGAGCTCTGGTAAGCATCGCCTGAAGTTTTCGTTTCCTGTGCAGATACTTTCCCCCCCTCCCTGTGGATTCCTCGTGCGTCTCCCTTGAACTTTAAGTAAATCCCAGTTTGGATTTTTTTTTTTTTCCCTAAGTTGACTTTCCAAAGGCTGTAATAAACAACGGCAAGTTTTTGGCTTACACCGTTCATGTTTGTTGTCGTGCGATTGTGGTCACACACAAACCCCACCATGCTGGGTTGTTTTCCGAACCCACCCACCGTGGACTTGGAGCAGATTGGGCTACTTTAATCCAAGGTTGGGTTCAATATTTTAACCCATCAGAAAAGTTTCGGAAATTGGATTTGGGTGCCCTGAAGAGCTGCAGAGGGTCGTCATTTTGGAGTTTTGGGTTGTGTACTGAAGTTTAATGTAAAATTCTTAGAGAATGTCCAGTTGCGTCCCGAGGCAAGACCTTTTACGCTGCATGCCAATTCCAAGTCAAAGCTGACCCTAAGAAGCTAAAAATGGGTGGGTTGAATCAGGAAGGGTATCCGTTTGTAAAAGTGTTGCCAAACGTATCACTGAGGGTTTGTGTGTTATTTTTACAACATTGGACCAATCAAAAGTGTTAAATGGCTTGTGCTCTTTGACAATGTGATGTTAATGGTTGAACAAACGTACTTTTTTTGGGGGGTCTCTTAAAGTTATGATTTTTGGAGGTACAAGCATTCCCATCCATTAGACCCATCGGTGGGTTAGCTATTTCCCCCAATTTGGGTCACATTAACACCTGCGGTTTTAAAAGTACAATAAGACCTAGGACTATTATTTTGACTTCAAGATGGCGCCGCGTGAGTGGCTGCCTTTCCAGCAGCTCCTATATTTTGTTGTTGTACTTCTTCCATTCATAACTTTGCTGCTGTGAATTGGGAATTTCTCCATTGCGAGTCTAATAAAGGTTTTCTTATCTTTCTTATCTTATCCAGCAATACAAAAGTAGCTATGCGAAAGCACAACTTGAGTCAAGTAGCCCCATAAAGCATCTGACAAATGCCTATTCTGAGTGAAATTGATGAAGTAGTTTGTGCCATTCCAACTCACCAGGGAAGGTTTGATGCCAATGCTCTCGGCAGCCTGAAAAGCCAGAGTCAGATTCCGGATCTGAATGAAAAATTAATCACATTGTCACATTTCCACACCACTCATTGGATTGCAACAATAACACATGAAGCAGTCGTCAGTATGATTGCATAAAGGTGTAAAAATACATATAAAATGGCGACAAGGGTGACATTTCGGGAAGATTATTAGGTCGATGCATAGGAAATTGGAACTGGGTTTTGTCCAGTTTTGCAGGGCATCCTTTCATTCCCCCGTGTTACAGTATAAAAAATGTAGTTCCAATTCTAATCTAAAAAATAAATATAACTTCCTCCAATCTGTCGGCATTTTTGGCCCATGTCGTAATGCCAAGTACCCTTACAAACACAACCTTTTGAAAATGTCCTGCACTTTGTCCCCTGGCTTGCCCCGCTTATCCCATAAATTGAAGCATGCGAGCTCCTGAACTCATGATGGTTGCCTTCAAACTAACCGGTCCATTTTCGGATGATCAAATACTCCGCTACAAATTATATTCTTAAATCCGTTCTGATGCAGTCTGGCTGGAAAAGAGCATGTTTGCTTGTGACCTGCCTAAAACCCGAGGCCATCGATTACAATCTTGGGTAAAAACATCTGATGATAAAGGGCGAGAGGGGGCAGTAATGAGATTAGTGGAAGGACAGATTACACTGGAAAGAGCTGCTTGGCTGTTTGGGGCCCCGAGGGTGAAGTCCCTCAGCAAGAGTTATTAAAGTCAACTCCTGTCTATTGAATTATTCAGCACGGTGGCAGCGCCGTGTCTCCGTCATCAGCTTAATGTAACGCGCATGACTCATTTGTCACTTAGAATGAATAAAGTGCAGGTGTCGGACATTTCTATTAATGCAGCAGCCACAGGACCGGTATGCTGCTTGGAGCTAGCAACACACAAGTCTTTGGATCTCTCCAAACTATTAAAAAGTCCAGTCGCTAACTTTATAAATGAAGTATGTCGTGCGGTTTAACGGTGGAAATAAAAAACCCCAAATGTTCCTCAGATATGAGCGCCGACTGCCTGATTGAAGTTCAAAAGAGATTGACGATACCCTCGGGATTATTATTTTTTTTTCTGGAATGTCATAACCTTGGTCCCATGAAAAGATTGGCTTGTTAAAACTTCAAATCGGAAAGATCCTTGATGACACGACAACTACGCATAAACACTGATTGCTTCACTTGTAAATGTGGAAACTCGTGAGAAACCGATCACTGGATCCAACTATGCAAGGGAGTCGCTATCTCTACAGTATGTACAGTATATATGTACTGTAGACACACGCGATATTTGTAAATATTGTCCACTTTATCTTTCACAACAACCCCACCATAAAAATACAAAACAAATGCGAGCTTTTGTATTCCCATGCATTCATCCAGTATGGGCATGTGTTAAGTCAGCTGACTTTAAACATATGCAAGAAGGAATAAAGTCAGTCGTTGCTGAGTGTGTATATGTCTTCCTGTACCTTATCTTGACTGATGAGTTCCTGGTAGGGGATGTGGGCGGGCAAATATGTGTGCAGGAGGGCACAAAAAGCCAAGCCATCACTCCAACTGCTGCTGAAGTTGGTCACATCAATATTCTGTCCCAAAAAAAAAAAAAAAAGACAAAGGTCACTGAAAAAAAACCCAAAGACAAAATGACAACAATCTGAAAGCCTCAAGGAGAGGCCATGAAAGCAGCTGTCCTCGAACAACAATTCCTCTGGTTCTTAATGGGACATTAATGTTAACGGATCTTCTTGGATCCCCTTTTAATCCTCTGGTGTGCTTTGTGATTTCCCCTCAGTGACAAGCATGCACAGAAGCATGTTACGGGGCCATGAAAGCAGATGTCAGAAGCACAGTACAGACGGATGAAGGTAAGGTCACGTTTTAATAATACTTCACGCGGTTACGTGTCTTTTGGAGCACATCAATACATGTTTGTGTTTTTTTTTTTTTAAACATTTTTATTTTATTTTTTTTGGTGATGTGAATTTTCCCTTTTCTGCATAGCCTAATGCTGGCTTCTGAGGTGTTCAGTTAGTACATATGAAATGGACGTGACTTGGTTTCGGGATGACATCGGAGTCATCAAGTGGGCGATAAGATTGTCTGCTCTCCTTAAAAAAACAAAAATATGAGTCACTGTAACGTTATGCGCACTTGAAACATTTAATTGAGTGATTCGTTGGCGTACCACTAGAGGGAGCATGCGTAACACCAGCCGCACTGGTAACCCCGCTTTAAGAATGACTGATCAAAAGAAATCAAACTGGCTTTCTAAAGTGTGCCATTGAGGGGGCGTGGCCTAGGGAGTGAGATCTGGAGCTGCAGCGACCACGGTTCGTTCAGTGTTAGCGTCAGCCTCATTCTCCTTGCAAGTGTTTTCATTCTGTATTTTGTGTGTATGACCGGCAAAAACCGAGACGTGAATACATCTGTGAAGCTGAGCCCCATTGTTTAACCGTCGAGGTGTTCTGTATATGTCTTCGAGTCAGCGTTACAGCCCGGCGACAAGTGACAGATTAGACGATTGTTTACGGACGCTTTCAAGCTTGCCGGTCATCCGTCTGTGCCCCGAGGTCCAGAGTCCAGCTGATTTTCATTCCAAATATCTAATCAGAGGATTGATCCAAACCAGTGACTGCAGGCCAATGCAATTAGCGACCTGATTGGACACCAAAGCTACACGGCTCCCTGGGGAAACGAATGCACAAACAAAATCGCTGCTTTCAGCCCGCACAACCATGAATAATGCCTTAACTCCTAATGAGACATATTTGGCTTCCTGGGAATGTCCCGCCATTTAAAAAAAAAAAAAAACATGAAATGAGGTTGATCAAACAGAAAATGCAAGAGAGAGGCGGTTATGCTTCAGTGTTATGTCCACTATTCATAAACTGAAGTATATCCATTCCATCCATTTTCTGAACTGCTCATCCCGTTCGGGGTTGCGGAAAGCTGGAGCCTATCGCGGCTGATTTTGGCCAAAAGTCAATGTACACCCTTGACAGGTCAATCACAGGGCACTTATAAAGAGGGACGACATTTCCCATGGAAGCCCGCCATCTGAATCTGTCCACTATCAGCAGTGTTGGACAGTAACCAAATAGTTACTCACATGCTGGAGTACTTGTACAGTTTGGATGATCCGTACTTTATTTTCCTGATTCGCCCCCTCATTGTACTTTGAATCCAAACATTTCTAAAAGGTCAATTTCTCTTCATATTGTTATCACATGATGTGTGGAAGTGGTGTTGCCGGAGATGTCGCTGATACATCCGGCCCTCAGTTTGCGCGGTGACCTTTTAGGTAAAATAGAAGCCAGCGAGAAAGGAATATGTCCCGCAGCAGTGCGCCGCAAACAATGGAATCATGCTTCTCTTCTCCCTCACCGTGGCCATACCCTAAATTCGACATTGGTACTCACAGGGCGTTGTTTACTATGCAAAGGACAGACTGTTTTGTACTTTGCATACTTTGGTATTTATATTTTAAAAGCAAGTACTTCTGTACTTTTTACATTGAACTTATCCACTTGGACTTTAAATTTGAATAGCATTTGACCATGAGAATCTGTACTTTTGACTCAAGTACGATTTGCTGTGCACTTTATCCGAAGCTTCCCTAAAAGGTAAGAATTCATTTTTAATACCCTTGGGAGCCTCACATGGCTGGAAGGATCTGTGTGAACATGACTTCCTCATTTTCGACGCTGGCTGGCTGACTTGAGGATCTCATGATGATGTCATGATGGATTTATTTGAAAAGGTCCGTTTGAATTCTGACAGCTTGTCAAGGCAAAAACAAGCAAAGATCAAAGATGACAATAGCGGCTTCAACCCACGGGCACAAACAGCCCGCGTACATTATCGAAATAGGAACCCAGTACTTAAAAATCCAGACGGCACCGGACGAATGAGGAAATGCACTCGGTCCATGTTTGAATGGATGCTTTTTGTGTCACATTAATGTCATCAAAAGCTAAGAACAACACACGTATTTCAAATCAATGTGCTTAACCCTTTCATGCACCCTGTAACCTGATAAGATGTCCACTGTAGAAACGACTCTGCCCGAAAGGGTTCATCTTAGCATTTCAGTTAGCATACCCAATGCCCTGTTCATGTTGGGAAACGGTTGATGGGAAATTACAGGTAGAAAGGGAAAGTGGTTTGCCTTCGCCCTCAACCATTCATCAGTCATGGCATCCATGTTGAATCTGACGCGTGCAGTCGTGGCAGGCCTCACGACCTAACTACCCCATCTTGCTGCATAGGTAGCCCTTTAGGACTGAAATGATGGCCTGAAGTGGGTGGGGATAATAGAGGCCAGCAGTAGTTGTGGAGTTTCAGAAGAGTGGCATGCATGCTAAAACAGCAGTAGACAAGAGCAGCTCGCTGGGCGCCGGCTCAGAAAAGCAAACACGGCATCAAGCGACAGGAAGCGTCTAGCTTGGCACAAAAGGCAGAGCCATGGATTTTTTTTTTTTTTTTTTTCCTCCGGGCTCAGAAGAGAGAAGAAGGGGATTGCTCACAGGGAGGACCGGGCCGGCGATGAAGAGCAGAACTTGTTAAAGTTGCTTGGAGGCCTTTGGTCAATGGAAACGCTGATATGATTAACCTGCACGGCTTTAATTTTAACAGCCAATAAACTTCAAAAGTCCTGCCAGTCGGCATGTTTAAGGCCAGAGAATGTGAGACACTTTGCTCCAAACTATCACTTAATCTCTCTAAACCTATTTGGGTGACTAGTAGTGTGAATCTAGTGTGAATAAATAAATGTGCTTCATTGTACCCATCAAGTTTTTTTTTTATAGTTAATGAAAACTACCGTAATAAAAAAAAAACACTACACAGAAAAAAATGTGTTGAATTTAGTGAATTTTATTTTTTTCCTCTGGCTGCACAAAATAGAATTATTTGGATTTAGATGCATCTTTTTAATTAGCTGTAACTGTATAGTCCACTTAAAAAAAAAGTCTGGATCCAGATGATTTTATTTTGCGCACCCACTTGACGAAATAAAATTAAGTAAATTCAACACGGCATTTTTTTTCCCGTGTAAAATCCAAATACATTTTCATTCACATTTTCGCTCATGAAATAAAAGTGCTTAGAAAAAAAAGATGACTGAAACCACATCTTACCTTTATAAGACTAACTAAACCGAACTGTAATTGGGTATTGCTGTATGTCCGTACAGAAGGAATTGAAGCTTACTTTATTAAACGATATTAAGAGACTTTTTTTTATAGCACTCGACATATACTCTGCATATTTTTAAAAAATCTAATACTAAAACTACGAACAAATGAAAACCGAGCGCTTTCAAAAACAAGAATAAAAACTGACAAAGTCGCTTTGAAAAATAATTTAAACTAAATGGAATAAAAAAAATGTCAGAACTAGAAATAAAATTAACTATAATGAAAACTACAGTTTTATCACTCAGGTGGCCATATAAAAGGCTAATTAAAATAGATTTAGTCTGGGTAAAAATAAAGGCACACTTTTAAAACACATTGGCAACTCATTTGAACAAAAAAAGAAAACCGCAACCATAAAACAGAGTAAGCACTGTACATATTGTAGCGCTTGTGTACATGAATGTGCCTTTAAGAGGCGGTGCCTAGAGGCTTCCGTATGATGTCAGTGGGTCTTAGATGTCCTCATTGTGTTTAACTGTTCCCCTGGCATTCAATAAATAGTTGTAAAGTAAGTCAAGATACCACCGCGTACTATTACGATACCAAGCTGTTGATGTCAGATGCAAAAGTGTAAAAAGAAAAATGGCTGGAAACAGCCACACTGTCAATTGTGACACGTGCGGTTAAAAAAAAAAAAATGCCATCAGACTAAAAGGATGAACGCAGGAGACATCGGCCTGAGAGGCTCACGTGACGGATGAGCTCGGTATGTTTCCTGTCAGACAATCACTTTACCTCACCACCCACGAGCACAACCACAACAGCGACCAGGCAAAAAAAAAAAAAAAAAAAGGAAGGCATGACAAAAGGACGGACAACCGAATAGTAAAATCAAAGTATAGAAACATGAACAAGAAATGACGGTCACAAAGTTTGACTCCCTTGCGGCACTCTAATATCCAAAATTGTTGTATTGAGATATTTAATGTAGTACCGTCACACACATGAGGTCATCACAACTTTCCATGCACTAAAACTTAACACTATAAGTATCGGAGTCTGGCAAAGCCACACCCACCTAGGGGAGCCACTCAGCAAGATCCCCCGGACCTGTTTTTGTATTGGACGTTAATCTGCCCTTCAGGAAACATTTCATATAACCCAATTTTCCTTGAATTACATAGCACAGCATTTCCTGCTATTGTTATAATGGGGTTATTTAACAGAAGCTGTGGTCTCAATACTGAGTCAGCACATGAGCGGGTGTCTCAAAAAGCTCTTGTTCAAGCCAGACAACTGCCGCTTTAACGGTGACTCTGCAAAAAAAAAAAAGTTGCCAGCTATTTGTGATGCATTTACACCAGTGACCCAGATCGCTATTCTCTTACTCTATTCCTGCGTTCCTGAAGTGGAAACAGCTGAACTATAAGGGACCTATGCTTCGGGAGTGGCGGGCCACAGTTCGAATTAAAAAAAAAAAAAAAAAAAATGGCATCTAGTTTTTTTGACAGATAAGTGTCTGCTTCCTACCTACTGTCGGGGTGCCCTTGTGAAAGGCCTCTAAACCTCTTCTCCAGCAGAAAGGTCAAGAGTGTTGGTGTTTCCCTTTCACTCTGACATCTCCCCATGTGTGTATAAGTAGTTGTTTCCCTTGAGGTGTTACAATCGGTATAAATTACATTTACACACACAAATTTACACTAATGATTCAACATTGTTTTCTCATTCGGTGTCTGATCTCCATTCCTTCCACTCCTGGGGGGGGGGGGGGGCGGTCCGTTCCTGTCTTTCTACGGGTTTGTGTGAGAAAACCGTTTCCCAGAAAGGGGCCGGATGAGCTGTGCTCTGAAAGGCCCAGCTGGGCCTAACATTTCGAGCCTTTGCTCATTGTTCCCATCTAAAACAAATAGGGCCTTTATTTTTGTTTGGCTTGTACGGTTAATAAGAAAATGTGTCTGCCGTCTAAAACGGGACATCAAAGTGCCTGCTGAATAGAAAGGAGACAAAATGTGTATTCTAGGAAGCACGCCGCACAACAATCAAATCCAAACACGTCGAGCATCACGCTTTGTGTTCGTAACAACGTCAAGTTGAGACGGGCAGAGTCATCCATCTCTTGATTGAATGATTGTTAAGTCAGGGCAGGTATGCGAAGAGCGAAAAAAAAACCCCAAAAAACCTAATATGAATAATTTTGTCATTAAAAAATGAATAAATAATTAATAAATGAGGCTTTTAAACTAATGAACTATGTGATCTTTTTTTTAATTATTATCAAGAAATGGTTTAAAAAAAATGACAATGATTCAATCATTGTCATTTTTTTAAATAGTTCATCCAACTGTTTGCTCTCATGCAGGGAGGCAAAGATATTTTACATCTTACTCAACAATCTCAAAGCACATCCTTAAAAAGTGGATGCACACGTGAATTATGTACCTTCGGCCATGTGGTGGAAAAACATGAAACGGTTCTGCTTGTCACTACACGTCGCTGGCGTAGACGATGAGCGGCGACGTCATTTGTAGTACATGAAAACTGTTCAGATGTTTTTTTTTTTGATGAAAAAGTAAGCCAAAGTATCACGAGTTCTGAGTCTACCTCAGACCCAATGCGCTAATGACCTCTTTTGAACTCCAATTTCCTGCAATTGGCCCCTCAGCGTTATGATCTCCTTTTAAGGCAAAGTCAATCAGAGTTAGTTTAAGAGCCACACTCATCGATTTGTGGCCACGCATGCACATACCGCTCCCACTTACGAACACACTCGCCTAAGTTCACCTGAGGCACAACCCGATGCATGATTTAAAGCACGTAGGCTATTGTCTCTCCTTTCATCATTTTTTTTTTTTTTTTTGCTGTTCTCAAACACATTCGGTAAATAAGCATGCGTGTTTGCACAGCCCCATGTAAGATGATAGGACACAATCAGTTCACAAGCTTGTGATGACAGCCCACCCCCATTCCACACACACACACACACACACACACACACACACACACACACACACTTACCGCTATGTCTCCTGCTCCATTATTGATTCAGGTATGTGTGACATCACGCTTTGTATGCAGATATAATCACACAGACTTTCTTTGTACATCACCGCGCACAATAGCTCACGTTTCCCGTTGCACTTTGCAATTAGGCTCCTGTCTGACGGAAAATTTTGCCAACGGTGCAAATATATTGGAAACGCAGGCAGTTTGGTTGGTAACATTAACTCTCCCATTAACCCTTTTGAGGGACAGCAGTTGCTACAGTGGACAGCTTATCATGTTATCAGGTTACAGGGTGCATAAAAGGGGTTAAAAAAAATTCAATAAAAAAAAAAATTAATGTTATTATTATGCACAGTTTCAAGATTTCCACGATTTTCCTTGATTTAACATGTAACCGTAGTAAATATCAAATAAATTTTAGTTGACACGGGTCAAATCTGACACAGGAGAACCTCAGTTTTAAACTGTACAAAAAATCCACAACATTTTTAATATGTCATTGTTGTGTATTTTGGGTCACTTCAGGAAATGTCATCTCAAAAGACTATCTTTTAGAATATTTGTAGAGCTGTGAAATTGGACTGGAAGAATATATCAGGATTAAACGGTACGTTCAATTACGTAGCGCAGGGGTGTCAAACTCATTTTTGTCGTGGGCCACATTGTAGTTCGGGTTTCCCTTGGAGGGCCGTTATGAATTTTGGGAAACCATATAAATGTTTACTCACCTCCACATATTACATACACAGCGCACAACAAATTGATGGATAACTAGTTTTAAAATCAGAAGTCAAGAATAATGACTGTTATTGTGGATTACATACGACAATTTGAAATTTGGGTTCAGACTTTAGCAAGCATCATGGAACTTGACATGCTTGAGTTGCTTTCGCGGACGACATAAAATGATGTGGCGGGCCAGATCTGGCCCCCGGGCCTTGACTTTGACACCTGTGACGTAGCATGACGACAATATTTTTTTTTGTCATGGACAAATTCAAGAGCTTCATGGTTGAACTATTGCAACGTTGGGTCTGGAGCCAAGAAGAGGTTTTTTTATTTATTTATTTTTAATGTAAATGTACTGCTAACTGCACTGACCTTATCACAGTCCAACATGGCCGTGACAGACGGCCACGAATTGTCCTGCTGATCTGTCCTTTTGTCCAGAGATACACACAATATGACAGATCCGTGGCACCGTGCGATTAAAGTGTCTGTAATTAGTGTCTTCCTATGGACAGAGGCTTCACTATAACAACCTGACCTTTCGCAAGATGTCGAAACCCGAAGTGGCATCAGACAATGAACATATCCCCCGTGCCGCAATGAACTGGGGTTCACTTCAGTTTGCATACTAACTGTTGCATAAACGCGATACTTCACACAAGTAAATAAAGCGCGCTAACATCCGTACTTGGAGCAAACACACGCAAAATCAGAGACTCCGCACCTGACCTAAACATTTTTTTTTTCGCTCCCTATCAATCCCAGTTGCATTTCTCTCATCCTGGATGGGCAAAGTAAACATGCAACAAAGTCAGAGAAGGAAACGGGAATTCATCATGCAACTATCCAACCAGTCAGAAAGTCTTCCAAGTATAAGAGCGTTACAATGGCTGTGAAAGTCGAGGTTCTTGTCTGATTATCAGGGACAGAATCCAATTACAAGTTGGGCACATGGCGGATGTGGACTAAATCCATAAACGCTAGGATCACTGTCTGAATCAACGACGAGCGCCTCCGAGGGGGAAGAGATTTTATGGAGCAAAACTGAAAGGGAGAATCTCAAATCTTAGAGTATTCTTCAGACGTGCAAATAATGACACAGGTTGACTCGGCTTCTTGGGGCTCGGGAGGCTAAAATGGTGCTGGGCCTGACTCGCCAAGAGCTTTAGCGAGAATTTTGTTCCATATGAGAATCAATGGGACCAAGCCCCCCCCCCCAAAGATATTTATCTGAGGAATGCAGGGAGGGTACGCTGTGCGAGGACATCAGAACAGCTGCGACTTCACTAAATCTTTTTAATCCTGTCTAAACTGGTTTCCTAAGCTTGATTTTTGTGGACACTGGGAACACGAGGCCGCACTGATCTCTGTTTTCAATGACAGCCTTCCGAGACAGCTGGTTTTAAACTGATTTACGTTTATTGGCCTCCATCTAAAAATCAAATTCAATTCCACATATGAGCCATCTCGTGTTTCATGTAGTACACCACACACATTTGCGTGAAACTCTGTCCTAATGGGCCAGCATCTTATCAGGCATGCTATTAGTGTGCTCGCTGGTCAACCTTATTAGGCAACATATTGTCATCACAGAGCATTCTGTGTTTTATCAACACGTGCACGCACACACAGCGTGGCTATCATACTTTAGAGGAGGGAGATGTCTCGTATGGCCGATTAATAATATTTATTGCAATGGTAGGCTACGTTTGTTGTTTGTTACAATCATGACATGGCAGATGCGCTCTCGTTGGTTCATGTTCGGGGTGGACGCTGAAGTTTGATATGCGCAGAAAGCTAATGTCTGTTGTAGGTGAGGAAGGATGAGTTAAAATGTCTTTGTGAAATACTCTAAATAATAAAATAATTTATCTTCACTTTAAATGGTATTGTGTAATTAATCAGCCGTTTTTAACAAAATACAATGGATGAATGAAAATGAAATGAATACAATTATTTGTTTTTACTGATAGTCAATTAACCAGAGATGCAATGAGATAAATTTAAAAAATAGATGAATACATTTTCGATGGACCAATTTGGGGAGGTAAAAATTTATGCAACAAATATTGATACAATGGTGCCCATGAGCAACATTTTCCACACGTGTGGTCCAGCCCCCGTGACGTTCTTTGAAATGAACTAAGACAGATTTCTCTGCAAAAGCAAAAAATAAAAAATAAACTGCAGACATAAACAAAGAGCGAAAGATAAAAGAAAAGTACAGTACACAATCACACATGTATTAATTCAGTATGTCTGTAATACTGCGTAACTGTTTTCCTTGCTCTGACATTTCCTTGAGATATGAAAGCTATTTGGATTGCACTACTACACAGATTTATACCTTAACACCTTTGAGGTGGCACAAACTTTTGAGGACATTTAAAAAATAAATAGAAAAGTGGTAGAAGGAGAAACTCATGGTACCTTAAAACAAAAAATTGACTAGTGGGAGGGGGACATAAACAAGTATCCAACCCTGTTTTTGTTTTGGAAAAACTTTTACATGTGTGGAACCAATGAATCCAATTCGTTGAGAAAACAACTTTTCAATCCATTGAGGAAGAATTGCCCACGAAATGAATGAACAGCGAGGCAGTGAAAAGTGAACGCGACTGCGCTCCCCTCGGACGTGAGAAAGATCTTTGACCTGTGATCCCTACCGGATAGCCTTGTGTTTTCTTCTGGCACCACTTCAGTAGAGCATTCCTCTTAGATCCCCCATACTCCCGTGCGAGTGCAGCCAAGGGGTCCGTACTTTCCACACCATCACGAGGGAAACACAGACCACAAGTACACAGTGAGAGAGAGACCGACAGTTTGAGAAGAGATAAGTCTATTTGAGTCAAATGAAGTGCAAATGTCTTTCTTGGATTACAGCCCTGACCGTGCAGTTAACACTCCTCCAATATAAATGGGCTGCATGTTTTGGCAACAGTTGAAAAATGAATAATGATGAAACTAAGAAACACACACAGAGTACATGAGCTGAGCGACACGAATATTGTTCCCAAGGTCATCCCGGTGGTGTTTGTGTTGTATCTGGAGCCATGGGAAGACCACGACGCCCGGTCATTGCTCTCAAAATGGTAAACATGTCACGCCACTTGGCTGTTAAATTCCCTCATTCTCGCTTTGAGGCGTCGCTTAACATTGCAAATTTTGCAGAAGGACATAGACGCACATTCATCACCGAGCAATAATATTTTCTTGCATCATCACCCAAATATCAGACAGAAAACAGGAACAAGCCACTGCTGTTTGGACGGGTCCGTCCCTCATTCTCGCTTTGAGGCGTCGCTTAACATTGCAAATTTTGCAGAAGGACATAGACGCACATTCATCACCGAGCAACAATATTTTCTTGCGTCATCACCCAAATATCAGACAGAAAACGGCAACAAGCCACTGCTGTTTGGACGGGTCCACAATAATAACACTTGAGTGACAATTACCGTATTGGCCCGAATATAAGACGACCCTGATTATAAGATGACCCCCTCTTTTTCAAGACTCCAGTTTGGAAAAAGACTTTTTGAACACCAAATTAATTTTTATACAGAAAATAATTACAGTACATCTGAAACAAATGATTCTAACAATATATTTGAGAGAAAAAGCATGTGTTTTTGCCTCATTCAAATATTAATATCTGAACATTTAAATATGTAAACTAAAGTGCACTCGCATTAGTAAATGGAAGGCTTCTGGTTTTTGAAATGTAAATGACATCATAACTTCTCCTCAGCTGCCGGTTAACCTGGCCGATCTTCGACCCACTTTTCTCCAGATTGTTGCTACGTTTCTCCATTTTCTGTTATCTCTTCTATTATTTTCTTCTCTTTTCTTTCTTATGGCTATTTTTTATTTTTCTTCTTCGTGACAGGGGTTCGCTTTGGCCTGGGGAGTCAAGTTCAGCATTCGCTTCAATGGTATCTGGCGCTATCTAGCGTCGTGAATGGCTATAATGTCTAGACCCCGAATATAAGACGACCCCCACTTTTTCAGTCTTATTTCAATGCAAAAAACACAGTCTTATATTCAGGCCAATACGGTATTGTCCAAGTGAAAAGCACCGGAGAATGTTTTAATATCGCTGCAGATGCATGGTTGGGGAACATGGGAGGCAACACTGGTCAGACGGGTTGTCAGTGTCAACAGTACGATTGCGAAAGCGAAGGTGTGTCTAGACTGAGGGTTGCCAAAGTAGAAGTGGTCACCCGGCCTGACTGTGACAACATAGGGGTTTTCAAAACTCAAACACCGCACAATGTCTATACGAAATGCCAACAGCGCTCGTCTATCTTAAATGATATCCGGTGCAGTTGTGTTTGACCAGCAGAAACACAACCGTATCTCTAATAGTTTATGAGTGGACTGTTTGAGTTGTGCTCAGCTTGGGAAAAAGGACAGCTGCCAGTGTCACTTGATTTGTTTGTGGTCCCTCTTTGCTCAAGGAACATTGAATCCATTTTGAAAAGTACACATACAATAATGATTGAGGAAGTCAACATTTACTTTTTTTTTTTTTTTTTTTGACATTGACTGCATTTTCCCTTCCAACAAAAGGCAACTCGAACTAAACGAAACGCTTCTCTGACCTGATTAAGTGAGGACACTATTATCTCAAAAATCCTGTAGAAAATCTTTGCGTATATGCAATGTGTGTTTTGCTGTGGAGATACCCGAATGAAATATTCGAGAATATTCCTGACCCACCTGAACATGTTGTTCGCCTGGTTGCAGCTAAGAGACGATGTGCGGCTTCTCAGAGAAGCAGGGCTTTTGAATATCGACTCCAGGGATGGACTCTTCCTCATCAGGATGTTCGGTTTGGCGTTTTTTCCACAGCTTGAAATTTTACCTTTGGGAATTAGAGTATTCAGACACTCATCATCATGTACAGTATTTTGGATGGAGCACATTTGACATCTTGCTAACATGCATACTGCTTGCATACTTTGCTACTTGAGCATATGAGAGAAGTAACCACATTTGCTCCCTTGGACAAAAAAGACATCAAGCTACCCTCTGAAATATTGGAAATCCTTTTTACTTGACAAAGTGCGACACAAACACATTTGACCTTTTTGTCTCGACGTGGTCTGTCTTGTGTTGCTAGGTTACTAACCTCAACCTATGATTTGTGTTCAATTGGACTTTTGTGGAATACGGCTGTCCACATAGTGTGAATAATAACAATAACGATAACAACACAACATTAAAAACCGATTAGGACCATCTGTGTTACATACTGTGAGGATGAACAAAGTCTCCATGACTGATTCTTTTTTCCAACAACTTTGACAAGGGCTTTATGTACGACTGCCTCTGGAAGAAACAAAACAGACCAGATCAAATAATGATTGAGGAAGCGACGATCATACACAGTTGTTTTCCAGTGAGCCAAAGGTCAGCATTGCAGAAGGGACAAACATATATAAATAATATTAAGTCACGTCACACTTTCCCCCTGGCCATGCACGAGCCTACCAAAGCTAGACAGCAGCCGCCGTAGGGAAGGTTTCGGAGCTAAATTGTCCTTAGCTAACCTGGATTGGCGAGACTGCAGCAGCCGGTGCGGTGCGCATCGGGATTCCACTTAGAGGGCTTCTAGATGAGCCGTGGATTTGAACTGTGAGGCCCGGTCCGTCTGAGAGACATAAGAGCAGAACCATCCACTGAAATAATTAATTCATTATTAAACAAAAAGAATACATTTACTGTATTCTTCATGAAAACAATGTGTGTTTAGTTTTATTGCTTCAATACCAAAGAGAAGCCGAAAAACTTAACTGAGGTCAATTCAGGTCACACTTTAGGTCACGCTAAAGTACCAAGTCGCTTGTTCTCCACAAAAGATGTGCCGGCTTTGCGGTATTGTATTTCCGTGTGTGTGTCCGCGTGTGTAGTGTTGCTCACTCTGTCCACCAGCATCAGGTGACTTCATGAGAGACTTGACATTAGCTCCTGGCTCCATGTTGGCATTACCGCTGGCGTCAGCGGTTGGGCTTGTGCTCACACCGTGCCACTTACGGCTACCGTCACAAGTGGACTGTCTTACATCATCGCCTTGAGACCTGACAGACACAATGAAGAACATTGTACAGTGAATAGCTCATGTTGTAAACTGTCTGCTCCATTTGCATTTTGAAGTTCCGAACTGGGTTGGAAAGTGAGAAAAAAAAAAAAAAACGGTTCCAGACAAAATATCCACGGTCATAACATTGGACTCCATAATATAGGCTGACAGAGACACATCTTTACTGGCATAATATAATTTATTTGTGAATTGTTACGAATGACAAATAACATTTTTATAGAAGCATTTATGCAGTCTTTGTGGTCTTCTTCATATATGGCTTTATTCAACAAAAAGTGCGCACATGACCATCTTTCTTTGACCTCTGCCAAAAAGTATCTTTTGTTGTTGATTTTTCTTAGCAAGAACTGAATGTATTTTTGTTGTTGTTTGCAAATTGCCCCTCCGTCAAGAACCCCCCCACCCCAAAAAAACAAACAAACAGATGTTTTAACTTGGCCATCAAGACAACAACAAATGCAGGAATCACAGTATGTATTGTATACAGAAGAGAATAAATCTGGAAAAACAAATGGGATTCCTAGTACAACCTGAGATCCTGTAACAATGTGGCCTTCAGAAGTATTTAAACACTCCATTGGTATCATTTGGCTCATAGAAGACAGACCTTTGACAGATGACATCTCTTTCAAGGTCCTAATTCACATTGCGTTACAAACCCTTTCAGTAACATGTTGCACAGTCAAACTGGTCTTGCTGATACGAACACAAATAAACCAAAAAGACCACCCAGTTTTTGCTCAAAGGCAGTAGAAATAACTTTGAGGTTTGTTTGTTTTCTGCATTTTTAATAAACTTATCAATATAATCTAATTTTTGGCAACAGGCAAACCTGGATGAGCAAGTACTGTACGCGTACTGTAGATGCGATATGGTGTTAAAAAGCGCCATCTATTGGCAAAATATGGCATTGCATTCTTTTAGACACGAGAGATGAAACGCATTGAGCGTCACTCATCAACCGAGACGAAAGTGCACGTTTGTCCCACACTTTTAAGTCCATATTGTGCACACAAGATGAATACATAAATAATACAAATAATATAAAAAATTACAAACATTATCAAGGGTATTATGAACAGGCAAAAGTAATGTGTGCAATCCTCGGTGCAACATCCCATTTGTCATGGCGATACAATATTTAATAATGTGTGGCTTTAATGGTAAAATGTTGAGATGAATACATAAATAATACAAATAATATAAAAAAAATACAAACATTGTAAAGGGTATTATGATCGGGCAAAAGTAATGCGTGCAATCCTCGGTGCAAAATCCCATTTGTCATGGCGATACAATGTTTAATAATGTGTGGCTTTGAATGTAAAATGTTTAAAGAACCACGAACAGTGTGTGATGACAGGATCTTGTCTATTTTCAGTAGATTAAAATAGGAAACACTTCATATGTGACAAGTACAACAACTCAGCTTTGAAAGGCACACTTAACTTTGTAGTCTAACAAGGTATGAACGCCAATACTGTGACGAGAAAATGACAAACGGTACATTCAAAAAAAAAAAAAAAAAAAACTAAATACAAACCATCCAAAACATGTATGCGGGTACATTTCAAAGACACGTAGAAAATGTAAACCGCAATATTTAAGCTGCGAAACAGAGCGTACCCATTTTGCACTGTTTGTTGTCTAACATGTTTCCTTTCTAAGTATTAAGTGCATCAATGTCGCCTGATCTCCACAAGGCGCTGAAATGAACATCACTAGTGTCCTTCGACTGCTGTCTTGGTATCAAATGTTGCTCCAGGGACAATTCTGTAAACAGAAAGACAGGGATCAACAAGTTTTATTTAAAAAAACTCTTGGCTTGTAATTGATTAATCTACAGTAAAACTACAGACCTTAAGAGCTCTGATGATTTTTAAATCAGATTGTAACCAAAGGTCAACCCCATGCATAAACCATTAGGTCATTAAGGAAGTCTGAAATGTCTAATGATAAAGATGCGAGACAATTCAGATAACTGAGACATTGCCTGAAATCATTATCCGGTCATGCTATGCACACCAGCTGCTGATGGAAAATCTCGGGCTAATTCCTACAAAGAACAGTAGGTGGCACAAGAGACATTCGTTTGAATAGAACGAGGACAAGCGCTGCAAAATAAAAACATTAAAAAAAAATAAAAAAAAAGCTCATCCTGCGGGTGCCTCTGGAGCCAGTGTAGTGAAGGACAGGTGTCAAACAAGCTGAAGGTGAGAAAAGCCTCGACAAAGATAAGGACTTGAGATGAGAGCAGCAGCAGCAGCAGCACAAGCCAGGAGAGGCAGGCGAAGGAGGGCTGGGAACTCACCTGGTCTTTACATAGAGAGTCTTGTCAAAAAGACATCTTTGTGAGGCATCAAAGGGTGCTGCTGGAGGTGGGGGAACGGACGCAGCGCAACAGCTAATCTTAGGGCGAGCTGGCTGATTTAGCCGTGGTCTACGACCGGCGATGTAATAGATTGATGAGGACGACACAAAAACGTCATGTTATTTAAAAAGACAACTGAACAGTCGTGCAGACATGGATGAAGGCGTGGCTTAATGGGTGTTGACGCAATGACGGGACACGCAGATCAACATGGCACCACAGCAGCTAGGCTAAGAACAGATTGCCAAAGAAATTAGTGAAAGAGGGACAGAGTGAGTGTGAAAGCCCTGGTTTCATCCCAGTTACATTATGTTAGGCAAATACAAGCCAATGAGTACTTCCGTATATGAACACACACACACACACACTGCTGCCTAGCACCAGAACAAAGACACTACAACAACATCTTAAATGGATTCATTCCAAATTAAATGATAATTGCAGTATTGTTTGCGTGCTACGTCAGTGCACAAATGCGTAGAAGATGTGGCACCGTAGCTGCATTCTCATTCTCTCGTGCTTGTGGATAGCCGCAGTGTCTTTGCCTGGCAGTGGGGCAATGTCACGAAAGAAAGAAGCCAAAAAGTAGGGACAGATAAAACCCAGGAACTAAATTCTGAAACGTTTTAATCACGTCGAATCGGAACATTTGAGCTAAATTAGGTTTACGCTAAAACCTGCTTGATGGGGCATAGTCATGCAATACGGTAATAGAAGACAGGATGTTTGCAAGCATTTGTTCCATTAGGAGTAGAGGATTGGGAATGCATTTATACTTGTATTTATCTTTGGGAAAAAAATGAGATTAAATGGGAATTTGGCACTGGTCTGCCTGGAAACAAAAGGACCGCATCCCATTGCTGTTAACCTAACGAGGACTGTGAGAGGTGACTATTGTACCTGACACCTTGTAGGGCTTCCAGGTCTAAAGAAAGCTTGGCACTGCGATCCTGCTCCTCCTGCAGCTGCCTTCGGAGTGTACGCAGCTCCTGTTGAGCCTCCACCTTGATGTCATTGGCAACCACCACTGCTGTCTGGAGATCAGCCTGGAACTGATGCCACTCATCTTTTTCTTCCTTGAAGAAAATTCAAAACATGTGTCTGCTTTCAAAAGATTTTATATGAAGTCCTTTGTAGAAAGAGGCAAAAAGCAGCAGAGAAGATGCTGCGTTAGGGTAGCAGATAAAACGGATGATGACAGACCAGTGAGAGTCAGAACACATCCCCGAACACTCTTACCTTCATCTGCCTGCTGACAATTTTCAGTTGACGTTCCGCTTCAAATTTCTGCTCCTCTAACTTTTTAACAAGATCTGCAAACACAAATGAAATGTCTTTGACGGCAACTTCTCAACGTCTGCGAGACTCAACAGGAAGCGGGCTAGTTAGCATCACGAAAATAGCGTATCATCTCTTACTCAATAAGTGATAACAGATGGGGAGTCGAAGAGCTAAATTAACAACGCGAGTGAAACGTACTCTCCAAGTCGAGGACTGTTTGATTAGTGTGGAGGTTGATTGCCCGCTGTTGCTCCACCTGGTCCTCCAGTTCAAAGATGGTCTCCTTCATGTCCTTCACTTGTTTCTCAGCCACGATACCCGCCTCCTCCAAGGCACTCAACCGCTTGGTGAGCTCCTCCTCCCTCATCTCCGCTCTCTCCTGGACCTGCTGACCTTTGGCCTCCACCTGTGCGTGCATTTCCGAGTTAAGGATCTGAACGGAGATGGGTACTGCATATACATACTTTAGATTTACAGTGATCCTTCAATTCTTCTTGATTAAAAAAACAAAACAAAACACCCACATACCTTGGACATGCTAGCTTGTACGTGCTCAGTCTCATCGTGGGCCCGCAGCAGGTCCTGCCTGAGCTGTGTCAGCTCCAGCTCCAGTCGGTCTCTCTCAGCGTGGGCCGTCTTGAGTAGGCGCTGTAGCTCGGTACTGTCACTGGTGCTCTGCATGGCCTTCAGCTCACCCACCTTTTGCCTCTCAATGTCCACCTGCGCCTTCAGCCTACTATTTTCTACTCGGAGACAGTCGGCCGCCGCTCTCTGCTCTTCCGCGGACTGCGCGGCTTCGCCTCTGGCTTCCAGCTCGCGGTTCAGTTGGCCGTGTAGCCTGTCCATCTCTTCTCGCAGGCCGTGCACCTGGCCCTGCGCCTCCTGGTGTTCCTCCTCCAGAGCTCGCAGGCTGCTCGTTAACTGCTGCTGGATGTTCACCAGTTTCTCCCGTTCAAAGCGGGAGCTCTCAACCAGCTCGGCGTACCTTTGCTCGAGTTCAACAAGTCGAGGACCTTGGCTCCTGAACTCGTCCTCACTCTGGGCCTGCTCCTGAAGACGGCTAGCCAGCGCCTCATTCTTCTGGGAGAGCAGCTCTAAACGTTCTCTCTGCTGCTGGAGTGAGGTCTGCAGGAGGCTCTTCTCCTCAGCCAGACGCTCATTCTCCGTCGTCAGCTCTTGCACCACTTGCTGCTGGTCAGCGAGCTCCTGCAGAGTGGCCTGCAGCTCTTCCGCAGTGCTGTGGTGGTTTTCCTCCATCTTGTGTATCTGTTCCGTTAGGCTCTGGACAGACATATGATGCCCACCAGCGATGGCTTCACTACTGACATTGCTGCTACCGGATTCGGAACGCGGGATTTTCTCAAACTCCGACGAGTCAGGTGAAGGCGAGTCTTTGACGGAGCTGGAGTAGATGGATGTTTTAATGAGACTGGCACTTGGGCTGGAATCTGACGGTAGGCCATTGTGAGGTTTAGGAGGGCTGCCGGATAATGGTAACGTCTCAAAAGAGAGAAGCCTTCTCTTTAGCACTTGGTTCTCCTCTCGGAGGTTTGCTAGCTCTCTCTGAAACTTTGCATTCTTTTCCTTGAGCTCCTGAACCAGGACAAGAGCCTCTGCGAGCTTTCCCTCTTGTTCCGCAGACAGATCTTGAGGCGATAGCGAGACAGGCGACGGCAATGGGGAAGAAGTGGAAGCTTTATTTTTGCCGCGTTGCAGCTCGACGCGGAGATTGCTGATCTCCAAATCTTTAGCCTTGACTTCAGCCAGCAGCTCTTTAACCTGACATTCCAGGAGGCCCCTTTCTTGGGCTTCTGCTTCTCCACGACACTTTGTTGAGCTACGCGTTTGCTTTGCCAGGGTGGAGAGGCTTGAAGTGCTGGCACTGGAAACAATCCTCTTACTGGACGAGCTCCTCAACTGGTCCCGCAGGGAAATGCGGTCCCTTGTTATTGAAGATGGGATTTCTCTTGGGGCTGGGATACCAGACTTCTTAGTTGCTTGACAACCTGTGACACACACCGAAATGATTCAGGTCAGGTAACAAATAATGCAAAGCGCGCAGCGAATTTGGAGCTCTCCGGCCCATTTACTCTATTATGCAGTAAACACTAACCAAATGAGGATTGGGAGGGGAGGGGGAGGTATGTGCCAGGAGACAGTAGACATAAAGTAAATCATACAGTACTGACGTGTGTGTGTGTGTGTGTGTGTGTGTGTGTGTGTGTGTGTGTGTGTATAATATACATACACACATACTGCATATTGCCAAATAAAAGCCGCTACATTCAGATCTTAACAAAATAGTAACTCAAGCTTATATGGATTAAACATAATTGGGAACAATAAAATGAATCGGCAAAGAGAGGCATTACAACCAGTTGTTTAGATTACGTAAATGAAACTAATTGAACAGAAAGTGGGTCACATTTTGGCACTCCTATCTGTCCGTGCGCTTTGTTACGTCTTCCTGTGTGCCCTATTCAGACATTGTTTACCGTTTTGACAATGCAAGCATCTGCCCGGCATTGTCTCACGCTTGCTCTCTTGCGTTCATGCATCATTACAGCAGAGCGTGACTGTGACATTTCAAAAGGCACTAATGTGGGTCACAAGCACACGCCTATTCCAGACTCGATCTGAATCGCGACAAGTATTTTCTTGTACGTTTTTAGGCTCATCAACAAACAGTGACGCAGACGGGGGTGACTTGACTCAGTGATTTGTCCCCCCGGGAATTAATTCATGCATTAAAACTCTCTCTCTCTCTCTCTCTCTCTCTCTCTCTCTCTCTCTCTCTCTCTCTCTCTCTCTCTCTCTCTCATATGCATCAGTCAAACCCACATCGCGTAGCAAAGAGACGCAGAGGAAAGGACGGGCAGTCTAAATTCTGAAACATCAAACATACATTAACTACCTATAGATTTCAATGTCTAGTTTTGAGAGAACATACTTCAAAATTGTGTGTTTTAAAGGAGTTTGCCATTAATTGGGCGCGGTGTCGAGATTATATTTTAGTGAATAAACTGTGACAGAAGCTGCCTAAAACCTTTTTTACATTCCCGGTTCGTGCTGCTGACTTTGAAAGAATGAAAGGTTCTTTCATGAAAGCTTTAGAGACATTACCTTGTGAGGATTTAAAGCTGACGTGGGAAATAACTACAACATGTGGCAGAAGAGGAAAATTAAGCACACGTCACCTTGCTGCCAGCAGATTATTTTGTTTCAATTCACTTCAGTTCTTGGCGACTTCCATTGTTCTAACATGGAGTCACATTTCAGCGGGCTGCATCGAAGACGACTTGAATCCACGAGCGGAGGAATGAGGGCAACGTGCAACACTTTTTCACTGGCCGTATACAAATAGACACCCAGATTTGAATACACACCATGCAAATGTTCCAAATGCGTATTTGCAATGCACTGACACCTAATCATGCTCAAACAATGGACAACATAAGAAAATCAGTTGGAGTTTATGGCCACTTGCCATTTTGTCATTCGACACAGACAAAGAGGTTCTTGTGTGAAAAAGAAAGTGCGGAGAGTCTGACGTGCAGTTTAGACTGAGTTCTCCTTATGTGTGTGCCTGAAAGTGAGGGACAAGACTGTGGGACAGCCTTGTATTCCTCCCTCATATTTGTATCGCTCACTTCTTTGACCATCATGTCGCCACAGTTTGAGGTGCACCCTTTGCAGTCAATCAGACTCATGCTTGGCGCTGACCAGGCAGCAGAATGCTGCACCTAATTATCAAGTATAGTTCGCACAATTGTAAAAACTGACCGACCTAAGAAAAGAATACTTGGGTCTAACTTTATTTTTTTGCTGTTTTTGCTTTTTATTAAATTGAAAATGATGCTTTGAACCAAATTGCGAATAGAATTTGAGACAAAATAATACAAATTCCAGCATTTTTTTTTTTTGCTTAGATTTTTTTGTTTAGTCCAATGAAACATTAGTAACAGCAAAGAAGACATTAGTGTGACAATTGAATTAAGTAAATGAAGTGTATTGTCTTAATTCAAAGTCCTTCATTTTTGATCAAACACATTACAGTAATGTATTGTGTGGGCTTTATTCTTCCTAATGAAGATAAGCTTTCCAATCAAATTGGAAGCTCTGAAGCTGGACTAAGTCCAACAACATCCAGTTAACTGCAGCCTGCTGGCCAGCCTAGACGCGGAGGGCAAAGTGCTCAAAATCTTTCATTTCCAGATCAGGAGGGTCATGGATGAAAAGCCACCATGAATGAATGACTGCACGCGGTTAAGTGTCAGCCAATTGGCACCTGAAGTGCCTTCATTATAACCATCACAAACGAACTCATATGGAAGAATGCATCTGCATTGTCTGTCCTCTTTTGTTGCAAAAATGATGGTGGTCTTTCCTTTTGTCGGAGTGACAAGACCATGAAATGGGTCAACAGGCACCTATCAGTCAGAAACTGAAACCCACGGGCATTTCTATCCTCTGACTGGAATCAAGGGATTCTAATGGGGCTCGGGAACGAGGCTGCATGACACACTGACTGAGGACAGATTAGTCAGGATGGTTAAAAGCATTGCTATGGCCCAATGGGCAGCGAAAGGGAAAACAAAATCTACTCAACAGCAATTATAATTTCTTGACAAACGCATCTATTAATAAAATGTGCAGCATTTAATAAATATTGATTAAAATTTAGCAGGCCGCTTCTATGACAAAAAAAGCAGTAAACACTTACACTAGGAAGATAGCACATAGCATTTAATAAATATTGATTAAAATTTAGCAGGCCGTTTCTATTATAAAAAAAGCAGTCAAAAAAAAAATCCCTTCTAAGGACCCGTTACACTAGGAAGATAGCACATTCTGATAGCATGAGAGAGTAATTGGGTCTCCCACTGAGGGAACAAACATTCTGCTAGATATGAAAAAGCCCGATAATATTTTGACCTTTGTCCTCTCGTCAATTCGAAACCGCGCTTGTTTTTGCAGCACAAAAGGAAGTATAACAGGAAAACTGGAACAGCTGACCCGTGTCGCTTGGTTCGTCACTTTGAACAAGTTAGTGTCACTGGAGGACATGCTGGAAGATCCGTGATGTGATGTGACCAATGGTCACGTGAATATCTTTATCACAATCCATGTCTCACTCATGACTTTATAGACTAGCTTTTGAGAATCGGAGTCGATTAACAACAGTATTTAGGAGTTTGGTATTTTATGCATAAAGTTGTCACAAAAAATGGTGCTGAAGACGGGCGGTGATTGTAGCTCATGTACACTGAAAAGAGTATAAAAAAACTTTCAGTGTATAACTACAATAGCACTGTTTTTGGGAAAGTCTTTTATCCTGGCCAGTGCTTTCCAAAAGCATAATTTTGCATTTGCTTATGGACAAAAGGTCAAAATTCATGTAAAAATAATAAGGAAAAAAAAGAGAGGCTGGTTTGTTTAAGGTACCAACTAAACTTAATGGAAAGTACAAATGAGACAACTTCCTCAGTGCGAGGGCAATCGCAGTTTGGTCAAAGTTGCTTCCTCTTGAACGTGAGCCTCCCCCTTCAACTTATTGGAAATGATCCAAAAACTTGTCCATTGGAAACATTCTCTCTTTTGTGCCAGTGTGTCAAAACAAATCCAATTCTTCACTAAAAGTAAAACAAAAAAATGCAAGGGTTATCATTACAGTGTCATCTCATTATAGTTTCGTATTGTCTTGAGACACCAATCATAAATTTGTCAAGAGGAGGTTAACGGAAATGTCAAAATGGAAAACATTTTGGGACTTCTGGGCAGAGGATAAACGTCAGCGTACATCTGTAGGGAGGAGACACCAAATGTAGATTCAAAATAAAACGATGCCTTCCCACAGAACTCAACCAAGTGGATGGCAGGTAGAATTGATGACCCTTGCACATGAATTGAACATTTTGTATCGGTCATGTCTCGTTTAAGAACATGCTTGACTTCTTAATGAAACTCCTTTCAGCTTGTCATTATTTTTTAAGCTATTACTTATGTCATTGTACAATTTGGAACATGCTTGTGATTGGGTCATCGTCAAGAGTGAATCCTAATGAGGACATAAATAGAGTATATATTGATTGATAGGCAAATGCGCATTTGGAATGAACTAAAAATGCTCTCAACCTGAAGTGGCACCAAATCTATTGGTTGCGACCTGGATCGATGATTCCGAAAAAATCTTTTATAGGCACATAATCATTCTCGGGCGGTCCGGTGGGTCAGTGGTTAGCGGCTCGACTTCACAGTGCAGAGGCCGTGGGTTCGATCCCGGCTCCGGCCTTCCTGTGTGGAGTTTGCATGTTCTCCCCGGGCCTGCATGGGTTTTCTGCGGGTACTCCGGTTTCCTCCCACATTCCTAAAACATGCATGGCAGGCTAATTGAACACTCTAAATTGTCCCTAAGTGTGGGTGTGAGCGTGGATGGTTGTTTGTCTCGGTGTGCCCTGCGATTGGCTGGCAACCGGTTCAGGGTGTCCCCCACCTACTGCCCGAAGACAGCTGGGATAGGCTCCAGCACCCGCCGCCACCCTTGTGAGGATAAGCGGATCGGAAAATGAATGAATGAATGAATGAATGAATGAATAATTAGTGTCTGCCTTAAAAAAGTTGAATGACGCGGTCACATTTTTGTAACTTGTAAAATAATCTGATAGAAATTCGACATCTACACAATTCTAACGGAATTTATAAGAGACATTTAATACATATCAGTGGCCCATATCCTGAAACCATCTGAGAATAGAAAAATAATTGCTCACCACTGCTAAATCTGGTATGGTAAGCGGACCCCCCCCACCCCAAACAGAACACCCAAAAAAACAATGACATTCCAATGACAACATAACATTCTTTACTCCCCAACTTTGGAAAGAAAACAGCATACTTTGAAATATCGCAGCTCCTATTAAAGCATCCCAATCACTTGTGTCGAGAAACCACAGATGTGCGAAATTTCCATTTTTGACCATGAGAAAGCTCAGGACAATTTGATTGACCTCACAAGACAAATATGTTTGAACCTTTTTCCTCAGCTCACATGGCTACAAGAGACGGAATAACAGCCCTGAAAATAGACGTGTGCTGTTATTGGACTATAATTTAGTGTCGATTCATCAGCAGCTGACAGCATGTGGACCACAGTCGACTGTATAGTCTGGGCCACGGTGTTGGTAATCTCGCGGGGAGACAGAAAGGCTCGGTGTTGCCGCAGTCATTGTCGACTGGATGTGATAATGACAGTCTTAACGTTGCAGAAGATAACTCAGCCTTTCACATGACAAAGAGCAGCATGCACCATATTTGAAAACATTTCTTCTCCTCTCGCAACTGTTTATACACTATACCTCCGGTTCCAGCTGCCAAATATCAGGTTTGGTCATGGATCTTCAACACAAACCTTAAGTAGAGATCAATAGAGAAGGGATGAAAGCGATGGATGGCTTCAGGTCTGTTCCAGATATTTGGTTTTTGTCTGTGCATGCTTATTCTGGTTAGAGGTACAGTCAAACCTTGGTTTTCGAACGTCTGTTATCGACCAAATCGGATTTCGACCAGGAAATTTGCGATTTTTACGCCTCAGATTACGACCGAAAACCGGTTTTCGACCAAACTGAGCAAACCCGAATACGCCACTCGACTCCTCTCGGCTTCCTTACACGAGGAAGACGCTTCCTCGTGTAACGTTCATTGTGAGCAGATGTTTTTGTTGTGATTTACGCAAATCTGACAGTTTTTTTGTTATTTCTGCATAGTGTATTAGCCCCTGATCATGGGCTAATAAAATAGTTTTGGATTTTCGAACAAAGCGCTTTTAGGATAAAATAGTTTTGGATTTTCGAACAAAGCGCTTTTCGGACAGCCTTCTGGAGCGGATTATGGTCAAAAACCGAGGTATGACCGTATTCTGGAGCGGATTATGGTCGAAAACCGAGGTATGACCGTACAACCAACATAAAAACCAGAGAGCAGCCTATGGGGGGGAAAAGCAAGTAAATTTGAAGCTGTCAGTCAGCCACCGCACAAACCTTGGCCCATATCATTTGAAATGCCCAGAAGAAGAAACTACTGCTGTCATAAATTATAGGTGTCAAAAAAGTTGACCAAGGAAAACAGCAGCCACTGCCTGCCAACAAAATGTTTTTGAGCGCTGTCAAGAAAGCCTCTGAAACGACAGTTTGTCACGTCAGCAACAACCTCCCAGAGGCAGGACCGAAGTTCATCAGCATGGACCAAAGAGATGTCGTGTTGGACGATGCAAACCACCGATTAGCAAAAACAGTGCAAAGCTATGTCGATATGCATAATATTGTACCTCTAAAACCAAGGCAGGAAGATAAAAATAAAAATAAAATACTACAACAAGCAAGCTCATGATTACCTATCACCCAACAATATTCAAATTATCAACAATAATAATTTCAAAGAATCAGTCTTGGTTGTTGTTGCATATTCCAATCAAACCATGATGTTTTGTACGACTACTAATTTAGACAAGCAATACTAGTCGGCTTTGCACCATTTGTGCTCATGTGCTTGAACAAACACCGCCATTCACTCCGAGCATTTGTTTCTCATCTTCAAGAAATGCATTACAAAACAAATTGGTCCAGCTCGAGCCACTGCTGTTCATGCAAATGTTGCGCATTTTTGCACTACTACTACAGAGCAAAGCTCTAGCGAGTGAGTTATATTTTTTCTCGGGATTTGTGTTTTGTTTGACATTTGTCCACAGCAAGACAATGGGGGAATTTACACGACATTTTGAGCCCATTTACGCTTGGGATGAGCTTTACTGAAATGGATATCTGGCCCGCAGCAAGACAATGGGGGAATTTACACGACATTTTGATCCCATTTACGCTTGCGATGAGCTTTGAAATGGATATCTGGCCCAGGCACATTCTGCTCAGGACGGCGAAGAGATGTGGGAGTGATGATTCGAGCTCCTGTAGCAGCTTCTCTTAGGCTGACTGGCAGACAAAGCGGGTACTCCTTCTTCTGCCCTACTTCCAATAACTACAGAGAGGTGCACAAACGGACCTATCGTAACTGAACGCAGCTACGAAAACGGGCAACGTGTCATCGTGCTTGATGTCAAAAGAAAAGCTTACAAACCATTCATGGCTTCAGGAGCTCCGGGGCATTTCTACCATTACTCATCAGTCAAAACTTGTCTTTCAGACATGCAGTAACACATGACACACAAGTTAGTCGGCCTACGATCATCAAGTCGAGTCGTCTACGTGGAACCAAACAAATTATCTGCACTAAGGTGTGTCGGACAAAAGGTACACCTAAAGCCAGACCTGTGTTGGTTTCCTCCTGTCTTCCCGCTTGGTTCCCCATGTTGGTCCGATCTGCGACTCCCACACTCGGCGCAGTGAGGATAAATCCAACAATTTGTAGCTGCGGGGGAGTGATGTATGCGTGTGTGGGGGGGCGTCAGCGTGGTCGCATTTGTTCAGCATCCACAATCCAACCGGCACTCAGTCACAGTGGAGAAGAGAGAGAAGAAATATCAAATTCTTCCAATTCTTCTTCTTCCCCTTGCTACGGATCTTCTTTTGATGCGATCCTTTCCCAGGACTGTGAGAGCGTGTTTGTGTGAATGCGCATGTGTTGCTGAGGCAGACTACGTGTCCTGACAGCGGGTGGCTTCCACTGTGTGTCAAAAGCGCAAGAGCGTGCAGATCCTCCACAAGGGTGACAGCATGCTATGCTGGCAGGCGGGTATGCAGGCAGCATCATATGCACATCATTATTGCTGCGATAACAACTGGATCGGGAGGTGTGGCTTCTCATACTCGCATACAAACACTCTCTTTCTCTCTCACTTTCTCACACACACACGCACACACACACACACAATTACACGGCACCTCCTACTAGCCCGTACTAGAACAAACGATGGTAACCATTCCTCACGCTTCTCGGTACTTAACTCATTCCCCCACATTCTGTTTGCCGAGTTAAGCAGCCATGTGAGGACCCGCTTGGTGAAAGCTGGAGGGTTGTATAACTTCATATTTCCTTGTATAATAACCTCTTTTTGGAACCAAATTTTCTGTGGCGGTTTTAATCGGAATTATCAAAAGATGATGCACAACAGATGCTATTATTAGACGAAAGATCACAGCGGCCACTCGAACAGCAGCAGATTGTTGTTATAAATAATCACAAAATAACTGGAGCAGTTGTCTCACAGTCATACAGTCCAGCAAATGTAAGTTTTAAGTGGAATTGTTATTTTTGGTTCATGCCGATTTGAATTATGAAATACTGCGGTGGCTCTTGGTCTTTTCCCGCCCACGTCCGTTTCGACAGTCAACCTCAGTACAGCTTCCAAGCGTCTTCCTAAGTCTTCTGCATGTTACATAAAGTCTGATTTCCATTTGCCTCTCTTAATATACTGCTTTCGCCTCCATTTAGATCAGCACATCCACCTTGGTCAACAAACCTATCCCTAATCCTGCTAAGAATGTTCTCCTCACCGCAGGAACCCCATCTCTGCTGGCACAACAGGCCTCTGTCAAATTGCGGTAAGACATTCCCAATCTGTCATGCCTATCTATAGACTTGAGGGTCGCAAGTGTTGCGAGTGTCCTGAAGACAAGGCACAAAATTCCAGCAGTGACAATGTGTCTACAAGTAGGCCAGTGTATACGCATTCCACTTGTAAAAATCCTTTTTGAACCTGTGTATGCACAATAAATAGGGTGAGAGTATCATTTGTGCGCGTTTTGGGGAAAGCGGTAGTGGAGAAATGAAAGTTCATTTTCTGGTTATATTTGCACACTATAGCAAGGACAACCACCCACTATCTTTAATTAATACCTTTTTTAGTGCTTGTGTCAGTGTGTGTCGGTCATGGATGAGTGCGTATGCAGCCTGAGTCATCCCAGTGGACTGAGGCGTGTGTGATTAATTCATCCGGTAGAGATATGAGGGCCACGAGAACCATATTGACAGGGACCATGTCTGGTATCTCAGAATTAGTTAATACAAGCCAAATATACTCCAGGTCAATACGATTCCTAAATCATGTCACCTTGGGCTGCTTATCTTTCGTTTTGTCTTGGGTTTTATTGCAATTTAAAGACACACGAACTGATCAGGTTCCCAAAAAGCTATTTTGAGTTGAATATGTTCTTACTCAAGTACTGTATATGCAGGGATGCGAGGAAGTGTAGCTAAAAAGAAATCATATTGAGTCAATATAAATTTGTGTTTTGGTCAAAATATTGAAATGCGACGGTTAATTTCAAGTGATCAGGGGACAGGACAGACATTTTACAGTTACTCTTTCTTGCATCTATAAATGACTATGCTCAGTATAAAAAATGTTAACATGCAATGTTAAAAAAGGTGCCAGTTATCAATCACCCAGATTCTATGGGCTAAATCAAAACGAACTCACGGCAGACAAACAATTTCACGAAATTTAAGCTTGACTCAGGAATGAATGATGCACGTGAAAGAAGAAAACGTAGATTCAAATGGTTTTCAATGTACTGTATATTTGTACCCTCACAAGGTTTGTTCTTTATAGAGTGGGACAGTCTGTGTCCTTGCACTCTCCACAGGGACTCCTCCTCCGATGAAAGCTTGACTGAATTATTGATGAGGCATTTTAAATAAGTCATCAGAAACCGATTGTCTGACAGCATGGTAGAATTGGTAAAGTGCCAGGTCTGGATCCATTAACAAAAATAACAGATCGGAAATCCTGCTGTGGGCCAGGTTAAGCTAATTCATATTTGTGGTGTTAACCTCATCTTCGGCATAGGATTCTGGCTGTTGAAATCAAATAGGGTCCGGGAATAATTGTTGAATGAAATGTTTTCGTAAAGATTGTCTTGGTGTATTTTGCAAAGCTTTAATGTTGAGCACGGGCAATGTCACGGCCAAGTCCAAATCAATGCTCACCCTCCACCTCCAAAATGAATCAATCCAATTCAATGAATGCTAAGATACAAGTGCTATAATGACACATAAACATAACAACTAAACACCCATTTTCTGTATGCAACCTGTTATTTTGCTTCCAGTGGAATCATAAATTAGCATCGAAAGAACACAGCACCATATTTCTAACAGAACACAATTCTGCCCAAGAGCAACAACAACATTCCTTTACACAACCAATAGGATTTTCTATATGACAAAGAATTATTCAGTGAGATTCATTTCCTTGATGATGACTGCTTACCCGAAATTGGTTCACAAAACTAGGCCAATGTGAGTATACGAGTCGTGATGAATTTATAATGCACACTCCTCGCTTCAGTAAGAAAATAGCAATGCAAAATAACATTTTCATAATTAGCAATAATTCAGTGCTCCCCCGAGAAATGCAAACCCTACTTAACCGTGGATTTTCATCTCGTTTGAAGTCTCAACCCAATTATATTTACCTCAGAAAACCTGCCCCAAGAGGAAGAACTGCACTGCAGCTTAGAATCCACTTTGTGGATGAATCACTAAAAGCAAAGTCAGAAACAAGGACGGTGTTCCGAATTATTGCTGTGAATTATAATAATGAGCATTCTCTATATTCATATGAGAACTATAAATCTTCATTAAAATGTAATCTTTTCAACCTACTCTGTGTAAAATAATGATAATAATAATAATAATAATAATAATAATAATGTTCAGCCTGAGAAATACCAGCAAGCGTGCCTCTGAATGACTCAAACAAACAAAAAAAGTTTTGGAGTAGCTCGTATACAGTAAATCTGGACTTAAATCCAACTCGCATCGGGTGGTGTGACACAGTTTTGGCTTGAAAACTCTCCAATAAGACTGGGATAAAACAATTCTCTGAAGAAGAGGTGGCTATAATTCCTCCAAATCGATGTGAAAGACTCACCACTTATCGCAAATTCATTTCTTTCGGTCAAGATTATTTTACACTGTGGACCAAATAGTTTTGGATTATTTTTTCTCCTTAAAGATAAAATTACAATTTAGAAACTGTATTTTATTCTAACATGGGTTGTTTTTGTGAGACATTAAAATCGGTGTGATCTTAAAACTGAAGCGCGATAAACATACAAATGTACTTCATGTGCCTTAAAGTAAATTGCTTTTAAAAAAAGGTGTTGTGTTTCAACAAAAGGCAACAAAGAACATAATTCCTTTCGAAAAATAGATATTTTTTTGTGTATTTGTAATTGAAAACATCACCCGCTCAAAAATCCAAGTAAATGTCAGAGGAGCAGAATGAATGTTTCCAGTCTCTCTATTTTGGAATAAATAAATCCTCTGAGAACCAAAACATTGCACCACACTGCAGCCAACCATGAAAAATGTCATGCACTGAAAATGGAGAGAGCTTGCTCTGAATGCTCAGAACTAGTGGGTATGGCCCTCTGGTGGCTGAAATGGGAAACTACAGTATCCCACAAGAGTACACAAGACTTTTTGTCCATCCATTGAATATAAGAACCGCTTTATCCTCAATAGGGTCGCGGGCGTACCGGGGCCTACCCCAGGTGACTCCAGATAGTCGACGAGATACACTCTGAACTGGTTGTCAGACGATCCCAGGGCACACATACACAAACAACCTCCATTCCCCCTCACAATCACACCGAAGGATAATTTAGAGTGACCAATTAACCTACCGTGCATGTTTTTGGAACGTGGGAGGTTAAATATATCCTTTCATGGGGCAGTAATGTCAAAATGACACCTCCCTACAACGTTAAGTAGTCAGCATACAGCTTGCACAATGTGCACATACCGTCCCCTCACAATAACTCAACACGCAGTCATTGAAGGTCTACACTGCTGGCAACAAAATTCTTCACAGTTGTCCCATGAAAAAGCAAACATGTAATCAAATATGTGAGGGGGTGTAGTCACTTTTTTGTATGACAAACACAAACCCTAATGAGGAACGTTGAAAACACACAAACAAAAATTACATAACTGCATAACACTGGGGCTTTTCAGAATTATTGAAAATTTGATGACATGTCTGGCTCACCAGCGAGAAAAAATGTTAACATGCAATGTTAAAAAAGGTGCCAGTTATCAATCACCCAGATTCTATGGGCTAAATCAAAACGAACTCACGGCAGACAAACAATTTCACGAAATTTAAGCTTGACTCAGGAATGAATGATGCACGTGAAAGAAGAAAACGTAGATTCAAATGGTTTTCAATGTACTGTATATTTGTACCCTCACAAGGTTTGTTCTTTATAGAGTGGGACAGTCTGTGTCCTTGCACTCTCCACAGGGACTCCTCCTCCGATGAAAGCTTGACTGAATTATTGATGAGGCATTTTAAATAAGTCATCAGAAACCGATTGTCTGACAGCATGGTAGAATTGGTAAAGTGCCAGGTCTGGATCCATTAACAAAAATAACAGATCGGAAATCCTGCTGTGGGCCAGGTTAAGCTAATTCATATTTGTGGTGTTAACCTCATCTTCGGCATAGGATTCTGGCTGTTGAAATCAAATAGGGTCCGGGAATAATTGTTGAATGAAATGTTTTCGTAAAGATTGTCTTGGTGTATTTTGCAAAGCTTTAATGTTGAGCACGGGCAATGTCACGGCCAAGTCCAAATCAATGCTCACCCTCCACCTCCAAAATGAATCAATCCAATTCAATGAATGCTAAGATACAAGTGCTATAATGACACATAAACATAACAACTAAACACCCATTTTCTGTATGCAACCTGTTATTTTGCTTCCAGTGGAATCATAAATTAGCATCGAAAGAACACAGCACCATATTTCTAACAGAACACAATTCTGCCCAAGAGCAACAACAACATTCCTTTACACAACCAATAGGATTTTCTATATGACAAAGAATTATTCAGTGAGATTCATTTCCTTGATGATGACTGCTTACCCGAAATTGGTTCACAAAACTAGGCCAATGTGAGTATACGAGTCGTGATGAATTTATAATGCACACTCCTCGCTTCAGTAAGAAAATAGCAATGCAAAATAACATTTTCATAATTAGCAATAATTCAGTGCTCCCCCGAGAAATGCAAACCCTACTTAACCGTGGATTTTCATCTCGTTTGAAGTCTCAACCCAATTATATTTACCTCAGAAAACCTGCCCCAAGAGGAAGAACTGCACTGCAGCTTAGAATCCACTTTGTGGATGAATCACTAAAAGCAAAGTCAGAAACAAGGACGGTGTTCCGAATTATTGCTGTGAATTATAATAATGAGCATTCTCTATATTCATATGAGAACTATAAATCTTCATTAAAATGTAATCTTTTCAACCTACTCTGTGTAAAATAATGATAATAATAATAATAATAATAATAATAATAATGTTCAGCCTGAGAAATACCAGCAAGCGTGCCTCTGAATGACTCAAACAAACAAAAAAAGTTTTGGAGTAGCTCGTATACAGTAAATCTGGACTTAAATCCAACTCGCATCGGGTGGTGTGACACAGTTTTGGCTTGAAAACTCTCCAATAAGACTGGGATAAAACAATTCTCTGAAGAAGAGGTGGCTATAATTCCTCCAAATCGATGTGAAAGACTCACCACTTATCGCAAATTCATTTCTTTCGGTCAAGATTATTTTACACTGTGGACCAAATAGTTTTGGATTATTTTTTCTCCTTAAAGATAAAATTACAATTTAGAAACTGTATTTTATTCTAACATGGGTTGTTTTTGTGAGACATTAAAATCGGTGTGATCTTAAAACTGAAGCGCGATAAACATACAAATGTACTTCATGTGCCTTAAAGTAAATTGCTTTTAAAAAAAGGTGTTGTGTTTCAACAAAAGGCAACAAAGAACATAATTCCTTTCGAAAAATAGATATTTTTTTGTGTATTTGTAATTGAAAACATCACCCGCTCAAAAATCCAAGTAAATGTCAGAGGAGCAGAATGAATGTTTCCAGTCTCTCTATTTTGGAATAAATAAATCCTCTGAGAACCAAAACATTGCACCACACTGCAGCCAACCATGAAAAATGTCATGCACTGAAAATGGAGAGAGCTTGCTCTGAATGCTCAGAACTAGTGGGTATGGCCCTCTGGTGGCTGAAATGGGAAACTACAGTATCCCACAAGAGTACACAAGACTTTTTGTCCATCCATTGAATATAAGAACCGCTTTATCCTCAATAGGGTCGCGGGCGTACCGGGGCCTACCCCAGGTGACTCCAGATAGTCGACGAGATACACTCTGAACTGGTTGTCAGACGATCCCAGGGCACACATACACAAACAACCTCCATTCCCCCTCACAATCACACCGAAGGATAATTTAGAGTGACCAATTAACCTACCGTGCATGTTTTTGGAACGTGGGAGGTTAAATATATCCTTTCATGGGGCAGTAATGTCAAAATGACACCTCCCTACAACGTTAAGTAGTCAGCATACAGCTTGCACAATGTGCACATACCGTCCCCTCACAATAACTCAACACGCAGTCATTGAAGGTCTACACTGCTGGCAACAAAATTCTTCACAGTTGTCCCATGAAAAAGCAAACATGTAATCAAATATGTGAGGGGGTGTAGTCACTTTTTTGTATGACAAACACAAACCCTAATGAGGAACGTTGAAAACACACAAACAAAAATTACATAACTGCATAACACTGGGGCTTTTCAGAATTATTGAAAATTTGATGACATGTCTGGCTCACCAGCGAGAGAACGGTGGCGGGCCTCGGCAAGATCCGAGATGGCTCCGGTGGTCACAGTCTTCTTCATGCGCAAGCCAGAGGCAGCAGCTCCCAGTGCAGGCTTTGTCAGAGCATCATCACTGTTAGCTCGTTTAAGCTGAAAACAGAACCGCTGTTAGTACCAGTAACATGAGTGAGTAACAAGTTTAGGTTTGGGCTTCACCCTGCTGAGTCGCTGATCCGAGGCTAGCGTGTTGGACGATCTGGAAGTCCTCATTCCTGTGGAGGTGGTGGTGGAGCATGAAGTAGAGGGAGCTAAAGAAGCCTGCTTCGCTCGCTCCTGGAATCCCGCCTTGGGCAGCCCTAACTTCGTGGCACCCGTTTTCATCATGACTGTCTTATAGTTGGCTACACCTGAGGGGGGGGGGAAAAAGATAATTTGAATGTCTATAAAGGGTAAAATGAAGGCGTCCCTGTCAATCCTGTAAAATAGTTATCCTGAAGCAATGCAAATAGATCATTTACTAGAGTAATTTTCAAATTGGGGTCCTCATACCTCATAACTTGCAGTCCGCAGAAAAATAATTTTTAAAAAGTGTATTACTCCAAATAGGCATCAATCAGTGCAGCAATCAAACTACAGTAAACTGAATAAATAAAGTACTCAACAAATTACTCCTCCCTTCTTTAGCTTTGGGCCAATTAAAAACTTTTGTGATGCATCACGTGACTCTGACATCGCTGCAGGCATGCGGCCTTTCCCACACTGTTCTCATATAGATTGTACGGGTGGGGCAAGGCTAGCTACATTTGCAAAATATTTGCGGCTTAGAAGCAGATATCACGGGTTAAAAGTTCCCAACATGTCAATAGGTCGCTGCTTTTCCAAGGTGCAAATAAGCATCGTGTCGTCGGCAAGGCTCAGCACGACTGACTCCCTGATTGTGGGCTCCTTTCTTTTCATATGGAGAACAAAGTTAAAAGGATTTTTGGCTCCTGTTTAAGGTTGCATGTCGCTTTTTAGAAAAATAGTTCCTAGAGGGAACTACGGGAGCTACTTTGTTAATGAACTTCACTTTTGTGAACTACTCTCTGTTGGCATCAATGTCGTTCGTGGAAGCGGTGCTTTCAGTTAGCAACAATGGATAAATACTCAATTTAATCAAAATGAATTGGGTCAGGTTGCTTTATGTTCAAAAGGTCATGAACGTTGGGGTTGAAAGCTTAAAAAAAAAAAAAAAAAAAGTGGCATTTACACCACCACATGGGAAAAAATTGCTCCGCTCTAAGTGGCGCCTGAACAAAAGGTTGAGGAATCACTTCTTCAATCAAAACTGACTGCGATTGGCTGGCAACCGATTCAGGGTGTCCCCGGCCTACTGCCAGAAGACAGCTGGGATAGGCTCCAGCACCCCCGCGCGACCCTAGTGAGGATCAAGCGGTTCGGAAAATGAATGAATGAATGAATCAAATCTGAAGTTTTAGCCTTTGTCCTTTGTGTGGCAGTATAGAGCTAAACAGCAAGACACTGTGACAGAATTTTAGCATCAACTTGTCTTTTCCTGCAAATACTACACAGACAAAAAATGTAAGGACACCACAGAAAAGCAGGAATGTATTTCCTTTCGAATAATAGGCAACACATTCGCTTCCTCAGAGCAAATGCAAAAAAACCATGAGCAATACGAAGAAAGCATTCATGCAAGAATAGCCAGAGGGTAGAAACTTAAGTCAATAATACCCTGTTTGAAGTTCCAACAAAATCCTGCCGGCGTCGGACAATAATAAGCTTCACCTGACAGGTACGCTGCGAGCGACATTTACACAAGCAGCATTTTAGGAACTACAGTGAGTTGGCTGCCAGAGTCGCTCTATTTTCCTACTCCAACAGGATGTGGTCACAGGCTGTGACAGAGAGAGGTTTGCCTTCAGCGTCTACAAAGGAACATAGTCAGCTGGCGAAAGCAGAAGTGGGAAATGGAAGGAAAGTGGGAGTGCACTTAACAGAGGAGACGTGTGGTTCATAGTTGTTTACAGCCATGGGGATGATGGCTGTCATTGATCAGGGCAGCAGTAACTTGATCGTTCCTGTGAGGAAATCCTGCCGTCTGCCATTTAAGGACAGCGTAAATGCATTTGTATACTTGAGTAGACCGATTTCTTTTCAGATTGAAATGTTTTGTAGCACTGTAAGATGGCGCCTGATAACTACTCACCTTCTACTACTTTCAGAGCTCGCATTTTTTTTTTTTTTTTACATATAAATTGTTCACAATTTCAAATGATCACAACATTCCTAGTTTATCACAATGTCCCATCACTGGTAAGCTATTTTTAGAACAGACTTGCTGGCTTCTCATGTGGTCCTTATGGCCTACCAGGTGCCCGCTGGCACCATGTTGGTGACCTCTGCTGTTAACCCTTTCATCCTCACCTCTGAGCGACACTAGTATCGGATTTTTTTTTTTTTTTTTTTTTTTAGTGAAGTCTTCGTAGGAAGACAAACTAGTCATCCTTCAAGGGGACTTGAACCAATAATAACTTCTTCCTCTTCTCTGAACTATTTTCTGCGACATACGTAATTTGACTGGAATGTGGTAACCGTTACACAACGGTTAAGGGGAAGAAAAGGAAGACGCAAGACATTTCTCTTCAGCGTACCTTTACAGTACATTTTCAAATGAAATGTCAGAACTTCACTGAGCTGATTCACATTGTACCGTTTACCGTCATGACAAAGTCCCCCATCACATGACTCAAGTCCTCTGCAGGCAACATCCTGTGACGGTCTCCTTGCACAGTCCAATTGCAGTAACCATTGTGATGCCTCTCTTCTCCACAGAATGGCTGACACAGCTACGTGGACCATCTTCTCTTCTCAGCATGTTAAGGTAAAAATGTCGGAAACACCTATTTTCAAATATTATGGATTAGAATTGGATTTCTACAAAGAAAAAGCAATGGTCCGGAAGTCATTTTCATATTCTGGATCACTTCAAGGATTATTCAAGAGGTGCTGGGGGAAATCTGAACTATGCCCTTACTACAACCTTCTGCGTCAATATGAGGCCAACTCCTCTGGAGCCAAAATTGTGTCCCACTTACTTTACGGTGGCCTAGTTAAGAACCCAGATGTCTCAGAGACAACCTGGGATGAGCCAAAAGGTCAGTTTCAGTATTAGAAGACGATCGTCGTGAGGATTCCTCATGGGATCAATATATTATTCTAGATCTATGGTATAAATTCAATATAAAGTATACCTGGTACAACACAATGGACCATGATCATTGTTTCTTAACGCCACCACAAAAATCAACATTATTTATGACACCCAGTATGAACAAGGCTTGGAGAAAAAGTTAATGCAAATTTGTTCTTTTGACTGCAGCAATATGCCCTATGCTACACTGCCTCAAAATGAGGCTAAGTAGCAGCTCCTGAACTGAAATGCTACGATAAGAAGAGTCGAGCGTAAGCGAGAGCACTTATCTCCTTGGGTGTGGATCGAACAATCTTCCACATCTGATCTTGAGGAGTGTGGATTGTTTGCTGACAGGACAGGGCGGTGTATTATAATCGCAGAAGGAAGCTCATACATTCATATACTTAACGTGTAGCTCACTGTAGCAGTTTAGGCTAACAGATTGAAATACACGAGGTGGTTGACTTGTTGACAGGATGTTTCACCCCCTGACATTTAAGCTCTGCTCTCATATATTTTTAGCTTCCATTCTGATAGTTCTGAGCACACAACAGCTTTTTTTATGAACAGAACGGGTGCGTCGACATAAAAGAAACACAGAACGCTCTTGCTGTGAGGCAAACAAGCTGACGGAGCTGTAAAATGCGGACTCATGTTCAGCCTGCATCGTCGCCGTCTTCTCTTCATACATGCTCGTCTTCCCTGCCTGACCCAATTGATCGTGGGATAACGTTCAACCGGGCTGACATAACTGAACAAATGTGACATAAGCGTCAGACGGCAATGTTTTCACAGCCACTGCTGAATAATGGAAAAACAACGATTACTCCTGCTCGGTGACTCATCTGAGAACGCCGTTCTGCCTCAAATTTGTACAGCGTACTCTGCGCCAGACAGACGTGAGAAACCTGGCAGAAATGGGGCTTGCACGTTTGCAACTTATGTAAAATAACTTGAAGCTATTGGTCTTTCCAATTTTCCGATTACAATATGATGCCTGCCAATAGCACGCTAACAACAGTGATGAGAATCCTATGATAATGACCACGATGATCGACAAAAATTCTTTCGCCACAAACTGACCTAACCAGATCATTTTCAGGAATATTTCTTCCTCTGCATACTGCAGCCTCAAAACTCAATACATAAGTCAGGAAAAGGAAGTACACTTTGTGTAGCGCCATACCCAGACACAACACTTTGCATGACTTCGAGGTGAGCACATGATAGACATCTCTTAACAAATGTAGTATATTTGATTTACAAAATGTGCTAAATGTTTTGAGATGTATAGCATCAGGAGCGCCAATGTTCCTTAATGTGAGGGTAGGTCACTTTTTTACGCTCTTCCATTCTGGTGTAATTGAGATCCCACATCCGATGGTATGCTAAAGCTGTAGCATGTGGGTGGAATGCAAACTGTGCTTTTGGCGAGGAATGAAACGGGCCGTAGATTGTGGCGAGAAGCTAAAAATGGTCTGACCACACCCCTACTCCACGGCACAAACGGTTCACAACAGAGCTATGCTAACACACCACGCACACTTGGAAAAAACAACTCGGTATTCACTCAAAAGAAATTAAGAGGCCCGACTGCTGCTGCAGATCCAAGTGACATGTTGGCTGATAGACTGTTGGCTACAGTGAGTGAAATCAAGATTTTTTTACTTCTACTGGTAACTTTGTCAAACCCTTTTGCTCCTCAATTCCAAGCCGTCTCACTGCGGGGCTGCAGCGCTACCAGGTTGTTTTAAATATTTCTCAAATATTGACCCATGAGTCAAGTATTCCAAAGTATATAGGAAGAGGACTCTTGCCAAAAGTGCGGTTGTCTGGAAAAAAATTGAGTAAAACTGTTGTTTTTGATTTCCAAATGGATCCCCCCCACCACCACCACCACTCGATAGTAGTGTTCTTTTTTTTGTTTAATTTAAAACGGATGTTGAATAACACTGAAAATGATCATCATAGTCTTAAATTTATAGGAATTAGGTGTGTGCATCTCTCCAATAAAAGACGATTCGAGATGAATATCGATGCACGAGGATTATGATTCGGTTCGATATGGTATGGCCGAGTTCCAGAAGGTGTGATGTATTGAGTTTATTGTTGTCATTTTAAAGTACGAGTGAACTTGTCAGTTGGCAGTGTAATTGTGGCAATTCCTTCAAAGATATATCTCACTCTCCCTAATCAAGGACGACTCAGTGCGCATCTATTTTAGGTATGGAACAATTCAGTTTGATTCTATGCACTTGCATCTTATTATTCCAAACTGATTTTCCGATGTGAACGTTTATTTTTGTTTGTTTTTTTGCGACACCCCTAATAGGAATATGTTTCAATCTTTCCATATATTGTATATATTCCATGTAGGTGGAATGGGTCAATCAAGCCATTTGACCAATAGGTCAAATAGGTGCTGCTGCATCACTGATGCCAGAGGCAGAGAGGATTGGCAGGACTATTCCCAAGAATCCTGGGAAGAAAAAAAAAATCATGAGCACTGCTGTCCAAGTCCTTTTCACTTGATCACCCCATAAAATAAAAAAGGGGGGGAAAAGAGCTGTCTCACATTCCCCACATGGGGTGTGAACACTATGCATGCAGAATGGTGGTGATTCAGCTGAGTGGGTGGGTGGCTTTTCAGTTCTGCTTTTCCACGGCAATTGCACCTACAAACCACATTTTCCGCAACTATACACATAATGCCAACACATGTGGTCACAGAGTAAAGATGCTGACACATTCGATGCCAGTTTCGGGGTTTCAGTGAGCAAAACAACTCTCTCGTGTTGTGGCTCGCTTTCGCGCACACGATTCTCCTGTGATGCAAGCGTTAATACCAACTCGTTCTAACAATTCACAATTACAATACCTTAAAAGTAGTGAGCCAACATGAACGTTTTGTTACAACAACAGAACATCCGAAAATGAGATCAAATTCTGGCAAGTAAGTACTTTAAAGACTGCACCGGTTTTAATACAACACTGCCATAGTATTTTAAATGCATGCTTTAAGTATGAATAGTGCCTGACCCCTTCAGCATTTGTATAGCAGCTAAGTCTCGGGAGGTGGTCTTCTCAGAGTCATGAGCTCAGCTAAAATGAGAGTAGAAGAATGTGTTATAAACCTGGTGGTGCGAGACGCTCTCTACTTGCCCTCTGTGTTCCTCTTTAGTCTGGTGACTGATGCGCAACCGGACGCAAAACTCTTCCAAAATAATCAACAAGGAAGTTGGAGAATGCATGGAAAGTTGAGAGCACGCAAAGATTAACCTGCCAATAATTTTAGTGCAGCGACAAGTGATTTGGACTGAGAGCTGTTCGCACTGGCTCGAATCGACCCGAGGCCTTTCTCACTGGAGTATTTGTGCTCTTTTCCACTTCCATGTGGGCTCTCTCTGGGTTCTCCAGCTTCCTCCCACAGACCTACATAATTCAGATGGTTGCTTGTCTCTGCATGTGTGCATGGCGACAAACCTCGGTTGCTCTCTGCTTCTCATTCACGGTGGCCCTTCTGCAGTATTGGATGAATTCATGGAGTATCGTAACAGTGCTTGTCAAGTATGTGTGTGTGTGTGTGTGTTTTTTTTCCAGGTGAAGACATTATTTTCTTAGTTAACACAAAAACCTCTCAGATCGGTTAACAATTGCATTTAGTACCTACCACATACCAACATAACGCCTTAAATGATTCAAAGATGGCAAATAAGCATCAATCAAAATTAATTTATATTGGTTATCTATTCATTTCAAGTTTAGTAGTTAGTGCAATACTGCAAAATAAGAGAAGCTAAATAGCATTTACAGTAGGTGGCTAATGCAGCGGCGTAGCTACGTGATGGCTGGCCTCCCACGCCTCCCCCAGATAATTTGAAATTGAGAGTTTTGTTTCATTGTGATTTTTCGATCTGACTTGAATGAATGGGCCAACCGCGGTATGCAAAACGGTGTCGACCTTGAGTGACAATCAATCACTCTGTTTGGCTGTTAGCTAGTGAACCAGTGCATGACACAGAACAGAACTATGAAATAGTGCTCAAAAGCAAAGAAATTGATAATAAAATGGCATTATCTCGAAAATGAAGCTTAGCAAAATGTTTCTTTAATGTTGAGCAAGGTTCTGAAGATGTATTTTATTTCGTGAAACCCCAACTGTAAAATCTTAACATTCATTGTTTGGTTAATCCTGCGATTGGCTGGCAACCGGTTCAGGGTGTCCCCCGCTTACTGCCCGAAGATGGCTGGGATAGGCTCCAGCACCCCCCGCGACCCTTGTGAGGATAAAGCGGATTGGAAAATGGATGGATGGATGTTTGTTTGGTTGATGCATGGGATTGAATTCAATTTGTACTGAGCCAAACACATATGCTTCAGTGATTCTTTGCGATACAGTATGATGTATGCTTAATCGTATGCCTCGCACTAACCGATGTATTAGACCAGTGGTTCTTAACCTTGTTAGAGGTACCGAACCCAACCAGTTTATATGCACATTCAACAAACCCTTCTTTAGTGAAAAATAAAAATGACTTTTTTTACAAATTCAAGACATTAAAAAAAAACACATTTATTCAAAACAGGAAAAAGTAAATACAATGACATGGCCTAAGTATCGTTTTTTTTTTTTCATTGTACGACGTATATGACGTGCGATCACGACAATCACACGTTGACTACTGAGCGAACTAAAATTCCCGCAGCACCGATTGGACAAGCAATGTAATGTGATCATCTGCAACCAGTGATGGCCAAACGGGTGTGTCATAACTCATTGTCATGTTGAGTCGGGTGTGTCTTAACCTCCATGGCAGAGGCTCCGTCGAACCTCTGAGACTGATTCACCGAACCCCTAGGGTTCGATCGAACCCAGTTTAAGAACCACTTTATGAGACTAACACATTCATGCAAGTAGTTCCTAAAATTCTAATGCAAAGCTCTGGAGGGTGCGTTTCAAGTTTATTCAAGCCGGACTCCTCAGAGGCCGTGGCTTCCTGCTCTGATGGTGTTAAACTTGAGTCTGATAAACAGCCTCAACCACATTGCAGAAACTCCGGCTGCTTTCCTGTGCGCGTTGAGAGTGAGTGGGCGGATTCCATAGAAACACTTGCACAGCATCCATGAGAAAAAACAAAAAACAAAAAAAAAAAAACCCCGGTGACTTTCCACAATGGATCATAAAGCACGGGTCAGGCCAAGGAGAGTTCCACTCCAGCTTTTTGGGAGCAGAACACTTCAAAAATGCCCTTCCATTTCCATTTGATCTTTACCTCTCAGACAAATATTTCAGATTTTTTTTTCTCTGCCGGTGCTCACATTACACGACAACTTGCTTGTCCTGTTTACCGAGAAGAGACAACAGAATAATATCAAAGCATCTGTCACTATTAAGACATTCATACTCCGTATATTCAGGCAAGTGCAAGTGTAAAAACAAGACGTGTTAGCTTCACATCAAATGTGGCCCCGATGATCCATTTCAGAATCAGCATTCCTTGGACCATGCTTGTCAAGTATGTTTTATGTTGTTGTTGTTTTGCAGGTGGGGAAATGATTGTCTCCCAGTTAATCCAAACATCTGGCAGATGGAAAACATACAAATGACAGTTCGACCTACAGGCCATTGTAAAATCTTGGAAATAGTCATTTTTTTTCCCTCCAAGATTTTCCAAATGATTGAATACTGCATTTGAATGCAAGTAGTCTCCTTCTGTTCCATCTTCTCTCAACTCAACTCTACTGTATTTAAAGAGCACTTTCAAACAGCCAGCGCTGCATACAGAGTGCTGTTTTTCTTCTAAATTAAAACTTTCTCCAATTTAGTGAAAGGAATTTAAATCGAGTAGCATGCCGCCAAACGTGGCTTTCCGGCATCCTGGCAATTCTGTCATCACATTCACTGCTTTGCCTAAAAGTGAGTCACTGTCCCCACTGAAGAAAATATTTCAGATGAAATTATTAATGTTGTTATATAACTAAAGTACTGTATCAACATTCACAGCAGCGCTATTGTTAAGAAAGTCACTACTATCCATTTCTGTATTTGCTTTTGCTCAAGGGCAGGGCCATAACAAGTCAGTGTATATGATTTATTACATCATCCTCCTACCACATTTCATAATAGCCAGCCTTCCATCCTCTGTACCACATCACAAGGTCACGTCATCGCTGCATGTAGATGAAGGACTCGAGCACCACAGCGGCTAGTTCTCTACTCAGTCCCTTCCTGTGCAATTAAAATTTTCCCATGGAGGAGTCGGAGACATTCACTAAGAAGGAATCTTGAATTCCTTGAGGATCAGACGATCATATTCAATTCCTGCCACGGTGAACCGTTTTCCAGACCACTCGGCATTGTATTATGCCACATAACAGCATGTGCAACTCAACGTGGGTGCTTCCCAGATAGCCCATATGCTATAAATAGGAAGCAAATGACAGGAACTGCCTGGGTAATGATTCAAACAGAGGATGAGAGTAGCCAAAGGAAAAAAAATAATACAGAGGCTCACGTCTCCAGTTTCCACAAGGACACGCCGAGTCTAGTGCAATATGTTTCGACACACAATCATCAAACCAAGACAAATGTGGCAGGATTGTACAAGTAACGTGAAAATAATCACCTCGAACATGGGAAAATAGCTTTATGACACACGCAATACGGTCCCATCATGTTAATATGGACTTCCCTTCAACTGTGTTTTGTCCCAAAAAGCAGGCGTCTGACTATTTGCACTTCTGGTGTGGTTAACCATAAAGGCGGGAGAAGAGGCTCTATTTAGCTCTAAACAATGATTACATTGACCACGCTGTAATACTTGGTGCATATATCTTTTTTTTTTCCCCCCCCCTCGGACATTTTCAAAAGTAGCAAGAGATAATTGAAAGCTCTCATTTGTTGCCCAGTTGGGTTCCTCAAAATACGCCTGCAAGATACATTCCATGCCAAGCCTCCTCCTCAAACACAACAGTGGAATATAAACTCACTCAGAATTAGTGAACAGGTTCCAAACAGTCTCTTCACAATTTAAAACATTTATCGCAAATGCAATTGATGAGATCAGATTTGTTGCGTGTACTTTTTTTTAAGCGTATTTGTGTATTTGTTACTATTCAATAAACCCCTAAAAAATGGGTACTCCTCAAGAAAAGGCACAATGTGTATTGTAGTTTATTGAAACAATATCACATATGCTCCATAGTAACGTCCACAGATTTGGCGATTCTTTTGATACCGTAATCACATTGTTGAATTGCACAGAGACTGTAAGGACACCGTGACCATTACTGTACTCCATTTATGCTAGTTTGTCATGAAAATTCACACAATCCATAATAATTCACGTCAGGTAATAGCAATAGAGACGTTTTAAGACAAAAAGTACAGCTTTTCACCCATTCACAGCATGCGGTTCTAAATTGCTGGAGACACACCTCTGTGGTCATGCCAAATGAGTTGCTGAGTGAAAGAAAATTTGCCTTTAAAAACGTGAACAGCAAGCTTTCACTGACAAAGCACATTAAACCCAACACTGCCTTAATTTAGAAGCTTCTCTAGTAAAAAAAAAAAAAAACAGTTGGCTCGCCACATTAACAAGAAAAGACACTATAAAGTGTGACAGGAATTTAAACACTAGTAGTTTGCATCTAGAGCAGAGATGGGCAAATGGCGGCCTGTGGGCGGCATGCAACCAGAATTTGAGTACCCCTTGATTAATCCCCCCGAGCCCCCCCCAAAAAATATATATATAGAATTTAGAAACCCCCAAATCTCAGGATTTCAGGAAGAGCGCTGATAAACATTCAATATATGTTTTCCACAAAAAGCAGGGGGTAAATGGGGAACAGACATCCTGGAAAAAAAACGGGGAAAAAATCTGCAAATAGGTGACTGCAGTTTTAAGTTGTAATATCATCGTTCACCAATAGATGGCAGAAATGGCTTAGTTGCACTTTCAGTGGATGTTATTATTACTGCCCGATACATAGTAGGCTTATCATTCCGAATCTTTTTTTTTTTTTTTCAGATTTGGAATAATAATAAGGACAAACAGTCATAATATTAAAATTCTGACTGACTTGATTTTTTTACTTTGCTGTTCAGTAGTAATGTGCCATCCTTGAATAGTAATTGGTATGCAAGAGTAGCCTTTGTACTGGGAAAAAAATAATCCGGAAAAAAAAAAATCACAGTATTTGGTTATTTTGTTGTTTGTTACAAACCATTTGTTAATGGGTTAAGATCGTGGATCGTTTATACATGCACTGTAAAGTGTACTAGCCAATAAAAAAGACATTTATTAAAAGCACATATTTTGCACATATGCACTTCTTATGTCCATATCTAAAATAGTATTTTTGTTGTCACTGCTCATTTGAATCAGGTGTCTTGCAACAGGGAGCGTTGAAAAACATGCAGGAGAGCGGCCCTCCAGGGCCTGAATTTGACACCTATGATCTAAAACATGTCCCTGAGCTCAGTAAAGATTGTGAAACAAGTGAATTAGAGTACCGTAGTGTCAATCAAGTCAAATGTGTCCCATAAGGTCAATATAAAGATTCCGTTCTAGCAGCCATTCGGTTACGCATTGGCACAAGTGGACATCAAGAGCGTTTCCCGTCATTGGCGTCTGTTTGCCTTATACCATTGAAATATTATATTTCCATAAATCGAACATGCACGTCTCCAGTTACGAGCCATCTGTCATTCGAGTTAAATTAACGTTGCTGCAGCTTTCCCGTTCTCAATTACCCCATCACACACGGAAGGCAAAGTTAAAACAAATTGACACAAGAAAAGCGATAGACTGTCGTGTAATCCAAGGACATGAAAGAGAGACACAAGATTGTGTTATTTGCTCTTCTCACCTGTTCGGCCGTACTGAGGTGCTGCTGCTGTTGTCCGAGCAGGATGCGGCCGCCGCGACTGCCTGGACTCACCAAGTAGCAGCTGGCCGCCGGATAGGTGGAGCGCGTGGCGCAGTACTCGATAGATTTATGGGAAATGTAGTCTAAGTGGGTCTCCACTGCGTCGTGCCGGTCGGACCGATCTGCAGTTCTACAAACCTCACCTGTTATTTAAAATATAGTTTCGACAAAGTAAAATAACTAATTAACAGTACGTGAATAACCCTGGCCACCGTGTCACATTGAATGTGCTGATATGAAACCCGTGTACAAATAATTACTCCTCTTCTGACGTGGAAAAAAAACATTTTAATTGTTAAAATTATGATTATTTCAACCGTATTAATTTCAAAATCAAATGAACAAGCCTCCAAAATTATTACAAATGGAACGAATCTGCCTCTGCTCCTTCAAAACTACATTTACCTAATGCGCTGTCATTGACAAACATGGCGGCCTCCACGAGAGCTGCAGAACCTTATGCCTCTGATTCTAAAAGTTCTCCTCCAGCTGGTCCGAGCATGGAAAGCCCAGTGATTCAGTACAGTATGGTCCTGGATTATCTTATTGGGGACAAGAGGACCTTGAAGGACTTGAACCCCGGTGTCATGGGGGGACTCCCAGTGCCTCCTAAAAGCGAGGAGCAGAAGAGAATAGAGAGGGCAATGGAGAGCTGCGCTTTCAAGTCCATTTTGGCCTGCGTTGGAGGTACAGTAAATATAATTAACTAACCTTTTCAAGCCATCGTGCCAAAAATGAAACACATTTGTGGACACATCAGTGTTTGTCTTCGATCATTGCTTCTGCCGGCGACTGATTCTGATTCGAAGGAAAACGATGTCTGCACTCAGTTGTGTGTAATGGAAATCGAAGCGGAGATCCACTTTGAACAATAGAAAACGGTAAAATAATAAAATCATCCTACAAATGGCATTCAATTAATCGATGAATTGACCAGCCCAAGTTTGAACAAATTAATTTCAGAGTACATAGATGATTCGTTCGTAGGTTATAAACAGGTCCATGTTTTGATTGATTTGATCATCATTATAATGAAAGGTTACATTCCTAATATCTACCAAGTCGGTGTTTACTCTTTTATTGTTTGTTTTGCACAGGGTTTGTCCTCGGGGGAGCATTTGGTGTTTTCACTGCAGGCATAGACACCAATGTTGGTTTTGATCCCAAGGACCCGCTGAGGACCCCCACAGCACGAGAAGTCCTCAAAGACATGGGCCAGAGGGGCATGTCCTACGCGAAGAACTTTGCCATCGTGGGTGCCATGTTCTCCTGTACAGAGTGCATCATAGAATCGGTATGATAACACGACAAGTCTTTATTTTGTGCACAAAATGCAGGATACAGTAGAACAGGGGTCCCCAACCTTTATTGCCCCACGGACCGGTTTATGTCAGACAATATTTTCACGGACCAGCATTTAAGGTGTGGCGGATAAATACTACAAAATAATATGGTAAGAGCTGCTTAATAATGTTTAATGCCTTCAAAATACGATACAACGCAAATTCAAAGTGCATGAAAATGTCAACTCACCACAATGCTGAATCAGTGCGAGCACCGAGCTTGATTTTCTGCAACCGGGCGGTCCCATCTCGGGGTAATAGGAGACAATGACACCTGAAGTGTGTGCTTTATGTCGAGTCTACCTCGTAATTTTGTTTTAGTCGCCGTTGCTGTCCCTCAAATAGGAGACAAGTCGGAAATAGCAACAGTGCGATTGTGGCGATCTCAGAGTATTCCGCCATAACTTGAATCCAGAACACCGGCAGAGTTGTTGTCTCGAACGTACTTTTAAGGCCGCCGTCATTTGCGATCGCCAGCAGTTTATTTTATTCATTTAGCAAGCTCCGGCGTTTTGTTTTTAGCGTAATCAGTCACGTGACAGAGAAGCGTGGTTTGACGTGCATCAAGAGTGACACAGATGGATGTAACGTAGAATCGGGTAATTTTTCAAAATAATATATCTTTCGTATTCCAAAATAAATACAACGGAATTGATGTAAGTTCTTATTGTGCAGCCCGGTAAAAATACCGGTCCGCGGACCGGCGGTTGCGGACCCCTGCAATACAACATCACTTCCTAAGTATGCGTGAAACTCAGCACTGTGACATTGTTTAATAAAACAGTTACATACTGATAACCTCATTGTCAATTGTATGTCATGTTGGTCATTTTGTGATTTTAAATCTGTGAAATGGACCTTGAAAATGCAATTCCACCTATATTGTTGGATTTAATTTAGAGATAAAATTACATTAAGTTAATTATATAGAAAATATTTTTCACAAACGTGGCATGATTTGACACCACCGATGAATGGTGGTGCAGAGGAAGTCATAAAGCACAGAATATTTACATTAACACATTAGTTTTCCTCACTGTTTAGCGTTTTTTACTGCCCAGTGTTGGGGGTTTTTTCCGTCCTCTCCACATAATCTTCTTTAGGACAAAACATCATCTTCTTTAGGACAAAACAAAAAGGCCCAAAATAAAAGCTAAACATGTGATTTGTACACCGTCTCATGTGATGTAATAAATGGCATGTCCAACATACAGGTTAAAATCCCTGTAACATGAAAATAAATGTTTTTGAAATTTGACATACAAATACATTGAAATGGTGAAAAAGATTGTAATAGCGTTGCTCCACAAATGAGTAATACGTAGTTCTTAAGAAGTCTTTGCACACATTTTCAGCAATTGTCTTCAATCATGTAGAATGCATTCAGAAAGAAACTTCTGAAATTCACTTGACATGGTCTTTAAAGACTGCAGAGTTCATTTCCTCTAACATTCAGATATGAAAATAATGAATGAATAAATCATATATCAGTCTTTCTCTTCCATGTTTTGTCAGATCCATTTTAATTTGTCTTATAACAGACTGGGACACAGTGGTTACATTTGTCCAATTTTATTTACAGCACAGAGGCAAATCTGACTGGAAGAATGCTGTGTATAGTGGCTGTATAACTGGAGGAGCAATCGGGTTTCGTGGTATGTAATGCCATATAGATGATGTACTGTATGTAATACTTTTTTTTTTTCTCATATCGACTTTTTTTTTACTCTGTTTTTTGTTTTTCCCACACTTGTAGCTGGTCTGAAGGCCGGTGTCCTAGGATGTGGAGGCTTTGCTGCTTTTTCTGCAGCCATTGAGTATTATCTGCGGTGATGCTCGAAAGTGACTCTGTGGACAAAGAATTAGTTCCTCCAGACGAGCCTGTGCAGACCAACTGTAAGGGATCACGACATAATTGGACTGCAAATGGGGACGCGGTGCAGCAGCCAACTAGAATTCATGATTGGTTGGATTCCTGTGATTGCTGTAAGTGGACAGAAAAACATACTAATGCCTTGTTTTCTGATTGTTGGCAGATCAGTGTGTTGACTTCTGTCAATATGTTAAGAATCATGAGTTGGGGAGAAACACTGGCCACCTTCACGTCATTCTTCTTTTCAGTGAGCAATGTTAATAAGAGTATGTATATGAAGACATTTTGGTCATTTGAGAAGGTTTATTTTCCAATTTACCGGAATCTGTGACCACAAAACAGCTCATTGAGGTAAAGATGTTTTCTTTTCATATTTTTAAGTCATGTTTGTCATGTATTGTGACGTGTCATAAACATTAAATTCCCATTAGAAAGTCGTGAGTAAATTCTTTAAATGAAGACCTCCGATTTGGAGCATTTGCAGAATTGCACAATTTTGAAGAACAAAATCCAGAATTGCCAAACTTTGGTGGGATTGGGCAAACATCTGGAGGAGCAACACTGATGGTCTCTACAATTTACTTGCAAAGTAACAAAAAATGAGACTCAGCAAGGAGGTACAGTAAACACTTTGCCCAAGAATTTCTTGTGTATTAACGTTGTGGAAGAAATCCCATGAAAACACCATGTGCACAATCTTGCTCCACCCAGTATCAGTACTTTTTGTCTCTGCTTCCCTCATGTGGCCATTTTTGGATATGAGGTCAAACCGGAGCACAACACAGGGTATTGGCCTCTGTCCAGACCAGGGCAACCACACTCTGAATCGCACCCTGATAAAATTTGAGGCCCTACAAAAATACATGGTGACAATATGACAATAGCAGTTCTCTCGAATGGCTGTGCGTTCATGCGTACATTATATTTTTTTAGTTTTAAAACAAAAGTTGAGTTCCTATTTTATATCAGCGTCCAATATAAGTGTCGCCAGCAGAGGCTGCTTAGAACTTTGCATCTCAGATCACGAAGAGAACATGCAAACTCCACACGGGAAGGGCTGAGCCCGGGATCGAACCCTCGACCTCTGTACTCTGCGGCGGACGTGCAAGCTAGCCAGTCGACCACGTTGCCGTCAAGAGTAAGTTTGTTAAAAATAAATGTGTTTCACGGCAAATGCGTCAATTTAACGTGATAAAGGAGATTCGAAGTACCTGGACATTGAATGAGCCAAATAAACACCATAAAACTGCAATATTGCTTTTACACCCCCCACCACACACACACACACAAAATATTATTTTTTTGTTAATGCGTAAAGGTCATTTACTTCTGATAAAACTACAGGTGAGTGTTTAACGTTTGTATATCAGAGTGCAATTATAAACGTGGCCATTAGAGGGTGTTTACACCTTGCATATCAACGGCTGACCACCGTCGAAGAAGAGTCAGCATATTTTTTTTTAAATATGGCACGGCAGATGAGTAGCTAATCATTTTCACCAATGTACACGTGATAACGGGGATTAATAGCGCATTTGAAAGTACACTTTTTGAACGAGTCAAATAAGCACCATCAAACTTAAGTAATGGCTTTAGGTCTGTTGCTTGGATGGTTCCACATAAAAAAAAACATTCTTACGTCACAGACGTAATGCCATTACTGAAGTTTGATGGGGTGTTTATTTGACCGACTGAAATAAACATCCATGGGGGTTTATTTGACTCGTCAAATACACCCAAATACACCCATGGGCGTGTATTTGACTCCCATGGGGGTGTATTTGACTCGTCAAAGCAACGGGTTTTAACAGGAAAAGAAAAAAAAATCTCAACATGGGTCTCACTCTTCTGTCACGCCCCTCTCTCTCTCTCCTTGTGGGTGCTTGGCTTTGCGCACGTCACAAGCAGCGGGACCTGCTGGATGAGAGAAGTCGGAAAACTCCGGTTTGATAGGCATTCACTGCAAAAAAAGCGCAACTTCACCAACTATTCACGAAAGCAATGGCTACAGAAAGAGAAAACTCAGACGCTGAGATATCAATCACGCTTTCTGATGAGGAAGATAACGTGGCTGAGGTGAACGTTTTCCTTGATTCCACGAGCGATGAGGAGGATTTGTGGTGCTTGTCATCCGATGAAAGGTACAGTTTGTCATGTCGTTCCATTTTAAACTCCACGTTAACTGTCGTAGGGACTTGTTTAGAAACAAGGTGCCTAATGCCATTTGCCACTTGTGCGTCTGCGAGAAGCTACTTTGGATAGTATCACAATCTCACACACATGGTTGTCAAACTATCCCGCGTTACATGCCGTCAGTTACGGTTGCCCCGCTCGGGGACGTCAGGGGTCACAACGGTGCAACGACATTGCATTGTTACATTGTAAACATACTTTTACGATGGCAACTTGAATTCGTGCCTTAAAAAAAAGTATCTGTCCATTCATTTTCCACACTGCTTATCTTCTTAATTGTCGCGGGGGTGGGTGCTGGAGCCGATCTCGCTGACTTCGGGCGAAGAGTAGACTCGTCAGTCACAGGGCACGGATAGATGACCTACAACCATTTAAACTCCCATTCACAAACAACCAGCGTGGGTGTACATGCTGCGTGCCTGCTGCACACAAATCAGGCATGTGAACCGCGACACCATCAGTGAACTCAGGAAAAGTAAAAATCATTTTCCTTTTAATAACAGGCGGAAACGCGGGGGTAAAAAAGAAGAAAAAGAGAACAAAAAGACGTCAGTCATGGGGAAATGCGAAAACGAATCACAACAATGAGACGCTCCTGAAAATGAGATGCTATGTCGTAATTAAAAGGGAGCCTACTATCTCACCTCACGAGAGACTAAGTCATAATCATGAGAGACAAATTCATATTAATAAGACACTAGGTCATAATTATGGGATAATATCTTATTGTTACAATTGCAGCCAACCACCAATAGTAAAACATATATACAATATAATACATGCTGTAAAAGCACTAATGATGGCATTCCTTACTCGTTTAGCTTCATCTGACAAGCCCAGGAGTGAAATCTAAATCTAAACATAATTATTAAATATGAAGAAAACCTCCATCATAAAAGCTCAAGGATGCCAGAGTGTATTTATCGTATGAAATGAACTTGTGTACACATAGATTATACTGATGATAACTCCCTAAAACAACAAATACAATTGGAGAAACTTTATTTTGGTTTGGGACTTTTTGCTTTGTTTTTCTCTGGTGTCTGTAGCCAGGTCAGCACTGCAAATGAGACTCTGTTCTCACTTGTTTTACCTGGCTCAAGATGAATGGATGAATGGGTGAATTGTAGCCACTACATTCAGCAATAAAGGAGCTCTTTGACTGCTCTGTCATGTTCGCTTGCATAAAGGCCTCCACATTTTGATTTCGATGTAAAATGTAGGTGTGACATTTAATATTATACAGTCAATTGCAGTAAATGTACAAAAAGTGGCTAGAAATTCTCACGATAGTTCAAAAATATTGTTTGAAGCTGAAGATACAGTGACAAAATGCCTCATATTTTCATCTTGAGCCGCTTTAGAAACCACACCACAGATGTCACAATGGCAGCTACAGTAGTTGAAAAGTTCAAAAAGTTTGATTACGGTCAAGAATGGTGAGCGACCACACATTTGAGGAAAATTAATATGTTTCACATCATGAAACACATTTAAATATCTAAAAAAAAAACATCTCACCTGCAGGATTTTCTGGAGACTGCAGATTTCATTATTCCCTTAATCACACACATCCAGGTCCTGAAATACTAAAGCAGGCCCAGACCATCACTTTGCCAATGCCATGTTTGACGATTGGCATTTTATTATTCTGTACCAGAAGCTTTATTTTCACACCGAATGTAACAGGCTTTTATAAATTTAAACTTTTGTCTTGTCAGTCACCTTAATATTTCTTCAGAAGTCTTGGAGATCATCAAGATGTTTCTTAGCCAACGTGAGATTAGCATTTTGAGGGGTTTTTTTTTGTTTTGTTTTTTTTGCCAGCAGGGTTTTTGCCTTGGAGCTCTTCCATGGATGCCATTTTTGTCCAAGGTCTTTCATATGATTGAGACATAGACACTGACCTGAACTGAATCCAGTGAGACCTTCATACATTTAGGTGTTTTTTTTTTTTTTTTTTTTGTCAGCGGATACAGTCGTTGTCATACTGTTGGAGTTATTTGGGTTGCCAAACTACTCTGGGTAGGTTAATCAGTGTTCCCAGTTTGCTGTATTTGTTGATATTGGCTATGACTGTGTTTCCATGGAGACCCAAAGCCTTGAAAATTGCTCTGCACCCTTTTCAGACAGATACATTTCAATCACATTTTTAGTTACAACCTCAGATAATTTTCCCTCAAGGGTTTTTGTGGTTAAAAAAAGTTCAAAGCTCTCCAACATTATGCACCATTTGAACATTTAATTGAGTGATTTTTTTTTTTAATTCGAAAATTGCTGCTAGCTAGCAAATTGTTGGATTTAGAACTAATACATGTTTTTTGTTGTTTTAAATTTCCCCAGTGTGGGACAAATAAAGGATATATTTTATCTTTTTTTTTTTTTTGATTAGAAAATGACTGCTAGCTAGCAAAAGGTTGGATTTAGAACTAATACATGTTTTTTGTTGTTGTTTTGTTTTTTTTCTATAGTGTGGATTACCACGATGATACTGATGAAGATGTGGACTATCAGCCACCAAGAGCCACCACCACTGCCCGGCTGCAACGTCCCGCCACCCGGCACTCCTCCACCATACTCCTTCAGGAAGAGCCATTGACGTCTTCACCAGCACCATCGTCTGCAATTAAACGCAAGAAGACCGTGCAGAAATCAGCCCACAACAAGCGCCACGTTTCTGAATCTAAAGAGAGGTGGCACTGCAAGGAGGAGAGTGACATCAATCCAAAGCCTCCCCCTTTCACACCTGCCAGAACCCCTGGACCTACGTTTGACACCTCGGCCCAGTGGTCTCCCCTGGCTCTTTTTCAGCTTTTTTTCAGTGCATCAGTTGTTCGCACAATTATCGACAATACAAATGCAAATGCAGAGAAAAAACAGGCGAAGGCAAAGTCATTCCGCTGGAAATTGCTCACTGTGCCTGAGTTCTACGTCTTCATTGCTGTTGTCATTTTCACTGGCATTGTCAAAGTCCCTGACAGGGATGACTACTGGACGAAAAGATGGCCATACAACTTCAGCTTCCCGAGAAACGCCATGAGCAGGGACCGCTTTGAGGCCATATTGTGGTCACTGCACCTCAGCGACCCAAAAGACAATGATAAAAAGGAGAGTCGAAAAGGTATACGCTTACACGATCGGCTGTTCAAAATCAAGCCGCTTTACACAGACATTGTTTCAGCATGCAAAGCTAATTTTCAACCCCAGAAGAACATTTCGATCAATCAAAGAGTGGTGCCCTCAGCTCGGATCACCGCCAAACCACAATGTACAAATGGCAAAGCCTCGGCACTCGGTTTCAAACTGTTAGTTTTGGCAGACTCGCTTACTGCATACACGTGGAACTTCTTTGTATGCTCAGAGAAGACCGTGTCTTCCACCATTGGTCAAAGTCTGCGTGACCGAACAATCATGGACATTGTGGATCCGTCCCGGCTGGGAGGGGGCTATAAACTTTTCGTAAACAATTTTTACTCCAGTCCCACCCTCTTCCGGGACCTTCAGAAATTCAACATTGGATGTTGTGGCCCCATCAGAAAGAATCAAGTCGGTTTTCCCAAGACTACGGAAAATGATCTTCCCGCAAAGGCTGAAAAGGGAGACCTGCGATGGTTGAGGAAGGCTGACCTCCTCTTTGTCAAGTGGATGGGCCCACAAAAAGTCACCATGTGCTCTTCGCTCCACGTGGCATGCAGTGGGCAGACCATGAAGAGCAAAGTCAAAGTGAATGGTGGGCGCCAAATGAAAAGAATCACCATTCCTGATGCCGTCCAGGACTACAATCGCCATAAGGGGGGTGTGGATCTGTCCGGCGATTACACTGTCCATCACAAGACCATAAAGTGGTACAAAACTTTTTTTTTCCATTTTGTGGAGATTGCAGTCGTCAATGCCTTCATCCTACACAAGGAGCTGATTGCTCTCCAGAACGAGCCCACAATGCAAAAGCCACTGACTCAGCAGGTCTTCCGCGAGAGGCTGGCTGCAAGCATGCTCGAGCTGGATGGAAAGACGACAGCACCACCGACACCATCACCACCACCGGCCGCAGGAGCAGAAGCATCCCAAGTCACCTGCATGCCCACATTCTTTCAAGGTAACTGTAGGAAATACTGCAGGAGGTGTCATGCTATGGGTACGACCCGGGTCAAGACAAAAGTGTACTGCAGGAAGTGTGAGGTCCCGCTGTGCTTCACCCAGAAAAAGAACTGCTTTCAGCTTTGGCATGATGAACAACATTGAAAGGACAGGGTGTCCCCCCCCCCAAAAAAAACAAAAACTATATATTTTATTCATTCAAAATATGAATATCTGCAGAATTCCTAAACCTCCTGGGTTGTGTCTTGACAGGCTTGCGTGTCAGGAGAGATCACTAGGGGCACTTTAGGAAATTATTTGATTTCACTTAATTTGTCAGAAAAATATTAATTGTAAAGATATCGTCGTTCATCTGTCTATGTCAGTGACATATAGTGACAGGCGGAGCAATTAAAAGGTCTTCCATAAAATGGCAGAAGGTAGAATAAACCCATGTAGTCACATCTGTTGTCATTTATGCAACAGAGTTGGTCAGGAAGTAATGCGAGTACAATTAATTAACTCATTCACCCCCAAAGACGTTTTTAAACGTCTTTTCAGACTTGGCCCAGAATTGGCTGGTACTGAATGAGTTAAACCCGTCCAAATTTCACGGTGTGAGGAAATTGAAATGAGGTCAGCAACTTTGAATGTTCATAGTACATGAGACTTTGTGACATTTTTGATTGGTGGTGTGCCTTAAGATTTTCTAATCTGAAATACAAGCCATGGCTCCATAGTTTAAACACTCAACTTAACTCAACTGTATTTATAGAGCACTTTAAAACAACCACCGCTGTACACAAAGTGCTGTACATGGAGCAAAAAATAATTCAACACCAAACAATAAGACAATAAATTAAAAACAAAGTCAATAGAAAACTCAAAAACAGCAAAGCTAAAAAAGTAAGTCTCATGCTGAGTCAAAAGTCAAAGAATAAAAATGAGTTTTAAAATGAGTTGCACGAAATGAGTTCTTGCACTTAATGTCGGTTTGCTGTTCAGCAGTTTTGTGCCGTCCTTGAATGCTGATGAATGTATTAATGAAAAATGAAATAAGTGCACATACTATGTCCATATTCATAATGGTATTTTTAACATACTTTTTTTCTTTGCAGTTTCTCATGATATTCGTTCACTTAATTATGTATTTTTTGTTTTCTGCTTCCAGTTTTATATTTCATGAATTCAATTTAATTTTCATTTTTTTGCAAGCATTATTTAATCCCTTCTATATTCATCTTGATACTTTTGTTTTTGACCATATTGTTTATTTGGACAATGTTTGTCATATAATGGTCTAATTTTTTTTTTTTAATCCTCATATGCGTTACCGGTGGGATTTTATTTGTATTCAGTACAATATCCCAGTTATTGTTCTAATCTAGTCAGTCCTTTTTGAAAAATTCAATGGCTTTCTCTGTCCAAACACTTCTATGCAGAGGTGTCTTGCTTTGTTTTTATGTAATTATCATAAACAGGGAACATGTAATATGGTCACCAATGTCATTTGCCAATCATGCACTTAATGTATTGTTATCTAATGCACTGAAAATATATAATAAATTAAAGTTGTAAAAGGTTTCTACCGGAGGAAAATCCTTTGCCATCAGTGGCATGTGGAAAAACACAATATTACACAAAAAAGTGTGTAGAATTTCAAAGGATGGTTGGCTCTTTTTTAAAAAAATATTTTGGCGAAATCTACAGTGTATAAATACAAGGTTACCAGATGAATTTATTTTAAAAGGGTTTATTAATCCTGTGGTATATTCCACATTATACAGTGCAATAATTTTATACCCAAGCCTGTATCACCACAAATACAAGATATTGATTTTCAACATTTCAATTCAATGGAAACCGTTTCCCAAAAAAAAAAAAAAAAAAGACAATTTATGTGGTCCTGATTTTCATCGTTAACACCAGTGCACCATGCAATTCTTGTTTAATCTCTTCCGACTGCATGGGTCTCTTTGGGCCTGTCGATGCGGTACATGAACTCCGCAGGCACGAAGTAGCCCAAGTACTCCACGCTGTCAGGTGTGGTGTCGATGTAGTAGTGACCACCTTCTCCATGAGGACTGAAGCAGTGGGTGTGCTCCACACGTAAGTCAAGTCCCTTAATACAAAACACGCAAATGATCATTGAAACAGACATTTTGGTGCTTCACAGCAGCATTGTTTTCACCAATGCAGTGATTCCCAACTACTCTGCCCGTGGTACAACAAGGTCGATACATTAAGTGTATCCACTTCATGTTTGTTGCTAAAGTACCACAATCGTAAGTTGTCTTAACTTTCCAGAACGTTAAACTACTGCAATTGTTTTTTGTTTTTTTTTGTCACCAACGCCGCCTTTCAAAAATAAAACGGTGATTAAATACTTTTTGTACAGTAGTACATGCATGAATTGATAAGATGATATACTTACAGGATCTTTAGATACAAGCACCGACTGGCAGATGAGTGGGGCTTTCACCTCAAAGTGTTTGAGCCAGCTGTTGACCTCTTCGTTCGAAGTGAGCGGACACACCGAGAACTCTCTGGGCTGTGCAGAAACGGTAAGCATGAGTCTCACGATGACCATCTTTCTATGCAGGAAATTGCTTGTTTAAAGGAGACATCGTATGCATTTTCTGACAATTTAAAACAGTTAGGTGTCGAAATAGAACTCTGTGTCATGACACACAAAAAAAATCAAGAATTTTAGGTAACACTTCAAACCCCATTGCTGTGTTGCCGAAATGAGCCCATTTATGAGGGGGTACGGATTTCATCACAAGCAAGTGACTGCGAATCAAAAAAAGGAACTGCGAAATGCCCTCATGGAGGCAGCACATGGTCATCCAAGTCACATTTTGCATTGACTCATGTCGATAGCAAAACAGACAAATCACCACACGCCCCCACCCTCACCACGTGGACAATTTGTCAACGCACAACACTTAATCCTAATCTGTCCCTCCAACAAGTCTTTGCATCAATGCTTAGCCCTGTTCGGGAGGCAGCACATGGTCATCCAAGTCACATTTTGCATTGACTCATGTCGATAGCGTAACAGAAAAATCACCACACGCCCCCACCCTCACCACGTGGACAATTTGTCAACACACAACATGTCAATGACTTAATCCTAATCTGTCCCTCCAACAAAAGTCTTTGCATCAATGCTTAGCCCTGTTCATTGCAGTGGGGCGGAAGCGCGGAACATCCTGACAAATGGAGAAATGTTCTTCTATTGGCACATTGTAGATTTCGTTGGTAGTATAATTTCCCACTTGATGGGTGGGCAGGCACTCCAGAGACCCAAGGATTTACATACAAAAATCAAAGAGTTCATAATATGTCCCCTTTAATGTCTTTTAAAGTTGTTGCGTTAAAATGCTCATATATACCATAATGTGGATTTTAGCGTTCCCCTTCTGGATGATGAAGGTCCCCCCCAGAGCCAGGCTTTTATCAGGGTAGTGAACCTCCAGAGTCTTTCTCAAGGCCGTCACAATACTGTGATCTCCCGTTCTTCTCTTGGCCCGCACCTCAATGACCTGCGGACAGGAGGAGACGCTTGTCTCATCTTACATCATCCATTTGCTCTTCGTAATGTTACAATTGATGCCTGTGTTAAGTGTGATGGGGATTGAGTTCATGCACAAGCGCCCCCTTGTGGAATCATTTTCAGAGCGCAACTTAAACACCCACTTGAGGTCAACATGTCCCAGGAACGTTTTATTGGGGGAAGAGATCATACACAGACATCATTCTTGCAATAGCAAGATTTTTTTTTTTTTTGGTTTGTTTAATACTTTGCTGCTGCTGTACTCGTAGTAGTTATAATCATGATCATCACCTTTCCTGGCCTCCCCTCACAAGCATATAGGTTCCCCAGCAGTCCAAAGTTGCAGTCAGAGAATTTGTCTCTGTATCTTTCTTGCAGACACTGGCCATCCACTGGATTGATGGAGGAGAAGTAGCTGCTGTTCACTGCGGGTCTTCCGTCTGCTTCAGTCAGAACCAGCGGAATCAACTGGGATAGCAAATACAGTATTTATAATACACATCAAAGCTCAGTTTGCTGTTTTGAAAAGCGGAAAAAAAAATCTAATCGTTTAGATATTCCTTTCTTGTCAGTACAGTCCAAATCGTCATATATTTTCATGGAATAGGACAACATATAATGGCTAGAACTATCAGTTTAATAATAAAACAATCACAAAATTAACACTTAAGTGCTGTTTTTAGAGTCTTTTTCGGCCTCTTCCCACATTTTCGGAATGTGGGAAGAGGCCGGCATAACCGGAAAAAAAAACTACTAATATTGACATACCTGTCAACCTTTCGGAGCGCCAACCCATATAAACTACCAAAAAAATCCTTATAAAGAGCAAAAAATCCTTATAACATACCAAAGCATTTTATATGTCAAAATAACGGCAGAAAAAAACCCACGAAATTTTTAATGATATTTATTGTAGATCTCCATAATACAATGGCAGGTGAATGTCTAATCATCATTCTACTTAGTGGCATTACTGTGTTCAGAGTTGTATTCCTGCGTTACTTTTTTCACCTTGTAGATTAGAACTTGCTTGTACACTACCGAAGTATGGAATGAATACTGTGCTGTTTTCAACTAGGAACCACGTGATTTACTGGAACTTTACCGGAAATGAAAGCATTCGAGTAGACGAGCACCATTCTGGGCAAAAGCAAACGGAACTACCTGTTCAGGAAAAAAAAACAAAAAAAAAAACGGAAATTTTCAGAATCCGTATGATTTGTGCGATATGGCCATATACGTAAGATTCACCACAAAATCCATATAAAATATGGCTAAACCGTAGGAGTTGACAGGTATGGATTAAGTTTGGGCATTGCTTTTTTGCCAACTCTTATTACAGAAGATGATACCACACAAGACCTCTCAATCGAATCTTTGTGGTTTCACTGTATTATGTGAATTACAAAACAAACAGTGACAGCTCTAAAATGGTGGCGGTGCATTGCTGAAAATTTAGGGGACTACCTCTGCATTCATCCCCACAATCCTCGAGGAAACGGCTCCTGCACCGAGCATGAATGCCCCTGGTAGCTCCAACTCCCTTGATAAAGCATTCATGTCATACTCCTAATAAGAAGAATATGTCAAGACAATCTGACAACACACAAGCAGCAGTCGGAGCCAGCAAATGTTTTGGCATCTCTGGGTGATTTAGAAGACAACAGTACCTTGTGCTTTTGAACCAGAGGAACCAGGTATGGTACTCCTCCCACATCTGTGACCCGAGGACTTCCACACAAACCTGAAGGATTAAGTAAACATCACATGATGAACAAAAGTGCACACATTTAAATGTAAGGTTTAATGTGTGTCACGAGTGGTTTGACATTAGGTATAAAATAATCTTACCCTTAACAGGAAAGTTGAACGGCTCCTTAGTGAGATCAGGACATTCCACAACACTCACTTTAACTTCTGCAAAGTTATCTTCCAGCCCTGTTTGAAGTACTGCAAACAGAAATAATTGTTTGATTCACTCCTCTGACCACGTACTGTGTTAATTATGTTTAAGTCCTTACCAGTACGCAGTTCCTCTAGGTCTGGAACATGCAGCTGAGCCTTTTCAGTTTTGCGAACGAATGCCATGATTAAGTTTGAGTGCAGGTTCGGTGACCAGATCGAAAAACTGAAATCGTAGGTGGTGACTGTGTCGGAGTAAAGTACTAATCAAAGAGTAAATAAAGTAACGAGAGACATATCTTGTACCTGTGCAATAGCCTGCACAGCAAGGTTAGGCCTTTAAAAAATATATACTTTTTTCTTCCATGGCTTGAATCGCAATTAACGATTATTCAGTTTCGTGTTAGTTTTGTTCGTATGGTACTTTAAAAATCGATTCAGTGGGGTGCGTATCTCGTGTAATATGTTAAAAGTCCACATAACGGGTAGACGAAAAAAGTAGACGTGTGAGGGAATCATCTTGATGTTTTTGTTTTTTTTGGTCATTGTTAAGGAAGTCACATGACTTTTAAAAATTGGAATGACTTTAGCTGTTTTCATTTTTGATGGAAAAATACCGGCTTTGAATGACAGGTCGCATATGTATGTAAAAGGTCGCACTATAAGTTCTATAATCTGTTTTACTATTGTCATATCAATATTAAAGCAATCAGTTGACTTTTTACTTTTAAATGTTTTTAACATATTTAATATTTCATTATGATTCACAGCAGTAAGAAACATTGTGGAACTTTTTTTCTATGTATCTATTTCGAAAGGATTTATTGGATCAGGAATTTGTTTTGCTAAATTACTGCCGATATTAACAAAATACTCATTAAATGCCTTTGCTATTTCTGCAGTTTCCTCAATAATGTTATTTTTATCTTTCATAAAGTACTCCGGATAATCTACTTTTTTGGAGCTATTTCTAATTACATGATTTAATGTTTTCCATATTTCTTGAGTGTTGCTTTTATTTTGCTCTAATAATGCATGAAAATGGTCTCTCTTACTAGTTCTTATAATATTTACTAATTTGTTTTTATAGGTCTTATATTTTGTTTCAGCTTCTTTGGTTCTGAATTTTAGAAACGATTTGTATAAATTGTTTTTCTTTTTACATGCATTTTCTATGCCTTTTGTTATCCATCGCTTACTTTGGTCTTTGTACTTTTTGGAGACCTTAATTACTGGGAAATGTTTATCATATAGGGAGGTTATGGTTGACTGAAATGCATCAAACGCAGTATTTGGATCTTCATTTGAGTATACCTCAGACCAGTTTTGTTTGTCTGAGTCTAACCTAAAAGCTGTGATGGAATGTTGGGTTCTGAGTCTTATTTCTGATATGTGGGTTATTAGTTTTCCTGTGAAAATAATTATGAAAGACTGCAAAGACCGGTAGATGGTCACTTATATCAGTTATGGGAAGTCCACTTTCCTTTTTATGATCAATCTTATTTATAAATATATTATCTATTAATGTGGCCGTATCAATTGTTATTTGTGTGTGAAATCTGGTGTCCTTTAATTGAACACAAAGGTGATCTGATATGACTGGATGTATGGCAACATTTGGATACACAAGCTCATGGTACCTTTTGCGCTCTACACTTCATTTTTCTGCCCGCCAGTACGTCTATGTAACCATCATGTATGTCTAATGACTAAAATGTATTCAAACAAAGAATAATATAGACATTCAACAACAATAATAATGATGATGATAGTCATAATTGTGCTGTGAACATACTGTGATCATTTCAAAATTGCCCCCCAAAAAATTTGATTTCCCAAAGAGCCATTCCAGCCTTGAACAAATATGTAAAAGATGATATGAAAAATATCATAATGACATCTCATTTCACTCTGCCATTACAGATAGTATGTTGTATCTCAGGGGTGTCAAACTCATTTTTGGCCCTCGGAGGGCCATTACGACAGTGAAACTGAATAAATGTTTAATCATCAAATCGTATAATTACTTGTACACAACAAATTGATGGATTACGAGTCAATTATTTGTTGTTTGTTCAATTATTGTTCAATTGAGTGCAAACAAGAAAACAAAATCTCAACGTTTTTGCACATGACAATATGCCATTTCTGTACAGATTTTAGCAAGGATCATTGAAGTTGACACACATGATTTGCTTCGAAGGGCCACATAAAATGATGTGACGGGCCGGATCTGCCCCCCGGGCCTTGAATTTGACACCTGTGTTGTATCTGTTGTTAATATTGAAGTTGACACACATGATTTGCTTTCGGGGGCCACATAAAATGATGTGGCGGGCCAAATCTGCCCCCCGGGCCTTGAGTTTGACACCTGTGCTGTATCTGTTGTTAATATTGTCAATTTTTTTTGTTTTTTTGTCAAAGATATTTTATTGTTCTACATTTTCATTGTGATTTCGATGTTTACTAGACCAAAGAATTGAAAGATAATTGCACTTAAAAATGGATGCACTTTAATTAATTTTGCTCAAAAATAATCACTACATCAGTAATAAATATGGAAATTAGAGCTGACTTTTGGAGTGATGCCAGTATGGGTCGAGGGCACTACCAAGGTGCCTTACAGCAAAGCGCTGAGGGTGTCTTCTGTGATGTGTGCATGTATGTGCATACCTGTCAACTTTTCGGAGCGCCACCCTGTACAAACTACCAAAAAAATCCTTATAAAGAGCAAAAAATCCTTATAACATACCAAAGCATTTTATATGTCAAAATAACGGCAGAAAAAAACCCACGAAATTTTTAATGATATTTATTGTAGATCTCCATAATACAATGGCAGGGGAATGGCTAATCATCATTCTACTTCGTGGCATTACTGTGTTCAGAGTTGTATTCCTGCGTTACTTTTTTCACCTTGTAGATTAGAACTTGCTTGTACACTACCGAAGTATGGAATGAATACTGTGCTGTTTTCAACTAGGAACCACGTGATTTACTGGAACTTTACCGGAAATGAAAGCATTCGAGTAGACGAGCACCATTCTGGGCAAAAGCAAACGGAACTACCTGTTCAGGAAAAAAAAACAAAAAAAAAAAACGGAAATTTTCAGAATCCGTATGATTTGTGCGATATGGCCATATACGTAAGATTCACCACAAAATCCATATAAAATATGGCTAAACCGTAGGAGTTGACAGGTATGGATTAAGTTTGGGCATTGCTTTTTTGCCAACTCTTATTACAGAAGATGATACCACACAAGACCTCTCAATCGAATCTTTGTGGTTTCACTGTATTATGTGAATTACAAAACAAACAGTGACAGCTCTAAAATGGTGGCGGTGCATTGCTGAAAATTTAGGGGACTACCTCTGCATTCATCCCCACAATCCTCGAGGAAACGGCTCCTGCACCGAGCATGAATGCCCCTGGTAGCTCCAACTCCCTTGATAAAGCATTCATGTCATACTCCTAATAAGAAGAATATGTCAAGACAATCTGACAACACACAAGCAGCAGTCGGAGCCAGCAAATGTTTTGGCATCTCTGGGTGATTTAGAAGACAACAGTACCTTGTGCTTTTGAACCAGAGGAACCAGGTATGGTACTCCTCCCACATCTGTGACCCGAGGACTTCCACACAAACCTGAAGGATTAAGTAAACATCACATGATGAACAAAAGTGCACACATTTAAATGTAAGGTTTAATGTGTGTCACGAGTGGTTTGACATTAGGTATAAAATAATCTTACCCTTAACAGGAAAGTTGAACGGCTCCTTAGTGAGATCAGGACATTCCACAACACTCACTTTAACTTCTGCAAAGTTATCTTCCAGCCCTGTTTGAAGTACTGCAAACAGAAATAATTGTTTGATTCACTCCTCTGACCACGTACTGTGTTAATTATGTTTAAGTCCTTACCAGTACGCAGTTCCTCTAGGTCTGGAACATGCAGCTGAGCCTTTTCAGTTTTGCGAACGAATGCCATGATTAAGTTTGAGTGCAGGTTCGGTGACCAGATCGAAAAACTGAAATCGTAGGTGGTGACTGTGTCGGAGTAAAGTACTAATCAAAGAGTAAATAAAGTAACGAGAGACATATCTTGTACCTGTGCAATAGCCTGCACAGCAAGGTTAGGCCTTTAAAAAATATATACTTTTTTCTTCCATGGCTTGAATCGCAATTAACGATTATTCAGTTTCGTGTTAGTTTTGTTCGTATGGTACTTTAAAAATCGATTCAGTGGGGTGCGTATCTCGTGTAATATGTTAAAAGTCCACATAACGGGTAGACGAAAAAAGTAGACGTGTGAGGGAATCATCTTGATGTTTTTGTTTTTTTTGGTCATTGTTAAGGAAGTCACATGACGACGCTCAAACTACTTCCTTGTTTGTCCGGAAGCACGCGTACTGTACATAAAATGTACTAATCGGAAACGCTCTGTCCCATTGTTTGAGTAGTATAAACGAAATGTCGTCATAATTTTTTCTATTATTTGAATGCCGACTATAGTACTATGAACATCCAGCAGTTTCCGAAATAAATTAGATTCAGGACCAACTAACGATCTAAACATAGCCCAAAATGTCAGAGACACACAATAATGTTGGTTTAACTCAGTCTGACGCCCTGACTGACGAGATATCAGCAGGCCACATCGTCCTGGAAAGGTCTCCTCCCGATTATGTGAAGAAAATATCGCAGTACCTCGAGTGCTCGGCGGGACCGAGTCGCCAAAATAGAACACCTGAAGAGCCCCCTGAAGTCGACAGGTAAACATTTTTGCAACATGTACAGTATTCATTTTTTATTGCATTCGAAAAATCTCACGGCACGTAACCAAACCAAAATGTCACAAAAAGTGTATACAGCGATGCCTTAGATGCATCTTTCCACACTGAAATGAATGGAAATGTCTTAATTCGTTTTAAAGCCCAAAAAAAAAAAATGGTGCGGGGTGATTTTTTTTAAATGAGAAAATAGCACTATAACGTTATTTTGTTACACTTTATCCTATGTAACAGTTTTCTGCTCATTCTGGTGTGTATGTGTACGCCTTGGACACTTGGGGGCTGTACTGTATATACCACAGATAGGCGGGTAGACTGTACAGTACTTGGTTTCTCAGTGTGGAAGCAATATAGTCGTTCTCTGCAGAGGATAAAGAATATTCGCCAGTGACGATTAGTTTACACTCACTCATAGTTTGCACTCGCAAGTGAAAGTAATAACATTGCCGAAACGAAGACTCAGATCTTGAAAAACGTAGCTTCTCTCTCACTGCACTAATAACCTCTGCTTTGCATTATTGACCCTGACCTCAGCGTAAGGACACAACTTCCTTAGCAGCACCCTTTTATGTGAATTTCTGATTGTTTCTTTGCAGTGATTCGGGGGACAGCCTATTTATAACACAGTTGCCTGTGCCTCAAGCCGTGAGAACAGTCAGACGCCGGAAATCATCACGGGACACTTTTGCCACCGAGCTAGAGGACAGTGAGGGGGACATTTCGTCCTCTCAGAGTGATGCCGCTGACCATGAGACGAGCAGAAAGAAGAGAAAGAAAAGAAAGATAACGCTCCCAAAATACAGCTTCTCTTTTCTCACGGAAAGGAAACGGAAGTCCAGATGCACTAATTTAACCAGCAAACAGAATCTAAAATTTCATGTAAGGATCATTTAGGGTCGTATATTTGTGTGTTAATATTTTAAGTATGTATTTTTTTTCTGTTTCCAGAATTATGTGATGGGGGGCTTCTTTAAATGTGTCGAGTTGTGGCAGCGAGCAGAGGATTTATCTGAAGGTCAACCAACAGTTGACCAAGATGATGAGGACATATCACCCTTGACGGCGTGAGTTTCTTTACATTATTAGATGTAGTCATCAATCATACTCAGTCATTTTTGTTATTCATTAACTTGACATTAGTCATATTCCCAATTAGGAGGGCCGACTTCAGTTTGTCATTGCACTTCCGAGCGACTGGATTCTTTTGGCAAAAATGAAGTGATAGCTAAATACTGTACAGATATTAACACATTTTCACAATATGTGCTTTGTTTTCCATGTTGGGAAACTGACCAGTGTTACATTTATTTTGTAAATGATTTAAATGAAAGCAATTGTGGCATTCATGGTTTTGTTTCAGTACAATTGCAAACATATCTGAACTCTTGCAGAGATGAAGGAGAAGACAAATCTGGTGACGAGGACATCAAAGTGGTGGTAAGCAAACTGTCACTCTCAACGAAAATGATGGAGTGAATTAATGTGATGAAAATGTACAACCGTGTAAGATTCAGACATTAAACACGCACACATTTGACAATTTGTTTTCATGTTTTATTGTACCGGTACTTAATTTCTTTTGACACCGTGTGTCAAATACAAATATTAAAAGGTTTTTCAACTTTAACTTTTTTAACTGAGGTCGACTTTGTCGAGACAAAATTCGAATTGTTTTGTTTTATCAACATTGCTTTCCTCATTTGTACACTCGTATTACCGTGAAGAGGAAAAATAATCCTGTTTAGTTGACAAAGGTTTTATGACACTGACAGTTTAATGATAGGACTGATTATTTTTCATTTTCTGTGGGAAAAGTTGTTTTGATAGACATTTCTGAATATATCATGTCTAAACTTAGAGGTTCCAGTTAAAGTGTTTCCATGCTATATCTCAAATTTTAAGCTAATTATTTTGGGGGAGTTTTACAGTATAGTTACTGGAATGTCCTTGGAGAGAGCCAAAGTTACTGATGCACTTTTCAATCGGACAACTGAAACGCATAAACACAATGTACACACTGATGAGGGAGCTGCTGATGACAACAACTCACGCCAAGGCCCTCATAAATAGACTCCCCAATTGTTTATCCGCTCTGTGCTTGCAGTTCTTTTGTGTTTTCAAATATGTACTGTACCCTAAAAATGAATAATAGAATCAATACTTTTTTGGTTTTATGTTGCAGGAAAAAAAACGTTTTCTGGCAAAATCCAAAACCAAGTGGCAGCAAGCCTGGCACATACCACTACAGTGTACCACGCAACATGAGGAGGAAGAAGGAGCCGTTACTCAAGAAAGGGAGAAAACAGATCAAATATCAAATGAGGTGCCCACGTCCAGTATGGCTTTGGCGAAAGACAAAAACAATGAACCACTCAGAATCAAGGTGGTGCCAACCCGAACACTGAGACGCAAGAGGACTCTTTTCCCCGAAGAAACGGCAGAACTTGTTGATGCGGAAACTACACCTACGACTGCAACACCCATAACCTTGGAAAGCACAGATGACACTGCACAGGCACCACAGGCTTATGATGAGCTGGTTCTTCATGGAAACAAAATGTCCAATTTTTCACATGTTACGAACACTCAGACAACAGAAGATGATAATGCAGGAGCCAGCGTTGTCACCTCGGAAAAAAAGAAAGAACATAAGAGACAAGAAAATGAGCTGGTTAACTTGGAGCTTGACCTCAGCGTACAAGAAGATGCCACGTCTTCCCTCAGTCGAGATGAGCCGACAGAGAAAAACAAGCTAAGGGAGGTTGAAGACGACTCCTGTGTAGTCAGCGAACCTCTAGGTAATGAGAGGCGGTTGAAAAAGAAGAAAAAAAAGAAATCGCATCAGGAACCAAGGAGTCTAGACACTCTTGCAACTTCTCAAAAAAATGCAAAGAGACAATGTAACAAGTTTCCTGAAGATGATATTAGTGATAAAAGTGAAGAAAAGATGTCTTCCTGTCTATCTGAGGGAGGCGACACGTTCAACACTCCAGACAAGCCCCACCGCGTTGCTGACGGAAATGAGAAAAGGAGTGATGCCAACGATGTGCAACTGGTTCGCAAGAAAAAGAAGAAGAAAAAATCACACACAACGATCCCACCAATCGACGAGTTTATGTGTGGACTGGGTAACAAAAACGATTGGACCTCTTCCTTCCTTGTTGCTGATGTGGAGGAAAGCACTGCTGCTTTAGAGGCAGAGTTACACGATGCGCTCAAGAAAAAGAGAAAGAAAAACTCGGCCGGCCACGGGAGCACAGAAGATTTTGTGGGCGCATCATCTCACTCTGCTTTGCCCGAAAACGTTCAGGTGGCCTTGGAAAGTAAAAAGAAGTGCCCAGACAGTCAAGTTGTGAATCTTGTGGAAAGAAACGAAAGCACAGCTGGTTCTGCGTTTTTGAAACCCGATGAAGGCAAGTTAAAGAAGAAGCCGAAAGATCAAGCGTATGACGAGACAGAGGAGACTCTACTTTTGGACACTGAAGAATTTGGAGAGCTCAATTCACCACTTAATCAAGCTCATTATGCTGATGATGCAACTTCTAATGAAGCACCGGGCATGCCCGAAGATAAGGAAGCACCGGACATGGCCGAAGATGACACATTAAATTATTTAAAAGACAGGAAGAGGAAGAAAAAGAAGAAGAAGAAGGAGAGAGAAAAACTGCTTACAAGTAAGGCTGAACTTGAGGAGGACTTGATGTGTGATGACGGCGTTCAACATAAAAAGAGAAAGAACGACAGACATTCACGAACACCCAATCTCACCCCTGTGACATCAGAGACTGATTCCCTGTTTCAATTGTCCCCATCAGACAGTGTCAAGAAAAAGAAGCACAAAAAGAGTGTCCTCACACGCCATCTGTATAGTCAACGAGAGGGTTTCTTTTAAGTTTGGTGGGGGGTTTTCCCCCCAATATTGATCGTTTTGATTGGCATGGATTCAATGTCATTCAAAAACAAACTCGCCTTCAACAAATTCCAGTGGTACATAGAATATGCGTATATGTTCAGTATCATTAACGTGTGCATTGCCGTTGTCTGTAATCATATATTTTCAGTTTATATAAAACATGAGACCATGATCAATGGTTAAAAATCCCACCCCCCCAAAAAAAATAAAATACACCACAAATGTGCCTTTCAACTAATGCAGCTCAATAGAATTAAATATACAGTACAAGGTTCAAGCTATTGCCGTGTGTGTGTTTTTTTAATAGGGTACTAAATTGAATGTAAAAAAAAAAACAAAAAACAAAAACCTGAATTTAAAACCAACAAATCTGCTCTAAAAATGAATTCAAACCGACTGAGTTTAAAACTAAAAATTCAAGATGAAATAAAATGTAACTATAATGAAAAAAAAAAAATCAAAAACTATGAAAACACTGGAGCTGGGACAGGCCCCAGCTCATCACCGACCCCAAATGAAAACAAACACTATAAAATGTGGATGGATGAATAATGATGATGACATTCTGGGTTCCTGCACAAATAAAAAAAAAAAAGAAAAGAAAAGCGGCTGCTGCCAGCTATTTGGTGAAAAACGATTTGGGAAGTGTCCCTTCAAAAACCGCAAGCTGCGCAGTTTTATGGCAATTGCTGCTGCAATGTTTACAAGTAAAGCTTTGCTAAAGCTCATTCCTCAGGTTAATATTTAATACTATTCCCCCTTTAGTGGTAAAACATTTTCAGAAAGAGTTTATCACCAAAATGTGGCACCAATTTAATTATTGTCTATTGCCATTTACAGTCCTGAAATCTTAAAAGTATGAGAATTGTGGTTGTAAGTTGCTTTTATATTTTGGCCCTCTCACGCTGTCAATTCTTTCACCAAGATTATGAGAACCATTAATTTTCACTATTGAAAACTCCATTCACAATAAAACTGGAGAGACTCAGAAGAAATGTTGTGGGTGAGCTGTAACCTACCCCAGATGACTTTGAGAGAGACATCCTGGACTGGGTGGTACCTCAATCGTAGGAGCAAAGACAAACAACCAGTCACACTCAAGACAGGACAATTTAGTATTTAAAGAATCCAACAATTGCTTAATGATGGCACAAAGTGTGCTCCCTTCCATGACAAGATTTTATTCTCAGAATTCAATGCATTTGTAATCGGTGTGAGAATTTTCACTTTTTGCAGGCTGGTGTGTTGGAGGACGGAAACATCCTAAAACATGCAGTATAGGGGCCCTTAAGAACCAGCGTTGGTGACCCCAGTTTTATAGCTTTTACGCCAACAGCATTCCTTTTTTTCTTTTTCTTTCGTCGTTTTATATTGATTGAAAGCAAGAACAATGGATATAAATATTGTACAACAGTATATAGTAGAAATACGTGTACGCACGGCATAATACAGTATTTTTGTCGAGTGTGATGTAGCTTTAAGATGAAGGGAATCAGAGGATGTAACGTCCTTTCGTTTTGTCATGTTATTTACATTTACAACGTCGTGCTCCATCTTATTTTGAAACGACTTCTCCGGAAATGTATTAGTGGCATATGTCTTCTGGTATATTTTCCACCTTACATTGGTGAGGCGGCGTGTTCCGAACTGCAGTTCAGATGGATATTATGTCGTTCGGGGCGGCAGATACCCATGAGCATCCGACCAGCAGACGCAAGCGCAGAACCACAGCCAGCGTTTGAAAAAAAAAACGCTGAGAAGTGCCAAGCTCCGGCTGGAAACTTTTCTTGTTATTGTTCTGAGCTCGCGAAGACCACTCACTTCGTCCCAATTTATCCAGCTATGTCTTCCTTCTACAACATCAGCGCGCGTTTCAACGAGGCCCGGAGAGTGGCGATCTTCGGTGGGACTCACGGGAACGAGATGTCCGGTGTGACGCTCGTTAACCTGTGGATGAAAAACGGCGCCGAGATCCAAAGGAAGACTGTCGACACTAAACCTTTCATCACCAACCCGAGGGCTGTGGAGAAATGCGCCAGATACGTGGACACGGACCTCAACCGAGCTTTCACTCCAGAAAACCTCAGGTAAAACACGGCTCGAAATTATTGGATGCTCCAAACTGTCTAGTTCGAGCTCCCTTCCTGTTTATGAAAAGCCTGCGAATAATGGTCACACGTTCCACATCCATGTGATGTTTATTGTTAGTGAACGGCAATGCTCACATGCAATAACGTAAGTGCAAGGGGAGCTCTATTAAAACGACGTGATACGTTATTGTCATCCGAATTAGATAACCCACAGAATGGACTTTAGTCAGAATGAGGCATGGACAAGATCGCCTAGATTAGAGTGTTGTGCCACGCAATGTTTCCATGTTCCAGCACATCAATAATATCCAAGACTGCTCAGAGACAGAGAGGGAGGCCCGCCTCCGGGTCCTCAGCTGACCGGCAGCCAGCACAGAAACGTGAGCGAAACGTGACCGAGCTGCAAAACATTTAAAACGACCGCCCCCCCATTAATCCCCCCTATTCCCAGTGTCCTTATATGCGCTCCTTTTCGTGTGCACTATAGCGGAATTGAAGTCTTATGCAAAGCCTGGCTGGCACACGCAGTCAAGAGAGCATGCAACAGCAGACTAACGTGGTTGGGTAACAACATCCCAAACCCCCCAGCCTCCCAGCCCCCCTCCCACCCGAGGTTTCCCAAAGCATTATCACGAAATGACATCCCCGAGTGGTGTTACTGATGCCGTTGTTCATGTTCTGTTTCCTACAAGTCAAGTCAACTTTATTGTCAAATGTGCAACATACAGCACATATGAAATTACATTCCTCAGGAGATCGTAGAAAGGGTTCTGTCAGTCGTCATCTGTACCTGTGGGTAAAAAACAAAAAACAACAAAAAAAAGGTACAGATGACGACTGACAGAACCCTTTCTACGATGGAACTTTCCTGTACGACTGAGAGCCTCCACAAGCATTCCTCAGGAGAGAGAGGGAGTGCCCTCAAGAGTTATCTGCGCCAAAGGATTCATCAAAAGTAGAGGAGCACGCTGCACTAATCGTTAACTTGTGCCTCATATAGTTCTAGGTTAACTTGTGCCTTGTTTCTAAGGTTCAAGGTTTGAGTCTCCTGGAGTTTGCATGTGCTTGTACTTCGGGTTCACCATACCTTTTAAAAACATGCATGCTAGGTTAGTGAAAGACTAAAATGTACATTAAACCCATGCAGGGGCATTTGCTAGCGTTTCACAGTCTGGGATTTTTAAAACTTATTGTAGTTTTTATTTTGTTTTGATTTGGGTTTTTACAGTTCAGTTTTCAGAGTGGCTTTGTTAATTGTTTTTTCATTTTATTTTTTTCCCCAAATACCTCCTTTTAGTTTGTTTTTAGTTTTAGTATCAGTTTTTTTTAATATGGCGTATGCAACATTTAAAAAAACAGTTAGATGGATGCATGGACAGGTAAATAGAATAATCAATATGATTTGCACATACACATGAAATTTGACTTCTGTTCTGACCCATCACAGTAATGGACACAGCAAACAGACACTGTTAGTAGCACATACTGAAGTCTTGGGTTACTTCAGCGCTAGGGTATCACTGTCTTGCTCAAGTTCATGCCAGCTCTATGTCCGAGGGATGTTGGGGGATATACTGTAGAACTGGGGTCCCCACAGTGGCAGGCAATGATCTTAGCCCACTTAAACTAACCACACACACACACACACACACACACACACACACACACACACACACACACACACACACACACACACACACACACACAGAGCCGAGATGAAATAAAACCATTTAGAATCATCCCTGAAAGCTCATGTGAAATGAACTGACAAAAATAACAAGTGAAAGACATTTTCGCTGTAAGTGTAAATTTTAAATCCAGGTAGTTCTTTTTGTTTTTTAAAGATAAAAAAACGCTATTTAAATTATTTCGCAATTTTTTTTTCAATTCTAGTTTTAGTTATTTTGTTTATTTTCTTTAAATGTAATAACCTCGTGCCTTGCCTTTCGCCCCAGGATGGGCTCCAGCTCACTCACTTTGATCTTCAAATTTCTTCTCAAGTTTAGAAACACTTTGGTATTTTTCCTGAAGCCAACATAAGAAGCTTAGATTCTTGCTGAAAACAACCTGAGATGCATTTTTTAAAAATCCGAAATAGACTGACAACTTCAAATTCATTTTTTTGTTTTCGCCTATGCGCTTTCACAGCTCATCAACAGCCACTGTGCTTGTGTGCCCATGCACGGGAACACAGGACAATAGCAGGTCATCACTGAAAATAGAGATACAAAGTGCAGATGTGTGCACGCAGAGACAATATGGGCGGGAGAGATGCTGTTGTACAGTAAGTTAGAGAACGTCCTAGACGTGGTGTCATTTTGAAATACATTAAAAGAGATAAGCGAGACAAAAATAAACAGCAGATCTCATTTTAGCTGTAAAGGTCACACCCAGCAAGGGGTCCGAACATGCTTCATAAGGAGCACATACAGTACTGTACCACAGAGGCGAGGAATAAATTTCATACAAGAAGGCCACCGTCCCATACAGCTCATAATTTATACTGTACAAAGCTTGGGTTTCCAAATTGACACTGGATGAGTGAGTGTCATGAGCACGATCCGTGAGGAAACAGCAGTCCTTCAAGAGTACATCGAACCCAGAGACAACATTCTGAGTGAATGCCTCAAGCAACAGAGGGCCATTAAGGAGAAGGAGCCAGATGGACTGTCATGGAAAGATAAGCCCCAGCATGGCATGGACCACTGACAAATTGAGAAAGTGGCTGACATTGAGAAAACATACCAGTGGCTGGAAAAGGTTGGGCAAAAAAAGACAGCATGGAGGCACTAATCATGGTAGCACAGGAACAGGACCTAAATACAAGCTCAACAGAGACTCCGGTAGGCAACGTCAGACAGGACCCCAGGTGCAGGCTGTGCAAAGAAGCCCCAGAGATGTTGCAGCATATCATACACAGCAGGGTGTAAGATACTGGCAGGCATACATGGAGCGGCATAACCAGGTCGAAGGTATAGTGTACCTGAACATAGGTGCCAATTATGAGAACAACCATGCCAAGATCCTGAGGGACTTCCAGATACAGACTGATAAACGGATCATAGCCAACTAGCCTGACATAATGGAGTTGGATAAACAGAACCACCCTCGAAGTGTGGCGCATCCCATGTTTGAGTTGTTGTGGAATGAAGAATGTTGTGCAGGGGCTCCTCATTTTACAACAGAGTTGTGTTCCCACGATGGCGACGAAAACCAGAATTTGTATGCAAGTCAGAACAGGCTGTGGGCTGTCATCGTCTGGGTTTCGACATTGTTTGTCACATTATTTGATTCACTGCTTGCAGGGCTATTACTGTTTTTCAGGATCGTCCATTTACAAAAATGGAATTACTTTCCTTGATTGCAAAAACCATTGTGTAACTTTTGGCTGCCTTGCTTCGTTTCCCTGCAGTGTATGTGCCGCAAGTCAACTTGCACCAAATGCAAATGCTGTCAATAATAGTGTATCAATGATGTGTGTACTTCAGCGCTTCAGGGGGCAAGGAGTTGCCGTATGAGGTGCAGAGAGCTCAGGAGATCAACAGGCTATTTGGACCTAAAGGAAGCCCGGAGGCCTACGATGTCATTTTTGATCTCCACAACACCACGTCCAACATGGGCTGCACTCTCATTCTGGAGAACTCCAAAGATCACTTCAATCTGCAGATGATGAACTACATCAAGGTTTGCGAATATATATGTATATATTTTAAGATTCAAAGGTGGCGCCTCAAGATGACTTGAGTCCACTCGGTGCTAAAGAGTTAATGTATGACTGCCTCAAAGTATCGACAAAGAGATTTAGTCAGCGGTTTCACTTCTCCTTTAGGTCTTAAACAAACAAACGAGGTTATGTCATTAGTTATTACTTGGCTCGATGAGACATTAGTCAGGGGCGTCACTAGGTTTCACGGATCAGGGAGCTGCGGCCCTCAGAAGGTGCACAGAGGGACAGATTTAAAAATAATATGATACTGTGTAAAAGTTTAAAGTGACCATTACATTCAAAGTGTTATTTCAGTTTGTTTTGTAATTTGTTACACGGACATAGTAAGTACGTTTTACAAAATTAACCACGAAACTTGCTTTCGTGGGCCACATAAAATGACGTGGCGGGCCGGATCTGGCCCTTGGGCCCTGGGTTTGACACCTGTGCTTTACAGGATACATTGAAACACATGTTAACTGTTTTGTTAAGCACTTTGTTACAGCTGCCGCTGTTGTGAAAGCGCTATATAAATCAGCATGTATTGTATTGTATGTAATTATGAACTGATCAACATCGAGGCAAATGATATAACTTTGGCTCACAGCACAGTAACCGTTTGCTCCCAAATATTTTGAAGTCACAGAGATTACATATCAGTGCAGAGTGACGGAATTGGTTGAAGGAAAATATTACTCAATGCGACAATGAGCAGAAAACATAATTTGTTGGTCATGTTTTCCTCATTGACCACGTTTTTTGTACCGTACTGTGTGTTCCATTTTACAACTTATTTTTTTATAATAATTTTTGGGTGTGTTGCAGAGAGCCATCGCCCCCGCCAGTTGTCTCGTTTTACTGAACGAACATCCCCTTCTGAAGTATTCCACTTCCCGCTCCGTCGCTAAACATCCCGTCGGTGAGTCTCTCACACGCAAGCAGCTATGCGCTTGTAAAAGCGGGAAGAGAAGCCGCAATCGTTCGAATTTTTGTTTTAGGCTTGGAAGTGGGTCCTCAGCCTCAAGGCGTTTTGAGAAGTAACATATTTGAAGCTATGAGGGTCATACTGAAACATGCCTTGGACTTCATCGCTTTGTTTAACGAAGGTAAGACAGACATTGCATCGCCGTCCTGAGTCTCAGGGTTCACCCTTTAACCTCCTTCATGCACAAGTAATGATAACCTACATCAGGATTTTTTTTTCTTAAATGTTTTTATTAGTTTTTAGGCATGAAAAAAAAAATAATGGCAGTGGACGGCAACACACATAAGGGTCCATTGTAGTGGCTGATGCACAACTGTTGAGATTCATGAATATATAAGAAATAATAACAAAATAACATTTGAATAGCTGTCCACTCTCGTAACCGCTGTATAATAATAACAATCATCATCATCATCAATTGCAGGCCCCTTATTTTTATTTATTCATGAGGAAAAAGCCAAAAACATCCTAAAAAAGAAATTGTAAAAAATAACATTTAATCCATTTAATTCAGGGGTGTCAAACTCATTCTAGTCGCGGGCCAATCGGAGTGCCGTTATGACAGTGAAACCACAAAATGATTACTTGTACGCAACAAATTAAGAGACTACTAGCTTTGAAATCAGTCAAGTCGACTCTAATAGTTTGTTCAATTATTAATTAAGCGTAAACAGGGTAGCAAAATCTCAACATTATTTATTACACCTGACGATTTGACATTTTCAGTACAGATTTTAGCAAGTTGGCACACATGAAGTTGCTTTCGCGGGCCACATAAAATGACCTGGAGGGCCGGATCTGGCCCCCGGTCCTTGACTTCGACACCTGTGAGGTAAGTGTAAACAGGGTAGCAAAATCGCAACGTTATTTATTACACATGACAATTTGACATTTTCGGTACAGATTTTAGCAAGTTGACACACATGAAGTTGCTTTCGTGGGCCACATAAAATGACCTGGCAGGCCGGATCTGGCCCCCGGGCCTTGACTTTGACACCTGTGATTTAATTGATTGTTGATGTTTCCCGTAATATAATAATCGAGCGAGGAAATGTAGTCAAATGGCCCACCCCGAATGACCTCAGAGCAGGTACTTCTGGGTCAACTTGTACGATTGTTAAGTTTAGTTTTGCTGTTCATAAATTGTTATGCAATTGCATAATAAGCAGTCTATTTTTTCCGTCTGCATGCCTCCTAGTCTAACAAGACACACAATGAGAGATGACAAGTTGCCCATGGGTGCATCACCAATTCACCCACGTGTACCTGCACAAGGGCCTCTAAACTAGCTCGGTGGCGACCCCCCGGCATGGTACAGCTCATGCAGTGTTTACTTGCAGTGAGGCAACCATTTCCCAGCCCTTTTTCGTTAACAAGCCATGTGAGCCAAGTGTGAGTCGCAGCTCCGCAGTCTGTTGCTTTGCCCCTCAAACTGGGCTGCTGTTCAATAGCGTGCTTTTTTGGAGCCGGTCAACTTCCGGCTTTAGTGCCAATGGTGTGGTAATCATCTGTCCCCAGTCCACATTGGCACTTTGAATGTTGTGACTTGTTGATGAATCAATGTTCCTGCTCTCTGAAGCTGAGCCGCGTGAAGAAAGAACTTGTCAGGTGTACAAAGTCACACTTAAAAAGGATTTGGATTCATTACGTCGCTTGAATTGTTTTTTTTGAATACTTTTCTCTGTTTTTCATATGGAGTAAAATGTAATGCTTTGGCAATGTTGACTTTTGAGATGCACATTAGCAGCTATAAGGCGTTTTTATTAGCCTCGCTTTCCTTTTTATCCCCCCCCCAGTCATAAAACCAGTTCGGGTTTGACCTATTGTGGTAACATTGCAACTGACCCACGGTTCTCTCTCTCGTGTTTTTTTCCACTCACGATGGAGCATTTGTTTATGCTTGTCGTCATAGCCTAATTGTAGGGATTGGCCCCACAAAAAAAAAAAAAAAAAAAAAAATACACTGGTACTATATTGGACAGTACGATATGGCCCAATGCAACTGGCAATTAAGATGAGTGACCTTAAAACAAACAAAAATTGGGCATGGAACGACCTTTGATGGTCCTGGTGAGGCCTGGCTGGTGGTAATGATTTGAATCTGTAAAGTAATTTTGAGTTACAATTCCTGGATGAAAAGCGCGCTATAAATAGTTTTGATTGATTGAATGAAGATGTCGGTGTGCTTCTGAACTACCGTCGAGGTACAGCATTAACCCTCCCCTTAAGTAAGGTCAGGTCATGGTGTGCAGCAGCGTTTGAGCGCCCTTTCACTCTGACTTCTTCCCTGTGCGGTATGCAAAGTCAAATCCCCTTGAGGCATCGTAATCAGCATGATACAGTCAATAAATAAAGAAACAGTGTTCCCCCAATATGTGGGATAATCACCATTGATTAATCTGATAACCTAAGCCTGTGAGGCCTTATTTATGATGCCATTTTTATTAATTAATTGAATAAAGAGGCTCTTATGTTAAGCATATGGTTTGCTCTGTGTCCTTTAGGCATGGAATTTCCGTCCTGCACTGTGGAAGTTTTCCGGGTTTCAGAGAGCGTTGACTACCCCAGAGATGCCAACGGAAACATTATCGCCATGGTCCATCCCAATCTACAGGTAAGAAGAAAAAAAAAACATATGGCAGAATAGGAAATGCGAACTTGGTGTTTGTTGTGAAAACAGTACATTGTTACGTTGAGCAACACACTCAAGTCAACTCACCCCGTTGCTGTGCTGTGATTGTTTTTGTTGCAGGACTGCGACTGGGAGCCACTGAACCCGGGTGACCCAATGTTCCAAACATTTGATGGGAAGACCATCCCCTACCAAGGCACCGGCACTGTTTATCCCACGTTTATTAATGAGGCAGCCTATTACGAAAAACAGCAGGCATTTGTTACCACTAGGCGAGAAACTTTGGTGGCAAGTGCCATCCGAAAAGCATAAAAAAAAATTTTAAAACATAGGATTTTGAGTGAGTATGCGAGCCACCGCAACAATTTGTATATATCTTTTGCACTTTTTTTCCCCACATAATAACCGATTCCATCTTCTCCTCAGTGGTTTTATTTTTTTTCTGCTCTTACTTGCATCAAATCAATTAACTATGCAAAGATCATGTGGACTTACCAAAGGCTTTTCTGTGACAAGTCTTTAATCTGCAGATTTAGGATAAAGTATACTGTGGTTATTTATGATACAGTTGTTATTTAAAAACATTACTTTTGATTAAATCCTTTTATGAAGATTAAATCTTGAGATTAATCATGAAATACCTGCTTAGTTTCTGCTTCATGATTAGCTGCTCTATATTTCCTTTTTATGCTCAGGAACCCAATTGAGGATCTTAACCTGCAATCTTTGACCCCAAGCTGTAGTGATTCGTCTTCCCCTCGGATATATTTGTAACATGCTGGGAGGTTATTTGTGGCCTTTGAAACTACCTGCCTGTAACTCCTGTGGTGGCATCTGTGGTGCTCTCCTATTGTTGCCTTAAAAAGAGACCTAATTGCACTGCCAAATTGAAGTGTAGACGTGTTGGATAACAACATACAAGTATTTTAATCATAGTATATGCCTCTTCCCTCTCTACACAATGAAAAAAGTAATATATGTCTATTTTGGTATTCTTGTGCTAGTTTGAAGTGCTGTGTAGCTCTTAACAAGGCAGATGTGAATTGTTTTTCCATGTTTTCATGTCTTTGTCGTCATCAAGGTTATCCCTGTGGTCTTATAGTCTCTTGTTATCGTACTGTTTCATAATTATACGTGTTACCACGGTTTCTACGACAACGAAAGTTGACTGTCCTTTCAATCCTGTGGAAATAATCCCCTAAAAATAAATGTAAAATATTGATGCTGTCATCTTCATGTCGTGATGTTGTGAGGTTGTGTTTCTGTGTAGCACCACAAGCCACATGAGGGCGTCACACTACCACAAATTGAAGCGGACACAATCTGAACAAATACAAACCATCCATCCATCCATTTCCTGATCCACTTATCCTCACAACGGTTGTGGGGCGTGCTGGAGCCTACCTCAGCTGTCTTCGGGCAGTAGGCAGGGGACACCCTGAACTGGTTGCCAGCCAATCGCAGGACACACATAGACGATCAACCATCCCTGCTCACACTCACACCACGGGACAATTTCGAGTGTTCCATTAATTAACCTGCCAGCATAGTTTTAGAATGTGAGAGGAAACCGGAGTACCCGCAGAAAACCCACACAGGCACAGGGAAAACATGCCTTATTCGTGAGAATAAACGGATTGGAAAATAAATGGATGGATGATTGACAGGCAATGTACTTCAGCCCAACTAATTGAAATTCGCAAAAACATCGATTTTTTTTTTTTTGGTAAGCCGCCCTGCAGAAAGGAAGTCTTAAACAGATCTCAGACTTTGCTGAAGAACTGCAAGTTATTGCCTGACTTCCTGCTATATCACTGCAGGGTTTTATGATTCATATTTAGTAAGCTTAGGAGTGATCAGGCCTTATTTCAGATATGCTTTGATGATCCTGGCAAGAGAGATACATTCTTGTAGGAAATGAAGTTTTGGGTCGAACTTCCAAGCAAGCATTCAAATACAGCATCCACGAGCATCTATATTTCACCCTCATTTTTACAGTGGAATTTTTCCCCTTGCTCACTTTTATGTGACGTCTCCATTTTTGTCAAAACCAAAACGACCAACGAATCATGATGAAAATTGTGCTTTTACAATTAATCAGAATAATGAGCCCAATTGTAAGTTACTGATCCATTTAATTGCTTCAGTAACCTGATAACGACAGTTCATTTCCATATTGAATTCAAGTACAATTGTGCTAATGCCATGTTTAGGGTACATGTCGAGTCATCCTTTGAATAAAGTCAGTTGCTTTCAAAGTAGCTGGGATTTTTCGCTACCCTAGCATAATAGCGTTCCCGATGAAAGCGCGATACGTGGCCGCCTGTTTTTTGCGTGATTTTTCTTGCAAGATTCTGTATTTAACGCTTTGATTGGTAATCTTGACAATTCACAGTGCGTGTTCATTTTCTGACAGTATTACACAGATTTTTATAAAGTGAGTCTTTATCTTGAGAGCCAATCTTGGAAATGCATCACAAAGTCAACCATATTTGATGGTTTAAAATCGGTGTCAAGTGTAATGTCCAAAAGCACCTGCTTGTGTATTTGTTCGTGAAATACATTTGACCAATTAGCTTTTGAAGGCAACACGGCCGATACAGGAAGTGTTGAAACTTTTCGCTAAGACGAAACTACATCATCACACAAGGTGCACGCCTTCGTCTGTCATTTCATTGTGGACGAGGTTTAAAGATGGTCGTTAAGTGGTCAGTTTGACAGGGACGGACTGCACTTTCTCTTGGAAAAAAAAAAAGAAGACGTTTTCGCCATAGACGTTCGGTGACAACACTGCGATAGCTGCAACGTTTTGCACCGCTTAACTGCATTTGGCCGTGAGCCGGGCGTGAACGACAACACGATGTGGGAGCAAGAGGAATTTGCCAAACACTGGCGGAATGAATTTCCCGACGGCGAAGTCCCACAAATGAACTTAAATTCGATCGAGGACATCGAGTCGCAGCTGGAGGCTTCGAAAATCAACCTGAAGCAGCTGCAAAAGGCTCTGTCCGAGGAGAAATTCAAGGTGATCTACCTGCAGACCACCATGGCGCGACAGAGAAAAAACGACGCGGAAAGTTGTCACGGCAAAGACGTCAACTTTAACGCCGACACTTTCGTGACTCCCAAGAGTGGGAACTTGAGGATATCTCAGCGACCGGGCGATGGCTGCGACGGTAAAACGGACCAAGTGTCTGACACGGGAGATGGGAAGCTCCAGTCAGCTAACGCGGCAAGTAATTCGTTCAGCCGGGAGCGGAGCAGGTTCAGCGGCAAGACAGGCAAGCCCGTTCCCATCCCCGTTCCACCTCGGAAGCCGAGCAATCCGAGACTGAACCCTCCCGGCCTCTCTCAAACGAGAAATAATGATGACAACAGCGACAAGGAGTATGAAGATTTAGAGCTGAACGAGAATTTTGTCAGGAATAACCTGTTGGTACCAAAGGCTGGGATGAGAAACAACCAGAAGACGCCCAGCATCCATCACCCGGACACCCTGCGGCCTTTTCGCCTGAGTCGAGACTTGGACTCGGGGGACGACAGTCGGATGTCGCCGCCCTTCCTGCACATTGGACGTGGCTCAGGCTGCAGCACCCCAGACAGGAGTTGTGATGGCTACCTCAGCTCAGAGCATGACGACTCCTCTTCTGCAGGTACTGTTCTGACAACAAAGTATGAGTGCATGATTAGTGGTTGTCAGGGCCCGACCTTGGATAAAGGCTTGGTTTTTCGTCTGTCTCATGTGGTCTATTTCAACTTTATATCCCAGCCACACGGTGCTGTGCACATTGTCTCTCAGTTTTTAGTGGGAGGACTGCCTTTGATACCTTTGCCATCTCTCAATGCCACCACTATCAGGTCACAATGATAGAAGTCATCAATACAATTCAAAATTGCAATCCAAAAGCACACAACTGTACCACACGCACCATCTGAAGCAGTTCAAAATCAATATTTATCGAATAGTATGACAAAAACACAAAACAGTTGCATAAAATACACCGTACTCAGCGGAGATGCTAATTGGAAAATGGAATAATGATGACGACAGACGTGCTTTGCATGTTGAATTAGGCTCTTTGACTAACCACTCAGTGGATGGGGAAAAAATGCTGTTGTCATCGAGGGTCATGGCTCATTTTTTGAAGTCCGAATACTCGGACACCAACCTTGATCAGCGGCATGGCCTCTGTTTCCAAAGTGTGGGGGACAAATTGTTCAGGAGTAAGCTAACTTTCATTTGCTAATCAGCATCCTTTGCATTCATCTGCTCTTCTTCACAATGGCAACAGAAATAGGCGACTGTGAAACCGACTATAACACATTGACAGTTAAGCATAAGTAGCCAGCTGGTGTAATGGCAAAACTAAACATGATAATAAGGTAAAACATAATTCTTGCACGCAATGTGATTTCACACTCAAAAATTTTCAACCATTTTTCCAATATCTGAACTGCTTATCCTCATTGGGGTCGTGGGCAGCTTTATTTTCTGACATATTTCAAATCATACACTAACTCAATCATTCCCAAACATATGTACCAATCTGAAAGCTGAAAAAGATTCAAACGATTGCTTAAGCCTCACTTTTACTTCCTCAAGAGATTGTCAAGCATGAGTCAAGCGCTGCTGATCCACAAAGGGATGTGAATAGAATTGAGGAAGACTTTTCGGAGCAGACAATGTTTGTTGTGACACATGGGTTCCTTTTTTTAATATTTTGAGGATCACTAATACATTTATAGTAGGCTGGTATCCTCAGTAGTTTCTTCTAATGTTTTTGGTTGTGTTTGAAGCAGTCAGAATGCTTGGAAACAAAGCATGTTAGCTTTACGCTCATGTGGGGTGTGACATTATTCTCAGCTCAGCTCAACTGTATTTATGGAGCACTTTAAAACAAACACCGCTGTATACAAAGTGCTGTACACGGTGCAAAAATAAGTCAAAGAACAACAAACAATAAATGAATACCGTAGGCAGTAGAAAGCACAAAAAAGAGTAAAATTAAAAATCAAGTCTTATGTTGATGCTATTTTTACAACCCTCATCAAAGACTTTAATGCTTAAAATGTTGGGCACATATTTGAATTTTATTTCAGATATGACTCAGAGCAGGGTACAAACATAACAACAACTGGGCCTAACATGATAATTTTTAATTTTGAGAAGTTTAATGTTAGTTCAGCCCCCACCTTTTTTTTTTTTTTTTTTGCTCCCATCTTTGTAGACCAACAAGACATTTTTTGCATTCTGTGCTCTGACAGTTGGACTCATCATTATTAAGTCTTGGTTGTTGCTGACGACAATGAGATGTGTGGGAAGTTGTAGGAATAGTCGGAGGCATTTTATAGTCTGTGTCCACTTGGCTGTCGTAGCAACAGTCGATGTCGAGCTCATGGTCACCGAGCAACAGCAGTAAGCTCACGCCAGGCGGGAATCTTGTTCATGTTTGCGGGGCCTACGTCATCCGTCAAGTCATGCGTGTCCTGAACTACAGAATGCAGAATGTCTTCCCCTGCTTTTTGGGGTCTTGATTCACAGCACAGTGTTGTTTCTAATATGGTGTCATTATCCAACATCACTAATCTCAGTGCGAGTAGCCATCCTATTGTGCAGGAGACGTAATGTACTGCGGTTTGCTCTGAAAGGACTTTGCCAGCAGGATTGTCGACAACGCGTTAATGCAAAATGCCATCATAAAATCTTTATTAACTCCGTATGGGAAAAAAAAATACACATTTCTTATTTAGCTTCTAGGATAGGCGAGTACCAGCCTTGTTTCAAGGTATCAGGTACACTTGTAGCCATTTTACGATGGGGAACGAAAAGACATGCTTGGCTAACAGAATGTTTTTCGACGGAAACTGTATCCATGTCAATTCTCACACATGCCCATTATATGGTTTACATAAAAGTCTAGCAGGAACTGACCTTGATGGTCGTATTTTACGCACAGCCTGAAGTCACAGTTTGTTTAAAAAAACAAAAAAACAAAAACAAAACAGCGCAACATATATAACCAAACAAACGTGTCACTTAAATATGAGACATATTCAGCTACTACCATCAAAAACACTGCCTTAAATAAATGTATTGCGGCATGCAATGCTTTCTGGGAACAGAGTAACGTCATTATCTGATTTAAAAAAAAATCTTTGAGAAGATTCTGGATAGATTTTGACAACATTCCTCAGTGGTCGAAACTGGGATGCTGGCGTTAAGTTGCAAGGAGTTGACATATCGCTAGGAAGTGTTGGTTGGGCATGTTGACTAGTTTCCTAACCAGCTGATTATATCGAACTTGGAATTCTCTCAATGTGCAGTTTTTGAATGATAACGGCAATAAACCATTTTTGTCTCAAGAGCGGCGAGAGTTTGCTGCATGTCACACATTTCTTCTTCCCCTGGGTCGATGTTTTCTCTCTCTCTCCTCTCGCACGAGCAAAACTTGTTCAGACTCGACTTGTCTGGCACTCGAAGTGCAACAGGGGAACAGGGAGAGCTGGTTTCGAATGCCCTTTTTGTGCAGGTTTCATTATTTTTTAAATAGTTGAACATTTTAAATTAACACTAGAGGGGAAAAAAAAGGATTTTTGTGAGAAAAAAATTACAGATTCATTTAAAGGCTATATCACCGAGATCTTCGATGTCGTGCAAACATTTTCATGATTTTTTTTATTGGTTTTAGGTTTTAGACCAAAGAATGAGTGAGTAACTTACCCCTGAATGAGCTTTGAGAATGTTAAAATGTTATTTAAAAGATTGCCTGTACAGCTATAAGGTTTAACGATGGTAGTTTGATAGTGGAACAATTTTGACTGTTGGAAAAATTGGTTCAAATTTGAAATAAATTGGAGGTCCACTAGAAGAATGTGATTGAACTTTGTTGGTTCCATAAGCAAATCACAAAAGTATAACTGAACACAAAGCGAGTAGGACGACTGTAGTAGTTTACGCTGCACCTGTCTTGGCAACGTTACAAAAAGGGTGCGCAAGGATGCTCATTGGCCTACCAAAGAATGTAACAAAAATATATTCTGCATATGTATATGACTGATTTCCTGTCTAGAATTTACTCTAAAATGTTTTTCAGGTAAAGCCGTATATCAGCCCTTTTAATTCTGTGGTGTGTTTGAGACGCGTGTGTGTGGGTGTTGGATCTTATGAATGTTAATTTGTATGCCGCTGCTGTGCCGGAAGGCAGACAGGATGCCTCAGTGGTGACACTGAGATGCGGGCTTTTGCAGCATCAGCTTGGATGCAGGACAGAGTGCTTGAGTGCAGGAAGCATTGTTCTGCATCCGAGGTGTGAAATGCACAGGTGTTGCTTTCCATGCAAAATAAATAAATAAAATAAAAACCTGTCTCGTGTGAGGTGCGATGTATGACATATGTGTTTACAGGGTTTAGTGGTAGAACACGTGCTTGCCCACAAGTCACAATTCGCCCGTGTTTCTTATTATTGCTATACTGTTGGTGTCAAAGCCACCTCCAATATAAGCGGGCTTGATCAGCATGTTGAAACAGAATTGCAGTGGCTTGTCAGTCAGAGACCGGGCTCGATTGGCGCTCAGCTTGATGACACACTTGCCCCCCTCCGTAGCTTGCTGACGTCAGCAGCCGCAGACCTTCACTGCTGGAAGTGCAACCTTCCATGATAAGTTGGGCTTTGAACTCTTTTTATGACCCCTTCCACTTGATGACTTGATTCAAGTTTTGCTTTTTGTTTTCATCCCCATCCTTGGATCAGCTTTATTTCTCCATATGAATGTTGAGCCCCCCTCCCCCCTCCCCCCAGCTTTAAACCGAATCAACTACCTCATAATTTACAGAAATACAGTGGTGCCTTGAGATACAAGTTTAATTTATTCCGAAACCACACTCATAACACGAAGCACATACCATCTTTACCCATTGAAATGACTGAAAATTAGAATAATCCCTTACAGCCTTTCCAAAAATCAACACGTGATTGTTGTAGTGTGTCTTTTAATGAGTAAAGAAAACACCCAATAATATTGTACTTTATGCAAACATACAGTAATGATAATTAAATAGAATTAAATAGGATTCATAAAAATGGCCCAACTCCTCCTTGAGCTCATCAGTTCGTCACTATTTGTCACTCTATAAAATATAGAGGGTATTGGCAGTTCATTTCTCAGTGTTTCATGTTAGTGCTGAACCATTTGTGTTCAGCCTATTGCTTAGTGTTGTTAATAACATAGTGGACCCTAAACGCAACTTTTAAAAAGTCTAGCCCAGAGACGTTATGAAGATTCCATCGAGAAAAATCTAATATGATTTCCATGCAGCTGCTTCCGTTCTCCTTTTCGACACTATTACCCCCACACCCTCTTGCACTAACACTCTTTTAAAATCGGTGTCAAATTTGAAGTTAGAGTGAAAGAGGGGGCCAAGGGTGTCTTCCTATTTTCTTGTCAGTTGACTGATTCACTCTTGGTCGCTTCCTTGTGTAACGACCAAACCCTTTTGTGTCACTTCGTCTTTACCGTGAGTTACGACTTGGCTGTGGAGAAAGGATGTGACTTCAGTCTGTTGTACATGTATCATATTCATATTTTCCTAATAACATAGAAGCCGCCTGTAGTTTGAACACCCTTTTAGGATAGATACTTTTGAAACAGGCAC